CCCCCCCCCATTGTCCACCTGCCGCAGGCTCCTCTCCCATGGCAAGCAGCGCCGCCACCACATCCGCCGCCCCGCGCGACGACAATGTCAACGCCCGAGTCATTGGGCGTAAGGACCCATTCTTTGCCGAGATCATCGACAGTGTGGGAATTGTTAGCGTCTACAACTATGTCCCCAGTCTCGGTGAATACGTCAAGCAGCCCGCCATGGGGCCTCTGTTTCTCATCCGTCGGTGAGTGATACAGCCCCTCGCTTCCCCGCTCACGCCCCAGCACCAAGGCACCAGAGTATGCGCTGTACATGATTAACAGGTCTGGTGTAAAGAATCAGTTTTGGGGTCTCTACCCTACCGAGATGAGGATTAAAGCCCATGATGAGGATAAGCTCCTCGAGGTTGCGAGGCGCGGCGAGCGTACGTCGCTAACACCTTGCTGAGACTTGCACTAATACCCCAGCGGAGCGTCCCCGTTTCTGGTTTTCTGATGCCACACCTCTCCGTCGTCTTTTCGACCGCATCAACAGGTGAATTGCTGACCATGTCCGAGTGCTGACTCCAGCATTGTCGGGCCTCCAATCAAGCCAGGAGACCAAGCTACTACTAACACAGCTGCGCCTTCCTCCGCCCAGCCGCCTCAGGCTCCCGCGCAAGTCGCCCCGCAGCAAACAACAGCGCCGTCTCAACCGACGCAGCAGCCTGATCCCGATGACCATCTTGCCCACCTGTTTGCAGGCCTTGCCACCGTTCGTTGTTTCTGATTGACCCCTGCTGACAATGTCAGTTGCCCGCTCCTAATGCCACAACTCCTGCCCACGTACCTCAATCTCAGCCGCATCATACTGCTGTCCAGCCACCGGTGCACTCTTATTACCCACAGCATCCGCCCCAGAACCCTCACCACTACACTACCAACGTTGCCCCTTTTGTCGGCCCTCAGGCGCCATATTCGCATTATTCAACCTCGCCCGCCCCTGGTCATAGCGACTCGTCTACCCCTCAGCCCCCGCACCCACCCCCTCCTCCCATGTCGACCGCGGCCTTTTCCCCACACGAGACTGCTGACGGCCTGTTCAAGAGTCTTTTAGGTGGAGGTGCTCCAAGCTTCCCCTACATCCCTCATCCACCTGCCCACGGTATCAGCACCGCAGGCCCGGTACCGCCTCGCACTACCGTCTCGCCAGTACGTGGCCCACATTCCATGGGACACGTGCCGCAGACCACTCAGCGCGGTTTCCCCGGTCATCGCGGCGACGGTAGCGGCGGTGGGGGTGTTGGCGATGGTGGTACTGGGGGCCGCACGAACGTGAACGTGTCTCCACCTCGGAATCACCAGCAGGCTCCATTCCCTGGGCAACAACCGAGGCCCGCAGTGCCGGGTAACCCATCTCCTGATGGCATGCGCGATGCGCTAGTATCAACGTACGCCCCGAACAATGGTCAAGCGCAGTATCACCAGATGCCCAAGGAGCGCTTGGTCGGTACGATGATACACCTCCTGCAGGTTGGTTGCAAGATGAGGCCTGTGTGCTGATGTTTACAGACCAACCCAGCATTTGGCGACGATGTGTGGAGGGCGTACATGGCGAGGTGTGTTGGCGGACCCGGTCATTAGGCCGCAAGCCGCAGGCCGCAGGCTTGGATGTGTGTATACGTGTCGGTGTGCTGGCGTAAGTGTGCTGCCCTTGCATTGTTGCTGGAAGTGATAGGTAGTCCTGTACCCTGCATATGTACAACATCAAGTCAACAGTCAATCGGGGGTGTTGGAGGTGCAGTAGTATGCGCGGGACGCTCTTGGCCCAGTAGCGAGGACCCAAAAGCGGTGACGCACTTGTCTTGGCTTGTTGCATGAGGTGTGATCGAGACGACGACGGGTGGAGGCAGTGACGTATGGAGACACGAGCCAATCTGATTCCGGCGGTTGACGGTTGGGGTGATGGTTCTCTGACCGCCGTCGCCGCCGTTGCCGCCCGCCCCACCGCTCTTTGCTTGTTCCATCATCATCACTCGCTGTTTCTTCTTCCTCTTACTCTCCAGCTCTCTAGTCACGCTTCAATAATCCTCCAGCCCTTTCCAACCGCACTCTCAACGTTCTCCCTCCTCCCAATTCCCCCAGGTTTCCTGACGTTACGCTTTACCGTCACAACTCCGAGCCATCCCGCACCACCTAGCACTCACACCTTCCTCGGTGGCTACAATGTCCAACCTCACCCAGCGCGCCGGCAAGGGCGCCTCCAACTTGGAAGTCAAGATGGAGGAGAAGCGCAAGGAGCTTCAGCAGTACAAGGATGACGACGGACACTTCTCTCTGGTCCGGTGAGCACTCGTGCAATCCTTCCACGCTGACAATAGCAACTTCCGCCTCGCAGACTTGATCACAATCATGAACGGTGTCTGCGGCACACTCAGTATCATGAGCAGCGCACGCTACCTGATTCTTTCGTCCAACCTGCCCGGCCCGCCCAGCGAGGAGGCCTACAAGTGGCTGTACTTTGCCCTCGTCCTCCCCATGGCCGGCTTCGGCTTTGACGCTCTGGACGGCAAGGTCGCGCGCTGGCGTGGTGGCGGCTCCCTTCTTGGTCAGGAAATGGACTCGCTCGCTGACCTTGTGAGCTTTGGCGTGGCGCCTGCCACGCTGGCCTTTACGCTTGGCCTTCGCACGCCGCTCGACATGCTCTGCCTCCTTCTCTTTGTCTCTGGTGGCCTGGCCCGCCTTGCCCGCTTCAACGCTACCGTCGCCCTTCTCCCCGCCGACGCCAGCGGCAAGTCCAAGTACTTTGAGGGCCTGCCGATTCCGTCCTCGTTGTTCCTTACCGCCAGCATGGCCGCGTGCGTCCGCCAGGGCTTCTTCGCGCTCGGCAAGCACACTGACGTCCCTCTCGGCGTCGTACGGCTGTGGGGCGACGGCCTCAAGGGAAACGGCGACGGCGATGTGCACGTTGCGGCTATTGTGTTTGCCCTCTGGGCCGCCGCCATGGTCTCCAAGACGCTTCGAGTGAGTTGTGCTGCCACGGGGACTGCGACAGTACGCTAACCCCAGGTCCCCAAGTTGTAGACGCAATGCATTCGTAGAAGCCGAGCCGAGCCGAGTCGAACCTGTAGACACGTAGAGGGGCTACTGACGTGTATCTGAAGCCTTCACTCAACATGTAGCTTCTCGTCTTTGGGTGGGCGGCGGGGCGTGGGTGTGGGGGTTGAGGGTGATGGTGGTCGAGTAGTGGGATGAGCAGGCTTTTCACAGGACACTCCTCCACGGAGCACTATTGTCCATGCACGCCAGGTCTATAATAATCTACACGTCTTCACGTCTACACGTCTACATGGTCGCCTTGAACGTCTCCCAGAACTCGTCGTGCTCCCAGCCTGTGACAGGGCGCGCAACCACGCGCCCACGCATCCCGACCTTCTCGTCGCCCTCCTGCGCCTCTGCAGCGCGCACGAGATGCCACACCGTCTTGACGCCCTGCTGGACGAGATACTCGCGCATGGGGAGGTAATTGAGACCGACAGCCGCAACGCCATGACTGTCGTCGGAGAGACAGATGCGGCCGCCGAGCGACATGATGAGCTGGCGTCAGCCCCTCCTCCTCTTTGGCTCACCTGGAGGACTCTCGGGCTGGGATAGCTCGTCTTCCAACCCTTGCGGAGCGCGGCAGCGTTTGCCTCAAACAGCGCGCCGTACCCCACGGCGTAGCGCACGTTCCGCTCGACGCGGTCCCACACGGCGTCCAACGACGCCTCCGGCACCCAAAGGAGACAGAGGTCGAAGTGTCCGACGACTTCCGGCTGGTGGGCCTGGAGCACGCCCATCTGCGCGTCAAAGTACGCGGCGAGAAAAGCCTCCATCTCCTCCGGCGCGGGCACATACCCGTCCGCGAGCGCGGCATCCGCGTCCCGCGGCGCGAGCACGAGCTTCCCATCGACGCGCACCATCGTCGTCTCGTCGACGCCGCGCCGCGCCGCGCGCACAGCACGCAACCACGTCCCGCGGTCAAAGTCCACCGACACGCCGCGCACATGGTGCACGGACCCGACGACGTAGTCGATCCGCGCGTCCGCGAGCAGCCGCGCCAGCCCGGCGGAATCGAGCGGCGTGATCGCGTCGCATTCGATGCCGATGAGCAGCGAGAGCGCGGGGTGCGCGGCACGCTGCGCCTCCGCTGCGGCCAGGAAGGACGTGTACGCGTCCGCGAGGTCCTGCGGCGTCAAGTCGGCCTGCGTTAGCTGGAGTGCTGGGAGGGGCGGGGCGCACCTCTTCTGGAAACAGGTCCGCTTCGCGGTAGCGCGGCGCGTGCTCGCTCAGCCCGAAGACGCGGAAGCCGCGCCGCGCGGCTTCGGCAACCACCGCGGTCAGGCTGTCCTTTGCGTGCCGGCAGAACTGGCCCGAGTGGGAGTGGTGTGAGTGGGGCATTCGGACAAGTCGAAGGGTGGATGGACAAAGTGGAGGTGGATGATCGACTGGAATTTCCTTACCTTGTCACCACCCACCACACCATGGACCCCCGACAAAGCGAGCAGAAGCGGCCGGCGTACGACACGCAGGACTTTATGGCTGTCATCCTTGTCGGCAAGGGAGAAAAGTGAGCGCGCACACAGGCAGGCAGGCGAGCCGAGGCCGAGGCTGACTGCAGCCTCTTCCCGTTCAATGAGGGCCCGAATGTCGTCCCCAAGGCGTTGATGCCCGTCGGCAACAAGCCCGTTATTAACATCGTGCTCGACTGGGTGTTTGCCGCTGGCTTGACAGGTGCGCTTGTGGCGGTAGGATGAGGGCTAGGATGTGCTCGTGGTGGTCGTCCTTGTCTACTTTGACCAGCGTCGCCGCGCTCCTCTCCGTCCCCGCTGCGCTTTGCCACACAAGCTCACCCCAGACGTCCTCCTCATCGTCCCGCCGTCCGCTGGCGCCGCCATCTCCGAATACCTCACCGAATATCTCCAGCTCGAGTACTCGTCGTCGTCGCACCAGCGCGAGCCGCGCGTCGTGCTCAAAACCTACGCCGAGGGCGAGGACGACGAAGACGATCTGGAAGACAAGAGCGGGACGGCGCGCCTGCTCAAACGTTTCCGCAACGACATCAAGAGTGACTTCATCCTTCTACCGTGCGACATCTCCTTCCCGTCGTCCCTGACCCTCGCGTCCATCCTCGACCGGCACCGCGCGACGCCAGACGCCGTCCTCACGAGCGTATGGTACGAAGCGCCCGAGGCGGTGCGCGAGAGCGAAGAGCGCATGCTCGTCGCGACGGACACGACGACCAGCGAGCTCCTGCAAGTCACGCCGCTCGACGACCTCGAAAACGCCGACCTCGACCTCCGCATGGCGCTCATCAGTGCGCACCCCAAGCTCTCGCTCTCCACCCGCCTCCTCGACGCGCACGTCTACGTCCTCCGCCGCACCGTGCTCGACCTCCTCGCGTCCCGCCGCAGCCGCGACCTCACCTCCATGAAGGAGCAGTTCATCCCCTGGCTGCTCAAGGGCACGTGGCAAACGGGGCTGGCGGAGCAGTGGGGACCGGTTCTCGACCCCCCGCGCCGCGACCCCTTCGCCGACGCCCTCGCCCGCTCCACCGCCGCATACCGCTCGCAGCCGGCCGAGGCGCGCGAGGAAAGCGAGACGCCGGCCGAGAGCGCCGGCGAAGAGCTGCTGGCGTTCAAAGCCCGCGTCGGGCGCACGGGCAAGAGCGCGCGCGCACGCCACGCACGCGCGAGCTGGACGTGCCGCGTCGTCGTCGTCAAGCCAGAGGTGGAGCAGGCCGCTCCCGCCCCGGCCAAGGGCAAGGGCGCGAAGCCCGCCGGCCCAGAGCCAGAGTACATCCTCCGCGCGAACAACATCGCCGGATACTGGGAGATGAACAGGCATCTCGTCAAGACGCTTGGGGGTGCGCCGCGCGCTAAAGAGGACAAGGAGGACGCGGTGGCTGCGAGCGCGCAGATCTCGCCCGACTCGCTTGTCGGCGAGGGCGTGCGTGTCGGCGAGCGCGCGAGCATCAAAAAGTGCATCGTCGGCAGGCACTGCGTCATCGGCAAGAATGCAAAGCTCACCGGGTGTGTCCTCTGGGACTTTTGTGTTGTCGAGGAGGGTGCGCGGCTCGAGAACGCCGTGCTGGCGAACAATGTGCGGGTGGGCGAGAAGGCGCAGATCAAGGACTGCGAGTTCGGCCCGGGATTCGAGGCAAAGCCCGGCGCCATCATCAAGGGCGAGCGCATGGTCGCGGGCCAGGAGGCGTAGAGCGCCAGTATATAGTCGCATGCACTGCATAGCTACAGGAGCTCTACGCTCTACGGGATGTGAGAAAGACGAGAGACGATGTGTATGTAGGTATGTGTCGAGGCTTGTCACAGTCTGCGTGGGCTGGCTAGGGGGTCCGCGTTGCGCACTTCCACCGCCTACTTTTTGGCGACCAGACGCGCCGACTTCTCGGCAGCCTCGCGCGCAGCCTCTGCGTGTTAGCTGGTTCCGATACATGAGCCAAACCCACCCTCCTGCTCCGCGGCACGCTGGGCAGCGGCAGCCTCGCGCTTCTTGCGGATCTCCTGGAGACGCGCAAGGTCCGACTTGGCCTGCTGCGTCTTGCCGGCAGCCTGGCGCTGCTGGAACTTCTTCTTCTCGGCGGCCTCGCTGTCGTCAGCTCATCCTGCTGCACACTCACCGCTCGCGACGGCTCGGCTCCGCCTTCTTCGCCGGCCAAGGGTTGAGCAGGTCCTCACCGCCCTTCTCCTCCTCCTCGCTCTCCTCGACCTTGGCCGCCGCCTTCTTGCGCGCCTTGCGCTCCGCGCGGCTCAGGCCCTCGTCCTCGTCTTCCTCGATGGCTACAGTGTTGCCGAGTTTGAGGTTGAGCGCGGCCATCTCGGGCGCGAGCTTGTGCTCGACCTCGTCGTCTTCCTCTTCCGAGGTCTCCTCCTCGCTGCTCTCCTCCTGCTGCACCGTGTCGGGGCGCATGCGGTCGTCGAGATCACGAGAGAAGTGTCGGCCGCCGCCGCGTGTCACCTTGAACTTTCTGATGTCAGCGGGTAAAGGGGAAGGGTTGTCTTGTTGGGGAGGGTGTTTCAGCAGGGAGAAGAGGGGTGAGAAATGGATCTAGCTTGTCTCGCAGGCGAGTGCAAGCCATTTATGCCGTCGCCGTTGTCACGGCGGTGGAGCTTGGGCCGGCTGGCCAGGCTGACGCCAAGCATGTGCGTCCGGGTCGCCTTCGCGCGGCAGAGCATGTCACATGTCGCTGTGACAGCAGCGCATGCAGTCGTGCAAGCGGTCGCGCCATCGCTCGCCGCTCGCCGCCGGCCGCGCTGCCCGCCGTGCACAAAGATGTGCTGATCACAAGAAAAGTTGGAAGCTTGCCACCGGCTCCACATCCGCCGCTTACGCTCGGCCAGCCCTCCCCTCGCCGCCACCCAGCAACCACCGCCACGAAGCACTCACCCACGTCCGCGCGAAGAAGTACCGCCACCGCGTCCCATTGTGCTGTTGATGATGAGGAGAATTGGGTTGATGAGGATTGGCAGTCGAGCTTGCCGAATCTTGTCTTGTCCATTCCAGGCACCTTCCGCTCTTCTGCCCCGCTCTGAGCTCCCGGCGGGACCAAACGCGTCTCCATGAAATCAATAATGTCGAGACGCGTCAATCTCCATACAGACCTCTAGTCCATCCTCTCTCCACCGTCCTCACCACAATGTCCTTCGTCCTCGCCGCCGCGCCCGACCTCCCCCCCTCCCAACCCCTCCACCTCCTCCCCTTCGCCCTTTCGCCGACACCACGCACCGCCGCGGTCGGGACATACTTCGTCCCCCGCCCCGGGCCCGCAGGGTCGCTGGCCGCCTTCCGCGGCCGCCGGGTGGTGGGACAGGACATCGGCGTGCCGCGCGGGTATCGCGGCGTGGTGCTGCGCGCAGCGGCGCCGCCGTCGTCCACCGCCACAGACGCAGCCACAGCCTTCGCCCGCGAGCCCACCGCGGCCGCCCAGAACGGGTCCGAGACCGTGGCGGGCGTGGAGCGCGTGGTGGGCCGCGTCACGCGCGCCATGCAAAAGGGCGCGGCGCAGGTCGCGCTCGCGCGGCCCCGGGCGGTGAGGCGGGCACGGAAGGTGCAGAAGTTTGCGCTGGACGAGGGGGAGGAGGAGGCGCCGCCAGTGAAGCGGGTCAAGGTGGAGGCGACGACGGCTGTGAATGTGGAGGCGGAGGCGGAGGCGGGGGCGGGGGCGGAGATCGGGGTGGAGACGGAGACAGAGGTGGAGATGGAGATGGAGACGCAGGTCTCCCGCGCGGCGACGCCACCTCTCGTGCCCGCTATCAACGTCGTGCCGTCCTCTCCTGCGCCTGGATTTGGGGGAGACGGAGACGAGGACATGGCGCGCGAAGTCGACCTCGCGGCCGTATCTGCCGTCCTTACTCCCGAGCCCGAAATCGACCCCGAGGTCTCCGGCCTTGCGTCCGAGGAGCATACGGCGCTGCGCGTCCTTACCCCCACGGCGACGTTCTCCTCGTTCACGCTGTGGACGCCGGACGCGCCGCTTGCGGGCTTCCGCGCCGACGAGGTCGAAGTGGAAGGGCACTGGCGGCAGGGCGGGGCGGGTGAGGGCGGGGACGCGTTCGTGCGCGCCCTCGGCGAGTGGCTTGGCCTCAACGAGATTGTGGGTGGTATCAGGGACAGGCTGACGCAGATCCATGCGCCGATGTATGACACCGACGACGACGAGTAGGCCACGAGGATGCCCACACACAGACTGCCACACGCAGACTGCCACACACAGACCGTCCCACGCAGACCACCACACGCAAACCGCCACTACTCTGCATGCCCGCACGAGCTATGTAATATGTACACACGTAATGTCCCGAGGCAGAGGTATTAACGGTCATGCTGGTGTCGCTCACGACGTGGCGGGCTTGGAGGACGTGTCTGACGAACGCGGCGGCGTTGTACATGTCACGGGCGGGTTGGGGTCGTGAGGGCCTGACGCGGGCGGCGCGGGACTCGCCGGCGCCACGGCCGGCGCCGAACTAGTCGCCGCGAGCGGCGGCGGCGCGGCTGCGCGCGCTCGTTCTCCGCGTCGAACGCGTCGGCCTCCGCCGCCGACTTGAAGCGTCTGACGACGGGCACCGGGTCCTCGCGCGCGCCGATACGCACCCACCCGTCCGGATCGCTGGGACTCGTCATGACGATCCCGCGCGAGCTCCGTATCTGCACTTCGCGGGGGAGGCCTGCGCGCTCGCGCAGCTCGCGGTTCTCGGCCTCGATCAGCTCGATCTTGGAGAGCAAGTGCGCCTTCTCGTGCTCCCACCGCGCGCGTTCTTGCTCGAGGCTTTGGACGGCCCACTGGTAGTTCGTGGCGGCGCGGCCGCCGCGCGTCTCGGCGTCTTGGCGCGCGGCGCGCTCCGCGGCCGCCTCGGCACGCAGTTGGTCCGCGAGCGCAGTGGCCGCGCGGCGCGCCGCGCGCTCCGCCTCGAGCATCCGCATGAGGCGGTAGGGCGCGCAGCCGCGCGGACAGTCGAGCTCGTGGCACGCCGCGGTTTCGGGGTCGTGGTCGGACGCGGGCGCGCCCGCGCTCACGCTCGTGCTCGTGCTCGTGCTCGTGCTAGAGCTTGTGGGGGAGGGCGGGCGGGACGCTTCGAAGCCGCTGATGGGCGAGAGGGGGGTCGTGGGGGTCACGCTGAGGAGGGAGGGGGAGCCGTAGGGCGTGCGGCGGCGGCGGTCGTCGTCGTCGTCGTCGTCGATGCGGCGGCGGCGCGGCCGCTCGCTCACGCTCACGCGCGTCAGTGAGCGCCCGATGTCGCGGGTTTGTGGTGTCGGCGGGGAGATGTTGAGCGTGGGGGGAGGATAGGGCATGCGGCGCGCGGAGGAGCTGGAGGAGCCCGAGGAGGCGGGATGGTAGGACGCAGCGACGGCATATGCGTTCGCTGTCGGCGGAAAGGGGGTGCGCAGCTGGCGTCGGGGACTGCCGGGTGGAGTCGACATGTCAACATCGTCTGCCAACATGGCGCTCGAGCGAGGTGACGAGAGGTGAGACGCTGAGGTTTAAATGACTCTGAATCTTAGTACGCCTGTCGCGGCGCATGCCGACAGAGGGCAGCGAGGGGGGAGACGGAAGGTATCGAACGTTGGTCGGTGGCGCTGTGTAGCAAAGGAAAAGACGAGGATGGACTGGGCATGTGCGCATGCGCGGTGCGAAGCAGGTGTCGTCTCGGTTGAGCTGGGCGCGTCCGATTCGCCGGGTTGCCGCCGGGTCATAGCCCTCGCCCCGACGCCACAGCTACTGGCGTCACCTCGCCCTGTTTGGGAGTCACTCGTTGCATGGCGGGGGACGGAGAGGGATGGAGGGGGGGGGGGGGGGGGGGGGGGGGGGGGGGGGGGGGGGAGAGGAGAGGACGGGGCGAGAGAGAGAGAGAGAGAGAGAGAGACACAGACAGAGGGGCGGAGAGAGACAGAGGCGTAGTCTGGAGAAAGAGGCAGACGAGGAGAGTCAAATGGACAATTGATAATTGGCTCGAGTGCTGCTACGAATGCCAACAACTGAGTAAGAATGTGAGTGGAGAAGGAACGCAGAGGGTGAGGAATGCAGGGTTGAGGTTGGGGAAGTGGGGGCGAAGCGGTCCGAGCCCCGTGGGTCATAGACCAGTTTGCCAACAGCCAGCTAGCTGAGCAAGTCAGCCGTCAGGTTGCCATCGACGCCTCCCGTGGCCCCAGGATGGCCAGGATGGCGCAGGATGTGGCGGGGGCTTAGGCGCTCGCACCTGCTTGGGTCAACGTGCACCAGGAATGTAGGATCGTGACTGGATCCAATGGATAAATGACAGGGCGGATGTACGTGACTCTCCAAGTCGGCGTGCAGCGTGGCGCATTGACTAGTTGGGCCGGGCTAGTTGGACTGAGGCGCCGTCGACGAAAAGAGGGTGCTGAGAGGGATGGCGATTGTTTGTGCACCATGGTGCATTTGAGCATTTGAGGAATTGATTGTGCAAACTAGTCGACGCCAGGCCTTTGAATGCAGAATGCGAGTAACGGTGCCTTTTGATCCAGCTTCCTGGAGTCTTGTCTCAGATTTCATGTCGCCCCCGCTCGCGCCGCCCGAGTGCTCAGTAATCAGTGATCAGTGACAGGAAAACGCCACACCGCAGAGGCTCATGTCAGCTGGGTCAGCAATTTCATGAGCGCACAAAAGTCAACGTCAACGTCCAGGTGATCAGACGATCAGACGATGAGGCAAGCGGCACTTGGCGTCCGCTCGCTGGCGTCGACCCATCAATGAAGCTAATGTCTCACACGGATGTCTGCTATCCTTCGTCTTCGGACGTACATGACAATAGTACATTCAATATGCCAAGTGGTATTGTACGGGAAATCGACATTGACTGCTTGCGGGGACTCGCGGACTCGTTCTTGATCGGAATGTTTGGTGCGTGCGAAAGGGCTGGCTCTCGTGAGCGACATAATATCGCCTAAAAGCGGATGTTGAAGCTCTCGCCACATCCGCACGTGTCGACAATGTTCGGGTTCTCGAACACGAAGCCGGCGCTCAACCGGTTATCCCGCCAGTCCATGACGCTACCGATGATCGAAAAGAGCGCCTTCGAGTCGATAAGAACCTTGACGCCGTCCTGCTCGACGACCTCGTCGAACTTGCCTCCAGGAGGGTCAACGTACTCGAGGTGGTACGCCATGCCGGCACACCCGCGCGTCTTGACACCGATACGCAGCATCTTGGGCTCGGTGGGCGACGACATGAGTGCGCGAAGACGGGACACGGCGTTCGGAGTCTAGGATAAGCCGATGCTCAAAGATCCAATCTCGGCGGCGAGGAAGGTTGTCCAACACATCTCACCGCCGCCTCAAGTGGACTCACCATGGTCAATGCTGCCTTCTTGGCCTTGAACTGACGCCTGGGCTTAGGCGGCGCCTTCTCGGTGGCCGCAGGCGTTGGGGCAGGCTTGGGAGCAGCAGAGGAGGAAGGTGCGTTGAAGGACGGAATGTCGGACGCGGCGCGTACCATTGGGGCGGCGTGGGCTGCGCGGGCAGGGAGCGTGGAGGATGCGCGGACCAGTGGCCGCAAGTGGATGCGGGAGGACGAAGCGAGCGGAGACGCCGCGACGAGTGGTGCGATGCGGTGGCGGAGAGCGGACATTGTGGGTTTGCGGGGTGAGGGGGGAGTGGTTCAGAGGATGTAGTGTGCGTGGATGCAGCAGTGGGTGAGGTCTATGAGAGCGTTGATGCTAGACGTGTCTGAAGATGAGAGGATGGTGATGAAGACGAGGACGAGGATGTGATGACTGATGGAGTGGTGGAGAGGGGGATTGGGTGGAACGGAGCTGCGGCAACGGAGTCAGAGTGGCCAGATCGCCAACCGCTGCGGTGGTTGGAAACTCGAGCGATTTGATTGGTTAATGGCTCGACCTCGGCCTGCTAATTCCTGCTTCGGCGACAACAATAGGGGATCGGAAGAAGCCTGGGATGCGTGGGCAGCACTGCTTGGGACCGGGAATGGGAAGCAGGTGTAGATGGGTTCCGAAGGGTGCGGAGGTGTTGTTCTCGGATGCTGGTGACTAGCTTTGCTGAGCAAGGCGGGTGCTCTGGTTAAGAGCGAGTGGAGCGAGACGTGGGAATGGAAATAAGAGGGCATGTGGCACTAATCCCAAAGCCGACTTACTCCGTCATCCGACCACCCCCTCGGACCCTCGGACTTGTAGAACCCTCGGCGCTGTTCCAACTGCATCGCGAGCATTATGTTTGCCTGGCACTAGACGTCAGTCACCAAACCATGCATTCCAAGCCACCATGACGAATCTACTTGCCTTGCTGAAGCCTCACCGAACTTGGCAGAAGGAGGATTAATTCGACAAGTTGCAGGTTTACCCGATCTCAGCTTCTGGTGGTAGACGACACTCTTGCATGTCATCTTGTGGTGTGCATGGTGTGAGAGTCCTACGCGTGGGACAGTGGCACAGTGGGAATGGACTAACATTAGGTCGCTATCAGCGCTCTGCCTCCTTGGGCTGGCTCTTAATCGACTGTGTAAGAATACTGCAAAGACACCCGACGCCGCGACTGCCCAACTCGATCGTGTGAGAACACCCACGCCCACAGATTGCGCTCGCGCACGGCGAGAGATCTGTTCAAACAGACACGGTATGAGATCGCCAGCTGGCCAGAGTGAGACATGGTGATCACGGGCTCACATGACGGCGGCCTACTACTCGCGTCCGGCATCGGGCCCGTCGGGTTCTTTGGATGCTGCGGCAAATAGGGCGTTGTGGCATGCAGATGTGAGGCAGTGGTGGTCTTGAGAGCTCGAGAATAGACGAGCGTGGCATTCATCTCGAGAGATATGACGCAGGCCCACTATGCTGCATGATGAGGCAGGCAAGCGCCTAGATCTGTGCTCGCAATACAGTCCCATCGCATAATTGCCGCGCCACGGTCCTGATCTCGTGGCAGTGAACCATACAAGAGTAGGAAGAGAGTCCACCTGCCTGGACAGGAACAGTGCATGAAGAGGTGCGTCCACGGCGCGTCGCTCTCACGCCCGCCGTGCTGCTACTCCGACAACCTCGGCCTTCGCTTAGCTATCTGCGGGGCAAAAAGCAATAGTCTGGGGCTGTGGTAATGTCGAGCTGTGCCATATGTTGCATCGAATGAGGAAAGAGGAGGCGGGCAAACAGAACTCTCTTCTTGGCGCTCTGAAGCCAAGACAAGGAGATGGTGGATGAAAGCATGATCGCATGTATGACAGGCAAGAGATGGGTGGAATGGGTGGATGGATTCGGACACACGGTCCCTCATCTCACGCCACCCCACCACTATTCTCCCACTCTCCATCTCCATCTCCATCTCCATCTCTCATTATCTCATTATCTCTCTCTCTCTCGCGCTCTCTTTCACTCCTCCTCCTCCAGACATGCGCTAAGACCCGCTTGCAACAGTAATGGTCTCTCCCACTCCGATCCCCTCCCCCGGCGCCTACCCTCCCATTATCCGCACCGGCTCGCCACCGCAAAAACAAACCGCTATCCTTGCCCCCATCCCCATCCCCATCGCTCCCATCCCCCATCATGCCGTCCCACCACCCACCGTCGCTGGCCGACCCACCCCGCCCCCGCTCCAGCTCCCCAGCCTTACTCACAGGCGACGCGCCGACCCCGGTTCCTCTAGCGATGGCGCTGTGCGAGCCCGCATTCAGGCCCCCGCAGGTCCAAACAACCAGCCAGGCTGGCGGCAAGGCAAACCCCTCTTCGAGTGGATCACACGCAAGCTAGGCGCACGACGTGGCTCGGATGCGACAGCCGAAAGACCGCCCGTGCCCCACTACGTGCCCAAGGCGCACCGCCGTCCAGAGGGACGACGTCTGCATTACCGTCGTGCCGATCGCAATCTGTCTCCTGGAGATGCGAGCGTCAACCGCAACAGTGTCGACACAAACCGCCCCGAGAGCATGAGCATGAGCCTGCGCTCCTACAGCTTCAGCGCGAGTCAGACGCCCAGCGAGCGTCGCCGCGAAGCCAACAACCCTTACCCGTCCATCCCTGTCCCGATGCTTCGCCGCAGCTACCCGGCATCTACAATCGACTCTGGCTCCCGACCCCCTTCACTAAGCGTATTCAGCCGCTCACGCACGCCGTCCGTCGCCTCGCTGAGCGACCTAGCTGCGCGCGGGCCGCGCATCAGCATCGCTGACGATGCAGGCGGCGGCGGCTCCCTCGCCGGCTGTGCTGACGAGGACGCGAGCGTCCGGCCCATCCCGCCCTCCCCTACCTCCATGTCCGTGACATCCCGCTCAGGGTCGATGCCATTGTGGCGATCTGACTCGGCCTCGGCACCGCGTCGGGTGCGTACGACGTCTCCCCCACCCATTGTGGGGCGCAGAGACACCATTGGCTCGAGCGTGGGCGCGTCCTACACGAGCGAGGAGGACACCCAGAGCCGACAGAACAGTCTGGCGAGCACAAAGCCGACGACGGTCATGAGCTTTGAGAGCGCGTCGCCGGCGCACATTGCCGTCGCGCCCAGCCTCAGCAGCTCCCCACCCGTCCACAGAACGATGAGCTCGCCAACAACAACAGCCACGTCCATCGGGCACCTCCCGTCTCCCGTCTCGACGACATTTGCGCCCCTAGACGAGCCGTCCGTTCGTGTACCCTTGCACTCACGCTACCACCCGCGCAACAACCCCCACCCGTCAGCCGCGCCACGCCCCGACGCGTCGATCGTCACGCTCGCGTCGTCCAACTTCGCGCTCGCCCCGAGCCCCGTGGACAGAACCGCGGCGCGGCCCGGCTCGCTGCGGCTGCGCGAAACCGTCTCCCCATCCGCTTACCACGCTCCTCATATCACGTCTCCGACCGTAGCGTTCGCCGACCGCCCAGGAAGCATGCACGACGGTGTATCCACGCATGCGCTTTCCCTTTCGGTGCGCACGCGGAGCTACGGGCGCGCAGACGACGACGCGAGCATGCGCGCGATCCGGCGGCGCGGAAGCTGGGAGAGCGGCGAGAGCCGCTGGTCGTGGCGGCCCGGGCCGAGCGACGCGCCGATGCTGCACGCGCTCAACCGCCGCTCCGAGCTGCTCGCCGAGGGCGACGACGTCGCCTCCCCCGCCCGCTCCCTCTATACCAGAGAGTACCGGGTGCGCGAAGACGAGGAGCACGGCGAGCCCGTGCGCCTCCACCGCCCCGTCAGTGTCAAAGTATAATGTAATAGTACATGTATCACACGTTCCACCACAAGCTGCCGACGCCCTGCGCGTACCCCACAATCTCGTTGCCGCTGAGCTTGCTTTCGCCGTAGATGCGGTCCACGAAAGTGATGGGCACCTCGCCGAGCGTGTACCCCAGCGCGCGCGCGCGCACGACAATCTCCATCTGGAACACGTAGCCTTTGCTCGTGCACCGCCCGATGATGTCGCGCAACACCGGCAGGCGGTACAGCCTGAACGAGCCGGTGAGGTCTGAGATGCCGGGCCGCAGCACCGTGTCGGCGAGGAAGTTGGCGCCGCGCGACACGAGCTTGCGCTTCAAATCCCAGCCGTATACGCCCCCAGGGCCTAGCCCGACCGGCGTTTGCGCAGACGACGGCGGCGACGGGGACGACGCGTACCGCGTCCCCGTCACGATGTCGAGGTTGTGCAGCTTCTGCTGCTTGATGAACTCGGGGATGAATTTGGGCTGGGGTCAGCGACGCAGTCGAGGGCGGACGAGGGAGCGCAGAGAGCGAGACTAGCGCCGCGCAGGGATTGTAGGAGGGGGGCGCCCCCGCTACTTACGTGGTGAGAGAAGTCGGCGTCCATGATGATCACAAAGGTGCCGGTACAGAACTCGAGGCCGTGGACGTAGGCGGTGCCCAGGCCGAGCTTGCCCGCCCGGGGTTTGAGGACGACCTTGTCGTCGCCGTATGTTTTTGCGAGCTGCCGCGCGATGTCTTGTGTGCCGTCTGGGCTTGCGTCGTCGACGACGATGATCTCCCAGTCGAGGCCGCTGGCGTGAGTTGGGGCGGGGGCGGGGGGATGGCAGAGGCTATGGCGTGTGCAGCTATGCCGCCAAACTGCTAGGCAGATAGGCAGCGAGGCAGCACTGGACTAGACTGCACGACTCGACTGCACAGACGCAACCCGACGCACTTGCTCTCAAATGTCCGCGCTAGCAGCCACGTAATGACGGGCAGGTTCTTACGCTCATTGTACGTCGGCAGGATGACCGAGTACTTGTCAGGTCCTGGCGTCAGTGGGAAGCCGTGCAGAGCCTCTATGCGCGCCCCGCCTCTGCACACCACCTCACCAGTTGTCGTTGTCGCGGGCATGTCGATGATGGTGTGCGCCATGGTGCGATGCAGCGACACCTCTCCCCGTCGCGTCCACGTCAAGCGCAATTGCTCCCGCCCACCTCCACTTGACTTCTCCATACGCGTCTCATCCGTCATCGACATTTCATACATCCACCATGACAGACTTCGTCACGCTCGAGTCGGCGGACGGGTACAGCTTCGTGGTGCCGCGCAATGTCGCGCTCGCGAGTCCGACGCTCAAGGCTATGTTGGACGAGGATGGTGGGTGAAGGGAGGGAGGGGCTGACGGCAGCCGCGTTCCAGGAGGCTGCGAGCCGCACCGCGAAGCTGCAGTATCGGTGAGATGGGCATGAGAGCCGGAGCAGGAGCAGGGGCATGAGGAACGGGAGCAAGAGCAGGAAGAGGACGAGGTCGGAGCTCACGCCAGCGGTATCATCATCCTCAAGGTCATCGAGTACCTTGCGTTCAAAGTCCAGTATGCCGACTTTGCATCGACCGACATCCGCGAGGACTTCCAGAGCAAGATCGACCCATACATTGCCCTCGAGCTGTGAGACACGCCCCGGACGCACTGACACCAGCCTCACAGCCGCCGACTACCTCGACATCTGATCGGGCTCTGCACCGCCTCAGCCCACACTGTACGACCACCATTGCATGTATTACTTCTCGGCGCTGCTTCACGGCGCCTTGCCGCGGTGCTTGAGCATGCTCTCCGCAACGCCCTTGCCCAGCAGCAAGTCGGCGCGGACCTTTTCATCGGCGTCGTGCGCCGGCCCAGCGCGCTTGATCACCTCCTCGGCCTGCTCGGGCCGCACGACGACCACGCCGTCAAGGTCCGCCACGACGATGTCGCCGGGGTGCACGGTCGCATCGGGGAAGGGGGGGTCCGCGTTGGGCGGAGCCACCTTGATCTCGAGAGGCACGTTGAGCGCGCGCACACGCGTGAATGTGCCCGGGCCTAGGGTTGAGTGGTGCCGCGCAAATACAGGAAAGTCGACGGCACGGTGCTCGTTCAGATCGCGGCAGCCGCCGTCGAGGACTGCGCCGGCCACACCCTTCGTCTTGGCGGCGGTCGACATGAGGCCGCCCCAGCAGCCGGAGCGGGTGCCTGACGTCAGCGGTGCGACGCTTGGGGGGGGGGGGGGACCTGTAGTTGTCCTGTCCTACGGCAACTCATCAGGCTGAAGCGACCGTCGAGGCGAGTCGGACAGTGCCTCGCACTGCTGCGTGGGAGCTAGTCACCGGTTGCCAGGGTTTCGGCCGAACTCACCCAGCGGCGTCTGCATGACGATAACGTGGCCGGGCGGGCACGCGTCCACGAAGTGCGTGTCGGGCTTGCTCTTATCGGGGTGGGAGGTGGGGACCATCTGATGTCAGCGGGGTGTGGGGGGTCGGAGAGGCGAGGGAGGGCAAGTGGGTACTGGGTGCGACGTCTGCAGCCGAGGTTTCATTCCGACTTTGGGCCTGCCCGGCGTCGCCCGGCGTCGCCCAACGACTCACCTCAACAGTGAACGCCGGGCCGGCGATGCGGGTCTCGCCGGCCTCGTAGAGCGGCGAATACATCTTGATGTCGGGAATGAGGCCGCCGTGCGCGACACCCATCTTGATGAGTGCGTCCGAGATCTGGTGTGAGCGGGGTACGTGTGGAGCAGGAGAGTTGGAAGGAGCTGGAACGCGTGGTGCCGGACAGCTAGCGGAAGTCAACGCAGTCGTCTGGTCGCTGTTGCCTGCGTCCAGCGCTGGCAGGGCCTGCCAGCGTCGATGACCTCCCGGTGAAGCTTGCTTCTCGCGGTTGCGCGCGCAAGCTCGCAAGCCTGCACGCCCGCAACCCACTACACTACCCACCTCGCACGTCGAGAGGTTGACGAGCCGCTTGGCAAGAGCTACGCCGGCCATGGTGTTTTCGAGCTGCCGTTTGTGGTGTGTCAGACGCGAGGCCATGAGTGTAACGCCAAGATCGAGATATCGGGTTATCTCAGGCAGAGTACCCGGGGGTGCATTCGTCCAGCACCCGAGGAGCCCAAGGGGTTCGCTCAGTACATGCTCCAGCCTCATCATGATTAGTTTCCAGTCCTCTGCATGCATGCTCTTGCTCATGCTCTTGCTAATCGCTCTTGCTCAACGCTCTCGCTCTCGCCGTCTGCACCTCCACATCCACCTCCACTCACAGCTTATCCGGCCCCGCCACAAGAAGTTCTCCGTCATGTTGTCATGTTGACGCTCCCCCTCGACACTTCACCCATCATGTCGAGGATAGAAATCTTGAATTTGGCCGGTACGTGCGCCGCACCCGCCGCATGCGCCGCTGACACCAGGGCTGCGGCACGACAACCGGCGGCCGTACGAGCTGCGCGCGTGCGCGTTCACGCTCGCCGCACACCCGCAAGCGGACGGGAGCGCGGGCGCCACGCAGGGCCTCACGCACGTCCAGGCGTCGGTGTATGGCCCGCGGGAGCCGCGGCAGCGCAGCGGCGCCGCGCACGACCACGCCGTCGTGAGCGTCGAGGTGGGCGTTGCGCCGTGGGCGCAGGGCGCGTTTGGGCGGGGCAAGAGCCGAGGGGATAAGTGAGTTGGGGGGGGGGAGGGGGGAAAAGAGAGCTGACGCCAGACGCCTTGTCGAGATCGCCGCGGCCATCCGCCAGACATTCGAACCCGTGATCCAGCTGCAGCTGTATCCGCGCTCCGAGATCGCGATCCACGTACAGGTCCTCCAAGCTGATGGCGGTGAGTGTTCCGCGTTGCGGCGCTTACGCAGGCATCCTCCCGACGGCGATCAACGCGGTGACGCTCGCGCTGATCGACGCGGGCGTCGCGCTGCTCGACTACGTCGCGGCCGTGTCTGTGGGGCTGCACCTCAAACAGGCGTTGCTGGACCTGTCGGCGCCCGAGGAGAGCGACCTCCCCGCGCTCGTGGTTGCCAGCCTCCCGTCCAGCGGGAAGGTGACGCTCGCGCAGATGGAGACGCGGTTGCATGTCGACCGGTTCGAGGATATGCTGCGGCTCGGCGTGGATGCGTGTGCGGTCATCAAGGGCGAGATGGAGAGGGTGGTCAAGGCGCATACGCGTAGTGTTGTCGAGCGCATGGGGGCGGCGACGGTCGTCGCGCAGCCGCAGGATTAGTGTACGATATGCAGGTGTGCGAGAGAAGCCACGGCGTTCGTGAAGGGGTCGAGAAGGAGGGGTGACAGACTCTGACTCTGGTGAAAGTGGCAGCACCACCTCCGCCTGTGCTAACAGTATGACATGCATGAAACCAATACCTAAAGAAACGGCCAAAGCCATGCTACATAATCTTCGTGCACATGATGGATATTACGCGACAAGCGCACGCAAGCTCTTGTCAAAGCTCTCGGTTGCGCTCTCCTGCAGCAAGTGCAGGCGGTCCTTGTCGAGCAGCAAGTCCGAGACGGGCGGACGTGGCATGTACCCTGCACAGTGCATGTCGCTCGCGAACGCCTGCAGCGTGCCGAGCATGCCCGCGAGGCTCGCGACCTGGCGCACGTCGGTGCGGTCCGGGAAGAGCGAGGGGAGGAGCTGGAGTACGCGTGGGATGTTTTCCGCCAGCGCGCGCAGCTCGGCGGCTTCGCGCGGGTCGGGGTGGGCGCCGGAACGCCGGGCCGCCGCCAGGAGCGGCGTGGTGCGCTCCCGGATGTTGAGGTAGTCGAGGAACAGCTTGCCACCGTACTCCCAGCCTTCGGGGCGCAGGGGCTCAAGCTCCTTGCACAGATGCAGAAGAAGGTCGGGGTCGTCACGCAGCACGGCCTCGGGCGCAAGCTTGGTCACGAGCGTGCGCTGGGCGCGGTCGGCGAGCCCCGCGGGAATCAGGTCCCGGTACTCGCTGTAGGCGTTGCCCTGCGATGCGAGGTGGGCGGCGCGCGCCTCGTGCAGCCACTCGCGCGGAATGCGGAGCTTGTCGACGAGGAAGATCTGCTCGATGGGAGTGGGCTCTGGGTGCCGGAAGAGGAGTGCCTTGAGCGCGGCGCGGCGGCTGTCGGCATACGCGAGGTGCAGAAGGACATAGGCAGCCCAAGTCCACTGCCCCTCCTCCTCGAGCTGCGCGGCGTATGATTCTGTCATGCGGTTCGCTGTCGCACTGTAGCGTATGCCCGACCCGTCGGCCTCCTCACGGTCGGCAAAGTCACGCTTCTGCAGAGCCTGCGACAGGAGGAAAGAGATGTGCCAGGGAAGGCGCACATCCGTGGGGCTGGCGCCGCAGTCACGCGACGTGACGACCTCCTCAAGAGAGATCGTGCGGTCCGCGTACATCTTGATAAGGTTGAAGAGGACGTCGGTGGGCTCGGTAGGCATTTCCCAGCGGTTCCGGGCATCCGGCTGCTCAAGGTAAGGCGGGAGAGGCTTTGACGGAGGGTGGGACGACGAGAGCGCCTCGGTGTAGTACTGGAGGACGTCGGCGACGCCGAGCTCGAACGGGCACGCGTGCCAGAGGTACAGCCCGAAGGCGCGCTTCCAGTCCAGGTTCTCGTTGACAATCACGTCTGGTGCGTGGTCGGCACCGCGCTCGGGGTTGCCCTTGGACACGTTGGGGATGCCAGAGAGCAAGGCGTAGATCTTGCGATACGTGTACCCGATGAGCGAGTTGGTTTTGTACTTGGTCCAGTCTTCGAGCTGGCGGCGCACCTCTGCGCGGAACTCATCCGTGCTACCTGCCTGCGAGACAAGCGTTGCGAGACGCAAGTCGTTGCCGTCTAGTGCTGACTGCATGGCGCGGTCGATCCGGTTGCCAGTCAGGAGCGCGAACACTTTCGCAGGCCTGTCGTCGCCAGCTTTGGCAAGGTCGGCGTCCATGGCGGGCGCTACGGCGTCCTCGAGCCACTTGGAAAGCGCAAGCTTACGGCGCATCTCGGCTACACGGCTGCTGATGTCCTCCGGCGTGCTAGGGGAAAGCTTGAGGTCGACCTCGTCGAAGAGTGCCTGGCCCAGGCGCCAAAGATTAGCCTCGTGGGAGCGATCGCTGCTGTCGAAGAGTTTGGCAAAGTCCTTGAAGCGAATGTCCGTGTTGGTAATTGCCTCAGGAACCTTGTCCTCGTTCACGTCCACCTCGGTGTACTCGAGCAGAAGGGACAGTAGCCGGTCGGCGCGAGCCCGTTCAACTGCCTGCGACTCGGCCAGCAAGGCAACCTGCTGGACATATACGACGGCGTCGGGAGACGACTCGAACTCAGTCGTCGGAGAGCAGATCTTGCCCATGTGGACAAGCTCGCCGTTGGGACCCCAAGAGCACCTGAACGAGCGGCCCAATGCCAAGCCGGCATCAGGACGCACTCCTTCGTTGCCAGCCACGAAACTCTGGTCCAGCGGGACCTTGGCATACTTGCGCGGCTGGCGCAGCTGGGGCGGGCGGGAAGACTCGCCGAAGGAGGCGCGCTTGACAGCCCGGTCGTCAAGCCTCGCTACACCCTCCTCGGCAATCTCAAAACCCGCCTCGGCGCGCTTGCGCTCGAGCGCCTGGCGGATCTCGTTGGCCTTCTGCTCGGCAAGCGTCGGGCGTTTGGACTTTGTCTCCTGCGCGCCAAAGAATGCCGACTGCATCTCGCGCAGGCGCTGCATGCCCTGCGCACCGAGCTTGCTCTTGATGGCGCGGTAGGCGTCGGGCTCGTCCTCGTACTCGTCCTCGTACTCGGCCCCCGAGTCCATCATGTCGTCCTCGTCGTCGTACGACATCTCCGTGTCCTCCGAGCCGCTGTCGTGCTGGTCCGAGCTGGCGTCCATGTCATACAGGCTCTTCGTGGGAGGAAAGCCGTCCACATCCTCGTCGGAGTAGACTGAGGGTGACTTCTCCGGGAGCGACTTGGACTTGTTGGGGCTTGCCGAGTCAACACCTTCGTCCTCATCAGTCTCGTCGTCGCTGGCGTCCAAACCGTAGCGACTGAAGTGCTCGACGCGGAAGGTCCAGACGCCGTCCTTGAAGCCAATGAACTCCGTCTCCGGTACAGCCTGGATGCGCTTGAGCTGGCGCTTGTACCGCAGGTCGTTGGGGTCGGTGACAGGCTGGCGGGTCGCCTTGTCGCGCGCCCAGACGTTCTCAAGCGAGACCTCGGCGGGAACATTGAGGCCCTTGCCCCGAGGAGGCTTGTCGGTCTCGTCGGGGTAGACGGTGAGCTCGAGCGAGTCGAAGACGATGATGCCACCGAGAAGGTCGTTGAGCGACGGAAGGCTGGTCAGGTCGACGGGCTCGAGGAAGGTGACTTCGCCGTACTCCTTGCGACCGACAGTGAAGTTCGGGAGGGAACGGAGCTGGTCGTGGTCCATGGTCTTGAGCTTCTCAAGTTTGGGGCGGCACCAGTAGTCGCCCTTCTGCAGAGGACGCGCAGAGGTACCGGCGTTCGACAGCGACACCTCCATCTGGGCAGGACGGCGGGTGGGCGTGTCCTCGATTGCCTGGCGCGACGATGAGGCAAGGGGTCCAGGGCTGCGAGGGGAAAAGTCGGGGGTGGGCGCGACAGAGCTGCCGTTCGCAGAGCTACGCAGACCAGACTTGCCCAGGACGGACTCGAGCGGGTCCTCGCCACGCCCGTTCAGAGTCGTGCGGCCAGGAGCAACGGTTATCTTCTTGACGCTGGGACGCGGGATGAAAGCATTGGGGGAGAGAGCGGCGTCAGTCAAGCCCATGTAGCGCTCGGTGACCACCGGCGACCCGATGAGCGACGAGGTTCGGGACGAGCTTGGGATCGGACTCGACAACTTCGGAGAGGTGGTCGACCCGTTAACGGACGAGGTGGCGAAACCTCTCAGCTTGGCCAAGCGGTTGCCCTTGCTCGGGGAGGGGCGGTACGCTGACGCGGTGAGAGGCGGCAGGGCCGGCTTCTTGGTCGAACTGCCGAGCTCAAGCTTCTGGCCCGAGTACTGGAACAGGTCGTTGCGGCCATATGGGTTCTGGTCGACCGAGGCGGTGAGGGATGGCTGCTGCTGCTGCTGGTTGTTGAAGGTCGACTGGCCGAGAGTGCTGCCGAAAAGGCCGCCAGATTGACCGAGGGTGGACTGCTGCTGGGCAGGCTGAGCGCTGCCAAAGAGGCTGGTGGTAGGCTGGGCCGTTGTGGTCGACTGCCCGAGACTTCCAAAGAGCCCGCCGCCGGTGTTGGCAGCTGGCTGCTGCTGCTGCTGCTGACCGAAGAGGCCGCCGCCGCCGCCAAACAAGCTCGGCTTCGGGGCAGTCGAAGCGGTGTTTGAGCCAAACAAGCCGCCGCCGGTGTTGGTGGTCGCCGCGGGTTGCCCAAAGCCACCGAAGCCAGTGGTGGTTGTCTGTGCGGGTTGAGCCGGGGTAGAGCCGAAGAGGCCACCGGTGGTGGTCGCTGGCTTGGCACCGAAAAGGCCGCCGCCGGCATTGGCGGTGCTGGTGTTGCCAAACAGGCCGCCGCCGGTGGCCGCGGGCTGCGCCTGCTGCTGCTGCCCGAACAGACCACCGCCAGTGTTTGTCGCGGTGTTTGTCTGGCCAAACAAGCTGGTCGTCGGCTGTGTTGTGTTGGTGTTGGTCTGGCCGAACCCGCCGAAGCCGCTTGTCGTGCCCGTAGCGGGTGTCGAGCCAAAGAGACCGCCAGGCTTGGCAGCCGCCGTGTTGCCAAACAGTCCTCCGCTCTGCTGCTGCTGGTTGTTCTGCTGACCAAAGAGGCCGCCTCCGGTGTTGGTCTGCGTGTTGGTCTGACCAAAGCCGCCAGAGCCGCTACCGAACAGGCCGCCGCCGGTGTTCTGGGCCGGCTGCTGCTGCTGCTGTTGCCCGAAGCCGCCAAAGCCGGTTGTGGTGCCAGTGGTGTTGGTCTGCCCGAACGTGCTCGTCCCTGAGCCAGTCCCGAAGCCGGTGGTAGTCGCCCCAAACGCGGGCTTGTTGGCTGCGGCGCCGAAGCTGCCAAAGCCAGTGGTGGCAGGCTGCTGCTGCTGCTGGTTCTGGCCGAAGGGGTTAGAGTTGCCGAAAAGGCCGCCGCCAGTGTTCTGCGGCTGCTGCTGGGTCTGGCCGAACAAGCCACCGCCGGTGTTGGTGTTTTGGGCGCCAAACCCAGTGGTGGCAGTGTTAGTCTGGCCAAACAAGCCGCCGCCAGTGTTGGTTTGAGCGCCGAAACCGCCAGAGGTGGACCCGAAACCGCCGGTCGTGGTGCCGGTGCTGCCGAAAAGACCTCCAGGCTTGGGGGCACCGAATGTCGATGTCGAAGCCGCGGGCTGTCCGAAACCGCTCGTAGTTGCGCCGAACCCGCCCGAGGCCTGGCCAAACCCAGTGGCCGCGGGCTGCGCGGGCTGCGCGGTTGGCTCTTTGCGGCCCTGCTGGTAGTCGAGCATGCGCAGCTCCTCAAAGCTGCCGCCGCGGTAGGGCTCCATAGCGGTGATCACGTGGAAGAGGTGCGCAGGCATCTCCTTGCCCAAGCCCTGCGCTGGGTCGCGCTGCCATGTCGGCTGGTAAGGGGGCTGGGCGGTGCCGGTCTGGGGAATGGGGGGAGGGGGGTTGTTGTTGTACATGTGCACCTGGTTGCTGGGCTGATTGGCCTGGGTACTGGCGGCGCCAAACCCGCCCGTGCTGCCGCTACCGAATGTCGAGGTCGTTGTGCCAAAGCCCGAGGGGCGCGAGCCAAACAGGCCGCCCGTGGACGCGGTGTTTGTTGCGCCGAACGCATTGGTGGTGTTCGTGTTGGACGAGCCGAAAAGACCACCACCACTCGTGGTGGCGGTGCCCCCGAACGGTGTCGAGCCAGTAGCGCCAAATGTAGGCCGCGCACCAAACGTGCTTGTCGAAGCGGTGTTTGTGCCGAAGCCGCCAGAGCCTGCCGTCAGCGCCGTAGATCAGAAGAGCTCACCAAAGCCGCCGCCAGTGTTGGCACTAGCGCCAAAGAGGCCACCGCCCGTGTTCTGCTGCTGCTGAGGTTGTCCAAAGCCGCCCGTTGTGGCAGCCTGGCCAAATCCTATTGTCAGTGCCGTCGGCCCCGCGCGCATCCACGTACCAGTGTTCTGCTGCTGTCCAAACGTCGAGCCACCACCAAACAGGCCGCCGCCAGTGTTCTGCTGCGGCTGCTGCTGGTTGTTCTGGCCCCACGCCGAGTTGCCAAACATAGTGTTTAGAGTGGGGTGTACCTGGGGAAGAGGTGCTTAGGGGATGCACGCGCGCTCAGTGCTCGCCGCAAGCGTTGTGGGTATCAAGAAGCCGACGCGCCTGCCGAGCTGGAGCGTTGAATGCTGTGGACTCTTCAGCGCAGAGGCGACTGGCAAGTGGGAGGAGATGATTGTGAAGTGGGGGGGGCTTCGAAGTTGTGGTGCACCATCAATCAACTTGCGGAGACCTCTGCACGCTGGGCTTGCGCCTGCGGCGTTACGGCGTCATTGCCACATGGCACCATGTGGCTATTGGGTGGCAAATGGATGTTTGTGACAATGTGTCGGCGAAGTCGGTCGTGCGCTTGGGATGGCCATGCATCCATTCTGTACTGCTCGTGCATCGACGAGAGAGTGTCTTGGAGGGCTCGACTTTGCAGCAACCTTGTATGGATTCATGTTCCATGTTCCAGTCTATTGTCGCCTGAGGATGTGGTGAACAGGGCGATAATGCCACGGCCACATTCCAGCTCACGAATTACCGCTGAGGTTATCATGCGGCGAAGGCACTGCCCTCGAGGCGTGCCGAGTTTCAACAGTTATTGATCGCGACTCATGCCCACAACCTCTTGACATCCCGCTTCCCCATACCAGCGAGCTCGGCGCTCTGACAACTGCGCGGGAGCGTTACGTAAATCGCGCATTTGCGAAAATACCGCGGCGGCTTGGCGTGTTGACGTCGTCGACGTCTCCCACTCTCTCCGGCATGAGCTACGCGAACCCGCTCGCGGGCGAGGAGTACGAGCTAGCCCCGAGCGCGAGCGCTGGTGCGAGCGCGAGCACCAACGCGCCGTTGGAGCGCAAGACGAGCCGCGGGCGCAAGCTCACGCTGCACCCGAACCAGAGCACGCTGCTCTTCGCGGGGCCGGCGCGGCGGCGTGGCGCGCGGCGCGCGAGCTCGAACTTGGGCGCGCCAGACTCGCCCCGCGAAGCAAAGTATAACCGCACCTTCTTCCTACAAGAGGACTTGGACCAGCTGGGCCCGGACCGCGAAGAGGTCAACCTGCCCGACTTTGGGCATATGCTGGGGCTGGATGTCGGCGAAGACCATTTCGCCGTGGCCGCGGCCATGCGCAGCGCGTGGAAGCGCAAGCTGTACCTCCTCATGGAAGAGCCGAGTTCGGGGCGCGAGGCGTTCTTCGTGCATGTCGCCGTGACGGCGGCGATATTCTTCAGCGTGATCCTCACGACGTTTTCGACGCTGCCGGCGTTCCACACGAACCCGACGTCTGTGCGCGTGCTCTTCGCGTTTGACACGACCATCGTCGTGCTCTTTACGGTGGAATACCTCGCGCGTACATTCGCACACGCCGACTCGTGGGGCCAGTACTACAAGTGGGCGACGAGCTTCTTCGCCGTCACGGACCTGCTCTCGATCCTGCCGTACTACATTGAGCTGGCGCGGCAGGAGGACACGTCGATCCTGTTCCGCTTCAGCATCTTGCGCACGTTCCGCCTCCTCCGCGTCTTCCGCGCGTTCCGGTACCAGAGCCAGATGCTGCTGACCATCGAGGTCATGTACGTGGCTGTGCGGCGGTCCAAGGACGCGCTGGTGGCCATCTCGTATTTCATCTTTCTCGTGCTCGTGCTCTTCTCGACGCTCATATACTTTGCGGAGCGCGGGACATGGGACGCGACGCTCGGCGCGTTCGTCGACCCCGACGGCGACGTGTCGCTCTTCGACTCGATCCCCCAGACAGCATGGTACGCGCTCGTGACGATGAGCACGGCGGGGTACGGCGACGTGGTGCCGAAAACCGCGCTGGGCAAGATCCTCTCCGTCCCGCTCCTCCTCTTCGGCTTGCTGCTCATCGCGCTCCCCTCCTTTGTCCTCGGACGCAACTTTGCCATAGTCTACGACGCAATGGTCTCGTTCCAAGCACAAGCTGTGAGTCTCCTCGTAGCGTATCTCACGCCAGCCATCATTGCAACAGACGCCGCGCGGCTCGCTGGACCTCGACACGCACGACGGCACCATGACGCCCGTGGCGGAGGAGGCGGGCCCGCTCCTCCCCGCGCCGAATACGGTGCGGAGAGGCGCGTCGCCGAACCCCGCGCGCATGTGGCCCGGGGACCCGAGTAAACTTACCCCGCCAGTCCCCACCGTGCCGGGGATACCATCGGCCAAGCCGGCGCGCGATAAAGATCTGACAAACACGAAGCTGGCCAAGAACCAGTATGTGCTGTTGGAGCAGATCGAGGGGCTGCGGCAGACGGTGGAGACGCAGGGCGAGATGCTGGGCGTGTTGATGCGCGCGTTGGCAGAGAAGAATGGGGTGGAGATGCCGTTGGAGAAGGGCAAGGGGCGGGCGGGGAGCGATGCTAGCGACCAGAGGCCGTGGGAAGAATAGTGCGCGGGGTAGACGTAATAGTGCGTACCCGTAGACATTACGCAGAGGCTGTATCGGTGGAGAGACGATGAGCTGGTGGTCCTGGTGGATGATGACCAGTAGTGGAGATAATGATCATGGCCGGGTATACGACCCTCAGGCACAAGATTGTCAGATACGTGGAGCGTTCAGGCACCATCGCTCATCATCGGAGCGAGACACGTGGGATTGTGCAATCAGCTTCCGCGACCCACGCCATGTCCATGGACGATCGTGACGACGCGAGGCCATCTCCGCTCCGTGCGCCGCTGCTCCATTGCTGCATCGCTCCACCCCTGGCCATCGTCACGGTCACGGACACCGGCCGGTGCCGGTGGGCCATGGCGCCGGGTCAGACGCTATGGGGCACGTGCTGGAGCTACGCCGGCCATGACAAGGCGGAATGGCGCAGACGCAGTCGGCGCTGTGGCGGCGGCCGGCTTGGGCCAATCCACGCAGCGCCGTTGCAGCGTCCATCTGACGCTGGAGTGGATGGGGGCGGGGCCCACGATATGGTGTGGTGGCGTACCCCGCAGCAGCTGGGCGATGGAATTGGCATGGAGGAGGAAGCATCTTATCTTGTGGTGATGGATTGCCGCCCCAGAGGCGGGCGTCGGGCGTCGGGCGGAGGCATGAGGCATATTACAGTACAAGAGGCGATGAAATCTGATAAACCGAGCGGGGAGGGGTGTGGGGGTCGGCGCGGGCGCCCACGCCGGGTCGTGGTGATGTGATGATGAAGATGGTGACCGTATGACCGTGGCAAGGTTCATGATGGTTGCTCTGACGCAAAAGAGAGAGCACGTGGCAGTTGGGTGGGATGCAAGTGGGCCAAGTGGAGTCGGCGTAATACGGACGGGGGGGAGGAGCGTGGGTGGCACAAGGGCACAAGGGGGAATCCGAGGGGAGGATCCCCACAACTTTGGGTTTTGATCGAGGGCAGTCGACTTGGACATGGGTGTGGCGTGGGCCAGTCCGACCTTGCCTCCCATAAAAGCATGCTCCGAGTCCATCTCCCTCTCCATCCATCTCCCTCCTCCCTCCTCCCTCCTCCTCTTTCTCTCTTTCTCTCTCTCTCTCTCCGCGAGCACGACTTGACGCCGCGTCTCGACGAATCCGAAACCTCCCCCCCACCACCCCCCAAACCCCCCCTTCTCCATATCCTCCGAAATCCGCGCAAGAAACCCAAGTGGCACATAGGCCATCTCGCCACCATGTCCGCTTCCACAAAGCAGGCTGCGACCACCGTCGCTCAGCCATCGGGCAAGCCCGTCACCAACGTGATTGACCCCGAGCGCGACGACTTTATCGTTCCCGACAACTACGTCACCCGCACAGTCGAGAACATGAAGATGCTCCCCCCCGTCACATGGCGCAACCTCCACAAGAACATTCAGTGGATTTCCTTCCTTGCCCTCACCATCCCCCCCGCAATGGCCATCTACGGCCTTTGCACCGTCCCAGTCCAGACAAAGACTTTTATCTGGTCTGTCGTCTACTACTTCATCACTGGTCTCGGCATCACCGCCGGCTACCACCGTCTTTGGGCCCACCGCTCCTACAACGCTTCAAAGCCACTCCAGTACTTCCTCGCCCTTGCTGGCGCAGGCTCGGTCCAGGGCTCGATCAGATGGTGGTCCCGCGGCCACCGCGCCCACCACCGCTACACCGACACCAAACTCGACCCCTACTCGGCTCACGAGGGCTTCTGGCACGCTCACATGGGCTGGATGCTCATCAAGCCTCGCGGCAAGATCGGTGTCGCTGACATTTCCGACCTGAGCAAGAACCCCGTCGTCAAGTGGCAGCACAACAACTACGTCGCCCTCCTCTTCTTCATGGGTCTCGCTTTCCCCACTCTTGTCGCTGGTCTCGGCTGGGGAGACTGGTGGGGCGGCCTCTTCTTCGCCGGTGCCGCTCGCCTCGTCTTTGTCCACCACTCGACCTTTTGCGTCAACTCGCTTGCCCACTGGCTCGGTGAGACCCCCTTTGACAACAAGCACACCCCCAAGGACCACTTTATCACCGCGCTTGTCACCGTCGGCGAGGGCTACCACAACTTCCACCACCAGTTCCCCATGGACTTCCGCAACGCCATCAAGTGGTACCAGTACGACCCCACAAAGTGGTTCATCTGGACCATGGCTCAGCTCGGCCTCGCCTCGCACCTCAAAAAGTTCCCCGACAACGAGATCAAGAAGGGCCAGTACACCATGAAGCTCATGCAGCTTCAGGAGCAGTCTGAGAAGCTCGAGTGGCCCAAGCACTCGAACGACCTTCCTGTCATCTCGTGGGAGGACTTCCAGGCCGAGTCCAAGACCCGTGCACTCATTGCCGTTCACGGCTTTATCCACGACTGCTCGTCGTTCATTGAGGACCACCCCGGAGGCGCCCACCTCATTAAGCGCGCGATCGGCACCGACTCGACCACTGCCTTCTTTGGTGGTGTCTACGACCACTCCAACGCCGCCCACAACCTTCTCGCCATGATGCGCGTCGGTGTTCTTGACGGCGGCATGGAGGTCGAGCACCTCAAGGTTGGCCGCCTCACCCGCTCCAACTCGGCAGACTCGCTCGTCTCGGACGCGCCTTCCAGCGCATCCTCGACCGTGTCGGCGTCGTCGATCCTCTCCGAGGTCGAGGACATGGACAAGCCCGAGCGCAAGCCCGTCTACCAGCCGGTCGCCCAGGTGTCCAACCCCTGGACGCTCGCCGTGCCTCCTTCGGAGAAGTATCGCATCATCCGCACGTCCCCCGAGATCCGCCCAGGACTCATCTCGCGCATCCAGAGCGCCGCCTCGCCCAGCCTCACACGGGCAGCGAGCTTTGACGCTCCTGTCGCGCCTTAGAGCTTTTTCTGTTGAGCACCCGGGTTTCCACTAGAGAGATTGTGCATACCATCCTCCGAAAAGCGACGTCACGTCAAGACGAGGACCACTGCTGGCTGTAACGTGTTCGCATCACCCAATCAATATCTGCATCGTAACATCACATGTCCCTGTCGAGGACTTTCCATCGCTTTTATAGCACCTTCTTTTGTATCACGACAAATTGCTCTTTGTGAGCGATATGCAACAAGTGTGAATAGTGAACAGTAGTGTAGTACTACTCGTAGAGTAGTGAGAGCCAAGACTAACACATCTATGGTCTACTTATGGGAAGTGGTCTGGTCGATGAGAAACTATGGTAAATGCAACTCGGCCATCCCTCTCAAGCTCAACCTCCCTGGACTATTCTGAGGCCTCGATGCCTCGGCCATCATACTCTTGCCACTCGTCGACGACGTGGTCTCTGGCCGTGCGTGCGGTAATACTGTCCTCTCCCTGGACTAGTATTCTTGAATCAATGCAAAATAGATATGACGTCAGGCACGCGCGCCCTCGGCGCTTCGAGATCTCGCATCTCTCGCTTCCTCCTCGCTTTTGTCAATCTACGCGTCACTCGTATCTCTCACGCCTCTCGCTTCGGTTTCCTCTTGCTCGCGCGCACAATGTTTGCCCGCAGCATCCTCGGCGCGCGCCGGCTAGCTCTAGCAGCGCCGCCGCGTCTCTCCGCACCCCCAGGTCTCGGTCTCACACTCACTCTAGCGCGCGGCTTCACCACGTCGCCACCGCGCCTCACGCCGCGCATTCCGTCCCGCTTCCCGCCCTCCTTCTTCCGGTCCCATGCATTCGCTCAGTCCCGTCCTACACCCCGCCGCGCCAAGTGGACGTATGCACGCTACGGCCTCGTCTCGCCGACGTTTGCGCACAAACACCCCTGGCTCGCCTCCGTCCTCCGCCTCTTCCTCGCCGTCATGGTCGGCTCCTCCGTCCTCCTCCTCATCGTCCTGATCCACGACGCATCGACCTACTCACAGAAACACATCGACCGCGTACCTGTCAACCCCCTGGCGCTGTCGCCGCGCCGCGGCGGGCCCAAGAACCTGCCGATCATCGAAGTCAACATTGACGACAAGGAGAGCGACGAGAAGGCGCGCTGCGAGGGCAAGCCCCGCCTCATCATCCTAGGCGGCGGGTGGGGGGTGCGTCATTCCGCGCGCTCATCCGCGAACGAGCTGACTCCAGGCCGTCTCGATCCTCAAGACCCTTCCTCCGACAGCATACAACGTCACGCTGATTGCTCCGGACAACTACTTCTGCTTCACGCCTCTTCTGCCCTCGGCCTGCGTAGGGACCGTCGAGCCGCGGTCGCTTGTTGAGCCTCTCCGCCGCCTCGTCGCCCGTGTCCACGGCCACTTCTTGCAGGGCGCGGCCGTCGACATCTGCATGTCTGAGCGCCTCCTCGAGGTCGAGGTGCCGACTGAAGACGGGCCGATGCGCGCTTACGTTCCGTACGACAAGCTCGTGATTGCCGTCGGGTCGCGGTCGAACGACCACGGCGTCAAGGGCCTCGAGCACTGTTTCCAGCTCAAGACGATTCCCGATGCGCAGGCGATCCGGCGTCAGATCATGAGTACGTGTAGTGGCGGCATTCAGCTGCTGATTCCAGTGAACCTCGAGACGGCCTCGCTTCCCACCACGACGCCCGAGCAGCGCAAACATCTCCTCTCGTTTGTGGTGTGTGGCGGCGGACCGACTGGCGTCGAGTTCGCGGCCGAGCTCTCGGACATGCTCAACGAAGATGTACTCGCCTACGTGCGTTGGGCGGGTGACGTGAAACTGACAACAGTACCCCAAGATCCTGAAAGGCGATATGACGGTGACGATTATCCAGAGCCGCGACCATATCCTGAACACGTACTCGGAGAAGATTTCGGACTATGCGGAGAAGCACTTCCAGCGCGAGGAGATTGATGTGGTTACGAACGCGCGCGTGAATGAAGTTACGCCCAAGTCGGTGCGCATCACCATCAAGGAGAAGGACGGCTCGATCCGCGAGGCCGAGCTTCCCGCCAGCATCGTGTTGTGGAGCACGGGGATTGGTAAGCCTACTCGCAGCGGCGGTGTAGCTGATCGTAGCGATGCAGCCGTTCACACGGCAGATGGTAGAGCTCCTGCCTAACCAGTTCCACTCCAAGGCCGTGCAAGTGGACGCGTACCTGCGCGTCGAAGGCGCCCCGAAGGGCTCGATCTATGCGATTGGCGACGCGGCGACGATCCACCTCAACATGCTTTCGGACCTGCTTCTGATCTGGGAGCAGTTTGACGAGAACAGAGACGACAAGCTGACCTACGACGAGTGGGCGCTCATGGCCGAGCACATCAAGAAAAAGTACCCCTTGACGAGCGACTACCTCGCGCAGATCCGAGACGTGTTCAGAGAGTTTGACACGGACGGTCGCGGCCACCTCTCTCTCAACCAAGTCGCGGACATGTTCATCAAGATGAGCTCGAAGGCCACCGCGCTGCCGGCGACAGCGCAAGTCGCGTCGCAGCAGGGCGAGTACCTCGGCCACATGTTTGGTCGGCTCGCGCGCCAACGCAAGACGCTGCAAGCTAATGACATTGACAACCTCGACGACGAGGCGTACTACCACCCCTTCAAGTACCGGAATCTCGGGACGCTCGCGTACATCGGCAACTCGGCCGCATTCGATATCGGGGGATACGGGAGCGCGGGCGGCCTGCTGGCCATGTACGCGTGGCGCAGCGTGTACTGGAGCATGCAGGTGTCGATGCGCACGCGCTTCATGCTCATGCTGGACTGGGTGAAGCGTGGGTTGTTTGGGCGTGACTTGTCGAAGTTTTAGCTCGTCTACGCTTGTAGATGTATGCATCGGCGCGCCATAGGCCCGTCCGTGGCTGCACGCTTCATCCAGTAATACCGGTGTGCGATCCCCGCGCCGACCCGGAGTAACGCTCACCAAGTACGAGGCTATCGCCGCGCCGCCCACCGCGGCCGCCCCTTGGGCGTCGGCTGGAGCTTGCGGTCCAACTCCTTGATCGCCCGCTCGACCGTCTCGCAGATCTCGTGGAACGGGGCGTCATGTATAGCCGGATTGAGCACGAACGAATACACGCGCGCATGCGAGAGGGGCGGCGCGCCCTCGCTGCGATTCGTGACGTGCGCCCACGCCGCGAAAAAGCGGCACCTGCACCGCCGGCGCTCGACGCTGAGCCGGCTCACCCGTGCTTTGGGGACGAGGACGAAGATGCGTGCGCTGGCGGGGGTGTCGGGCGTGCCGGGGCGGGGGAAGGCAAACCCCGTGCCGGCGCGCGCGTCCGCGCTGCGCCGCGCCCAGTGTGCGCGCTCGCGCGGCTCGAGCCCGTCGGGCGCCGCCCACCCCGGCGAGCCGGGGGTGCGGCGCAGGCGCGGCGCGAACGGCGGTAAGGGCAGCGCGCCGCCGCCGGGCACGTGCGACGCCGGGATCGACATGCCCGTGAAGAGGGCGTAGCGGACCGACACCTTTTCCGCGCGGCGCGCGTTCGCGGCCGCGATCGTGTTCTCAAAGTCGGCCGGGAGGGCGGTGAACTGGCGTCAGCGAGCGCAGTGAGCGCGACGATCGACACGAGATATAAGCGGCAGAGGAGAGATGAGATACACGCGGCCATACAACCCACCTTGGCCGCGTCGAGCGGCGGGAGCCGGCTCGTGTCCCAGTCCCGCCATGTGCCGCCGCGCCCCCAGTCCGACGCCGGCTCCGGCGCAAGCGTGCGCGCGCGCTCGCGGTCCCGCGCGCTCTGTTGCCGCCGCCACTCGTCTGGCGGGGGGCGGGCGGGGGAGAGGGGTGCGGCTTGAGGCAAGAAAGCTCGCGGCGGGAAAGCTTGCGGCGACGGCAGCACCGGCACGTCGTCGTCCACCCTTGCGTCGTCGCGGAGCTCGAGGTCGCCCGCTTCGTCGGCCAGCATCGCGTCGCGCGCGGGGCTCGGCCGCGAACCCGTCACGATGTGCGCGAGCGCGCCGGGGCGCACGGCCGCGAGCTTGGTGCGTGGGCTGCGGGGCGGGGGGCGCGGGGTGCGGCCCGCCAGGTCGGCGCGGTCGCCGCGACGCGGAGGGGGGGAGGGGGGGTGGCGCGAGTATGTGCGCGCGGATGGCCCGGCGGCGGCGGCGGCGGCGAGGCCGCGCGGGCGGAGGAGGCGCGCGTAGGAGAGCATGCTGGTGGACAGTCAGAGATCGAGGTCCAACTTTGTGACCTCCACCATCTGTGGACGTGCTGTGGGGCACGTGCGCAGGCCTCCGCCTCACAGCGCTGTTCGTCTCACGTGATTGTTTCACAGGTGCATCTATGGCCGGCGGTACTTGCGTACATGAAACCCGTCTTTGTCTCCCAGCGCCGCGGCTACGGCGTCTGGCGACGCGTCTTTGGTCTCTTCGACGTGCAGGTCGGCGACCTTGGCGGCAGGCGGGCCGCGGCGGAGGAACAACTTGCTGCCGTCAGCGGCACCAGAGACCGCTCACAACTTGGCAATCGCGTCGGGCGGCCCAGCTGCAGCGCCTTCAACGCTGGCGTCGGGGTGGTTGTGGCACCACCCGCGGATACCGAGAGTTTGGGCTCTGGCATTAGGTGGCTGGTGGGGCTCGAGTGGGGCCAGTGGGGCTAGCTCGGGAAGTAGCGTGGAAGTATGCAGCTCTGAAGGCGACAACCATGGCAGCACCACGCAGCTCAGCTGATGCCAGAGTTAAACTCAAGGCACACCGGTATCTTTCGGTATTTCAACCACGACACCTCCGCACCCCCGCGAACGGACACCCCGACGTCACTCGCGCAAGGCGGAAGATGGCCGCTGCAATCAAGGCTGTGCTGCACGAGCTGATTGTGGGTAGATTGCAGCCGACGCGCACGAGCCAGTCGCCCATGCGCAAGATGTAGCTGCGGCTGACGCGACGGCTCGGCTACGCGACAGCTTGGGCATCCGTCACCACGCTGGACGCAGCACACACCTCATCGATCGCTCTGGCACAATCCGCTCGATCCGCTCCAGGCTCCGGGTTTACTTGCCGCGGCATGCTGGCCGCTAGGCTAGCCGGAGCTAGCAGATGACAACAATGGACTGGAGGACCCAAGGGGCATTGTGCGGGAGGAATCGGATGGCCCGACGACGCCCGTGTTTGCCCGACTCACTCGCGCTGGGTGTAGTACCGGAAGCAGACGCCCTGGGATTAGCGCAGAAGGGCCGTGTCGCCGCGTTGTCGCACCTGCACGGTGCCGGTGCTGCGGTCAGCGGCTAAGAGCGAGGGCCAGGGCGCACACTCTGAACTTGATGAGGTCCATGGTGGCCATGTACAGTAGGGAGAGTGTTGTTGTTGAGGGGCGGCGGCGACGGCGACGGCTCGGAGGGGAGGAGGAGTGGAGTGAGCATGGAGACTCAGGGACCAAGAGGGGTGAGAGGAGGGAGACGGAAATAACGTCGGAGAAGCAGGGGCGGAATTGGCGTGAGCATGATTTGGTTCCGGAATACAAATGGAGATTGTAATTGGATAAGGCTGACTTGAAATAGCCGGATGTAATGACGAGTGAAATCCGAGAGACCGGCTAGATGGGCCGAAGGGGGCCAGGGCGGGCAGGGCGGAAGAGGAGAGGGCAAGGTCAGATCGAGTCGGCGAACGAGGAGGAGCTTTCAGCTGATCACCTCGAGTTGTCCACCTCTCGTTCATGCTCTCTACTCACTCCTCCTCCTCTTCATCATCTTCATCACTTGCACAACACCACCCCCCCTCCATTGCCATGATCAGGTCACGGCTCGCATCCGCGAGGCCCACGCGGCGATCCCTCACCACTGCCACACCATGCCACTCCACACCCTCCCACTCGCGCTCCTTCTCCGTCCGTCTCTTTCCCCCCGGCCCCCCCGCCGACCCACGCGGCGGGCGGCGCGCATCCACCTCGGCCGCCAACACCGACTGGCTTACATGGCTCAAGCGCGCCACCCCCATCGACTCGCCTCCCACACGCAAAGCTCTGATTTTCGCTGGTCTCGTGAGTCGCCAACGTCCAGACTGAATCTAATACCAGGGCTCGTATCCGCACACACCGCAGAGCCCCACGACCGCCTCCCTCGCAGTCTGGGAAAAGGCGAGCGAAGCACTACTGTCCCCCGACGCAACGATGGGTTACTTTCCCGATAACATGGACGAGTTTGGTGGCCTGCTCCAGGGCGGCGGCGGGTACGGCATCCGCGGCTGGCTACGCGGCTGGGTCGAGGGCCGCAATCTCGTGAGTAGCGAGCTCAACATGTAACATTGGCACACTTCCCACTAACCCCCCAGGACGAACTCATGGCCCGCGCCGACGTCACTGCTAGCTTCATCCTCACTTCCACCATCGCCATTCTCGCATCAGAACAGGTGAGCGGCTTTTCTCGGAATTCCCCTCGGCTGATCGATCGCTAACAAGCAGGAGCGCACGGGCTCGCCCTCCCTCCTCCCAGAGGGCACACAATTTCTCGCTGGCCATGGCTTCATTGGGACCCTAACGGCGCTGGTTGCGGCTGGTCGTATGGACCTGCAGGATGGTGTCCGCCTCGCACGGCTGTACGCGTCGCTGCCTCCCGCGCCACCCGGCACTGGTGGCTCGTCAAGCCGATTTGTAACTACCGCTTTGTCCGCGCGCAGCTACCACTCGCTATCGTCTCCGTCTATGTTTGTGCCGTTTGACGACCCGCTCGCCGAGACACCCGACGAGCCCGAGCGACGCCGGCGGGCAATGCAGCTCATCCTCGACGAGGTGCACGGACTCCAGCACGAGTGGGAGTACGAGGGGAACCGCGACTGGGCCGAGGCGAGCATCATCAACTCGTCCAAGGTTCTCATGGTCACTGGCACATACATGGCCGTTGAGCAGCTCATCGACCGCCTGCAAGCCATGACCATCGCCAACCCGGTCATGGACGTCAAGCTCCCCTGCCCGTTCCACACTAAGCTCATGTCCCACGCCGTCCCAAAGTTTGCCGAGGTGCTCAACCGCGCCTACTTCTCGCCCGCCAAGGAAGGCGGCCCGATCATTCTGGACCCCATCACCACGCGTCCGCTCTGCGGGCCTCCCGGTGCTGCCCTCCTCGCCCAGCTCACGCAGCAGCTGCGCTGGCACAAAACTCTCACTCGGCTGCACAGCCAGCCGTCTCCCCCCATTGACCAGTACCTGACCGTCGGGCGCGGCGCCAAGGGCTTGGGCATCATGCTCCGCGGCGAGCTCAAGAAGAGACCCGAGGGCGCGCCTCCCGTCACGGTCGATGCGTTCGGGTACAAGGACGCGCCGCACGATCCTCTGCACTACCGCTCGCGCCCGACGCGCCCCGTCATCCACGCCCACATGTAACTCCACAAGGGCACACGCCACTGCTACTCTTACCCTCATTGCGCTTCGGAGATCCGTGAACACTCAGAAGACGAGCCGAAGCGACCAAAATTGTCCATTATAGCCTGTGACATTCTAAGCGTATGCATTGTTGTATAGTAGTGAGGTGGGGTGGGAGTGCGTGCGGGGGTGGGGGGGAGGAGGAGCGGGAGGGGGGGGGGAGATGGTGGCGGTGGGGCGTGGGGCCGCTGATGGAAAGGATGTGGTGAGCCGAGGGGCTGTCGGCGACGGAGTTCCGCACACAGCGCCTGTGAGGAAGCCGACGTGCCCTGCCTGATCAGGCCGAGCGGCTATCCATGACTCCGTGCCCATCCTGTGATGTTGTCCACGTGCCGCGACAGTGTGTTTTTTGGTTTGCGTTACCAACCGCATCGTCCTCTGTGTTTGGCCCGACTGAACTTTGTATGCACTCGGCCCAACTGCTCACCCCCGCCGCCGCCAAACCACACTCTGCATATAGTACAATCTATAGAGCTTTGATGCGCTCCGCGAGCACGTTCGCGCCCTTCATCTCGCTCGCCTCGACAGCAGCACGCACGTCCTCCGAGCGCATAACCTCACACACCTCGGGCCAGACCTCGCTGCCGTCGAGCGCAGCAAGCAGCTCGACGACGACGAACGGCGCGCCGGCCGCGACGTCGCGCACATTCTCGCCGCCCTCGGCATCAACGAGCGCGCGCCACATGGCCGTGCCGAACGCGCGCCCCAACGCAGGATCCACGACCTCGATCGCCTTGGCGGCCTGCGAAAAGTGCCCGCCGCCCAGGAGCGTCTTGTACGTGCGCGTCGCGTGGGGGAGGGCGAGGACGTGCTCCTCGTCCCACGGCTGCGCGAGGGGCTGCGTGAGCGCGGCGATCGCCGCGCTCTTGTCCCCCACGGCCGAGAGGAGGATGTCCGTTACAAGCAAGCCCGCGCCGGGGTCGCGCACGAGCTCGGGGTGCTCCGCGACGAGGGCGAGGAGGCCTGGGCTCGCAGCGGTGGCGATTTCGCGCCGCCGCACCGCCGCATCCTTCTTGCTCGTGCCTGCGGCTGCGGTCGCCGCCGACGCCGCGAGGCTCGATAGCGTCGAAGGCAGGAAGTGCCGACTCGCCCCCGGAACGAGGAGGTAGAGGACGGCGCGGCGGCCGACCTTGTCGGCCGCAAGCGCGGGCGCGAGCGCGACGAGGTCGGCGACGAACGCTTTGCCCATCAGCTTCGTGTCGTCGACCACGTCGAACGCCGTGAAGAGCACGAGCTGCGCGTCGGCGTCGCGCGCGATCGCCTCGACATGTTTCCGCAGATGCTGGAGAATGCCCTTCCGGTCCTTGGCCGTCCCGCGGACCAGGAGCTGGCGTACGGCCGCACTCCCGTCCTTGGTATGCACGATCTCGGGGAGCGACTCGGCGGCGGCGTCGAGCAGCTCGTGCATTTTCGCGCTTGCGTCCTCGGGCGAGAGGAAGCGGTAGAGACACGTGATGTACTCGAAGACGAGGCGGTGGAAGATGGACTGGGCGAGTGCAGTTTTCTGTGTCGCATTGAAGATTTCGAGCACGACTCGCTCCACGCCCTCCAGCACGCGCAGGCGGCTCGCCTCGCTCGTGTCCGCCAGCGCGGCCTCCAGCCCCGCCGTGTCCCCCTCTTTGCCGCCGTCGAAGAGCGCGACTTCGCGCGGATAGAAGCCGCGCACGAGGCCACGCCGCTCGCGCGCACTCGCGTACAAGTCGTAAAAGTCCGAGATGGGCTGCACCGCGTCCGCGTGCGCCAGCAGGCTGCCGAGGTCCTTGGCGATCACGGGCACGAGCAACGGCCGGATCGACGGGCAGTACCGGATAAGCTTGCCCATCAAGAACTTGGAGTACTTGGACTCCATCATCTCGCGCCATTTCGGCTGCAGCTCCATCGCGACGCCGAGGCGCTCGTCTTTGCCGCCATACTTGACGATCTGCGTCAGCGAGCACGAGCAAAAACTTACTGTTTGGAGGATGCGGCCGCCCTTGTGTCCGCGCGAGATTTCGAGAACATGGCCCTGCACCGCGGCCCACAGCGCGGCAATCGCCGCGACACGCTCCTCCTTCGGCATCTCGAGCCGCCGCGCCGTCTCCCACAGCGGCAGCAGTGTCTCCGTCAGCAGCGCGTGCGACGGCAACAGCGTCTTCCGGTGCGGCTGGGCGGCGTGCAGCGCCGCGCGCTCCGCCTTGCTCATTTTGCCGCGCTTTTCCTCGGGCACGTCGGCGGCGCCGGCGCCGGCATCGCCCTCGGCGTCCTCCATCTCCTCGTCGCCGTCAAACTCGTCGTCGTCCACCGCCTCCTCGCCCCCGCCCTGCGTCACCGGCCGCTTTCGCCGCACCGGCGCCTCCTTCTCCTCCTTCGCGTACGGCTTGCCGCCCTTGTACTCGGGCTTCTTGTCGCCCTTGCCGCCAAACTTGTCCTGGCCACCGAACTTGTGGCCACCAAACTTCTGGCCGCCAAACTTGCCCTTGTCGCCAAACTTGCCGGCCGGCTTGTCCTGGCCGCCAAACTTGTTGCCACCAAACTTGCCCGCGGGCTTGTTGCGGAAGTCGTTGCCTCCCTTGTTGAACGCCGGCTTGGGCCCAGCCTTGAACGACTTGCTCTTGGGCCCTGCGTCCGAGTCGGCGGCGCGCTTTGTCCCGCGCTGCTTGGAGGACATTTTGTATGGATTGTGGGAGGAGTATCGCTGATCGCCCGCCTTGCCGTGGACACAGGATTCTGGAAATCTGAGAGGCGGGGGCGGACATTGCGTGTGTCCGTTGCACGTGACATACGGACATGGCATATCTCCGCGACCTCGGGCATTACGTGTGATTGAAGAGATGTTATTACGTGGCTTTTGCAAGAGTATCAAGAGTGGAATGCGGCCGTGCCTGGGACGAAATAGAGTGCAAGAATGGGGAATAGAGAGTTTGTATTGCGCTTAATTGGAGCGGAAGTTTATTGCCGTGTGGTGTGTGGTGGGTGCGGTGGGTGCGGTTGCTGCTCCCGCCATGACCCTTGTGGACCCTGAGTCACCGCCACCAAAGTGGGTGTGGCCGCCTCGGTCTCGAGCGGCAGGCGCATGGGCGCGGTGAGACAGGCGGCAGGCGGCAGGCGGCCAGCGGGAGGGCCGAGAGGTGTCGAGAGCTGCAGATGTTCGGCGGGCTATGCGTAGTTGTACAGAAGTCCAGTAATAAAATAATAATGAATAGAACGCGGGGTAGAGTGATACACCCATGCGAATTGAATAGCCCTTGCCATTCCGCCGCATTCTCCTCTCGGCGTCCTTTGTATTCCCCTCGACATCTCACACTCTCTCTTCTTCTTCTTTTCTTCATCATCCTCCTCCTCCTCATCCTCCTCCTCCTCATCACCATCTCGTCCTTTGTTTCCCCCGCTTCTCAACCCCCAGCGACATCTCCCCCCCCCCCCTCCATCACAAAATCACGACCTCCGCTTTTCACGCCCACTGTCACGAACCCACTCTCCCTCCCCTCCTCCTTCCTCGGATCCTCGGCCGCCGGCCCCAGCTTCACACTCACCCCCCGCGCCTCGACTTTCGCCGCGACCCCCTCCCTCCTCCGCACGGCTCCTCCTCATTCACACTCTCAATCCCGGACCTTTGATCCTCCTTATCTTCTTCTTACCCATCCCCTAACGCCGCCGCCCACGGTCCACGGCCCCCAACCAACAAAGACGCGTCTCCGCGCCCTCCGGCTACGCCCCGACGAGCGATGCGCGCTCGGTGTTCGCGCCACCACCGCCAACCTTAGCTCTTACCTAGCGCAAACCAAACCCACACACACACTCTCTTTGCTGCTCGACGACTCTCGCCATGCTCCATCACACCTCTTTGGTGTTGGGGTTTATCGCGACTGTGCTAGTCTGCCTCGTCGCAGCAGCAGCACATCACCCAGACTATCAAGCTTCTCCCTTCCCATCACAAACCCCATCACCCGCACAGCAGCCCCTAGCCGTAGGACTCCCACGCTCTGTCAGGAGGAAATCCACCGCGTCTGCCATCCCCCTTCCTCCACCCCCTCATCCTCCCATCCTCGCCCCTCCCCAGGAAGACTTTGAACTCGACGTCCTCCCCTTTGCCCTCGTCTCCACTATCGATGGCGCTCTCCATGCTATCGACCGCGAGACTGGCGATGTCAAGTGGACCCTGCGCGACGGCGTAGAGCCTCTTGTCGGCGGTGGCATATACGGGCGCCAAGATGATGTCGAATATATCGTCGAGCCCGTCAGCGGAAATCTCTACGTCTTTGAAGGCGAGAACGAAGGCACCAAAGGCTTGCCAAAAGTCCGCAAGCTCCCTTACTCGGTCGAGCAGCTGTAAGTAGAGATCATCGACGGAGGGCACTGTCAACGCCCTGCCCTGCCCTGCTGCTGCTCCGCCCGCTGACTCCCACAGCATCGACCTGTCCCCGTTCACCTTCCCCCACTCACCCAACCGCATCTTTACCGGTGAGAAGCGGACCTCTCTCCTCTCCCTCGACCTCCGCACCGGCCAGCAGCTCGACTGCTTCAACGCCCATGGTCCTCATGACAACCTCTCCTCACCAGGCATCTGCGACAATGACATTCTCGACGACCTCGAGGGCCGCCCACGTCGCGACACTCTGTTCATTGGGCGCACCGACTACAAGCTCACCATCCATGCGCCCCCGACCACTGTTGACCCACACTCGCCTACCGCGACCATGTCGGCGGCAAAGAACCGCGGGGTGCAGGAGATCACCTACTCTACCTACCAGCCCAACTCGTATGACCGCACCGTCGCCGACTTTTGGGCTCGCACTGGAAAGCAGAGCTGGGTCGACGAGGGCCGTATCCGTATCGAACTGGGCTTTGACGGCGACTGCATTGGCGTCCAGAACGGTCAGGGCAAGCGATGGCACACTGACCTCGGATCCGTCGGGTGAGTTGGCTGGGGGGGGGCGCGGTCCGTCCCCCACCGATCGCTTGTCGCAGCACTTTTGCACAGGAGCTGACTTTGCAGGGTGGCGGTGTACGACGTAGTCTTGTCTCACTCGAGCCACTCGTCCAACCCCGTAATCGTTCCGCAGCCCAAGGTCGAGCTCGCCAGTCTGCTCATGGCACCTGATGTGGACGACCCAGCAAGGGAACGATACGAAGAGCTTTTAAGGAAACCGCCCACCACCTACATCGGCAGCGTGCCAGGTGGTCCGGCACTCGACGACCCCCCGTCAAAGGTGCCAAAGTTGTCTGCACCGAAGAGTCCGCGTCCCCTGCTCTTTGCTCAGTCCTCAAACTCTTACCCCCTGATCAATTTCGCACACGCCCCGCGCCCTGGTACACTTATCAACGGCTCGTTCCCACTCAGTGATGGTGATGGCATCAGCGATGTGCCAGAGGACGAGCACCACATCACGCGTTATCTCATCGACCCACCACGAGAGGAGGCATCGACCATTGATCCACCGATGGACCTGCATCCTGGCGTTGCCACCGGATGGGCCTTTAAGTGGTGGTGGCTTGTCATGTTTGAGATCGTGGCCGTCTTCTGGCTAGGCATCGGGATCTACCGCTGGGCTTTCACGAAAGCTACAGCCCTCGCCAACTCGGGTGCCAAGACCGCCGAGGCTACCGCACTTGTTTCCGCCACAAGTGATGTTGGAGAAAAGGGTGCCACAACGCCGGTTGTGCGTTTCGAGGCCTTGCCAGACACAGGCTCGGTCTCCCCTAACGATGGCTCTACTCCTCCAAAGAAGAAGAACACGCGTCGTCGGGTGCGCGGCAAGAAGAAGCGCCGCAATTCGGTGGGACCACAGCTGGACAGAGACGAGGACGAGGGTGACGACGATGAGGACGACAAGGGGGAGACTACTGCCGACGAGCGGCCCACCGGGTCAAGCGGATCCAACGGCAGCGCAGTTAACGGCAACGGTAGTGGCGGTAGCTCGTCGTTTATGATGATTGAGAAGCCTCTCCCGGCAATCCCGCGCACTTTGTCGGCCCCTGCTCTCCAAGACGAGCAGGAACGCTTGGCAATCTCGGACACGGTCATCGGATATGGCTCACACGGCACTGTTGTTCTGAAGGGCACATGGGGAGGGCGGCCCGTCGCAGTCAAGCGCCTCCTCTCCGATTTTGTCCGTTTGGCCAGCCAGGAGGTCAAGCTCTTGCAGGCCAGTGACGACCACCCCAACGTGATCAGATGTGAGTTTGGGTCTCCTTACACCTGCTGACGCTACAGACTACTGTCAAGAGCGGCGAGACAACTTCCTGTACATCGCCCTCGACCTCTGCCAGGCGTCTTTAGCCGACTTGATCGAGACACCGAATGTCTATCTTGAGCTTGCGTCGGCCCTCGACCGCAAGAAGGCGCTGCAGCAAATCACATCGGGTGTGAAGCACCTGCACAGCATGAAAATCATCCACCGCGATATCAAACCACAGTGAGTTGCGCCTCGGAAGATGGTGGAAAGTCAGTCAGGCTGACGTGGCAGAAATGTCCTCGTGTCAAAGGCCAAAAACGGTTCATTGCGCATGTTGGTGTCAGATTTCGGCCTCGCGCGTCGATTGGAGCAAGGCCAGTCGTCGTTTGCGCCCACGGCGAACAATCTCGCTGGGTCACTCGGCTGGCGTGCGCCAGAATGCATCCGCGGGCAGGTCAAGCTCAACGAAGGCTTTGACCCAGTTCTCTCCTGCGGCTCTGCAGGCAGCACTGCGTCGTCGACAGGCTCCCTTCCCGACTTGCTCGTCATGTCCGATGGTAGTGAAGTTGTCAAGGGCGTGCCGCGAGCCCGTCTTACCAAGGCCGTCGACCTTTTCGCCCTGGGATGTCTCTACTTTTGGATCCTCATGGGTGGCGAGCACCCGTACGGCGAGACGTACAATCGCGAGGCGAACATTGTCAAGGGTGAAGCCGTCAACATGGAGCACCTGTCGATACTCGGTGAAGAGGGTGTCGAGGCCCAGCACCTCATCGGGCTACTGCTGTCGGCGGAGCCGAGTGAGCGCCCTGACACTTCCGAGTGCCTTATCCACCCGTTCTTCTGGACACCTGCGAAACGCCTCGCGTTCTTGTGCGACGCGTCAGACCGCTTCGAGATAATGGAGCCCGAGGAGACAACACTTGCGCTGCTCGAGAAGAATGCCGACCAGGTCGTCGGCAAGAACTGGTACTCGAAAATGGACCGGGTGTTCACTTCGAGTCTCGGCAAGTACCGCAAGTACAAGGGCGAGAGTGTGCGAGACTTGCTGCGTGCTATGCGCAACAAGAAGCACCACTACCAGGACATGGACGCGAGCGCGCAAAAGCACATGGGCGCTCTGCCGGCGGGCTTCCTCAACTACTTTACGACCAAGTTCCCGAGGCTGTTCCTGCATGTGCACGGCGTTGTGCGGGACAGCCGGCTGCGGTCCGAGCCAATGTTCGCTACCGAGTATTTCATTCAAGAGAAGGAGTAGGATGGTGTTGTCGCAAGGTCATCTCGGGCCACCAACATACAGCCATCGAACCGTTGGGCCATATATCATGTCTCGCCTCATAGCAAGGTCGAATTGTTGTACTAGTCATTCCAAAGTATGCATTGTTAGCATTAGCAGGATGCGGTGGGCGGCCGTGGACAGGGGCAGAGGGCAGAGGGGTGTCCGTGCGCTGCGGGCGATCAGATTACCCTTCGGCGTCGTCGGGGCATCGGAATGTTCCCACGCCGTTTGCAGGATCATTCCCCCCTACTCGACGCGTCCGACGTGCGTGACAAGATTTGCCCAATTTCTGCAGAACAGGATGAACCCAAAGCTCAGCAATGCAGCGAGCACCCTCGTTCAGCGTTCCACACATCCTAGCGCACGTCCCCTCTACACTCCATTCAGTATCGCAGTAGGCAGTAGTCGTAAATCGTGCATCATAACGAACGTGTCATACAAGTCATAGTTCCCCGCGCAGCACCGCCCTCGACGCATTGATGACGGCCTCGCGCCGCGCGCGCCGCGCATCCCCGTCCCTGCGCACCACGCGGTCGCCGAGCGCGCGCGCCGCGGCGTCTAGCGCATCCAGTCCGTGTGTGTATGCGAGCCACTCGCCCGCGCGCGCGGCAGTCTCGACATTGCACTCGTGCAGCGGCGCGAGCGGCATGCTGAGGCTACTGGGCGAGCGGGAGACGCGGGGCGCGTGCCGCGCGCGCGGCGGCCGCCCGTGCTGGATGAAGGAGACGTTCGCGAGCGTGTACAGGCTCGGGGGGGCGGGGAGGGGCGGGGACGGAGGCGGCGAGGCGTAGGGCGAGGGGGTGGGCGAAGCGTAGAGCGGGGGGGCGGGCGACGCGTAGAGCGAGTGGGGCGAGGCGTAGAGCGAGTGGGGCGAAGCGCGGGGAGACGCGTGGGGAGAAGCGTAGGGTGATTGCGAAGGCGAAGAGGAGGGCGAAGACGACGCAGAGGACGACGACGACGTTGGGCGGCGCATGCGCCCGCCCGGCGTAGGCGAGGCGCGGGGAGACGGCGTCGCGCCGGGCGGGAGGGGCGGGAGGGGGCGGCTCTCGTAGAGCTTGTAGCTTGGTGGGCAGTGCATGTCGTAGAGCATGGGTCGTGGTCGTGACGTCTAAAGGTTGTACAAGCGGCCGGCGCGTCTGGCCAGCAGGACGTAAAGTAACAAGGTGACGTGAAATGGGATGAACACCGAGGTGAGAAAGGAGAGGAGAAGACGAGGTGAGACGGGGAGAGAGAGAGAGAGAGAGAGAGAGAGAGAGAGAGGAGAAGATTAGGTGAGATGGCCAGGAGACGAAGAGACGACAGATGATGAGATGAGGTGAGAACCACCGACGCGAGAAGATATACCAGCACAGCGTGTGCGGATTACGGGATCGGCGGCCACAACTTTTGTCAGACAGCATTCCGGCGATCTGCGACGCGCAGTTGCCTCGGAATCGAGTGCGTAACGGTGAGTCACGGCGGCGGTGGCGTCAGTATGTTTAAGCGACGCCACGAGTGCGAGCAAGGCCGACGGGGATGAGCGGGCGGAGATACGAGACTTAGACGGGGCAGGGGGAGGCGAGACGCAGAGATAGGAGACAGGAGAGTAGCAAAGTGCGACGTCATGAGCATATCGAGGATCGAGGAGAGGAAAAGGGGGAGCATTTTTCTGGGTCGGGTGCCTTGGCGTTCGTAGCTTTGCAGTTAGGCATAGGATGATAGGCATAGGGATGGGAGGAGGGAGTTTTTCCAGCTGCCCTCGCTGGACGCCTGCAGCCACAGCCTCCGCCGGGTCCGCCGAGCCGCCGTGAGTTTTGCAGAGCCGAACTAGGATGGCGTCGGAGATACAGCACCTGAGGGATGAGGGAGGGTGAGGGCTCGGAACATAGAGGCCAATGATGTGGTGATCCAGCACGATGGTGCAAGGTTTACCCAGGTTGTGTGCCAGGACTTGGCGAAGGGTGACAGGATGGGCAGGCTGATAAACGGCTTGGAACAGTAGGGATGCAGGCCGGCAGAGGGCATGGAAGGTCGACGAGGGGTAGCACCTGCGAGGCTGGCGCCGAGAGCTGCCTGCCATCGCAAGAGGCGCAGTGCGGAACACCGGATTGCAAGCCACACTCCGTCGGCTCGGCCGTGGCCGTGGCCTTCGGCCATGACTATGCTACTAGCGCCGTTGAGGCGGATGCATCGATGTAGAGATTACAAGTTGAGTATGCGAGAAATTTTGTGCTGCAGCTCCTACTACACTTAGAACAGGCCCAGGATGTCGCCCGTCTCCGGGTCCAGGTCGATGTCGTAGAAGCCAGGGCGCGTCGTCAGGCCCGGCATGGTCGACATGTCGCCGACAAGAGGGTAGACGAAGCTCGCGCCAGCCGAGAGGCGGACGTTGCGAATCGGCAGTGTGAAGCCTGTGGGCACACCCTTGCGGCTCGGGTCGTCCGAGAGCGAAAGGGCCGTCTTGGCCATGCAGATCGGCAGGTGCGCGTACCCCTGGCGCTCGTAGCGCTCGACCTCGGCCTTGGCCTCGGGCGAGAGCTCGACGCCGTCCGCGCCGTACATCTCGCGCGCAATGATTGACATCTTCTCCTCGAGCGGCAGGTTGACGTCGTACAGGAACTTGAACTGCGACTCGTCCTTGCACGCCTCGACGACGGCCTGCGCGAGCTCGACGGCGCCCTCACCGCCCTTGGCCCAGTGGTTGGCCGGGACGGCGTAGTCGGCGCCAGCCTGCAGCGCAAAGTCCTGCACAAGCTTCATTTCGGCCTCGGTGTCGAAGACGAACTTGTTGATCGCGACAACGACCTTGAGGCCGAACTTCTTCGCATTCTCAATGTGCTTGCCGAGGTTGGCGCAACCCTTCTGCAGCAGCTCGAGGTTCTCGGTCGAGTACACAGGGTCGAGGGGCTTGCCGGGCGAGACGGTCGGGCCACCACCGTGCATCTTGAGCGCACGGATGGTCGCGACAAGGACAACGGCGTTGGGGCGCAGGCCCGACACGCGCGTCTTGATGTTGCAGAACTTCTCCATGCCAATGTCGGCACCGAAGCCAGCCTCGGTGATGACGTAGCCGTTGCGGTCCTCGGCGTCGCCCTCCTCGATACCCGCGAGCTTGAGCGCGATGCGGTCCGCGATAATCGACGAGTTGCCGTGGGCAATGTTGGCGAAGGGGCCGGCGTGGACAAACACAGGCGTGCCCTCGAGCGTCTGCATGAGGGTGGGCTTGATGGCATCCTTCATGAGGACGGCCATGGCACCAGCACAGCCAATGTCCTCAGCAGTGATGGGCTCGCCCTTCTTGGACGAAGCGACGACCATACGGCCAAGGCGCTCGCGCATGTCAGCGACGTCGGTGGCGAGGGCAAGCACGGCCATGACCTCGGACGCGACCGCAATGTCAAAGGCGGTCTCGCGCGTGAAGCCCTTCTCGGTGGGAGCCTGGCCGACGGTGATCTTGCGCAGGTAGCGGTCGTTGACGTCGAGCACGCGGTTCCAGGTGATGGTGGCGGGGTCGATGTCGAGGCGGGCGAAGCGCGCAGCCTCCTCCTCGGTGAGGTCGGCCGGGTTGGTCTTGTTGATGCCGAGCTTCTCGAGGCGCTTGAGCATAGGCTTGGCGAACGAGCGCACGCCCTTTTTGGGAGGGCAGAGGCGGTTGAAGAGCGCCTTGTCGGTCTGAGTCGACTCGTGGAACATGCGCGCGTCAATGGCCGCCGCGAGCAGGTTGTTGGCGGCAGTGACGGCGTGGATGTCACCAGTGAGGTGGAGGTTGAACTCGGTCATGGGGATGACCTGCGAGTAACCACCGCCAGCGGCGCCGCCCTTGACACCGAACGTCGGGCCCTGCGAGGGCTGACGGACACAGGCAATGGCAGTCTTCTGGAGGTGGGCACCGAGGGCCTGGGCGAGACCAATCGTGGTCGTCGACTTACCCTCACCAAGGGGAGTGGGGGTGATACCGGCAACAACAATGTACTTGCCGTCCTTGCGCTCCTGGAGACGCTCAAGAACCGACAGCTCAATCTTGGCCTTGTACTTGCCGTAGCTCTCAATCTCGTCGTCGTGCACACCGATCTCACGGGCAATGTCAGCGACAGGCTTGGGAGTCTGCGCGACGGCGATCTCAATGTCCGAGGGAACCTGAGGGAGTATGTTCAGAGGCAGAGGAGTGAGCTTGCGCTGGCGGCTGCTCTCCCACTGGCGTCTGGCGGCACGGAAGGTGTTGTTCATGAGCATGGCAACAGTCATGGGGCCAACACCTCCGGGAACAGGGGTAATGAAGCCAGCGACGTTGGAGGCGGCGGGGAAGTCGACATCGCCGACCATGCGCTGGCCCGACTTCTTACTCGCGTCAGGGATGAAGTTGGTGCCGACGTCAATGACGATGGCGCCGGGCCTGATCCAGTCGCCCTTGACGAATTGGCCCTGGCCGATGGCAGCGACGACAACGTCGGCCTGGCGAACAATATCAGGGAGGCCGACAGTCTTCGAATGGCACTGGGTGACTGTCGCGTCGCGCTTGCGGAGAAGCGCGCACGTGGGGGTACCAACAATGTCCGAGCGGCCGAGCACGACGACATTGGCGCCCTTGAGGTCGAAGCCAGTCGAGTCAATGAGGCGAACAATGCCGGCGGGCGTGCACGGGGTGAAGTGGGGCTCGGTAAGGCGGCCCGAGAGCAGGCCAATGTTCTCGGGGTGGAAGCCGTCGACGTCCTTGCCGACGGAGATGGACTCAACGACCTTCTTCTCCTCCTCCTTGCTCGCGCCGGGAAGGGGGAGCTGGACAAGGATACCGGCAACCTTCTCGTCCTCGTTGGCCTTGTGCACAAGGTCAAGGAGCTTGCGGACACCGGTGCCCTTGGCCGCACCCTCGACCTCGCTGTCCGCGGGCACCTGGATGTGCTCAACCTTCATGCCCGACTCCTCGGCCGCCTTGAGCTTCATGCGGATGTACGTTGAGGACGCCGGGTCCGACCCGAGCTGGTAAATGTTGAGCACGGGCGTCTTGAATGACCGCTCCTTGGCCTGGAGCTCGGTGATGGCGGCATGGATGTTCTGACGGATCTCCCTGTGGGGTCAGTCTCTGTGTGCGGGGCGGAGCGAAGCAGGGAACGTTCAAAGAAGTAGAAGAAGTCACGGCGGAGCGAGTGGCACCGTCAACGCCCGGTCTCCCGGGGTCCAAGCGTCCAACTCTCCGACCCCGGACGCGAGGTCGCGTCCGACGTCGACGCGTCGCGCCGAAGTATGCGTGTCCACGCGGCCAACATAGGCTGCGTGTACCTTGACGAGCGCACTGGGCTCGTCGTCGTCCGGCAAACATGAAGCCCGTGACATGTATCAACACCGTAGCAAGCGCTAAGGACTGTCCAGGTGAAGACGGAAGGTCCACGTCACGACGTTCCGAGCGGTCGCTGTTTGCCTGTGCCTTTCCATTGCGCCCACACGCTAAACAACTCACTTTGCAATGGCGTTGCCATCAATGAGCTGGGCCGAGCCCTCGTACGACTTGGCGGCACTCATGTTGCGTGTAGTTGCAGAAGAGTGAAGAAGAGAGCGTTGTGTGATTGTCGGGTAATTGCCGAGGCCGTGGTGGGCAGGGTGAGGTGTCCGACTCGGAAGACGCGCGGTGCAAGCCGTCACCCGGGATGTCGCCAGGTGGTGGTGCCTGAGGCTGCTTTTTGTCAACGCGCAGTTGATCCGGGCCAGTGGGCGCATGCAAGTAGACGACGAGCGCAGGCCTGTGCGAAGCCTTGCGAGCGGGACGCGTGGTAGCGAAGAGGAAGAGGCGAGTGGAGGACGAGGCATGTCTAAAAAAAAAAGTAGGATGTGGTCTGATCGGCTGTGGGCGGCTGTGGCGCGGGTGGGTGCGGTACGGAGGCGGAGGTGGACCGGGACGCGGAGATGGGCCCTCTATTGCTCTGCTCTGCAGATGCTTGGGCTTCGGGGTAACTCTTTGGACGAGATCTGAGCCGCGATGAGGATTGTAGACGAGTTATTGGAAAAGGCTTCGCACTCTGCCTCTCCCTGTTGGAAAAAAACTGCGCGTGTTCCTTTGCGACGACTCGATTCTCGATTATCTGCGGCCTGAAATTTGTTCCAGCCAACGCCAAGGCGCGTGGTCCACGGCGTAGGGCGTGCATGTCCCAGTCCATAAGGGCAAGGTGTCACCCGGGGCCTCGTATATCTGTACATGTGCATGTGGACGGGGAGGTGAGGTGAGACAAACATGCCGCGTTGTGTATCGCGGGTCTCACTAGACTAGGATCTCCGGCGTGTGCCTGCCACACAAACAACGTCCACCAAGCCAGCTGGCCAGCTGCTGACGAAGTTATTCAATGCACCTCTACATGTCCCAAACATGTGCCACCACCAAGCCACTCGGACTGCTCAAACCAGAGATCAGAGAGGGTCAGGCTGTACATGCCCGTGTCACTGGCGTGCTCTGCTTTCTCCCCTCGCTTCGTAATGTCGGCCCAATTCCACCTCTGGTCACCGAAGCCTGACCTCCACTTTGCCACGTGGCTAGACCTCCCACGGTCGATCAACAACATGACGCAAGATTCATCAAGCGCAAGAGACCTCGACGCAACAACAACAATGCCTCGACGCAGTGGCCGCGGCGCCTCCATCTTCTCTGCGCTCCCATGGGATCTCAAGAGCACACTCCGCTCCAACCCTGTTGCTGAGCCGTCCACGTCGGATTCGCCAGAGGCACCGAGCACAGGCCTGCTCCCTACCCAGCCGCCCAGCGATGCCGGCGAGGAAGGTGGCGACGCATATAGGAACATCGATGAGGAGGAGGTGATTGCTGCTGTAAATCCGAGCTCCGAGGAGCCCTCCGGCTCACAGCAAGACGAGCCAGCGTCTGCCAGTCGCAAACGCTCGTCCGACAGTCCCGCGAAACCGTCACCGTCCAAACGCGCGAAGGTTGAGGAGGAGAGGCATCCGTGGGACTGCACCGGCCTGGTGCCGCGCTATGAGAAGGCTGCAGATGTGCCGCAGCATTTGAAGAAGTGTACGTGCTCCACCTTTCCACTCCCAGCCCTGTCTGCTATCTGCTTGAGCGCAGAGTGTCGTTTACTGACTCCAGACTTCTTCCAGCGCCATTCTCTCTTCCCCGCATACTCTCGCCTTCCCCTCCTCCTGGACGACACTGGGTGGTTCAGTGTCACCCCCTCAAGCATCGCAGAACACATTGCGGAGCGGTGCCGCTCTGATGTGGTCCTCGACGCGTTCTGCGGCGTGGGTGGTAATGCAATTGCCTTCGCGCGGACGTGTGAGCGGGTCATTGCGATGGACAACGACATCACACGTCTGAAGCTCGCGCGCCACAATGCGCTGCACTATGGGGTCGCGGACCGCATCGAATTCGTACTAGCCGACTACGTGGAGTGGGCGAGAGAGTATGTGCGCCGCGGCGCACATCAGCGGGAAGAGATTGACGTGGTGTTTCTGTCCCCACCATGGGGTAGGTCTTGAGAGAGGCAGGAGAGGCTGGAGGGAGGCGAGCTCAAGGAGCGGAGGAAGGCAGGCGGTAAGAACAGCGCTGACAATGACAGGCGGGCCAGAATATCTGTCGTTCGGTGCCGAAGGTTCTCCCACGTACCCACTATCGGCCGTGCTCCCAGTTCCAGGCGATGAACTCTTCGCGCTCACAGCTCCCGTTACTCCCAACATTGCCTACTACCTCCCGCGCAATGTTGACATTGCGGAGGTCGCGGCGCTCGCGAACAAGCTCGATAGACCCGAGAACGACGCGGAAGGAGGAGCTGAGCGCAGCAGAGAATGGGTGGAGGTCGAGGAGGAGTGGGTCGGGGACAAGCTCAAGGCCGTCACCGCGTACTATGGTGGCTTGGTGGACGGATGACACGCTTGAGGATGAGACTCGCAGCACGAGCCTCTTCAGTGCGACGGTCCTATTCAAAAACGCGTACCAGTGCGCGGGGTTACTGGCGGCGGTGCGAAGGGCCGGGTGAGAGAACAAGGCGACCTGAAGAAGGCCATTGCGTCGTCGATGGTTGAACCGGGCCAAACAAAGAGGGTCGCAACGAACGTCACAAGATGCAAGGCCCTCGGCCACTAACTGAGAGAGGTGTGCCTGCTGCGTCATTGGTATTGATCCATTGCTGATGGTATGCGGAAGGTATGCGGTATTTGGCCGATTGGTCGACCTGTCGCCGGCGGTTGCGACGGACGCATACCCGGGGCCACCTGCGTGCCGTGATGATCACGGCGCGACGGGCGGAAGAACATGTTGCGCCGGGGCCGTGCGTGCGCGGGGCAGCTCATTCGCCGGCGGCAGTGGCGGGGGCATGCTGGTGGCTGGGTGGAGGTGGAGTGGAGGCGGGGCAGCCGAGAAGCGAGCCGAGACGCTGTAGCGAACAGCGAGCAGCGAGTTGGCTCGCTGGCGAGCTGGTCGACCGGGTATCCCAGCATGCCCGCGCCATTTGCCTCCGTGATGGTGAGGCGGGTGCAAAGGCTTGACGAATGAGCTCCAGCCACGGCGTGAGAAGCACTCGTCACGGGGTACCGCAGATCGACGGACTGTCACGCGCTTTGAGAGCAGCAGAGGCAGAGTGCGTATGTTCCCGAATGGAAGGAGGTGGTTCGAGAGATCGAGAGATCGAGGCCGAGCGCAGTGGCCAGGCCGGGGGCATAGCGAAGGCACAGGGTCTGTGAACGGCGCAACAAAGGCGAGGGCCGGGGTGCTCCCGGGCATGGCTGGTAACCGGCAGAAGGTTCTTGGAGCTGATGGTGTCCAGAGCCTGAGAACTGTCTCGAGGTGGTGCGACGAGAACGGTGGAGTGAGGTCGAGGGCGGAGCTACTCTGATACTGATCCGCCGGCAAGAACTGCCAAGATTAGATTTGAGTGTGTGCGCCTCAGCATGTTTCAGGCGTCGCAACGCAAGCATGACGCCGGCTCCGCTCTGCGCCTGCCTCCCCGCTCGACTAGCCTCATCCGAGGAGATCAGGAGAGATTGAGGACGCCAGCACGCGGCACGCAGCAGGAGAGGCTGGCGAGGGCGCTGGGCGGGCGCCGAGGGCTGACAACGCTCGCTGATAGGGCCCCCCCATGGGGTCTATCTAGGGCCGCCAGGGCCCGCGGCGGGGAGGCACGGAGCGGTGCGCCGGCAATCTGCTCCCGCTGATACATCATTTTGCCCCCTCGGCACCCGGATTGCCGGCGCCCACAAACGAGACGACGGCACCCAGTGCCCGAGGTCCACAGGCCAGAGGACATCGACGCCGTGACGCCGTTGGACATTGGACAACGTGCTGTTAAACTCGACACATTACCCACCCCTCTGCATTTTATAACCCCGTGTTCCGCCCTCCTTCCTATCTCCTCTTCCCCCTCCCCACACCACCGCAGCCTCCCAAACATGCCCGTCCCCGTCGCCTCCGTCAAAGACCAGCTCCCCGCCGCCGCGCCCAAGTCGTGGCCCAAGCCCATGTCCGCCGAGGGATACTCGCCGTCCAACCCCGGCGCATTCCACGTGGTTTTCGCCCCCAGCGCCGACGGCAGCGAGAGCTTCAGCTCCAAGCTCGTCGCTGATCGCGTGAGTGTTCCCCTCCTCCACAAAAGGCGGAGAAAATGCAGCGGAGGTCCTCGGCACAGCCCCGCGACGCAGAGACAGTAATCCCTCATTTCCACCGCCTAGTTTCGCCGCCACCACTCCCCTCCGTCCTCTACGCCCTAGCCGCTGACGCCAGGCCTTCGCGCCCGGAGAGCGCCTCGCCCTCCTCGACAACAAGTCGCTTGCCCCCGTCAAGGCCTACTCGTCTGTGCAGTTCGGCAACGGGCCGCACGACCACCTCGAGCTCAACTCGGACCTGCTCTTCAGTACGTCTCTCTTCTCCGTTCTCCGTTCCTGCTCCTCCGCATGTTTTTCTCGTCACTTTCTCTTCTGCTATTTTCCCGGCCGTTCCCTGGAACCACGCCGAACATTAGCGCCGCCAAGATGCACGCCCCGTGCCTCTTCGCCACCTGCACTCGTCTTCTTTCCTGGCCCGATACGGAAACGGAGCACGGAGCCCGCAGTCCGCGGCCCGCGCCCCGAGCTACTCTGTCCGGCCACTGACGCCAGTGAACCACTCGTGCGACCCATCCGCCGAGATGTACCTCTACGCCGGCGCGCCGGAGCGGTGGGAGGTGCTCGCGGGCCCCCGCGGCCTCGCCGAGGGCCAGGACATCACCTTCTTCTACCCCTCGACCGAGTGGGATATGGCGCAGGGCTTTGACTGCAGCTGCGGTGCCAAGGTGAGTACACAGCAACACGTGGCAACGCATAGCTAGTTGCGGCGAGTTGCGCGCCGCTGCGGGGAAGTCTAGCATCAGCACGAGCTCACACCAGACCTGCCTTGGGCGCGTGTACGGCGCGGCGCACCTGACGCTCGAGGAGCTCGAGGCGCGCGGGCTGGTGAACGAGCACATCCGCGCCGCCAAGGCCGAGCAGGCGGCCGCTGCGCGCGCCAAGGGCGCCGCGAACGCCGTCAAGACGAACGGTGTCGCGAACGGCGTGGCCAACGGCGTGCACTAGATATCTTGGAGTTCTAGCAGAAACAAAAAAGGCCCTACAGCGGCCCGAAGTAGATCACCGTGTACATGAATGGTTGTCAGTGGCGCAGAGGCGCCGGGAAAATTGATAGCGGCTGTGCAGGAGCTTGAGTGTGGCCAGGTGACAGGTCTGCGGAAGGGTTCGCAACAACTACTCGTACAGATGAGCATGGCACTGAGCGAGGACGGAGTGCTGGCCATATACTCTAACGAAGAACCCATCGTGGACCATATCAGCTCATCCACGGCCTCTATCGTTCCATTCTCGAGAAGCGTCGGGACCCCCGGTAGCCAGTTGCTCTTTGTGTAATCGCGAGCGACATGATCGCGGCGCGTGCCTGGGTAAGCGCTCATCAGCGGCTATCAGCCCTGGCCGAACTCAACATCTCGCTCCGTTCTACCTCCGGCCCGCCGCCCCTTGTTCCACCATCCCTCTATACGATGCATACCTACAACACTACGCCGGGGTGGGCTTCTCGCCGCGCTTCACCTGCTCGATGAGGGCGCGCACCCCGTCCTCGCCCGAGACCTTGTACACGCGCTGCGGCAGCTGCTCGAGCGCCGCCAGCGCGGGCGGGAGCACGTCGCGGCGGAAGTCAAAGTCCGGGAACGCCTGAGTGAGCGCGAGGTCGACGGCCTCGGAGAACTTTGCAGGGTGCGCCGTACTAAGCGTCACCCACGTGCTGTCAGGCGCGCGGGGCTTGGAGCGCGCCTGTGTCGCGAGCCCCACGGCAGTGTGCGGGTCCACGACGTACGGCGTGCCGGCGCCCGCGTACTTGCGGATCTCGGCGAGCGTGTCCTCGTCCGAGACGCGCTCGGCCCAGAACTCGCGCGCCGCCGCCTCCTTCACTGCCGCGCCCATGTCGACGCGGCCCGTGCGCTTCAGCTCGTCCATCCACCCGTTCAGCGTGGCCTGCGCCGCCGCGCGCCGCTCCTCTGCCCCCTGGGCCTGCTGCTCTGCGCTCTGTGTCTCGTGCGCCAGGTACCACAGCAAGCGCTCAAAGTTGGACGAGAGCGCAATGTCCATCGCGGGCGAGTACGTCGCCTTGACCTCGGCGCTTGAGTCTTCACGCTCGTACCGGCCCGTGGAGAAGAAGCGAGCGAGAATGTCGTTCTCGTTCGTCGCCACCACCAGCTGGCGGCACGGAAGGCCGAGGCGCTTTGCGTACCATCCAGCGAGGATGTCGCCGAAGTTGCCCGTGGGCACGACGAACTGTACCTTGTCGCGCTTGTCCTTGGGCAAGAGGAAGTAGGCCTGGAAGTAGTAAACGATCTGGGCGAGGATGCGCGCCCAGTTGATCGAGTTGACGGCGCCAAGGCGGTGGGAGGCGTTGAAGCTCGCGTCTGAGAAGCAGCTCTTGACGATCGCCTGGCACTTGTCGAAGTCGGCGCCCTGCACTGCGACAGTGTAGACGTTGGCGTCCTCAACAGTGGCCATCTGCGCCTGCTGGATCGGCGAGATACGGCCGTCGGGGTACAGAATGAAGATGGTAATGGCGGGCTTGGAGCGCAGGCCGTAGATGGCGGCCGAGCCCGTGTCGCCCGACGTGGCGCCGAGCACGGTCAGCTGCTCGTTGGCGCCAGCGTCATTCCGCTTGCCGAGGAGGTACGCGAAGACGTTGCCGACAAACTGCAGGGCAACGTCCTTGAACGCCCACGTCGGGCCATGCCACAGCTCAAGCACGTACTCGCCCTCGGCGGTCTGGCGGAGCGGCGTGACCTCGGGCACGCGGAAGGTCGCGTACGAGCGGTCAATGATGTCCTTGAGATCGGCGGAGGGAATCGAGTCCTCGGGCACGAAGAGGGACAGAATGCGGTGCGAGAGCTCGGAGAACGTCAGGCCCTCCCACTCGCTCTCCCAGTTGGCCGGGAGGGCGGGGATCTCGGTGGGAATGTACAGGCCGCCGTTGGGGGCGAGGCCGCGGAGGACCGCCTGGGATTAGCGGTGTGGGGGGGGGACGCGATTGCGATCAGCGGGGCGAGTAGCACGGAAAGGTAGGATGGAATTGGGGCGAAGTAAACTGAGCCTTCGTCCCAATCCATACTGAGCCGCTACCCGTCATTCTCGAACGTGCGCGCCGAGCCGGATACAGTCGGTCGGCGTGGAGTAGTCCGCCAGGATAGCGAACCGATGGTTGCAAGCACAACACTCACCTCGTCGAACGAGAGCGTCTCGCTGCCACCGCGCGTGGAGAAGTAGCGCGTCTGGGACATTTTGATGAAGTAGTGGTACAAAACAGACACGAGATGGCGACGGCGAGTCCGATGGCGCCTTGCAGCTCGAGGCCTCCGGACTTTTCCAGGGTCAGTCGAGTCGCGGCGGAAGCGCGGCACTCACCCGGGTGAGATATCCGCTCAGATGCCACCTTACGTAACACTCCTTAGAGTCTATCCAATTACCATGCATGAGAGACAAAACCACAAGACTACATTGACAGACGGCTACGCGACGCCCTGCTCCTGCTTCATCTTCTTGAGCAAGGCCCAGTCGGACATCTCGACCTGGTCGCGGAAGGTCGTTTCTGCTGTTAGCTTTGGCAAGGATGGGCAACTCACTCAGTGTGTCGAGCGACTGGCGCGAGATGAGCGACACGATCTCGTCCTTCTCGTCAAAGTGTCGCCCGAAGGAGCGCGCGGCCTGGTGCGCCGCCCGCTCGATCTTGACAGCAACACCCGCACCAACTTGAGACCGCTTGACGATCTGCATGGGCTTGTGGTTGATTTCGAGCGAGGTGATCTTGCCCAGCGGAATGATCTCGCGCTTGCCAGTCTCCTTATCGAAACGCACAACACCGACAGGCGTACCCACGCGCGCTGTTGCGCCGTCGACGATGTCACATCCAACAATGATGGGGTCCTTGGACGCAAAGCACTTGAGAATCTTAAGCTTACAGGGCCACACGGCGCTCGGTGCTGCCTCCTTCATGCGTGCCTCGCGCACCTCCTCCATGTGCTTCTTGAAGGCGTCGAAGAGGTGGTAGATGATCATGGCCGAGAAGATCTTGACACCCTCCTTCTTGGCCTGCTCCTCGGCCTCAAATGTGACTGGGACGTCGAAGCAGAGCATGACTGCGTATTCTGGGGCTCGGTCCAGCATAAGGCCCGAGCGGATGACGGCACTCTTGTACACGGGACCAAGGCCGAACTCGAACACAGGGATGTTCATGTCCTTGAGGAACACGAGAAGAGCCTCGAGCGAACCAAGAGTCGACGCCTGCACGAAGACACCACGGCCGGTCTTCTGCACGTACCGGTCGAGAGAAGTCAGGTCGTCCATTGCCAAGTCCTTGTAGTACTCCTCCTCGTCGGCGTTCTTGGCGACGTACATGCGAGCACCAGCAATGGCCTTCTCGAGGCCTGGTGCCGAGATCTTGACACCAAGTGCAGCCTTGACCTCCTTGTGGTGAACGTAGGCCGATTTGATACGCAGCTCGCGCATCGGCTGTGGTGTCAAGAGTGCTCGGACATTTGTCACGATTGGCCCGTTCATGCCACACAGCACGATCTTGTCACCCTCGCGCAACACACCGTTGACAAGGACGATGTCAATGGTGGTGCCCAGACCCTCGATGACCTTGACCTCGAGAATGGTCGCCTCAGCCTCGGAAAGGTACATGAGCGAGCCAGTCATGCGGTCCTGGGTCAGCTTGACGAGGAGCGCCAGCAAGTCGGGAACACCCTCGCCAGTGACGGCCGAGGTGGGGACGATGGAGACGATACGGCCGGGCGCAGTGTTCTTGTCGTACACCTCCGAGTTGAGACCCTGCTCCATGAGAAGCATCTTGACGTGCTGGAGACGGTCCTCGAACATGCGCTGCATACGCGGGCTCTGGGCGCTGAGCGTGTCGCGGAAGCCGGCGTCGGGCTGTGTCTTCCACTCAGTCGCATCGAGCTTGTCGATCTTGTTGAGTGCGACAATGAACGGCGTCTTGCGCATCTTGAGGAGGTTGAGCGACTCGATTGTCTGGGGTTCAAGACCGTGGGTGATGTCGATAACAAGGATGGCAATGTTACACAGCGACGAACCACGCGAACGGAGGTTGGTGAACGACTCGTGTCCGGGTGTGTCGATGATAAGCAGACCAGGGATGTCAACGACAACGTTTCCATCCTTGTTGACCGCCTGCGTCTTCTCGACAAGCGCCTCCTTAGGGAAGAAGGTGGCACCGATCTGCTGGGTGATACCACCAGCCTCACCCTCCTGGACCGAGGTCTGACGGATCTTGTCGAGCAGCTTGGTCTTACCCGTGTCGACGTGACCCAGAATACAGCAGATAGGCGAGCGGAGGTCGGTTTTGCTCTGCTGAGCTTGGGCGGCCTTGCGGCGGGCAGCGATAGCGACGCGCGCACGCTCCTTGGCCTGCTCGACCTCGTCCTCCGACTCAGACTCGGACTCAGTCTCGTCCTCAGAGTCTTCCTCCGAGTCAGTCTCGTCCTCGGACTCGGTCTCGTCCTCCGACTCCTCGTCCTTGGCAGCAGCCTTGCCGGCGGGCTTGGCGGGCGCCTTGCCGTTGGTAGCGGGCTTCGCGGCAGCCTTGGGGGCAGCCTTGCCGGAAGCAGTCTTGCCGGAAGCGACCTTGCCAGAAGCAGCCTTGGCGGCAGGCTTAGAGGCAGGCGCGGCCTTGGCAGCCGGTTTCTTCTCCTCCTCATCCTCGGACTTGTCCCAGTCGTCCTCCGACTCGTCCTTGACTTTCAGACCCTTAACACCAGCCGTGGCGGCCTCGACCTCGTCCTCAGACTTATCCCAGTCGTCGTCAGACTCCTCCTTGGCAGCGGGCTTGGGCTCCTCCTTGACGGCAGGCTTAGGCTCCTCCTTGACCTCCGCCGCAGCCTTCTTAGGGGAGGCCGGAGTGGTCGGAGTGGCGGCACCAGAAGCAGTAGGCGTCTGCTGCTGCTGCTGCTTCTTGTTGTTCTTCTTGCCGTACACGGGACGCGCCTTGGGCTTCTCCGCAGCATCCTTCTGGAGAGCGGCAATGACAACACCCGAGTTCAGCAGCGCCTGCTTACGAGCCTCGGCGGCGGCGCGCTCGCGCTTCTGAGCAGGCGTGAGGACACGGCCCTCGGCCTTGGCCTGCGCACGCTTAAGGCGCTCCTTCTCCTTCTTGGCCTCCTTGGCCGCGGCGATGCGCGCCTCCTCCTCCTCGATGCGGCGCTCCTCCTCCTCGCGACGGAGACGCTCGGCCTCAATCTTGGCCGCAGCCTCCTCCTCGAGACGCTTCTTCTCCGCCATCGCGGCCTGCATGGCGAGAATGTGCGCCGGGACCTTCTTGCCAGCAGCGGCGGCGGGCGCGGCAGCGGCAGGCTCAGCCTTGGCACCCTTCTTCTTCTTCTTGTTCTTCGACGAAGCGCCAGCAGCAGGCTCCTCGGCCTCGGCCTCGGCCTCGGCCTCGGCTTCCGGCTCGGGTGTGGCCTCAAGTGCAGGAGCTGCAGGCTCCTCGGTGACAACAGCCTTCTTCTTGGCGGCCTGCGCCTTCTTCTTCGCCTGTCGTCAGCAAGGTGTACATCGCCACAGCAACTCACCTTCTCCCTCTCCTTCTTCAGTCTCTCCTTCTCCTTCTTGGAGAGGATCTTGACACCGCCGCCTTCTTCGTCGTCTTCCTCCTCGGCCTCGGCAGCCTCAGCGGCAGCGGCCTTGGCAGCCTCAGCAGCCTTCGCAGCCTCGGCCTCGGCAGCGGCCTTTGCGGCAGCGGCCTCCGCGGCAGCTTTCTCGAGGAAGTCGTCGTCATCCTCCTCCTCGACCTGCTGCTTCTTGCCCTTCTTCCCCTTCTTGCCCTTCTTAGGCTTGACGTCGTCCTCCGGCCACTCGTCGTCAAGGTTGGCCTTCTCGGGCGCCTTGTCGGCGAACTCGTCGGCGGCAGGCGCCTCAGCCACAGCCTCGGCACCCTCCTCCTCCTCGTCGAAGTCGTACGTCTTCTTCGCCTTCTTGCCCTTCTTGCCCTTCTTGGGCTTGACGTCGTCCTCGGGCCACTTGTCGTCGAGGTTAGCGCGCTCGGCCTCCTTGGCCTCCGGGTCCTCATCGTCGTCGAGCGCAAACGTGTTCTTCTTCTTCTTCTTGTCCTTCTTCTTGTTCTTAGCCGCAGCAATCGCCGCCTGGTGTCAACTGACTTCACAAAGCTCCACCGCACCGACCGCTAGGGCCCACTCACCATCAGGCCGCCGGCGCCCTCCTCGTCGTCGTCGAGGGCGTCAAACGCGCCGCCGCCGCCACCGCCGTGTACTGATTCATCGGGAGTGGCAAACTTGGACTCGAACTCCTTCTCCTTCTCGGCCCTTGGTCATTAGCTGCGGAACAATGGCGCCGGGGCAACCACGCGGAACCCACCAGAAGTCGTCGTCGTCGCCGCCCTTCTTTCCCTTCTTTCCCTTTTTTGGTGGCATGGTGTTAAGCAAGCAGGTGGATGAGTAAGAGTCGAGTGGCAAGTAGATGTCTCTCCACGGACAGTAGCTTCGCGATGGACACCGGGCGACTTTTGTTCCGTTCATCGAGCGGCGGGAGCAAAATTCGCGAGAACCTCCACTCGCCATGTCCACCGCGTCATCGGTTCCGAGATGCTCACGCACACGACCATCGCACGCATCAACATCAATCCTTGCACGCCAACGCACATGAGGCCTGGATGTGCTGACTACGTTTCCAGAAGTGATCGCTGGGAACCTATCGCATCTACATGCCTACCGCACTACTCATCAATCGCTTACGTCCCACTCCTCGGGATCGTGCAACCCAAACGCCTCGAACATCTCCTCACGGAACTGACGCAGCCGCGCATGCTGAGCGCGTAGGCGCGCCATATCCGAGCGCGTGCGTTCAAGCTCGGCGGACATGGCGGCGATTGTGGAGGCCTGCCACTCCAGTGTGTCATGGAGTAAGCGCGCGTTCCCGAGCGCGCCGGTGAGTTGCGTCTCGAGGGCGGTGAGTGCTTCGCTCGGGCTTGCGGCGCCGGAGATCTGGGGTGTAAGGAGGGCCACTGCTGGCGCAGCCGTTTGTGGTGGTGGCGACGGTGGTTGGCGCAGGCCTGGAAGCTGTAAGTGCAGCGCTGATGAGGCGGGGGTGGTGCCGCGCGAAGACTCGGCCGAGGGCGGGTTGATTATGACGGGGAAAAGGGGAAGGGGACTAGCGGTGACGGTGGGTGTAGGGGAGGGGAGGACGCCCGAGGAGTCTTTCGGCGGACCGAGCCCGGCGCGAGGCGCCGGGAAGGAGTCAATGACGGCCGCGGTGCCGCGCGTCTCCTTGTGTATGAGGAGGGGCTCGTGTGAGTCCGAGAAGGGGGAGTATGGGCGGGCCGAGTCCGGCCTGAGTTCTTCGGTGGCAATAGTTTGCGACGTGCACTGCGAGTATCGGCTGGGCTCTGTGCCGTCGATGGACACGCGCACGGCCGCGATCATCTGCGTCCTGGGGTGAGTTGCGGGCGGGGGAGGTGCGGCGTACATGTCGAATCGCTCCGCCGTGTTCATGGGCTCCGGCGACGCGCGGAGGGGGATGACGAGCGACTCGGGCCGCGGTTTCTGCACCTCGTCTTCGGACACCTCCGGCGGCTTCACGCCCACATGCAGACGGCGGGCGTGCATCGCGCCGTCGTCGAACACGTACCGCGTTGCTGCGAAGGGGCAGAAGCCGTCGTAGAAGCCCTTGTGGTGCCGGCATCTCGAGAAGAGGTAGGCGTCGCCGTCGGGCTTGAAGATAAGTTCGCGGCAGTCGCCGCAGCCGAGGAGTTGGCTGGCGTCAGCGGGGACGGAGGGGGGACGTACAGGCGCACGAATTGGAAGTGGTAGTGCAGGCGGTCAACTATGGCACGCCACCGACCTTGGAAGGGCGGCGGCGCGTCGATCGTATAGGTGCCGTACTTGACCATGAGTCGGTGAGTCGGTGGGTGGGGAGAGGGGAGAGCGTAAGAGGGGTGAGAGGGGTGTGGAAGCAGCAGAGATGAGAGGGAGCGCTGCTTATAGAGGCTCATGGCTGGGTCAGAGGGCGGGGGCGCCGGCATGAACGTCATCTGCAAGCTGGAAGTCAAGAGGAGAGGCCGTCTCGCCGGCCGTGAAAGCGGGCCATCAGTATCTCCAAGGGCGCTGGGCGCACAGTTCCCAGGAGCCATCGGTCCCTCCGATGGCGAGATATCATACATGACAACTAGTCTACGAGCGTATACTCCGCACCTGTGCTCCTACGAGCTCTCCTTCTTGCTCTCGGTCTTCCATGCGCTGCGCGTGCGCAGCCACTGCTCGAGATCCATCATGCCGGGATGCAGGCGCTTGAGCTCCGCGCTGTCTGTGCGATACCCGCCGTCGTTGAACCACGCGAACATCTTGCCGAGGTCCGCGAGTGCCCAGCGCATGCCGGCCGCGATGAAGCTGTACGTCGTGGGCGGCGGGGCGCCCGTAACGTTCCTGAACACACGGTCGATGTCGGTCCACGCAATCGGCTCGCCGCCGAGCGAGAGCGCTTTGCCGGCCCACTTTGCGTGCTCGCGCATCTGGAGCGCGGCGAAGAAACCAATATCCTCCGTCGCGACCCACGGCATGGGTTTGCGCATGACGTCGCGCACGGACGTGAGCACGACGCGGCCCGTCAGGTCCGGCGTCATGTTCTCGAAGAAGATGGCGGGGCGGAGGATGCTCCAGCTCATTTTCGAGTCTTTCGTCGCGTCGCGCAAGTGCGCCTCGATGAACGCTTTGGTGCGGAAGTGGGGCACGTCCGTCATCGTGTCCCAGCTCTGGTCGCCGCCGCGGTCGACGGACGAGTAGACAAAGTGCGTCACGCCGGCACGCAGCGCTTCGTCGATCAGCGCAACGCCCTGCTTCACCTCGGGGTTGGACGCGAGGTTCACGGGATCCGTGTTCAGGCTGGTGGGTTGCACGGAGAAGACGCCCCATACCGTGCCTGTGGGCGAGGCGGCGCGCGCCGCATCGAAGAGCGCGGGCACGTCGTCGAGGTCGCCTTTGACGAGCTTGACGCCGCGCGCGGCGAGCTTCTGCGCCGCGGCAGAGTCGGGGTTGCGCGTTACGGCCAGCACGACCATGTCGTCGGGCTTGGCCAGGAGCGCTTGAACGACGGCGCCGCCTTGTTTGCCTGTAGCGCCTGTGACGAGGATGGGGCGGGTCATAGTGGGCGAGAGAGCAGTGACTTGTAAAGGGGGGTGAGGTGAGGTAAGGTGCTAGAAATGAGTGTTGGGACACTAAACTGACGTCGTGGGAAGCAAGCAGGACGAGCATCTGCGTCTTATATCCAGATCCACCCACGCCTTCCGGTGGTATCTGCCGAGATCTCGGCTCGTTGCACTGTTCCTTGCGTCGCGACGACAGTGTCCGAGCTTCAGATGTCCAAGGCAACCCCCCCCCCGCCGGCATCGTGCAGCGCTGACGGAGCTGCTGAGTGATGTCATGCCCGCCGGCGTGCACTCAGTGTTCTCACTTACTAATGAAATTCAAGCACAGTCAAGTGCCGCGGAATGAGATCTGATTACCTCGGCGGTCAAGCGATCCGGCCGGCGATAATTAAAAAGTGTGGTTGATTAGATCAGCATGGACACACGGTTCTCGACGGCTCGACGAGGCTAATGATCCAAGCGTGCATGTTCCCCGACGGCACCCAGTTGAATGAATCTACTTGTTCTATCTCTATACCCTATGCCGTGTCTAGAAAATGCTATTTTGCAGCCTCGTATGCGGCCTTACCAACCCTCGCTTAGCTCGAGAGCTCGACACCCGAGTCGGCGGGTGGCGGGGCGACACCCCAGCGCTGGGCCTGCCCGCGCGAGTTCTTGTAGAACGCAATGTCCGCGCCGTCCTCGATGAACTGGCACTGACGGTGGCTCTTCCACAGCGACACGAGCATGTTCTCCTCAGAGCGCTGGTAGTGCTCGCCGATGAAGGCCTTGAGGGCCTCTGTCGCCTCCCATGCGTGGTAGTGGGGGATCTTGGAGCAGACGTGGTGCAGAACGTGGGTCTCGCAGAGGCCGTGGACGGCCCACGCGCCGACCGGGCCCAGGAACGTGCGGTCGATCGTGCAGAGAGCGCCGCGGGGGAAGGTCCAGAGCGCGTCGCTGTAGTGAGGGACAGTAGGGTCAGTGTGCTGGAGGTAGGTGATCATGACAATCCAGCTGTTAACGAGGAGATAGGGGATGCCGTAGACGAGCATCATCTCGGAGAACGAGCGGACCTTGGACCAGTAGGTGAGGCCGGCGATGACAAGGGCGAGGCCAATGTCGGACCAGATGATCTGCCACTTGTGGTTGGCGCGGAAGATGATCGACGACGGCGTGAAGTGGTTGGTCCACTTGGGGTACCGGTTCTGGCCGGCGGCGTTCATGACGAGGTAGAGAGGGAAGCCGACGAGCTGGTACATGGCCATCCAGAAGACGGCAATAGGAACGTGGTCGAGAGCCTCTGCGAGCAGAGACTGCGACTCCTCCGGAACGTTGATGCCGATGATCTCATCCTCGTTGGCGGCCTCGGGGAGACCACGCTCCTTGCGAGTACGGGGAACAAACACCTCGTCGCGAGTGAGGCTGCCCGTGGACGCGTGGTGGCGGCCGTGGGAGATGCGCCAAGCGTGGTAGGGCACGAGGAGGCACGAGTGGACGACCCAGCCAACAAAGTTGTTGATCGTCTTGCTCTTGGAGAATGCCTGGTGGCCACACTCGTGTCTGCGGGTTAGCCTTGGAGCTGGGCGGAGGATTGCGCGGAGAGAGCGGCGGTGTGGAGATGGTGGGTGGAGGCGATCGAGAAGACACAAAGAGGAGACACGGCACACGAACGCGACGCGCTTCCGATTTTCCGATGGCGCCGACCACACCACCCACGTTCGTCGATCTTCAGGCACGGCAACAGCAGAAATGTGCTCACCCAACAACCCAGAGGCCAGTGCCCCAGAACGAGCACACGATGCAGTACGTCGTCCAAAGTGCGATGCGAAGTGCCTTGGTGGGGAGCTCGGCGAGGTTGAAGTATGCGAGAGCGTCCTCGATGTGGTAGGCGCCGTAGACGAGGGCGGCGACGATGGCGACGTCCTGGACGAGGGTCAAGGACGAGCGGAAGAGGGAGCGCTCGAAGCAGTGCGCGCTGGGATTAGCGAGTTGTGGAGATTGGGGGGAAAAAGAGGGGATAAAGGAGGTCGGGTGGAAGGAGGGTGTCGGAGGATGTAAGGAAGACGAGGTAATAGATAGCGACAGCTGATAGCATCGCGACATCATTCCACTCGCCGTCACGCGCAGACGCCCCCTACCTCCCTCTCAGCAAGGACTCACGGAATGGCATCGAGCAGCTGCTTGTTGGTAAAGTTGGGCACGTTGAACCTGTGGGTTAGCGACGTTGTCCCCATCCCCCACACAGTCCACACAGTGAGAGACTACATACTTGCGGTCTGCGGGCAACTCGGCCTCGTCGATGGAGACCTTTTTGTCCTTTTTAATGGCTGCAGCCTCGAGACGCTGACGGACTGCGGACATGGTGAGTGTGAGTGTGAGTGAAGAGGAGAGGAGAGGAGAGGAGATGAGATTGAGCATATCAATGCATGCGTGCTGGTTTGTTGGGTGGATGCTGGCTGGCGGAAATCTTTGGGTGGGCCTTTGGCGTGCGGGCGGGGGAGGAGGAAGGTGCGGCCAGAGCTGAATCCTGGCGATATCGGATGGCATGGCGCGGACGTGACAGGGCCTTGAATTTACCGTCTGCTCCTGGACTACCTGAGACGCCGTTCCTGATCGCACTAAGCGGGGGCAACTCTGAATCACTCAAATCCCATCAGCCGCAGCACCCCCATCGGCCACAACGGGAGCTTGGCACATCTCCGCTGGATCCGCTGGCGTCCTGCCCAATTCACCGTCGCGTTCCGCCCATATCTTCGAGTCGAGGCTGGCCGAAAAATTGTCCTCCTCAAGCCCTAAAAGCCAGTAGAATGGAAATCAGGAGCGGCGGTATCCTGGGCCTTACTGCGCTTCTGCGAGCTGCGAGGCAAGTGTACGGATCGAGGAGCTTGGCTCGATCTACGGCATGCGGCGTCGCGGGCCATACGCTTGGGGGCTTCCGGGCTCGAGAGCTTGAGGCGCATGAAGCGGCGTTGCGCTCCAGGGGATGACAAGGGGGCGGTTTGCGGAGATCGTGGAGATCCATGGGGGGTTATGGTATATCGGTGATTCGGAACGATAGATGTGTCGATGGCACGCCGATCTGCCTGAAATGACTTGGCGACCTGGCGTTGGGCTGGCGATGTAGCGACACTTGTCATCGTCCATGGTAGCATGTCGAGCAGTGAGGATGCATGCAACGCAAGGTCGCCAGCGTCCGCGGTCGCGTCAGACTGTGAGCCTCTTGGGCGGTTTAATGATCGCGACTCTGACTCCTACGTCTGGTGTTGGGGATCGAACTAGCGACCGTGACACGGTGATGGTGGGGTCAAAAGGTAGTGCCTCAGTGGTCTTCCTGCCAACGGGTCCTCTGTAATTCGGCAAGGAGACCGACGTTTGAGTCTCGCATGTTCGACCTTCAGTCTCCGTAACAATTGTCTTCGTGTCTTCAATGCTGGCCAAGTTTCTGTCTCAATCCCAGTTCAAGGTCAACATTAGCACCCAGCAAGCATTTACCCCCGCCGGCCGAACCTCCACCTCCACCTGCCACCGGAGAGACGTCATGGCCGACCCCGACCTCCGATCTCCGACATCGACAACACACTCACCATGTCCTGGCTCAGCTCTCCGCCATCCAAGCCTGATGCGGCACTGTCGTCTGATTTCACTGAGCCGAGCGCTGAGGGTGCGCTTGGTATGGACAGTGAGTGAGGTGCCGCAATGAGGCGGGGGCGGCGACGGCGGGCGCGATGGGTGAGAGGGGAGGGGGGGGGTTGAGGAGGAGCAACGTGGAGGAGAGGAGAAGAAGAAGAGAGGGGGGAAGAGGAGAAGAAGAAAGGATCGAGAGGGAAGGAGAGGAGAGGAGAGGAGAGGAGAGGAGAGGAGAGATGACAAGAGAACGCGAGCTCGAGGAAGGCGATCAACGTCACCGAGCATGACCGAGCCCTCGCTCTAACACTAGCCCTCCACGACGCCGCAGCCCCCACCGCGCCGCCCCAACCCAAGATCCGGTCAATGGACGACCTGCGCCGCCTGAACCGCCGCGCCACGCAAGAGGGGATGTATGCTGGCGTGTTGGGCGGCGGAGTGATGGGTGAGTCTGCTGCCTCTCTTCCCTCTCCATGCTTCGTGCGTTCCTGACTCCAGCGTTCATCGGCAAGCGCTTGGGACTAAGCAAGAATGGCCTCGTGCTGACCTTCATCTGTGCGTCTCGCCTCAAGTTGGTCTAATAGTAGTGGGCGGCACAGGCATCTCCTTTCTGACCACGCGTACGATCATCAACTCCTCGTTGGGGGAACATTATGCGCAGCTGCGAGCGGCGCAAGCTGCGCGGACAGGCAATTTGCTGGGGGACGGCGCGGTGGGTGACGCGAGGCCGGTCGAGCTCGAGGAGCGAGTTGACGCACGCGCGCAGCTCGCGCGAGACCTCAGCGCCATTGGAGGCCCGCGCGAGCGAACACGCTGGACAAAGGGCCGCGGGCTCGACGGCGAGGTCGAGGAGGAGGCCGAGCTGCGGGATACATACCACCGACCCGGGGTGCCGCGGAACATCTGATGCATCATCATGCTTTGAGGCACGGCTCGATCGTCGCCTCTGAGCTACTGTCTTCCGTCGTGTCGCGACTTAGCGCGGACCGCTGGCTGGTCCAGAGCGGAGGAGTTGTGGGCGTCGTCGAGCCTTGGTGTGCGTCTGAGGCCTCCGACGTCGGCGCCACACTTACGATGCTTGCCGCGGCGAGCGATGGCGAGTCGCCGCGCAAGCTTACGCTCACGGAGCGTTGCGGAGAAAGCGACGCCAGCAGACTTGAGCGCTGCGTCCAGTTCGCGCTGGGCTGGCGGCTCGATGCGCGCGAACCCGCGCCACTCGCCCACCCCGGCCCCATGACTGGTCCGGGAGGGGGAGGTTCTGGCGAGGACAGGTTGAGCAGGACGTTTTTAAGGTTCGGGAGAGTATGTCGCAGATCGAGCATGCGGATATCCGCCTCGTACATCAGCTGGCGTGAGCGAGTCTGTGGCCATCACCTACCAGCTCAATGTCCTTGTTCAGCAAAAACACGGCATACTCGTAGCGGTAGCGCTCCACACCGCGGCCATACAGCGGAAACGAGCGAGGACCCTGCATGACGCTCACGACGTCCCGCACGTGGCTTTTGCTGCCCGCGTAGGTGATGGGGTAGGCGAGTCCAGCGGCCGCGCCACCGAGATTCGCGATGAGCTGGAGCACGAGGGCAGCATATCCTAACGCTGCGGCAGTCGTACGCTCGTCAATGCGTGGGCAGCCCTCGGGTGTCTGCTGGGGTGGAAGTGATAGTGGGGGAGCGGGATCCTTGGGACCAAGAGGGATGGGGAGAGGCACACCCAGAATCGAGTAGAGGAGCGATGGTGCGTGAATCGGCGCGATGGGGAATAGCGCGTCAAGAGCCTGGGCATGTGATGCGCGGCGCTGGTAGATGAGCGGGAGAAGGTCAGCACGCTGTGCTTCAACGTCCGCAATCTCAGTCGTGAGCTCTGCGGTCTGCGTGTACGTTTGCTCCGCCCGCTCGATGGCGGCATTGAGCAGCGCTCGCCGCGCATCCAGTCGGCCACGGTGCAGCGTTATCCGTGCGCGCGCTACGGTCAGCTTCGCGCACCATGAGCAACCCACCCTCCTCGGTCGTGCGCTCGACCTCGGCCACACGGTCGCGTATCCATCTCACGCGCAGCGAGCGCTCCGATATGTCACGCTTGAGCATCGAGCGGTCGCTATCCGCCGAGATGAGGCTGTCAATCTGGCGCTGCAGGTCTACTATACTACGTTCCGTATCGGCGATCACGGACTGGATATTGACGAGTCTGAGGTAAGCGGGACACGTCTAGCAACATACTGGTGGAGAGCGCCAAAGTGAGCGCCTTTCTTCATGCGCGTCTCACGCAGGCTTCTCTCGACGACGCCCTTCTCGTCCTCGCGCTTTGGAGACGCCTCCGTCCCCTCAGGAGGAAGGTAGAATGCCGTCCGTGGAGAGTTGGTGAATGTGAACTCGATGGAATTAGGAGGCAGCGCCGCACCGGCAGGTATGGGTACGAGGTCTTGCAGGTCGATGACGCCTCCGACACCGGGGAGGCGGCGCCACTTGCCGCGCTCCTCAACCCACACAGAGAGGTCTACACGCGTACCGGCGCACTCCACGCCGGTGATCCACGGCGCGAGATCGCCGTGCTCAATACTGGCCCAGCGCGGCTGCGTCGACGGCTCGTGGATGGGCGAGAGGAAGAACGGGACGGGCGAGGGCCTGGCCTTGGCATCCACCGAGCGGGCGGGGAAGGCGGGGAGACCGAGAGTTGATCTACGCATGGGCGCCGGTCTCCCCGCACTCGGTGCACGCTTGAGTTCCGGCCGCCCGCTCCCGTTCCCTCGCGAGAGCGAGGTGATGCTGGACGAACTGGAGCTCCGCACCGGCCGCGGCGGTAGAGACGCGGTGCGTGTGCGGCGCGCACCAGTAGACGAACTGCTGCGTGGCGTCGGCGGTGGGGAGGGGGAAGGTGGCTCGTCGTCAAGCTGGACGGGCTCGGGTTCGGGAAGTGAGAGCGCGACGAAGCTGCGGGCGAGCGGGCGCGAGGGGAGGTCGGCGCCGGCCTCAGGCACGGAGGGAGGTGCGTGAGGATGCGGGTGCAGGCTTTCGCCAGCGAGCGTGGGGGCGCGGGCGCGACCATGCGGCGCTTCGAGCGAAGAGTGGCTCGTCCGGCGCATGCGCGGGCTGCCAACCAGCGCGGCGCCGGACTTGGAGCCCGGGAGGGTGAGGTCGTGGATCCCCACGCCCGAGATGTGCCGAATGCGCCGGGCCGGCTGGAGTCAGCGGAGCGGGTCAGTGTCGACGCACCTCTTCGGGCGTGTCCATGATGCGAGAGAGACAAGACGCCGAAGACCTGGAGGAGTAGTCGTCAACATATCCCATCCAACGTCACTGATGGCCACGTGTATATCACGTGAGGCCGTCGGCCCGGTTGCGGCGATGGCCGTTCGCAGCGGCTGTGCATCGGGCGACGCATTGAGTGATCGAGCTTCTGGAAAGTGCTGTTGTGCTTAGCGATCAGCTTCTTGACATTGCTCTCTCTCTTAATCCGAACGAGACTCCCCACGCCGCGCACGCCGACGGTGACTGACTCGCTACTAGGCGTCTAGGCGTCCGAGCTCGCCTCGCTTCCGATACCCCAAATCCGCATACCTGGCTCATCAGTCAGCCGCCACCTTCCTTTCACCTCTCAGCCATGTCCCACCCCGCGCCGCGGGGCATGCCCATTTGTAAGTCGCATTGGCGGCAAAGCTGACGGCAGTGTCGGGGCCGCCTCCCCAAGTCGAGTCGTCTTGTAAGTCGAGCAGTCGTAAAGCTCAGCCCGACAGCGGGACGCCGGCTTCGCCACAATTTCAGCTGACGCCAGCGTGTCGCCAGTGCTCGCGCGACTTTAGCTTCTTCCGCCGCGGCCGCGCCTGCGGTCACTGCGGGTATGAGTACTGCAGCTCATGTCTGTCGGACGGACAGGCGCTGATGCCGCGTCGCGCGGTGCCGCGCCCGACTGGGCCGCTCGCCGAGCTGCGCGAGGCGTTCCGCGGCTCCGAGCCTTCGACCTCGGGATACGACCCCGAGCCTGTGTGCGTGCACTGCCTCGCGATGCTGCAGGGTGAGTGTGTCCCATGATGCGCTGACGCAAGTTACGGCTGCGCCGCTCGACATGCTCCGCGCCCTCCCGCTCAAGCGTCTGAAGGAGTACCTTGCGGCGTACAATATCCCGACGAGCGGGATCATCGAGAAGGAAGGACTCGTTGAGGCTGTCGTGCGCGCCCGCAACCCGCACACGGGCACGCTGCGTCCCGAAAATGAGAGCTTCTACCGCCGTCGCTCGGTGCCCCGGAACGGGCGGCCAGCGGCAGCGTCTGCGTCCGCGCCACGCACGCCGCCACATACTCGCACCCCGCCTCGGCCAGCTACGCGCCCGCAGGCGCGTCCTCCCCCCCAGCCTCAAGCTCAGACGCAGCCTCAGGCCCAAACCCGGTCCCAGCCCAAGCCCCAACCTAAGCCTCAGGCACCCCCGCCCGTCCCGACGATCATGTCGCTGGTCGCCTTGCCCCGCTCGTACCTCGCAACACTGAGTATTGGAACACTCAAGGCGATCCTGTACGAGAACCACGTGCGCGTCGACTTCAAGCAGGTGCTGGAGAAGGAGGAACTGATCGGGCGCGTGGCGGAGCTGGTGGCGGACGAGCGGCGGCGGTTGGAGCGGCAGGCTCGGGAGGAGGAGCAGGAAGCTGCGGCGGGTGCGCCGCCTCCGCCTCGCGAGACTGAGGCGGGAGGCGGCGAGGAAGGACTAGAGAATGGAGGGGAGCGGGGAGCAAGCGCCGAAAGAGAGAAGACCAAGTCACCCCCGACCGGGCCCGCGCCGGATATTGAGCGCGGGCTCTGCGTCGTTTGCCAGGATGAGGAGGCGACGCTTGCTGTCGTCGACTGCGGCCATCTCGCTATGTGTGCTCGTGAGTTTACCATTAGTCACAGCTCACGCTAGACTGCTCTGACCTCATCATGGCTACCAGCAAGGAATGCCCGATGTGCCGTACGCGCATCATCACGGCCCAGCGCCTCATTCGCATCTACCGTGTTTAGAGACATATACCCTAGACAAACGACCGTTGTACCTTTAATGACATGCACTGTGACACACGGCAGAAAAGAGCTGCATGGATCTAGGCGACTATATGGAACAACAGTGTACAGTACGGGCGACAGTAAACAATGGCTGGTGGGGTCTAAGACCGGAAGACATGGATTGAGAGGATTTTGGAGGCGTGTAAGATGTCACGCGCTGAAAGAATTATGAGGGTGTGGATCGGTCCAGCTCCAAGACACCATTATGGTACCATCACCATGGCCGCTTGCGCATGCTCTCCCCGTCTCTATCGACCGGCGTGAGCTCGGTCGGGCTATCCGCGATCCCCTCATTCTTGCGGAACCAGGTCTGCACACCTCGGCGCGCCACTGATGCAGCGGGCGAAATGGGGGTGAGCAACTTGGTCGTCGCGGCAGACTGGTTTGGCGGGAACTGGCGGGGTTCAGGCGCGGGGAGGCTGTCCGCGGACGTGGGGAGGAACTCGTTGCGCGCCATAGCAGGGTTGGCGATGGCGACTCTGGGCAGGCCGGCGAGTTTCGCTGGCGTAGCGTGCTGCGGGAATGTCGGGAAGATGTGCGCGGGTGTGCCGATGGCATGGTAGGATTTGATGGACGTCGCGAGCTCGGACAGCTGATTGTCAGCGCGCCCCTCGATTGCCACGGCCCCACTCGCCGTTGGATGGCTCATACTGACCTTGGCCATGAGCTCCTCGACGCCCTTCTGGCGGCGTAGCAGGTCGGCCTCGTCGGCGTCCGCGGCGTCCGCGACTCTCTGCGCCTCCTCTTCCCCCTCTCCTTGGGGCGGGTTGACGAGGTCAAGACCTGCCGGTTTAACCGCCCCAATCCCCTCGAGAGCGAGATGCGCGCGGCCGATCTCGACTTGCGCGGACAAGACGGCTTCGATGTGCGATCCGAGGGCGCGCGTGACACCTCCTCCGGAAGCGTCGAGCGGGCCGCGGAGCATGGTCGACAGCGGCGAGTCGCGGATGGACTCGCTCGAGCTCTGCGCGCGGGCGTCGTTCGGCGAGGCCGTCCCAGACAGCGTGCGATGGATGTCTTTACCGATTGCCGCCGGCGCTGGTGGCACCGGCGTCGAGTTGCTCCGATGCACTATCGGCCGCTGCAGAAGCTTGTTGACCACCTCATCGTGCGCCGATGGGGGCGCAGGGGACTCGGCTACGGCTGGAGCGGGGGGCTCGCGCACCATGACCTCCCCTGGCAAAGCCGACGCGGTCGCGACCGGCGACCCCTGTCCCGATATCGACGGCATGGCAAGGGCAGAGTCTGTCGAGCGGGGAGAGGAGGGGGCTTGGGAGTTGGTCGAGGGCGGGGCAGAAGATGCACTGCCGTCGTTAGACACGAACGAGTGGAAGAAGTGCCAGGCGTTAGAGTGTCGGCGCGATGGAGCTGGAGGTGTTGGCGAGATGGGGGATGTTGGTGAATTGGGTGAGCTGGGCGGCGACAGGGTGGTTAAGGGAATGCCTGGAGTTCCAGGCACGAGATCTATCTGTGCGTGTGGGTCTGGCTCGCCTTGGTCGTTTGATTTTGAAGAAGTCTGTCCCGCACTAGACTTGCGAAAGGAAAAGCGGCGAGTCTTGGGTGACTGCTTCATCCAATTCAACCAGTCTGGCGGGTAGACGTGCGCCGATGCACGTCGTGGTGGCATGCGCGGGGCACGGGGAGATGGAGGTGGTGAGGCATCGCGAATAGCTTCCAGGGGCTCCATTGTGGATTGTGGGGAGGATCGGGGAGATGCGAGTGGTAGTACAAGGCGTGCCGGGGGAGTGGCCAGCGCAGTTCGCAGTAGAGACGGCTCGAGGAGGCTGGAAGAGTGAGATCGCCGTCGCGTCGGTGGCTACAGGGAGGATGGTAGGATAGGAACAGCACAAGCTCGAGCTAGGTGTGAGATGTGGGGAGAGGCAAAGACGATACAATCAGAGTGCGAGTGGAAGATATCGAGTGATGCTGGACGGCGGCTTCGGCCATCGACCTCGGGGGAGGGGATGCGAGTTCAGAAGGGGCGGCCGTCGGGGAAGAAAGAGGTAAGGAGGGAATGGATGGAGGGAGTGTAGTGTGTCGATGTGTTGAGTCAGTTCTCGATCTCCTAGACTAGTCGTCGTGGTCGTGGTCGTCGGCGTCGTGCGAGATGCGTGAGATGCAAGATGATTCTGGAGTTTGTAGTGGGGATTGTTGTGTTGACGATGCAGCGAAACGATGGGGAGGGGAGGAGGGGCGTTGGGGGGCGATCTCTGGGTCCATGCTCCCACCGTATGTACGCTGTGCTTCTTTGAGATGACACTTTGAGAGCTATGCAGCCAGCATGCAGCCACGGCGTGCCGCTTCTCTGCCTCGTGTTTTGCTCCTGCATGCCTCTTGCCCATGGGGGAAATGGCGAAATGGCGCACGGCGCACGGCGGGCGGTGGTAGTCTGCGGCGGGCGGCACGGGGGCCGTGAGGAGAAAGGGCGTGGGATGGAGAGCTGTGGCGAGCTCTGGTGGGCGGTGTGGGCGAGTGGGCAGAGGCCAAGCGAGCAGGCGACGTCAACGAAGGGGTCGTGCGGAGCGCCACGCACGCCACGCACATCACTTGGTCTCGGAACAGATCTCGCTCCTGCAACTCTGATGCAGGTTTGGGAGGCTACCGACGGAAGCCGAGATTGGTCCAGATAGCCACTGCCGCATTCCGCGCTGGGTGGCATGGGTGGATCGAGGATCCGAGTTGTCCAATGCATCAGTTGACTGGCATGCCTGGGTGGTACCGCTGCCGCCGGCAGCAGCATGGTATGCAGTACACTTACACGAGGTCGCCATCACAAACAGTGCGCAGGGGCCGGGGCAAACGGCTTGACGCGTCTTCGCACGGCCCTTCGCGGTTGGGTTCAAGCAGTGGAGTCGTGTGGAGAGGAGGGAAATGGAGAGATGTGAATTGTAGTCTGCATTCACTCCTCAATCAATTTCTCTCTCCAGTCGCGTCGACGCGACATGCACGACACGCACCTTGAATCTGCATTGTGAATGGGCGCGAGGGGGCGTGGACAAAGGCGACAAACCGCCACTCCCCTCTCGTCGCGCCCCTCGCTCACCGTCATCCCGGTGCACCGGTGTCAGCAGGGCCTTGATCGTCAACGAGTGGCCTGTGATGGCACACAACTCATCTCAATCGTCCCCGGCGTCCCGGCGCGACCATGAGAGCGACCCACGCGACGAGCCACGCTGAGCTCCCCCTCTCCGCCCTCTCTGTCTCACTAAACAAGAGTGACTTCACTCTCCACTCACTGAAATTGCTCGCCCCCCAGCCCAGCGCCCCAGTCTTTGCACGGCCTGCAAATCAACACACGACAATCCTCTCCTCCAAACACACGCTCCACTGCACTCACCTACTGAACTGAGTGGTCACTGAAGTCTTTTTACTTGATGCTGGGCTCACATATATACTGGTCGAGCTCGATGTCGGCTTGCATCCCCACCTCAACTGCTCTCCACTCTCACTCGAGCTCACACAACTGCTCTCATTCACAGCGACAACTTCATTACACCGCCAGCCAACTCCCACCGATCTCACCGCGCCGTCTCACATCTCCCTCCACCTTCCTCCTTGAAGCACCTGGTAACACCCACGCACACAGTGAGTCGTCTCATCTCATAACATCTCATCCCTCTTTCCTCTTCTTTCTGTCCTCTCCTCTCTCACTCTTTGAACTTCTCTCTTGCCTCTGCTCACACTAGACATGCCAGTCCTCGGTCGCATCTCCTCCAATAAGGACCAGGGCACCGTTTACAGCCTCTCCCCTACTACCCGCAAGCCCCGCCTCGCTGGTGTCGGCAAAGCCCCCAAGCACAGCGGCGCTCGCCACATCTCAGGCAAGCACAGCGGCGACGCTGTGTTCCGCGCCTTCCGCAAGGCCTCTATCCGCAAAGACCGCCACGTTCCAGGCCCCCTCACCGCCGACGTGATCCCTACATCGGCGCCCGCGCCCGAGGCCGCCCTCCCGTCCCACTCATCGATGCAAGTCAAGGGCTTCGTCATCACCAACAACATTGGCATGACCCTCCGCATCCCCGCTTGTCTCCCAAAGCCAGCCATCGCACCCAACCCCGCGATGGCAATGTCGGACGGCACTGTTGTGGTGCGTTGAGATCGGTTGTTTGGTTCCATTGGCACAAGTCTGACACACAGCCCACTCCTTTCGTTCAGGAGCGCCTCACACCTCTTCTCGAGCGCATCTACAACTTTGGACAGTATTTCCAGTCGTTCCCTCATGTTCCCTCGCCTCCCTCGCCCGACCAGGCCCTTGAAGGTGGGCTGCGCAAGTCGTTCGCCTGGGGCGTCCCCTTCATCGTCAACGGGCACGACTCCGAGGGCCGGCTCGCCGCCACCTTGCGTCCCTTCCAGCCTGACGTCTGCCTCGCGGTCCGCAAACGCGATGGTGGCAAGGACGCGCCATTCCACATCACCGCCATTTCATACACTGTTTACGCGGCCTTCTTCTCCTACTTCCCCCGCCGCTTCAACATCACCCCCTCCGACCTTGTTACACAGGTCATCACCAGCGAGAACCGCTCGCCCTTGTCGACTGTCTGGGAAACCCCGCACCCTGATGACATGGAGGACATGCACGAGGCAGACACCGACGACAACGACGATGATCAGTCGTCGTGCTCTGGCGCTTCGGCTCTCGCCACCTTTGAGAACGGAGAGTACGCTCACCTCCCCATCCTCGCCATGGACGTCCCAGACCCGTCGACAATGTCACTTATCCACGACCGCCTCCACCACCCCTTTAGCAAGTGGCAGCCGGCTCTGCTTGACCTTCCCCCCTTTCCGTGCATGACGCCTGAGACGGCGGAAAGCCACCTCGCCGAGCGCAGCATTCTCGAGCTTGCCAAGGTCCTCACCCGGATCCAGGGCGTTTGGAAGAACCTTGCAGCACTCGGCCTTGAGAACGACGCGATGTGGCGAGAGCTCGGCAGCGCGTACAGCATCGTGATGGCTGTCTTCGCCAAACGTGCGGGCCAGCAACCATCAGCCACGCTCTAGACAGAGAAGAGGGGGCTTCCGGGTCATAGGGTTGTAATTGTTGTTGTAGTCACCAGGTACAGAAATGACAGCACTTCATCATCTGTTGCCCCGCGTCGCGTCGCGTGGTGCAATGCCGCGTTGTACCGAACACCGATAGGAACAGCTGAGCAAGCAGCCTCTCGGCCTCCACTGCGGCCAATTCCGTGGCGTCATGTCTTCGCACCGGTCCCAAGTTGCCCACTGACCGGGTCCTCTCATCTTGCATTCTCCCATGCTACCTCCCATCACTCGCCTCTCGCCCCGCCTTGCACGCACAATGTCTACCATTCCCAAAACGATGAGGGCCATCCAGGTGAGTATGACGACGGGGAAGCGCTGACGGCAGGTCGAGAAGACCGGCGGCCCCGAGGTCAACGTCATGCGGGAGGTCCCCGTCCCCACACCGAAGGACGACGAGCTCCTCATCAAGGTCGAGTGGACGGGTGCCAACTACATTGACAACTGTGGGTCTTTGCGCCCCCTCCCCCCCTCTCTGAACTCCCGCTCACACCAGACCGCCGCTCGGGACTGTACAAGCTCGACCTGCCGTTCTTCCAGGGCCAGGACATTGTCGGCACGATCGTGCAGCTCCCCAAGGCTGCGCACCAGGCGACGGTGCTCGGCGAGCTCAAGCTTGGACAGCGGGTCTGGACGCCCGCGGGCGCCAGCTTTGCCGAGTACGCCGTCGCGCCGTGGTGGAAGGCCGCGCCGCTGCCTGACAACGTCGACCCCAAGGATGGCGTGAGCATGTGCACCGTCGCGCTCACGGCCATGGCGCTTGTGCGGTACAGCTACACCGTCAAGAAGGGGGACTACATCCTCGTGCGCGCCGCGGCAGGCGGTGTGGGCCTCGTGCTCTGCCAGCTGGGCCGGTACCTCGGCGCGCACGTGATCGCCACGACGTCGAGCGAGGCCAAGGCCAAGCTCGCGAAGGAGAACGGCGCCGACACCGTCCTCCTAACGACGGCTTCGTCCGAGGACAACGTGAAGGAGGTGAGACTGCGCCGCGCCCCCGCTGACCCAGATCCTCAAGTTCGCCGAGGGCAAGGGCGTGCACGCCGTCTTTGACGGCGTCGGCGCAGACACGTGGGAGGAGAACTTCAAGGTCGTGCGCACAAACGCGACGATCGTGACCTTTGGCAACGCGTCCGGCGCCGTGCCGCCGTTCTCGCCGCTCAAGCTCGCGCCCAAGTGTCTCAAGGTGACGCGGCCGACGCTGTTCCCGTTCATCGCGACGCCCGAGGACTTCGCGACCCTCGCGAAGGACATGACGGACGTCGTGGAGAAGGGCGGCATCAAGTTTGCCGTGCACAAGGTCTACCCCTTTACGCAGGAGGGCGTGCAGCAGACCCAGATTGACATCACGGGACGCGGCACGACGGGTAAGCTCCTCATCCACGTCTCGTAGGGGGGCGCGGGTGCGGCGAGGGCTGCGCCCACGAGCAGGATGTAGAGAGGTATGCAGGGTGTAGTTGTGGCAGCTAGCTGGAGTGTCAAGCAGGCGGGGCAACCGGTTGCGGTGCAGGCTTCACCACAGTATCATAGTGCAGTCCCCACTAGCATATCCCAGATTACAATCACTACTCAAGCAGCAACTCGACCCCCGCGGCCTTTTGCACCGCATCGACCCACGCGCCGACGAGCGGCAGACTCTCATGTTTCCAAATGAGCGCGCCGAGATCGACGCCGGGGTGCCGCACAGCCAGCGACGCCGCATACCATCCCCACACGGCTGCGTCGGCATGCGACGCCGTCTCGCCCGCGAGGAAGGGGCCTGCGCCCTCCGCCTCGTTGGCGGCAAGGTACGCCTCGAGCGTAGCGAGTTTAGCGCGCACCGCCGCCGCCTGCCGCTCGATAAACGCGGGATCTTGGACGGCGAGCACAAGCGCGTCGATCTTGTCCTGGTCCCCGCCGAGCTTCTGTTTGAGGAACCACGCGGACGAGTCGGGCTCCTGTGCCTTGTACAGCTGGCGTCAACGTAGACGATGGGGAAGACGCACCCACGGCGCGAAGAGCGGCACAATCTCCCCCCCGAGATCCCGGTCCGCCCAGGTGTTGAGGAAGCGCGCGATCTCTTGGCCGCGCGGGAAGAGGCGCTTGCCACCGTATTTGTCTTCGAGCTGCTGTCAGCGACCCGCGTCCGCGTGGGCGTCGCGCGGAGACTTACGTATTGCGCGAGACGGAACGAGTCGAACACCCACCGCTCGCCGTCTTGGATCGCGGGCACCGTGATGCCTGCCACCGTCTCGGATTCCCAGCTCGTGCGGATCTCCGCGAACGTCCGGCCTTCCAGCCGGTAGGGGATGGAGAGGAGGCCGAGGTCCACCGCCGTTTTCCATGCGTACGGGCCTACGTTGATGTTCTGGCCCGGGCGCAGGCCCAGACCGTACAGCGTGACTTGGTCGATCGTCATGACAGAGTGTGGGGGTCGAAATATGGAGAGGGGGGGGGGGGACTAGGAGGAGAGGAGCAGGAGGAGGTTATATGGCTCGCGGATGACGTGATCACGGCACAATCTTATCACTTGCATGGCGACATGGATGCGCGCTCATGCAGTCGCCTCGATCGCCTATACACATTTATGGGACGGGCGCAGGCCGATGAGGTGCTGCAGCCTAAAATGGCCTCAAGGGTACGAGCAGTAGCTTGATGGCCGCGCAGACGCATGCCGGTACCGGCTATGATGCTTGATTTGATGCGAGGCACGCCAAGTGTCCGATCTGAGCACGCAACGCGCCACGCACGGCTCGAGCAGTCGGGATGCTTACGTCGTCTTCATCACATATATGATGCTGTTCAACGGTGGAGGACTTGAGATGCTATAAGAGACGCAGCAGGCCGGCTTCTTTCACGTGATTCCATGCGAGATCTGCACCGCGGTGGGAGTGAGCGACAGACGGCAGTAATACCGCGATTCCCTCCCATACCGAACAAGGACGCGCGTAGTCTGTGAACAACCCCTGTCCAGCTCACGAGCAACTGACTGACCCAGAGACTGATGGACTCTTTGTGGACTGAGGCGCATCTGCTCGTCGGTCGCCTCCTCCTCCCCTTCATCGCTTGCACTTATGACTCAAAATCAGAAACAGGCACTCAACCGGTAACCTCGGCCATCGCCGCCATCGTCAAGATGGCAAGATGGGCACCACGCTGTCAGCCAGCTCCAGCCCTCGCATGTCCCTGGCAACGATGTCATCGGCCCACCGATAAGATTCTTATAAAGGGCAGCGCGTCGCCAAGGCTCCCTCACTACTCATCATGACCAACTCCGTGACGCTCTACGGCCTTACGACGAAGCAGGGGACGCAGACAAACGTGAGCCCGTTCGCGTGGAAGACTGCCGTCGACCTTGGGTGAGTCCGCACCGGCTTGTGGTCTCGCTGTGACTGTGCCCTCGCCCGCTCACACCAGCCTCCTCCGCATCCCGTACACGTGGGACGGCAAGACGTTCGAGGAGATCCGCACGTCCTTCGAAGCCGAGACGGGCGTGAAGGGCATCCTCGTGCCGGCCATCAAAACCAGCGACGGGTGGGTGTACGATTCGTTCAAGATCGCCCAGCACCTCGACAACGGCACGCTGTTCCCCGACGGCGAGGCGGCTGCGCGCAAGATCGACGAGTGGGCCGACTCGGACCTGCGCGCAGCCATTATGCCGCTGCTCGTGCCATGGGTGCGTCTCCACCTCTCCACTGTCTGACACCAGCTGTACCAGGCACAAGCGCCCACATCGCAGGCATGGTTCCTCAAAATCAAGCTCGGCGGGGACCAAGCCAAGATCGACATGCTGTGCCAGGCCGTGCTCGACGCGCAGTACGTCGACGCGCAGGCCGCCAACGTGCGCTCCAAGCTGCAGAGCATCGAAGAGAAGCTCCGCGACGCGCCGTTCCTTGCCGGCGAAAGGGCGGGGCACGCCGACGCCTCTGTCTGGGGGTGGTATGCGAGCACGCGTGCGATTAGCATCCAGGGCCTCGACATCGACGATATCTGGCGCCATGAGAGCTTGCCGCGTGTCGCGGCGTGGGTGGACGCCGTGCAGAAGGCCGCGGGAGTCACCCTCGCGCTTCCGTAGAGAGAGTGGTGAAGTGAGCGTGCTATCAAAAGAGGGCGGCGTTGGAGGCGGGAGCAGCGACCCAAGTCCGGCCCGACGAGGAGATCAGTAGTGCCATTCACGCCGGATTGCCTTCTGGGACTTCACGGTGCACAGCACTGCTCGAAGTGATGTAGTGATGTGCAGGCCAGCTGGAGCGCGCGAGTTAATGCAGCGCACCTGTTACATAATCACAGGCGAGATGGCCGAGCGGTCTAAGGCGCTGTGTTAAGGTGATACCAGTATCATCCGCAGTCTTCGGACGTGGGTTCGAATCCCACTCTCGTCAAACGAGGATTCAATTCCTCAGCCTACTCTTTTGCAATTGGGCGGGGGCCGAGGGGAAGTGTCGGTCGCGGGGCAGGAACCATAAGTGGAACCATGAGAGCACCCACTCCTCACAAATGGTCACCCAGTGCCCGGCTTTGCTCTTACGTTCGTATCACACCTGCGTGCGCGTCGACGTCGAGAAGTTCTCACGCGTGCACCTTCCGCATAATTTCTACAAAGTGGGGCAGCATTACCCAGCTTATTTGCTACCCCCTCCAAACCCCCCCCCTCGGACAAACCCCTATCCGCGCCCTCCCCTCGGCGCCCTCATCACCGGCCCCACTGCACACTTCGCAAAATACCTCCCTGTGGATTGGCTGTCCGCCCTCGACCGACAAATCCCGACCAACCAGCGCCGGCCCCGACACTCCCCGCCCAGCACTCGACACTCACGAACTCGCACGCTCGACGCTCGACGCTCGATACAGCGCCGCATCCACCACTCCACCGCACGCCATGTCGCTCTCGCTCCTCCGCTCCGCCCCCCTGCGTGCCGGCCTCGGCGTGCGCCCGCTCCACACCAGTGCGTTCGAGAGGGAAGGGGTGCGCGCGGCGCGCGTGTCCCGCCTCCCACTGCACCTCGCAGAAGATCGCTGACCCCAGCCCGCGCCGTCGCCGTGCAGGCTTCGCGCGCTGCGCGCGACCGCGCCATCTCAGCCGACGAGACCGGTGGCTTCAAGTACATCGCTGGCGGCCGTGAGTAGGACCGGCGCATGGCGCATGCGCATGCGCATGCGGCGGGGTTGAGCCTGCCTCCGCTTTGCGCTGCGCTGCGCCGCGGCCTCGCTCGCTCCTCGACTGACCCCAGCCATTATCAAGGGCACCGTCAACGACGCCGTGGCGTACCCCGCGCCCAACAAGGCGCACGGCTCGTACCACTGGGCCTTTGAGCGTCTGCTCTCGGCCTCGCTTGTGCCGCTGACCATCGCGGCCGGCGTGACTTCGCCCACTGCCCACGTGAGTGCGGACGATGGAGCTTTTCGTGGCGAGGGGCGGGGAAGGAAGCGGTTGGGGTGGCGAGCGACAGTGTTTGGCGTTACGCCCTCCCGCCTCAGCTTCTCTTCACCGCCTCGACTGGCCACCCTCCAAGTCCGAGTCGGACTCGCACACCCTACCCGCAAACACTAACCCCAGCCCGTCCTCGACGGCGTGCTCGGCCTTGCCCTCCTCTCGCACTCGTACATCGGCTTCATGGCCTGTATCGACGACTACGTGCACGAGCGCAAGTTCGGCGCCCTCGGCACCCTCTGCCGCTGGCTCCTCCGCTTCGGCACCTTTGGCGCCGCGTACGGCATCTACGAGTTCAACACCAACGACATCGGCCTCACCGAGTTCGTCGAGAAGGCGTGGAAGGCCTAAGGCGCCCGACACTGGGGCTCAAAATGGTGTACAGTAGGACATGCAGCACTATCAAGTACGCGCGGGGCACGAGTGTTCAGTTTGACAGTTGACGAGGTTGTGGTTGGCTGAGTAGGACCAAAGATAAGTCTGCCGCATCTAAATGTGCCTCATTTGTCTCGTCGCCATGTAAACTGCGCAACCTTTAGCCCAAACACGACACTGCGTATGCTACAACATAACAGGACTAGAATGCCATTATTGCCCAGCTCCCCCTCCTCTTCCTTCATCCTTCCCCCAATTCCATCTCACCCCACCCGCGATCGCTTCGTGGCCCACTCATTCGGATCAACCGGGATCTCGTTCAACGCTCGTCGGCCACCTGACAGCGAACGCTCCAACTTATCAGGCGACTGGCTGTTGCTGTGCGTCAGCTTCGCGCAACTCCCACTATCTCACCTCTCGCGTTTGACGCCGCGCGCACTGGCAAAGCCACCTAAGCCGCCGTTTGCGTTTGCGATGCCGAGATCAGCACCGTGTGTGCGTAGATTCTCGTTTGCGCGGGCCGCCACGGTGTCTATCCCACCCGAGGGGATGGAGGGCTGTTGTGGCTCGTCCATGAAACTTGCCTGAATGGCTGCGCGGCGCCGGGCAGCTGCGTCGGCTGCTGACTCCGGCGGTGTGCGTGAAATAGCCTGCTGCCGCGCATTCACTGCCGCACTACCCCCATTGCTCGCTCCGTTAGGCATGGCGAAGCCTCCCACCACCTTCCTCCTCACGTCCCCTGCGGCGTCACTGCGTGCACCGTTCGATGTGCTCGATCCAGCCGACGAGTTTGTATCCGCGTTCTGAACCGCAGCAGCTGGTGGAGGTGGAGGCATGTCAGGCCGGTGACGGTGCTGGTAGACTGGAGCATTGTTAGGTGGTTCAGATCTTGCCACACGCCCTTCCCCGAGCATAGGTCTGTGGTTAGTCCGACATGGGCGCTCTACTCACACGTCGCCGACGACTCGGGCTCCAAGGACCGACTGGTCAAACTCCGCGAAGAACGATTCACTCTCCATGAACGCATACTCGGGGTCCTCGCCTAGCGATGCAAGGTCTTGCGACTCGTCCACTGAGCGCAGCGGCGTCTCCTCGCGAACACTCCTGGTTGGTGGTGCAGGGCCACGAACGGGAGGGGCTGGGGCTGACGGCTTCGGATTCCCTGAGATGTGCTGCGGTACTGCCGAAGCCGTCGCATGCGCCGTTGTCGGAGGTGGAAGACGGGTTGCACCCTGCGGAGTAAACTCTGGCCGGCGCTCGAGCTCGTCGGGGTTCCACTTGGCCTGAATGGTCAGCACCGCCGGGGAAACTGCTCACTGGCCCCACACGCATCTTCTGCACCTCCTTGGTGTACTCCCTGTCGTACAAGCAGTTGCCTAGGACGTTGCCGAAGTGCTTGAGCGCACGCTTGATGCCGTCCGTCACGGCCTCCTTCTGCGCCTAAAGTCAGAGCGGTCTCGCCATCACGAACCTTCTCAAGCGCCATCGCCTTCCCTCGGATGTTCTCGGCGTGCCCGTATCCCAAGTCCTCATGATAACATCCATCCTTGAGCGTGATGCGGATTATTGCCGTGATGCCAACCTTGACGCGCTCGTTGGCATCAACGTCGAGCTAATGTCAGTCCAAGTCGGATGGTCCGACCCACAAAGTCAGTTTGCAATCTTGTGATGGAGGAAGACCAGCCGTTGAAGCCGAATACTTCGTTCGCGAGATTGATCACTTTGGTTAGCGACCAATTGCTATGGCAATGCGAGACCAGCCTCACCCTTCCAGCCCTCAATATAGCTAACAAGTCAGCAATGATTCATTTATTACTCACCTCAGTTTTGGCCCGCCGCCCGGTCCGGCACGCTGCGTGACGTACTCCGGCCCCAACTTCTTCTGGAGCCGAGCCTGCAGTGTCGCCACCTTGTCTTCACTCCACGGTGTGAAACTTCCTGGCATAGGTGTCCCAAACGCGAACGGCGACATGGGCGTACCGTGGTGAACGCCATATTGGCTGCCGTCGGCGCCGGCGAGTGGAGTGTTTGGCGCCTGATATGTCGGCCGCAATGGTGTTTGGAGCGGCACCATGTGTGGTGGCAGTGAGTAGCCACTCATTGTTGCGTGTTGCTCGATGAGGTGTATCGAGAGTGTCGACATGGGCCGGAGCCGAAGAGGAGCGTTTGTTGGAGGAATAAGTACAACAACGAGATCGGGGTAGCGGCGAGAGATCGGGGGATGAGGCGATGAGAGATGAGATGAGATGAGGTGGACGGAGGTGGAGGTTGCCGGTTGAGTGGACTTTGTTGTGACTTCTACCAAGGTCAGTCACGCCCACGTGAGATGCATTTACGTAACCCATTCGTCACCTCGCCCAGACGCGTCTCAATGCGCGCTGATTTCGCGTCCGCAACATTACCACCATGGCCACCCCGCTCTCCGACGCCGAGCGGCCGTCCCGGCCCGTCGTGGCCTACTCGTCGCTGTCAGAGCTCTCTGCACCTTTCTTCATCGACCCCACCAGTCGATCATACAAGCACCAGTATAGTAACATCTACTTCGTTCGGCTTGTCGAGCTGCGACCGATTGTGGAGGCACGCGCCGCCAAGCTGTGGGCCAAAGTCCGAGGTAAGCCTTACCGGACGACATCGGCAAGCTAGCTGACGGCAGGCAAACCCCCGCTCCTCCCTCGTATCCTCAACCTCCAGCGTGGGCAGCTGTGCTATATTGTCGGCACGGTGTACATGGACATGCCACTGAAGCCGAATGTGTTGGAAGAGATGGCGCGGAGTGTGAGTAAGCCTAATACGGCGCTGACGGGAGCACTATGTCGCTGCGCCTGCTGCACGGCCCAAATTCTTCTCTGCACAGGACGCCGTGCACATCGAGGACGAGAGTGGGCGAGTGCGGCTCGTCGGGCCGCGCATCCGGGAAGAGCGGGAGAAGGGAGGGCTCGTCACGGGTGTCATTATGGGCGTGCTGGGCGTCGAGACGGGCGGGGGCGACTTCGAAGTCGTGGATCTCTGCTATGCCGGCCTGCCGGACGTTTATAGGCCCGCGGCCAACGGCAAGGGGAAGGAGAAGGAAGAGGGAATGGATGTTGACGTGGACGCGAACGGAGAGAAGGAGAAGACATGGGTGGCCCTCGTTTGCGGGCTGTCGATCGGCGCCGAGACAGCACTTCTCGACATGAAGGCGCAGCTGCTCGTCGAATGGCTGATGGGAGAAGGTGGCGGGCCGGAGGTGAGCATCACATTGGGTAAGCTGACGAGCAGGACCAGAGCATCGCGAAGAGGATAGCGCGGTTGGTGCTTGTGGGCAACTCGCTCGCAGTGCCGGAAGTGAAGGACGAACGATGGAACAAGAAGCCGCTGAGCGTCGGCCTCGCCCCTCACGTCCCTAACCACCCGACCAAGGTGCTCGCCACTTTGCTGAGTGATCTGCTTGCGTCATCCCTGCCCCTCGTGCTTGTACCAGGGCCCGAAGATCCGGCGGGCGCACTGCTGCCACAGCAGCCCATGCCGAAAGTTATGTTCGGTGGGAAGCGGATGGAGGGCCTGGAAAGCGTCACCAATCCGACCTGGCTTGAAGTCGGCGAGCGGAGGTGAGCTTTTCCAGTTCATGACGAAGCTGACTTCAGTATGCTCTGCTCGAGTGGGCAGAGCATCGACGACATCTACAAGTATCTTCCCGGGACGCAGCGGCTGCGCATGGCGCACCGCACCCTCGAGTGGCGGCATCTCGCCCCCACTGCCCCCGATACACTGTGTAAGCCCACGCGCGACAGAGCTGACATCAGCCGTCTACCCCTACCCCGACACAGACCCATTCATCATACACCACAGGCCCGACATCTACGTTGTGGGCAACCAGCCCGAGTTTGAGACAGACCTCGTGGGGGACGGGACGACGCGGCTGGTCCTCCTGCCCTCGTTCGCGCAGACGGGCACGGTGGCACTCGTGTGCCTCGAGACACTCGAAGTGCAGACCGTCACGTTCGAAGTACCGCAGTGGGTGGGCGACCCCAAGCCATAGTCATGCATGTACTCTAAGCGGGGACCTCGGTCTCGAACAGCGCCATGCCCCGGTCGCCATGGCGGTATCCCATACTAACCTCTCTCGGTGCGTGATCGCTCTGCCTCCCCCACTTGCCCTTCCCGCGCGGCACCTCCTTCCTCGCCCGCCCATCATGCGTCACAATCCCGTCTGCGACATCCCCGCTCCCATCGAAGGCAAGCACGAACGCGCGCCGCTCCGTGACGCCCCACACGCGCCCGCCGTCCCCAGCGAGCGCGTACACCGGGCTCCCGCGCCCCGCGGGCGAAAATACACTCCACCCCGCGGCGGGGTTACGCACATCCCAGACACTCACAGCGCCGTGCAGCGCGCCGCCTGCGGCGACGCCGTACTCGCCGACATACGCGGCGGAATACAACGCGGCGTCGGACCACGGGTCCGCGAGCGCGATGACGGGCGCCGCGCCCGCGCGCGGATCATGTATCCGCGCCACGCCGTCGTACCACGCCGACAGCACCTGACGGGCCGGGACGACGGCGTACGCCTCGCTCTTCGCGGGCCCGCGCAACGTGCCGGCCGGCACGGCCCCGGAGAGCGCGTACATCCCTATGGCGCCCGCAACGCCGAGGTACGCCGTGTCGCCCGCCAGCGCGGCGGACCAGGGACGCGCGCTGAGCGCAATCTCGGCCGGCGGCGTCCACGGCGCCCGCGCGGAGTAGAGGCGTACGCGCCGCTCGCTGGCGGCTAAGAAGGCGTCGCCGCAGCCCGCGAACGCCCGGATGTTGGCTGGCGACGACACGCCTCCCCGCGGATGCATGTAGTGCGCGGTGCACGCGGCGCGGGAGAGGCGGCGCAGCGTGCCGTCAAAGTGCGCGACTACGAAGCTGTCGGGCGCTGCGAGGGCGTGGATGCCTACGATGTCGGCGGCGCTGCCCGATCCTGACATCGAGCCTGAAGCCGAACTCGAACCGCCGAGAGACATGGCGTGCGCTGGGGCCGCGGAGCGCGGGGCCCACATCCTCCGCGCGGCGAGCGGGTGTACGAGCAGCTGCGTCCCGACGCCTAGGACTAGGGCTGGGTCGTCCCCGCCCCGTAAACAGAGGGCGGGGATGACGGGCGAGCGCCACTCGGGGCCGATTTGCAGCGCGTGCAGTTTGTGTGTTTGGAGCGCGCGGGATATGCGCCCATTCAGTGCGAACAGCGCGGCTGGGGGCCAGCGGGGCGGCGCGGGGTGGAGTGTCTGGTGTGATACGGGGTGCTGCGATAGATGCAAGGGGATGCCGAGGGTGCGGACCTGGAGTCAGCAAGTGGGGTGGTGAAGAGGAGAGTGGGAATACTCACTCTACTGTCGAGAGTGCGGGAGACGCGGAGGCGGACGAGGTCCTCAGCGTCGAGGAGCTCGAAGATGTGCACGAGCACGTCGTCGGGAAGACCCTCGAGAGACGCAAGTGCGGGGGGTCCGCGCGCGGCCTCGCGCATGCGTCGGGTCATTGTGTGAGGTCGATAGCGAGGCAGTCGTTGCTGCCGGTCAACTGGTATATCTGGTTTCAGAATTCTGGTGGCGAAAGTTCGGTGGTCAGTGGCAAAGTGGAGGTCAGAAGTCCGCTGCGGCGGAGGTAGAGTGGCCCCGCCGCACAGACTGACGCGACTGACCTTTATGACATCAACGTCAGCGGCGCGTGCACGGCCAGTCAGGTCCATACACTACACTACAAGTCGCTACATTACATGGCAATTAGGACGTGACCCACGACGGCGCGGCCTGCGGTGGCGGGGCCGGGCGGCCGCTCTGCGCCTCGTTCTCCAGCATGTCCAGGAGCTGGCCAACGATGTCGTCAATCTCGCCCGGGTTGATGTCCCCTCCACACCCAGCCGTTATCAGGCGCCGGTACTGCGCCATCTTGTCTGTCGTGCCCGTCTGCCGTCAGCGCGTCCACAGACAGCAGACACTCACCTGTGTCTGCGCCTTCACCAGGCGCGTTACCAGCTCGCCGCGCCGTGCCCGCATCTTCTCGATCTCGCCGCGCAACCGCTCCTCTTCGGCCTCGGCGTTGTCAGGAATGGCGGTGAGTTCCGGCAAATCCGAGTAGTCCTCGCCCGCCTGAGATGGGTCGTCGCCGTTCTTCCATCGGTTTTCGCGGCCCTCGTCCGCGGCCTTCCACTTGCGAGCACCGCGGGCCAAGTCCTTCTGGAGCTTGCTTTGGAGCCGCTCAACCAACCCATCAAGCTCGCCCTGCTTGGCCTCGAGCGGCTTCATCTGCTCGCCCAAGTTGTGCAGTGTCCGCCCGGCGTCGTTGACCTCGGTGTGAATGCTCGTGAGCATCGCCTTGGCCTCGAGCACGTCGCGCTCCTTGTTGAGCTTCTCCGCCTCGAAGGATCGTGCCAGTGCCTGCATTTGCTGGAGGATGTCAGAGCTGTGTGGCCCGCTTGCCAACCGCGCTGCCTCCGAGTTGTACAGCTGCGGCGGGAGGCCCTGGCTGAATACGGCGGCGCCGAGCGATGTCGGGTTGCGAGGGGCGGCCGAAGGCTGCGTGCGGTTCAACATGACGTCGGGGGACGACCTGAAGCGCTCGTCTTCCAGGATGTAGTCCTCAGCCGATTTGTGGTCACGGTTGCGGAGCTTGGGGTCGGCGCCGTGATCAAGCAACGCCTTGACGATGCGCTTGGACCTCGCACGAGCGGCAAGGGTCAACGCCGTCTCACCATCCTCGTCGGCAAAGTTGATTACGTCTGCCAACTCCTGCGGATAGTCGGCGAGGCGGGACAGAATCACCTCCATGTAGTACCGCGCGGCATGCGTTTTCCCCTTGTACAATGCGAGATTGGCGATGTGGTGGAAAACGGTACGATTGTTCTTGTCGATATTAAGGGTGGAACGATGGAGAAGCTCGAAGACTTCGGGAAACTTGCGCAAGTCGTAGTTGTTGGTGAACATGACACTGCGCATGAGAGGGGTCTGATCAAGGTTGTTCTTGTCAAAAATACGAGCGCCGGCGGACAGGAGGAGCTTAATAACGCGCGTGCGACCCATTGCGGCTGCCCAGTGGAGAGCGGTGTGATGGTCATCATCGATGATGCCGTTCGGGTCCCAATTGTAGGGCGGGTTGGTCATGACTGCGGGAATCTGTGTAGCCTCTGAAACAAAGTAGTTCAGCACGATGTCGTTGTATTCGTCCTGGGTGAGGGGATGCTGCATCCCACCGTACCGAGGGCTCTGACCGGGTGGAGGAGGAGTGTGAACGGCACTGTTACCTCGTGCTCGCTTCAGCTGCTCGTACTCGTCCTCGTCGTCCATCATGGCGGCAGAGCGCTTGCGCGCGTGACCGCCCCCATTCATCATGCTGAAGCCGTCAATGTCCATGCCATCAATACTCCGCTCGTCGACGGCAGGGAGCAGCGAGGTCCCATTGAGCGGCGACGGCGTTTGCGATTCAGACATGTCGTCCATGACCTCGGACTCGACGTCCTCGCCGACCGAGTCAGGTGTCTGATGTCGCCCAGTGCCGCTGAGAACCCCGGCGCTCTTGATCGGAACGAGCCCCTCCTTCGGCTTGGGCTCTTTGTTGCGCTTCGTGGGCGGCGCAACAGCATGCTTGGGTGCCGGGGGCGGAGACACTGATTCTCTCGGGACAAAGTCAATGATGGGGCGCAGCAAGTCTTCGACATTGTACTGCTTAGCGAGTGCGAGGCCTCGTTCAATGGGCACCCACGTCCCTGGGCGTCAGCTAGGGTAACATGACGCGACGACGCGTGGACCGCACCCGCGAAGCGCCATCTCGCATCCGCCAATACGCACCTTGGTACTTTCCGTACCCGCCCTGCACCTTCTCGTGCTCGCCTTTCTGGACCTCGCGTTCGAGGACGCGTGTTCGCTGCGGCTTGTCGAACCCGGCGACCTTGAGAATCTGGGTGGCGTTGAGGTACGCGTCGGACCGGCGGCGCATGACGGCTACATTGCGGCAGATGAACTCGAACACAGGACTGGACGCGTCAGAGCGGGTGCGAACACGCGCGGGGCGAGGCAACTTACACGCCACTGTAATGTCAAGCGCGAGTAGTCGATGGGGCCAGCGGAAGTGGGTCAGCACGCGTCATCACGGGAGTGTTTGGGCCGACTTCGGCGATCATCAACATACCTGTACGTGGCCTGTATGCATGCGTCAGTATCTGTAGTGCAGTGAGACAGAAGAGGATGGGTTGTTTGTGCCTATCCATGGAGCACATAGGTAAAACGCACCTTGTAGATGGTGTTGGGTCCGCCGTCGCCGGCCGCGGCTGCTTTCTTGCCCATGGGAGGATCGCGTCGAGCGCCTCTTGCGGCGGCGTGTGTTTGGAAGAGAAGAGAGAAGAGCGACCGTGCTCTGGGCTGCGGTCTGAGGCGGAGTAGATGGGAGTGGGAGAGGGGGGAAACAGGAGACGGAGAGGATGGATGGATGCAGTGGATGTTGGGAGCGTGAGTAGAGGTAATGAAGCGAGGTCGCGCGGGATGGAGGTGGGGGAAGAGAGGGGAGCGTGGGGTGGGTGGCTCGACGCGTCCAAGGTAAAGACCGCCGCCGTCATCAATCTCCCTGTCCTAATCATTTACTATTTGCTCCTAATCAGCTTATTAGGACATGAATTCCTTGGCTCCTCGGGCCGTGCCCCGTCTCGCAACACAGATGAGACGCCCTCCACCCTCCACCCTCGCCCCGGCCCGCGTGCTCTGTGGACCACGTGGTAAACACCGCCGTGTGGCACTGTGCCTGATCCCCCGCAGGTGGAGGCCGTCTAAAGTTGAATGTCGGCGATGTTGACACTCCCACCCTCGCCATTGTCGGCCCCCCCGCCGCCCATCCTCCCATGAAGGTAGGCTTACCCGCAAGCCAAACCAGCTCACGCAGATCTCAAACAACCCCCCACAGCACCTCTCGAACTACGAGGTGCTGCAGCACTTCCTCGCGCTCAAGAAGGACAACGATGTGCTCCTGCGCGCGACCGAGGCCAAGAAGAACCGCGACATCAAGGGCGCGTACGACCAGATCCCGCTTGTGACGAGGCGCGGCGAAATTGGCGGGCCCGAAATTCCGGACGTGCCTCCCGTCTCGGCGGCGCAGCGGCGGCGCGAGGACGATGCCGCGCGCCGAGGCGTGAGCAAGGACCTCGTGTGGGTGCAGGATGAGGTGCTCAAGTACCTCTGTGCGGATTACAACGCTACGGCGCGCCAGACGGCCGACGGGGTGCGCGCTGTTGCGGACGGGCTGCAGGATTACGGGCTTACCAAGGCCGAGCTGTTGCAGGCTTGTAACCTTGCTCCGATTAACCAGGTTGGCATGTACTTGGTAAGTGGGAGATGATGGAGAGGGGGAGGACGGGAAAAAGTCAGGGCTGACGCTAGATTATGGAGGAGGCAGAAAAGCGCTTCCAGCATTATCCTGGAGGGTACGAGCAGACCGTTGGCACCATCATCTCCGAGGTCATTGAACCCAGCCTCCTCCACGAGGTGCCGGAGGAATTGGAGCCATTTGTTACAAGCGTCCAGGCGAAGGAAATTGGTGAGCAGTTCTCATTAAAGTAGCCGCTAATCAACAGCGCAAACGATCTTGGAAGATGCGGCCGCGTACGCCGAGGAGGAGGAAATGATGTACCAGGAGGAAGAGTTTGTGCACGAAGCCGAGTGGGGAGCAGGAAAGGAGGCCGCAGCCGACGACGAGGAGGACAATACGATGGACTGAGGGGAAGGAGGTCTGGTTCGATACTCATTGTACGCATGTAGCCTATCACACACCGATACATTCATTACATTCAAATACCATTGTTCCCATGTCCAGGTTGGCGATTATCCACCAAAGTAGCTGCCGCTGATGGCGTGGCTCACACCGAATGAGCAGAGGCTGCCGATAGCAAGGCCCGAGACGAGCGAGAATGCCGCAAGAGTGCCGGCGATATCCTTTTCGTCCTCTGTGATAGCAGGGTTGAGTTCTGGCGACGAGGCAAACATCATGCACAACGTGGAGATCCATCTGTAATCAGCTGGAGCTGGAACCACACATCGGAGGGCCGCTCACCCATTGGTCAAGCCGAAAGCGAGAAGGATGAGCCAGTAGACAAAGTCGGGTAAGGCGGGAAGTTCTCCCTTGGCACGAGCGGGAATGTTGCAGAACAGGAAGAGCGGGATGAGAATCACGCGCGCGAGGGAGAGCATGACAATGCGCGGAATTGTCATCGAGCTCAGCCCCAAGGACGGGAGGTACGTCCTACCGGTGTAGTCGCCGACTGTATGTCAGCTATTCCTCTGGAAATGAATTCAGCCAACGCACCGTTGAAGAGGAAGAAGTGGATCGCCACAAAGGTAGCTGGCTGGAGTATCTTTGGCGGGTTCTTCATGACACTTGTGATCGTAGTCGTAATCGGAGGGAACACAGAGAGTGTCACCACAAAGATGAATGCGACTGCGAACTCGAGTCTCAGATTCTTCCTCGCTACCGTACGCGTCATGCGCCCATCCTTGACTCTGTCCGCAGCTGCTGTCCGGGACGCCAATGGGGCTAGGACCTCGGCAATGGCAGGGTTGCGGGTGAGGCGTTTGAGGGCGAGAAGGCATACCACAACCCAACCGGCTGCGAGGAACCACAGTCCAAACGCAGCACTTGTCGACGCCTCTTCATCCCCTTTGGATGACAGGAGAGCGAGTACAACCTGGCTCCCGCTCACGAGGACCGCGATACCGCCTTGACCGGACATCACACCCTGCATCTCCCCGCTGCCCCACAGTGCCGCGAGCGCGATCACCGCGCTCTGAAGAAATGACGTGGTGAGCGCGAGGACGAGGGTCATCAAAATTAGGAGGGGCAAGAACATCGCGCGGCCACCAGAGCCCCCGTTCGCTAGTGCCGGCAGCACAACCGGGATGATGGGGTAGGCGAGGACGATGCAGGCCACGAGAAGGAGGATGAGCGACCACCTTGAACGCCCGATTGGGTTGACCTAGATTTAGTTGGGCCAGTCATGTCAGCTTACGCGGGAGACAGTCCGCTGAGCCAGGCCAAGGAAGAACAAGTTGGCGAAACAGAATGTGGTCGAGAGGTAGGATGGGAGGCTGTTGCGTAGACCGCCCTCCTCTGTGAGGCTGAGGAGAAGTGGGAGCGTGCACATCAGCGCTGCGGTCAGCTCAAAGTCCAAGACGAAAGCCTACCATTCCAAGGGAGGAGAACGCCAGCGCCAAGCGCCCAAAAGCAGAGGTGTACATCCTTCGAGGGGGCGCGGCCTGCCAACCTAGTTGCTTCACCCTCGGCCTCGGGGTCTGTCGCAATGGGAGTGTACGCCACCTCTGGAGCGAGAAAGCTGCGCGCCCTCTGCTGAATGGCGCTGAGCATGATGGCGATGCAAGTGGGCGATGTCAACAACCAACAACGCGGCAAGGGGAAGGTGTCGCGTCCATGGGTGTAGCAACGTGATCAGGCAAGTGGAGGTTCCGGATTTGGTCCCGGTGCGGTCATGGAGAAGTGGAAGTGTGAAGACGACTCTTCATCGAGCACTCTGTGCATTCGCATCTCTTCTCACTCTCGTCAGCCTCCTCTCTTGAGCCTCCTCTGCCTCTGGGATCAGTTGCCGCACACGGTTCGACATCCCAACTTCTTCGACTTTTGCTGGCGGTAGCTCGACTCGTGGCGCCAGCGATAACGCTCAGCTCCGCAGACTTCCCGTCTGCCATGGAGTACCATTCACTTCACGAGCCGCCCGCCTCGGGATCCAACCCAGTGCCCTCCGATAGCTTCAGTACCCCCGCGACGGCGGGACCCTCACAGGAGCCTCAACCTCAACCTCAACCTCAACCTCAACCTCAACCTCCAAAGGGAACCGACAACGCCCTCATTGTACCAACTGTCAACCAGTCGTCATCCAGCACCGCGCCTGATCCTTCTGATGACAAGCCTACGGAGATTGTCCGCTACAATACCGCTACTGGGCGCAAATACGTCTATCCCGCGGCTACCGTTCCAAACCCGGCTATCGCGCTGCAGCCGCTCACCACCGTTGACCCGGCACTGGGTGAGCTGGAGCGGCCGCACTTCGTGCCCATCGACCTCGATGCGCGCGTGGACAGAGCAAGTGTGTGGATGAAGACGGTGCCGGGCACGGGCGAGGTGGTGTTCTTTATTCCAGGATCTTGCTCGGAATGCCTCAAGTTGCAGCAGCATTGCGATCGCGCATCGCCGACCTGCGGACGCTGCCGGAAGCGAGAGACAGCATGCAAGCTCCAGGGGTTCAAACATCTGCGTCCGTCGGCGCCGGTGCAAGACAGACGCGCTGAAAAGGGGAAGGGAAAGCAGACTGGGGAAGGCGAGAGCGGTGATGAAGGGCGAGGCAAAAGAGTGAAGAAGAAGCGTCGCCTCAGCGCTTCCGACGAAGTGGACCCAAACACACTCAATTTCGACGGTAGCGCCATCCGCAAGGCGCGTGCGCGTCCTTCTAAGCGTCCTCCGTTGCCGTCGAGCAGCGCAGGATATGCCCGCCCTGAAGATGTTGCTCCAACATTTGCGGATCAAGTTTACGCCCATCTCGCGGGGCGAGTATCCGCTGCGCTAGAGGATCCCCGTGGAATACCCCCATTCTGGGCTGAGCGACGCCGCACGCTTCAGGAAGCACTGCCTTTCTTCCGCAATCTTGTGGAGACCGATGGCGCCGCAGTTGACATTGGACCAAGCGGTGTTTCGCGCGGTATCATTCTGGACGGAATGCCAAATCAGTCCACGACAGAGCACTTTTTTGGCAGCGGAGAACGTGCAGGGACGATCCTGACCAACATGTGAGCTAGCACGGCGGAGACGGCTGACAACAGTGGAAAGGTGAGGCGTCGACGCTGGTCAGTACACAGCTCCAAGGGGCCAAGTGTCACACCACCAGCACAGGATACACCGAGCTCAGCAGACGACCTGACGCATCCTCTGCATGGAGCCCCGAACGGAAATGGACGCGTCCTCGTCAATGGGAATGCTGCATCCTCGACCCCTGGGCCCGAAGAAGAACGTGCCATCGAGGCACTACTAATGGCCCACCGCGCTGGAACACCGGTCGCTGTGGCGGTCACCCCGGCCTTTCCGAACATACCGTGGAAGGTCACCAAAGCCGTTCTGGGTTTGGGATGGTTCTGGATCGTGGACGCGTGGACCGAACTCTCGCTGGTGCAGAAGCCCGAAATCTCGGAGGGCGACAAGGACGTCGTTTGGCGGTTTCGCCTCGAGTGGTGCAGCAACCAGCCCGAGCCCTGGTGGACGCCTAGAAGTGCAGCCGCCCGCGTGGACCCGGACTTCGCCGAACGCGTCGCGAGCGACGCGGTCATCGAGGTGCGCAAGACGGCTCCGACGCGCACATTACGCGGCGCCGCCGAGGGTGAAGGAAACAAGTGCGGGACATGTGGGCAGACCTCTTCCAAGGTGTATGACGAGCCCGTATGTCTCAACGAGGAGTGCGTGCGTATGCGGAGGGAATCCCAATCTCGCACGCCAATTACCACGCTGCCCGGAGGCGTTCTCATTCCTCCTGAAACACCTGGGCGAACTTTCACGCGGCCGGCATGCCCCCCAAGGGCCGACACGGTGCGCCACGACGCGCAGCGCGAGATGTGGCACGGGTGGGTGTGCCCTCGTTGTCGGCTCGCCAACGAGCGACGCGACTGGACTGGCTTCATCTGCGAGTGGTGTACGCACATCGACCGACCACGGCGCTTGATCTACGCTGCTGAAGCATTGCGCGCACCACGCCCGGTCGCAACTGGAGCGCGGCAGGAAGAGGGCTTCGCGACCTGGGCTATCGAAAGCCGCACCTCTGCGTTATTCGATGACGAGGTCAAGGCTGCCCGCTGGCAGCTGTCGTGGGTTGAGATGGTGCACATCATGGGGCATGAAGGCGTCTGCCTTATCCCCAACAGCGTCCTCAAGGGGCTGCAGATACAGGGGCGTGACGAAGTGCCATTCCGCCGACACGCGTTGCCCGCGACCTCATCGCGACCCTCCGAGCTCCTCATCAGCCCCTTTTACACGTTTTTGGCGGGGCCGGACAGTGTTCCACTTATCCCGCACCTCCCGACTTCGACGGCGATCAAGTGGTCGGACGCCCCGAAAGTCACACTCGACGCGATGGATCTAATCAACGAGCGCGCTGGGAGGATACACCCCGGCGAGGCAGAGTTCAACTCGCTGCTTCTCGCGGCACTGCCGCCACCCCCTGCCCAGTCGCCTACTATCTCCCTCTCCTTGTACTCGACCACGGCGCTCCTCATCCTCGGCGCAGATGCGGTGGTGCATGTCCGCCGTTCCCGCCGTCGCGCTGGCGAGATCACGGCGCAGCATGGCGACGTGATTCTTTTCCAGGTCGGCCCGGAGGCGGTTGAGATCGAGGTCCGCACCGACGGTTTCGGGTTTGTCGGTATCGCAAGGCGCGCGCACGAGGTCCCGCCAACGGAGATCCCCGCCGGCCCGCTCGCGAGCTGGTACATGGGCCCGTGGCCGCTGGACCGCTCCGCGCCGTTGCGACCGCATCCGGCGTTCGCTGGCGACGCAACTCCCAGCGCCTCTAGAGACGGAGAGGACACGGATGTGGACGAAGGAGCAAAGGAGAAGGTAGCCGCTGCGGAGGACACGTTCGACGTTGCCAAAATCCTCGCTTCGCCTCGATTTCGCGGCGTCGAGCTCTGCGCGCCCCACTCGCCGCCGACGGTTTTGAGCGCGCCAGAACATGCGCCCGTGCCGAGTGTCAAGGCTGTGCGGAAGACGTCTGTGCGCGGGCGCGGCCGGGGACGGGGACGTGGACGGGGAGGGGGACGCCCGAGGGGCCGCGGGCGAGGCCGCGGTGGCGGTTCGCGCGGGAGCACAGGCACACCGATGGACGAGGACGAGGGCGAGGAGGAGCTAGACGACTTCGACGACGAGTCGAACTAGCCTTTGTCATTAGCTGCTGATGCATGACGGTAGATGCAGCGGGCGCGCGAGGGTTGGGTGCCTAGAGGCGGGACGATTGCGTGAGCTGTGCTGGAAAGCTGGAGATGAGCGTCTGCCGTCGTTCCCTTCAGCGCCTAGGTCCTAAACCGCGGGTTGAATGAGCCTTGGAACTGGTGGCAAGCGCTGCTCGCTCCAACAAAGACTGCATCGCCATATCCACCCCTGCCGCAGGTACATCTGCCACGCGGAAGTAGAACGTTGCCTTGCTTCAAGGAAGACACCCGACTTGCGCCCAATACCTCTCACTCGGCTGCTAAGATAAGAGTTACAAGGCTACGCGGGGTTAGGTTCCGGAACCGACGCCGTTGTTGACGTCAAACGAGGGGTTCGTCAGGTCAGGTGAACAGCCTCGATACCCGAGAAAGTAACGGCAGAATCAGCAGGTAGCCGAAGTGGCGTATCTCCTGGCGAGCAGGTAAGCGCGTTGCGAGAGGCGTCTTCTGCATCGAGTGCTGGCGGTCGCCGCCGTCCATGTGACGCGCAAAACCACTGGCTGACATCTCAAGGCCAGAGCAGGGAGGAAAGCAGAATGGTCCACGAGACGAGAAGTTGTACATACATTTCTTACATACAGGTACGAGGTCTTACAGAGCTAGGACGGCGCCGTGCCTCCGCGCCTCGCGGTACGTCGGCAGCCGATACGCTTCGTACGAAGGTAGCTCCTCCCAGGACGGCACGTACGGCGGCGGGGGTGCCAGTGCTTTTGGGAGGAGGGCGCGGAGGCGCTGGGCAAAGGATGGCCGCGCACAGTGGGCGTAGACGAACGGCTCGCGCGTGAATGTGCATGGTGAATCGATGTGGTATCCGTCCGCGAAGCAGGCGACTGCGGAGGAGAGGGAAAGGTCGCCGCGTGAGTGGGCGGGCGGGGCGGAGCGCGCCCATCCTGCGTCTGGTCGTGGCATAACTCGATGGGCTCGATGGAAACAGATGGTAGGTCGCTGGCACTTGATGCTGGGCGCTGCTGATGGGCGCTGGATGTTGGATGCTGCGCGGCGTGATATACGCGCATAATAATCGGCGTCACCGCTTGCCCTTGGAAAGCATCCCGAGTCGGGGTGGTGTTGTTGGACCACGGACAGTGACGATGGAGACGACTTCCCGGCTCGGCGGCATGCTGAAATGGACCAGAGTCGCTCTTCGCACGAGTCCGAGTCGCCGAGGATGTGTCAAGTGACACACCATGCCCCGGTGAGCGCTAGATCTTACAAACCGCTAATATAAGCCATGCTCGGCTCTCGTTCCGTGAACACGGGGCCTGGCCGATGCCGATGATGTGAGACAGGTGAGAGGCACAGGCACAGCCACGGGCTCAAGTGATGTGCAGGAACGAGGTACAGGCACTGCACCCGTCCGTGCGTCATGCTTCTGGAATGCCTCTCAACTTGGACAGGATAGAATGACATGGGCGGTGGTGGCGCTGAGGCTGTGGTGCTGTGGTGCTGTGGTGCCGTCTGCCATGCAGGCGTTTTCCGAGGAACGCATGGCTTATGTCGTCTGGATGAGGTGAGGTTGTGGCTGACGTGAGATAGGCACTCTCCGTGTCACACTCCAACTGAGGATGCCTCTCGCCACCCACTGCTGCAGCGTGGTAGATGCGATACATGGTGTTACATACAACAATGCGGTGGGACTTGACCTTTACAACACGGCGGTGTGAAGCAGAGACCCAGATACAGCAAGAAGTCGGGTTATTCGTTACTGCTCGCCTTCTATGCGTGCGAGCTGCGGCGCGAGGGCACGGTGAAGGGCGTGATGCGGGTGAGGGGTGTGAGGACAACCTCATCCTCAAACGCTGGGAAGTCGCGGCGCCGCGTCATGCGCATGCGTAGGCGGCGGAGGGTGCTGACAGGACGCCAGCGGCGCTCTTCGTCTGCGGCAGTGGAGGTTCGCGACATTGTGGCCGAGCGGGGGAGCATGCGGAGTTGCGATGCGATGGTGCTCGCGAATTGTGACGTTGGTTGGGGACGTCTGAGATGGGGGACGACGGGGCGTGAGATTGACAAGAGCAAGGCGATCCGCCAGCTTATGTACGAGTGTAGTCGCCACCACCGGCGAGGGCGCCGACTAGTTCGGTACCCGCAGCTGAGACAGTCGGGTCGGGTGGCGGAAACGGGCTACGAGACGCCGAACGGGCCCATTGGACGAAGACGCTTGATAAGATTGGTGGAGCAACGTGCGGTCACTTGACGACCGTCGCTGCCCTCCTGCAGGGCCTCACACGAGGCCAAATTGAAAGATACCATTGGTCGTGCAGACGATAAGATGCTAAGGGCGCTTGCAGAGGCTCGGTGGCAGGTCCGGCTGAAGTGGGTTCGAAGGTGATCAGCTGACCGTTCCTCGGTATGTTCCGGGTCTGACGTGCAGGCACGGATGCCGGTACAAAACAAGTCATGTCTCCCGAGCTTGTGCATTATCGGAGCTGACCGACTGGGTGGCGAGGTAAGTGATGTTGTGATGGGTGCTGCTAGCCACGACGACTCAGTGGCGAGAAGCAATGAGGATCAAGCAGCAAGGAGCACGAAGTAAACATTCATTATTCAGATTCCAAACGGAGCAGACTACACGATACACGTATGGTATTGAAGGTATATTGACTTGGCTGGACCAAAACCATTAGACGTACAACAAACTCGCTAGCGCGTGGAGGCGGGCATACAGTTGTGAGGGCATGACAGGCCAAGCTGGACAGCGGCGTAGCCGTCGGCGCAGCTGGGACAGCGGAAGTACGCGGGCGGCAGCTGCGCGATAGGGACAACACGGGTCGTAAGAGTTACGATGGTCGCGAAACCCTCAGCGTAGCTCGTGTAAGACGAAGTGCTCTGGTAGCCGGCGGGGGAAGAGAATGCCGACGTCGTGGTGGACGAGTATTCGTCTGAAGTGGCGGACATGTAGGTGTCGCCAGACGAGCACGTGCTGGCAGTAGACCATGTAGAGGCCGTATCCGAGGAGTCCAGGTCATCGGTGTCGCCGTTGTCCGACAGCGTCATTTCGTAACGGCCTGCGACAGGCGCGTAGGGAGGCGGGGCATCGAGGGTGGGGCGGCGCGCTCCCCTGCCCTTGAGGGCGGGGAGGGCCAGCAGCTTCTGCTTCTCGGACTTGTAGGTGCTGGTCTTATGTCAGCCACCGCTTCGAGACATACGCACCGAGGTCTCGACCATCGAAGGCTGGCGGTGTAGCTAAGGTGGTGCTGGTGGTGGGTCGTTGTCTATGGCAATGGCGTGAGGGCTTTTGGCCATGACAGAGATCGAGTGTTGGCTTGGGGTGCGGTGCACTTGGTTTTGAGTAGAAGCCTAGAGACTCTAGCTGATGTGGTGGATGATGGTGTTCTCAGCAACGTGCGCTGGGCCATCTATATATCTTTCGAGATGCGCCTCCGCCGAGATATCAGGAGCTGCACCGCATCAGCTCTCGCATGTCGGCATCGCGCCAGCACGCTTCCGCCTCGGCCGCTCCTCGCGCCCGCACTGCCAGGCGAAACGGCCATCTGGCACAGGCACGGGCCCCGCACTGGGCGCCCCGTACTCTCCCTGAGATTCCCTGGTGCCTGTGACGAGGATCGGCAGGCCACATGCCTTGGCAGCCATGGGCCAATCAGTGGCACCCCTCGTTCGCCACATGTCCACTGTACCCGAGCCAGCCGACTCTTCGTCGTCCTCGGCGTCGGCAGCGTCGCTATCCGAGCCCGCGCTACGTCGACCAGCATTCCGACGGGCACTCGGCGTCTTACCCGAGGCTTGTGCTCCTTGGCGGCCGCGCGCGCCCTGCTCTGCTTGTCACTCGCCGAAAACTCCCCGTCGTGCGCGTCAGCCGCTCACGTGCTATTTCCGCACGTCCCAAGTCCGCAAGTTGAGACATCCAGGAATTCTGGAACAGCTTGTGATGAATCTCGTGGCTGGGCACTTGATCTTGGGTCTGAGGCCACACCCCGCCATCGCCACTGTATTCTGAGACGTGAGGCTATTGAGGTGGACATGCTGTGCGGAAAATTCAGAGGAATAGCGCCGCTTCGCTCTACGGCGCTGACTACTGATTGTCCTACTTCCAAGCACAAGTCTCATGTGACGCGGTCACATGCCCACGTCTCCTCGTCAGCGAAACGCATGCCGATCTGAAGATCACTCCATAATGCCCGGGACGACTAGGGGCACCTAAACGATGATCGACATGGATCGACGTGGATCGACATGGCTACCGAGAACGGATCATCAGTGTGATATGAGGTTAAACGGGAGTTGGTGAGACACGCATGGTAGTACGAATGGGCTCGTTTCGAGCAGCAAGCCGTTTATCCAGAACGCGAATAGCTCGGGCGCTACTTGGCCGTCTTGGGCAGCCGAATTAGATTATGTGGATCATGGCGCGGCCCGGAGATTCTTCGGCAGCAACTTATCAGAGTGCCGCGCTTGCTTGCACCTCCGATTTTCGTCTTACATACGTGGGAAAGGATCGCCATTCCGTCAATATTTGGACCCGTTTTCAGCATCCCACCGCAGCACTAATGTTTCTGTTCAACGCAGCCGAGGCAATGAACGACGTAGGCTGCACGAGTGTGTTCACGAGCGGCAAGATAGGTGACGGTCATGCCTTATTTACCTCTCCCGTTCGTGCGGAACTGATGGGGCTGTGCTGCCCTTGACCAACAGGACTCAGCAACCCATTCATACTTCCCATGCCGTGTTGCGATCCAAAGTCTAGGCGATGTGAACGCCTGACGGTCTGTTTAGAGCGTACGTGGCATTCAGCTTGCGCAGGTCTGCGAGATATTATTTGTCGTACGAGGCGCCAAATGTCACAAATGCAATGAGCGCAATGCCAGCCTTGGGCAGCCGACGAGTCTCATCGCTTGACAGAGATACGGAAAGCGCTTTTCTCAACCTTGCCTCCTCAAAGCCTCAGATGAAGCTGTTCATGTTCTCGCACGGTGAATGCGGCGCACGCGCATTCCTAGTCCGAGTATGTCGCCGTGCCCTCCGAGCGGCGATATCCTCTGAGCGCGACATTCTCGGACTAGGATTGCGCGTGCAGTGTGCGCTAATCGCAAACGCGCGGACACTTCGTGCGGGTAACAATGCGCGTGCTGATCAGGACGGCGCCTGCGATACATGCAGTTGATAAATGCCCCGATGTCGCCCTACACGTGGGTCGCTGAGACATCGTTTGCAGGAAATAGCGGAGCGCCGCTGTCAACATCATGCGGCTGCATGTATCCTCGTGCATTCCCACATGTCAAGCAACGCCGCCCAGCCGTGCTGGGCGAGTACACAAACAGTGGTTCTCACGATTCGCCGGGCGTACCCCGGCAGAACTGCTTCGTACGCCGGCTCAACGGATGAAGACCGGCCCGGCCCTGACGGATGGGAGCTGGCAAGCTGGTGAGGAGGTTCTCTGGGAAGACCGAAGCGCAAAAACGCGTCTGCGCGTCGCCGCGCGCCGGTGCAGGGAATCCGTAGGCGCATCCTACCGGCTGGATTCGCACAGAGTGGGGACCTGACGCCACGCGCCACTGTGTTCTCCAGCCCTGCCCAGACTTTTATCCACGCTGGGCGCGATGCATCCGGGAAGGGCTACGTGAATTGTGGCGCGAGGTGGCATGGGACATCACCAGCGCGTCGCAGATGATACGTGCGATGCAGGTTTCGCATATTGTCGGCAACCGGCCGGCCCACCGGCCCACCGGCTGGGCCTCTCCTAGCGTTTGTTCGCTTCCCTCAACCCTACACTGGCGAAGACTTGAGGGGCAACGGTGTCGGGTGCGTCTGGACGAGTGTTGTTTGCGAAGCGAGCGTTGTGGTTGATGGGAGAGCGAGCATCGCTGGAGCGGCGGCTGCGCGACGGCGGCTGCGGGCCTTGACCTGCGGTCAGCGGGGAGGTTGGGGGGTAAGGGTATGGAGAGGTAAAGGGCAGCGGCGAGGGCTCACAAAGTAGCGTATTGTCGTCATCACGGCAACGATGAAGGCTGTGATAGCGAGGAGGGAGAGGGCAACGATCCACGACTGAGCCATGGTGAAGAGAGGGAGTGGAGGTGCGGAGTGCGGAGTGCGGAACGGTGAGGGGCGGGGCTGGAATGCGGATCGTGGGATCGCCGGACGTCTGTGTTCGCGATCTGCGGTGTGTGTGCCAGTATGGTCTGTGCGTTATGTACTAGAGATGAGGCAGAGAGATGGGGCTACAAGATGCATCGCATCGGAGTTATACACTCGTACAGTCTAAATGCCACTCGCCGCCTCCCTTGGCGCCATGCGGGCAGCCAATTGAGCCCATGCACAGCATGCCGCTCTATACGGCCAGACATCGGAGGCGGCAAGGATGGCAGGGTGGCAGGGTGGCTACATCGGGGCCGATCAAGAACGGACGGAGGGATGGCCGTTGCCCGCAATCTAGCCGCGCGGGGTCCCCGCTATCTTACGCGCCCATCACCTCCTCTCTGTCTGTATCCCTCGATTCTGCCCGCAAGATCTCGCCGTGTAGTCCGCCGACAACGGTGCCAGGGCGCGAGTGCACACTCGGCGACACGCTCGCGCGCGGCTCGAGGCTCATGCGCGGCTCCTCGCTGATGCGAGGCAGGTCGGGAATACTGGGCTTCATGATGAGGGGGCGGCGGGCCCGCCGCGGTTGCCTCACTTGGTAGGGGGTAGGCGGGGGTGCGGAGAGGGACGAGGCGGCGGAGGACGGGGTGGAGCCTTTCTCGAGCGAGTCGGCGCGGCCCGCTTGTTTCCGTCGCTGGAGTCAGCACACTGAGAAGTAGGTGGAGGCGGTGAAATATGACTCACGAGCCAGCGGTGGTAGAACCACAAGCCCGCGAGCGTGATCAGCGCCGCTGCGATACACGAGACGACGGCGGCAGCGATGAGTGCTGTGCTGCCGGAGGTGGAGCGTCTTGCGAGGTGTATTGTAGACATGATGGGTGGTGGATAAATGGGTGGGGGGCCGTTGCTGCTATGTATGCTTGGCCTGGCCCCGTATGTTTGAGCTGGGTCCCCATGGTTGAGTAGGGTTGCAGACTTGGCGAGACTCGGAGGCACGCTGACGACGAGCATTGTTGTGGCCATGGCAGGCACGGTGCCGTTGGGACATGCCAGGCTCGCAGAGCTCGGTACGAATATGCATGCTCCTCTGTAAGCATGCAGCGAGGGCAGGGAGGTTTGTAAAATTATAAGGCTTTCACTCCGTCTTACCGAACCCCTGCAAATCAAGCGTTCGCCTTTTCCCAATCCCTCAGAGTTGGAAGCCGCTGCTCTCGGCACATCTGCTGCCAACAACTTTGATGATGTTTGGGAGCCTTTTCCTTCATCCAGCGTTCTTCTGACACAGCCAAGATCAGAGCGACAATGACGCCACAAATGACGCGGGGGGCTGCATAGCCTCCGCTGAGGCTGCGTTCAAGGAGAAAATGAGTTAACGGGGGTGAGGGAGCAGAATGTGATGAGAGGATCGTTAGGGCCATCAGTGCCGGCCATAGGCGCAGTCATCATGTGAGGAGCCGTAGCGTGGTGCATGAAGGAGTGAGGGTCACAGGGGAGTCTGATACAACCTTGTCGACGCTTCTCGTGAGTCCGTTGGCTCTGGCGCGGGCGATGCAAGTTGCTTCACGACCGGTTCCGGGGAGGCTGCTCCGTAGCCAACCGGATCCGTCCCGATGCAACAGAATGATCGCTGGCAGTGCTGATGTCAAGAAGGCAACTGAGGCGCAGAGGTATGAAGGGAAAAGCGGGATGCTAGCATGATAGTGTAGCGGCCATGGATTAGCATGTACGAAGTGTGGCCAGTATGTTTACGATAAGATGGAGCTTGGTCCTGCCCACCCCGGTTCCTAGATAAACCCATTTCCATTACCGCACCTCCCACTCCTAATCACAAGACCTAGCGACCACGAAGTCGCAACCATCGGCTACCAGCCATTACCCAAAGTTCTTGGCAGGTATCGCTCAATTGGAGCAAGGATTATCGATGAAAGTTGCACCGCGACCTCGCAGGAATATGGTGCAACTACAATGCTACAAGACCCACCCTGCACCTTGTCCACCTCAGGAGGTTGAACCATTTTCCCACCCAAGAGGACAATTGCGCCGGAGCTGATGCTATCACAGTCGTGTAGCTTGCGGTCCGTGGGATCAAGTAGAACATAACGCTACAGTGCAGCGACTAATTGCGACAATATAAAATACAGTACACCCCTAATGAGCGGTATGGTGAGCAGCGCTCACGGCATGGTTGTGCGCGGTGTGATGCGCGCTCATGGCACTATCGTGCGCCAAGGAGTGCGAGTTCCATGAGTAAGAGTGGCTTTTGCTGCGCCGTGCGCCGCTCTTGTAGCTCGGCGCGGGCATCTCCACATCGTATGGCGGCACGCCGTACCTTCGGGGCGCGTCTGCGTAGGACGCGGGTTGGACATGGGTCGCGTTCGCGTATGCGGGCTGGACTTGGCTTGCGTTCGCTTCGTAGACCGGTGGCACGCTGTGCGCGGTGCCCGTGGGGTGATAGGACCTCCGCTGCCGTCAGCCCAACCAAAAGGTGTTACTCACGCAATACAAAAACAAGCAGACGAAGATGCTCACGCCGACGAAGCAGCAAAGAACGATGATGCCGATGAAGGTGGGGGAGAGGCCCCGCCTAACAGACACATGCGTGTTGGTTGTATACTGGCGCTCCTGGAGGGGGGCGGCGGAGACGAACGAGACGAGCGTGAGGGCTAGTAGGGACATGGTGAGAGGATGGATGGAGAAATGAGGGCGAGAGTCTTATATTGCCAGCAGCGGCGCTGCCATCAACGTTCCGACGAGTCTGCGTTGCATCGCATGCCAGGATGGAACACAAACATGCCTCGAGGAGGACGTGCCTGTTGATGTGGGGCTGGTCTTGGCAGACAGGGCATCCTCAGGCACTGAGGTTGGCATCGCCATCGTGCCCAACGTCAGCCAGCGATTGCGAACAGCTTGTCTCAGTTGACCAGCTGGCCGTGAGCAATGAGGGAGATCGACGGCATGAGTCCTGGCCTCGTGCCGCGCTGAATGTCGGCAGATCGGCAGGAGGTCAATGCGTTGGCGCGCGGCGCTGATCGGGTTCTGCCTCGCCAACACGCCCAATTCTCTGATTTCCATCACGAGTGCTCGAGACGTCCTCGGATTCAGTTGAGACATTGTCCACACTGATTGCACGCCCACGCTACCTTTTTCGAGAAGCTCAACACTGGTGTCGCTGCCAACCTCCAACCCTTCATCAATCGACCACTCTGTATCGCCTCACTTCTCAATCCGCCTCTCCCATACGCACTCTTCAGGAGCAGACGTAAAGGTTGACTTCGACATCAGAAGTACGTAACCCCCCATCCAAGCCTTGGTGACCGCCGTCTCACTAGCACCGCCATCGCCGCTGGTTGGCCCGAAGTCACAAGCAAAACGGCGTTGGCTGTGATGTCACACGCATCTCCCCAGGCGCATGCCACAGCAGTCGGTGCCTGTGCAAGCTCCCACGTAGAGGCGTAACAAGCACACCCCGCACCGCCTTGAGCCTCGTACCTGCAATCCTCGTACATAAAAGCCGAGGCTGAGATGTATGCTTCAGCACCGTACATCACACAATGAGGCTACACTTACCGCTACTCTTCGCAGCGCTCGCGGCGGCCTCCCCCATCCCAGCACCGCAGCAGGCGCCTGCCACGACGCAGAACTGGAACGCGACGGCCTCTCTCCGGCCAACGACCTCCGGCGTCAACAGCTCTCAGCCGCCGTCCAGCAGCGAGATGTCCGCGTTGATACATTCCATCACCACTGAACCTCGTAACTCCATTGGCACCCTTACCCAGATAGTGACGAGGACCTCGGCCTCCAGCACATGGCTTGAGACGAAGAAACACGTGTTCACAATCCGGTACGGCACTTCCAGGCCGACCTACACCTCTAGCACTGGCCGGCCGCGGTCGGAAGTGAGCCCCGCCGTCATCTTCGGCATCGTCGGCAGCGCCATCTTGTTCATCATCGCGCTTGCTGCTTGTTTTTTCCGCAGCCATGTAAGTCCCAGTAAAGACGAGGCTGACGGCAGCGCAAGTCGCGCGAAGAAGCCAAGCTTTTCCGTGCGCAGGGGCGTCGCATCTCAGGCGTGCCGCTCATGGCCTCGTCTACAAACGCGAGCACGGCCACGGGCGCGGGAGCGTGGCCGCGCGGGCGCGATACGGTGCGAGACGACGATGTCGACCCCGAACTACCCGTGTACTCGCGCGAAGTGGAGGCTGGCGCGACTGAGATCCGCGTGCCGTCTCTGCCGGAGAGCGCCGAGGGGCATAGCACACCGCCAGCGTATGTGTCGCCATCTACGGAAACGGGGACTGCAGCGGGGTTACCGGCGTACACGTCCCCGACAGTGGCCGCAGGCCCCGGCCTTGCCGGGACACAAGGCCTGCCGAATGCGGAGCAGGAGGGCAGAACTAGGACGACAGAGTTACCGGCATACTCGTCGCCGACGGCGGCGGCGGGGCCTGGCATCGCTGGGCGCCGGAGAGAGGGGGAAGCAGGGCAGGAGAGCAGCACATAGATGGCGTCACTCGGTTTGAGTTGGAAGTTGTCTATAGTTTTACGCAGAAGTTACGCAGCGATATTCACATTTGCATGCCTTGGAATGCCTGTCGTGGACACAAGGAGAGGGCCGGATTGAAACCAGAGAGCGCGTATCCAGGATACCGCTGGGAAGCGGGGGTTGGATGTGCCAAGACAGAGCCCATGACGGAAGGCAGTATTTTGGTGCCATCTATGTATACCTCGATAATCTACAACAATGAGCTGACAAACATGATGGCAGCCACTTCTCCACACTCTTATAGCCTGAGACATGCATGCCAAACTGCAGGACAACATGTACGTCCCCAACCCCCTTCAGCTCGTCACTTTGATCGCTAGCGTGGCCGCGCACCCTGCGCCGCAAGAGGCGTCCACATCAGTGATCACCACTGACGCGCCTGCGCCTGCATTGAGCTCGGCTATCGCCCTCGCCACCAGTGACCGCTTCGCCACCCGCTCCAGTGCTCTGCCCTCACTGGGGTCCACTGCCCGCTTTAGCGAGTTGACCGATATTTCCACGCGCCCCAGCCCAACGAGAGTCCGCAACCTAGTCACCTCATACCACACCTTGACGCGCACCCGCACCTTGTCCGGGATCGTCTTCGTGACGACCGAGACACGGAAAACAGTGTTTCGGACGTTCTCGAAAGAGCCCACGAACAAAGCGGAGTATATCGCGGCGTCCCTCGAGCTGTTCCTCCCTATCGGAATCCCAGGAGTTGTGGTGCTTGTCTGGCTCTGCTGGATGTTGTGCCGACATGTGGGTACAGTCCCAGCGAAGCTTACTCCTGACGATCTCGAACGTGCTCCGCGGATGTGTGAGAGCCACTCTGGCGGCTGTCGGAGATCGTCAGACGAATGTGGAATGTTTCGGGACATCGGAGCCTCGGATGCTTTTGGCGTGGCCGGGACTAGCACAGCACTGCAGCACCCCAGATAGCGTACCCTGGCCGCTAACTGCGAACTACCACGAATTAGGGCGATTGAAGAATGGGGTGATGCAGAAGAAGTGACAAGTAGTGGAGGATGGAGATGGCTGCGGAGTAACCGTGTCAGATCCGCATCCGCACGGCATGTGCTCACCCCGCCACCCCACCGAGACGGCGTCTTTTCGATGACATTGCCATCTCACACTTCGTCAAACAGCACCAAGAGCGTCTGCATCGCGATCCCTCGTCATCCTTACAGCGCGCTATCCCACTGTAGACGTATTATGTCCGAGCGTACACAAGCCCAGGTAAGTTCATGGCGGCTCGCGCCGCGCTGACCCCAGGCCAACTCACTTCCCCGGCCCACTTCACCGAGGCAGCAAGGCCACTCCTCTCCACGCCCCTCACCACCGCCGGCTCCGCCGCATCGCCAAACCTCGCCGTATCGCCAGGCGTCGCCGCAGTCACCTCCCACACACTCGCGCACCCCCTCCGACGCCCGCGGCCACTCGCGCACCCCCTCGCACACCCCTCACACCCCCTCTCACTCCCACACCCCGCCTCCGTCCTACAACCTCCCCCGGCAGCGCTCCTCGTCTCGCTCGCAGCCCGCCCCGCTCGACCCATCCCAAGACGTGCTGACGGCTGGCGACGGCCTCGCCTCCTCCCTCGGCGTGTCGCCCACGAGCTACGCGACAGCGCAGGTGCGCCGCTCCTACGAGCTCTCTGATCTGTCGGGGGCGACGGCGGAGAGTGCACAGGGCCCCGCGGACGGGCTGACCGGCTTCGACCCCGCCGCGGGGTATCAGGAGGGCAGCGGGGGCGCGTACACTGCCAGTGGGGGGATGCAGGTCGTGCCGATGAACGCGCCGGCGTTGATGTACAGTGGGGGGCCGAAGTAGGGGTAGTAGGGGAGGACGAGGAGGGCGGATGAGAAGGGAGAAGGGGGAAGGGGAGAAGGGCGGGGGGGAAAGGTGCATAGAAGAGCGTAGACGAGGGAGTGAGAGTCGGACATGCATTGTATTTCAGACAACGGAGAGGACGTACTCGATGGCGAGTTCGACATCGGGCTAGCACCGTGACCATCGTGCACCCACCGTCGATCCCCCTGGCGAGCCACGCCGCCGATCCCCTCCGCCACCGTGAAACGCGAAACAACGGGAGCGGGGATCGCGGATCGCGGATCGCGGAGATCGGAGGGAGGAGCATCTCTCCGATCTCCGAGATGACTCCAGAGTCCTGGATCGTCGTCGCACGCCTGATAACGTCTCTCGTACTTGCTCGTCACGTGGACGGGAGACGCTCAAGCTCAAGCTCGTGCTCGTGCTATCTGTATACGCGAGCGTCCACGGCGTCATACATGCACGCCATTACATCCACTATTACATCCGCTAATCCACACTAATGCGGCGTCGTCAAGGTCCCGCAGCGTCACGGGACAGTGATGAAGGCACGCAATCGGTCATTACCCACCCACCCACGCCCTGCTGCGATGCCCTCCGCCGGGCCGCTGGCAGGTACTCGTGACGGCCGTCTACAGCCTGCACGCCGCTGGCGTGCCGTCTCCAGGCCCAACGTCAAGCTAGATGTGCCGAGCTTGATCGTTCGCTACAAGTGTCCTCCGCTGGCGCCGCGCGATGTGTCTGATGCGTGTGATGCGTGTGTTGGCTCCGCCGCAGACGCTGCTGCGTGTGCCGCCGGCTGCATCGCCGGCTGTGCGGCAAGATGCGCAAACGCTGCTGTCGAATCTGTTGCTCGTGGGCCAGCCGCGGCACGCGCGTGCGCGCTTGGCCGGAACACGTGCCGCGGCGCCCACCGCCGTCCGGGCGAGTATGCGGGGGGTGGGCTTTCGAGCTCGTCGCCCTTTTTGGGATCCTCGCGCGAGTACACTGGCAGCTCGACGTCGCTCTCGCTCTCGTACTCGATGTATTTCCGTTCTGCACGGCGAGACTGGTGTTAGCATTCTTTGTCCTTCTGAACGAGGCTTCAGGCAGCGCAGAGCACGATAAGACCTGCCAACTCACGAGGAAGTACCACAACCCAAGCCCCGCAATCAGCGCTACGAGCCCACACACTACTCCCGCTATCGCGGCCACGTTCACGCCCCCACTGCTCGTCGCTGGCCGGAGGAGCACGCCGCCAGAGTATGTCTCCGTCGCCGTCTCGGTGCGCGTGTACGGCTCCGTCTTGTCGCCGCCGAAGCGGTATCCGCTCAGTGTGCGAGTTATTGTCGTCGTCGCCATATCTGTTGCGAGCGAGGGCGACGCGGGCGAGAGGGAGGGGGCAGGGATGGGTGCTGAGGGGGTGGGAGTTGGCGATGGGGACGATGGCGAGAGCGATGAAGCTTGTGGCGCCGGCGCCGGCGCTGGCGCAGCAGCGGCACCGGCCGCTGCGAGGACGAGGACGAACATGAGAAAGAGTGCGATACAGAATTGCATGGTGCTCGCTATCCATGTACACCCAGCGGTGGGCGGCACTAGCAAACTCAAAGTAGGCCGGCCGCGGTCGTCAAGGTGCCCACAGGCCCAGTGAATAAAGGCACGAGGTCCCAACTAAATCGAGTTCGTCGGTCCGTGTGCAGCGACAAGATTCAACCCCGCGTGTTCCAGTACAACTCTGTCCTCCCGTGGTCCTGGTCCTGGTCCTGGTCCTGGCTAGCTTTCAGCTTGCAGCTTGCAGCTTGCAGTTGGCCAGCGGGCCAGCTGGGCAGCGGGCTCCCCATCTGGCATCTCGGCCTGACATGCCAGGACCAGGACTTCGTGGTCCGAAATGGACTGCGGCACGCGAGATGCTGCATCGTGCATTGGGACATCGGCACGGCTTGGTCGGACGAGCCTCAGCTGTTCCGCTAGCAGTCCTCCGCTCCCGCCGAGCGCTGTAGCGCTCGCCGTCCGTAGCAGCGAGCATATCCATTCGCGACAGACACCACGCACACGCCTAGAGTTCACCTGGGTTCACCCGGCGGGCCGCTTTCGTGCTCCGCGCGTGTTGCCACATGCTTGTGCAGTTCGGAGATCGGGGGATGGTGACGGATCGCTGTGAATGCTCCAGTCCTTCGCATGAGGGCGCAGCAGGGCGAGGGGCAGGGCGGACTAGCGGCCATCTCGCACACGCCGTTGTCAGGTATCAGGCGCTTCGCAGGCACTGTGCCTTCGGAATTGCGTAAGGCGCCGAACGAACAGCGAGGTCGGATGCGGCGCCGAGGCCGACGCCGATGCCGGATGCGGCTGCAGCGTGCATGCATGCACATTGCGAATAAGCCGCATTTGGCGTCGAGCGCTGAGCAGCTGTCAGACTGGCTCCAGGAACAGGCACGTTTCGCTCCGCGCGCACGCGCAACTCTATCACGCAGCGGCCGAGCGTTTCGGCTTCGGAGACATGGAACGCGGATGCGCGGCGCGCGTCGGACAAGCGCTCCGGAACACACCAACTTTCCTCCGCCACACGCCAAAGGAATTTGCCGCATACATATCGTACATGCCCCATGCTAACTAGTTGAACCCGCGTATGCCCAAGATGCGGCGAACGTCTGTCACGAAGCGCAGACTGTCGAGCACGGGTATGCTCTGAAGCAGCGCCTCGTCGTTCGGGTCAGACGTCCAGCCCTCGATTGGAAGCGCGTTGGCTGGCATCAGCAGTGCAGGGTGGTGAGGGTGGGGATATAAATGGATATGAAGTTGCCAGGGTGCGGCATGCGGGATTGGGACGGGTGAAGGTAAAGCTGGACAAGCTCAGACAGTCACGCGGCTTTCGCAGTGAACCCGTTTGCTTTTGCGATAAGACTTTAATGTCCCGTCACATGTATGACGAGGCGCGGGCATATCTCGCCATCGTGTGTGTCCGCTGCTATGCCCATATCTTCTTCGCCTTTCGCGTAGGCGACCGCTTGCCTACCTGCCCGCCTGCGCCGCTCGATACACACACTCCTCCCACACTCACCCTTGTTCCAACTGTACGAGATAGGCGAGTTGTCCATGAAGCACACGCGCCCAAGGTCCGGGTCGACAAGAGCCAAATCCTTGATGTAGCTCCCGCTCGGCTGCAGGTAGCAGCTCTCGCGGTAGAGCCGCTTTGCAAACAGCCCGCGCCCGTTGTCGAGCCAATCGATGACAGGGTCTGCGTACTCTGGCATACTCGCCGTGTAGATGACAAGCGTGTACCAAGAAGCAACCTGGAGCAAGTCAGCGTCATGTCTTGTGGGGATATGGGGCCCTCAGGGTCCCCGCGTTGACGCTCGCCACGGAATGCCTCATGCCAGGTGCACGATGCGCGCGAGACATGGCATGTGCCGAGGGACGCGCTGCGCGGACCGCTCGGCTCGTACCGTGCATACTGCGGAGCAGAGCTGCGCCACGCGTCGTTAACCTCACATGCCGCACGGCACACTGCTTTCGCGACGCCCGCTCCTGCTTCCCCTGCGCCTCCCCCACGTTTAGCGCACTCACCTTCTTGAGGAAAAAGTCCACGTATGGCCGCTTGTAGACGTGGTATGTCGTGGAGCGGCCGTTGAGCACCACCTCGACAGTGTGGCCCTCGCGGCGCCCACGGCGCCCGAACAATCCGGACCCGATGCCAAGCATGCCGCCGCCGGCATGCGAGCTGCCGATTGGCCGCGACGTCGAGTGGATAAGCGTCTCGTCGAGGTCAAGAATGAGCGTCTTCTGCAGATGGAAGGGCGTCTGGTGGGGAGGGCGTGGGACAATTGGTGCGGGAATGGCTGGGGACGGGTGCCTCTGCGGAGCAACGGGCACGGTTGGGTCGAGCAGACTCGTCGCCATGGGATTGGGGAGGAGGCGGGTACGTCGGGGGCCGATATCAGCCTCCGACTCGGGCTTGGTCTTGACCTCGACATCGTGATCGAGCTTGGTGTCAAGCACGCCGCGGAACGATACCGTCTCCTTGCTGTGACTAGAGCGGAGCGAGAAGTTGAACGTATCCTTCAGCTCTGTTTCGCTTGATGCCTCGTCTCTAGTATCGCTCGCGGCGCTATCGGCGCGCGTCACGGGGCTGACCCATTCAGCCTCGGATGCAGAGCCTTCATCCGACGTCGCATCAACGGGCACAATCTCCGATGCCGCTGATGATGCAGGCGAAGGCAGTGGGGCGACAACGGGCTCGGGAGGAGGTGACTCGCATGTGCGCAGTCCGCGCCGCTTGTGCCTGAGGATACGGACTGCGCGGGTGTCTCCGACGAGCGAGCGCCAGAAAGCCAAGAGAATTGACCACAATGCGAGCGCAACGCGCAGGAGCAACGGTGTGGTTGGTGGAGGGAGCTTGATGCTAGTTCCGGTGGGGACACGGCGCCTCCGCCGGCGGAGGCGGCGTGCTGCGAGCGCCGACGACGACGCAGACGATGGACCAGAGGATGGGAAGGGGACGAGGGGGGTGGGGGTGAGAGATGAGGGCCCCGGGTCGCCGCTGCCATCTGAGGGCGGCGAGAGGACGAGTGGGGGTGCGGCGAGCTTGCCCTTCAAGCCTGGGCCTGACCCGGCGAGGCGGGCGATGAGCGTGTCGAGGCGAGAGAGCGTGTTCATGATGTGATGTGATGAGGGGATGAGGAGAGAATGAGGAGGGGGGAGGCGCGAGGGGTTATATAGCCGTGGGCTTCAAGTCGAGGAGGGGGGAGGAGGGTTGTTGTGAACGGAGGGGGCGAGGGGTCAATTGAGAGGGGTGAAAGGGCGCGCTAGCGCAACATTGTACACGAGTTGAAATGGTGTGGATATGTGCTTCCTGCAGCTAGCCCCAATGGCCTATTCAGCTGCCTGAGACAGACGGTTCAAGTCAAGTCGACGACGGCTGATGTTGTGATGGCTGGACAGCTGTTGTGAGCTGTGTAGGGTGGCCAACAATTAGGGTGGGGTTGGTAGGGGGTTGGGATGAAGCGGGATGAGTATGGGGGAGCAGTGATGATGCCGACAGGGAGGATGTGGGAGGCGGCGTGCTGAGGAGCGTTGAGAGTATCGCTGATGATGAAGAGAGAGTCGAGAGCAAAGAGGGAGCGAGAGAGACAGCGTCGGAGGAGTGTCTTGAGTCGAATGAGGGGGGTTGTGTACGAATGCTCTGTCCGCTTATGCCCGCCCCACCCAACGCACTCCCCCGCGTCATTAGTGGGACAATTTGATCCCGCCGCCACCCAACACTCGCCCAGCCATCAGTGGGGCTCTCGGCTGATTCCGATCATCCACTCATTGCAGCAGGCAGAGCCACTGCCTTTCAGTGGGGAACAAGGGTATCAACGGACCATGGCTTGCTCCTCCTCGCCGCGCCTCTCCTCTGCTGCGGTTCGCTCTAACCCTCGGCGTCACCTGACTGCTGCTCGTCGCACTGACTCTGCAGATGCAGCGCATACATGGAATGTCTGCACGGTCGCGCACGACCAAGTTGTCTCCTGGCGTTCGACAGGTACATTATTCTGTGGGGAGTGGGCGGGGCTGAGATACGTGGACATGGAAGTGGTCACGGGGGAGGTCTCCAGAGGGGCCCAAGGCGAAGATGAGGAGGACAGCGAGAGTCCAGTCGGTGCAGGGACATGTGGAGAGATGATCAGCAATTCTAGCGAAGCATCTTGCGAGTGAGGGAACCAAGAGCGAACAGCCCCAATCCACCGAACTGGGTCCGATAGCAGGTTGTGCGCTGTATTGCATTGCTCTCCGACATGGGACATGGGGAGATAGGGTTTGGTTTAAGGCGGTCCAGATCATTTGTGTCCATGCGCATGGGTGCATGCTGCATCTCCTGCCACCTGGTCTCTGGACTGCAGACTCAAGAGGACTTGTGATGACACAACTTGCGCAGTCTCGGGGCAAAACCATTATCATTCATTTCCGGCCAAATCCCAAGCCACCACCACCGCATGATCCATTTCGTCTGCGCGCGTGACCCAGGACTCAACATCGCTGCCCGTGCTCACTGGTCCTAGTCCATCATCATGGTCCATGCACGCGTCCATCAAAACCAAATCACCCCGCCCTCTTCCGTACCATATGCAGAAATGTGTCAATGCCTACAATAATCTCGACCAGCCCAAGCTCACTCCACCGGCACTCCACGGCCGAGCCGGGGCCTGGTCGTTCCTCATCCGTCTTCCGTCATCCCCAGTTGGCTTCGGCCTCGTCCGACCCCGAGTCCCGACTCCACTCCTCCACCCCTCACCATCTACTCGTTGTCCGCGTCAGAGTACATCCGCACCGTAACGTTCATAGCCTGGAGCTCCTGGAATAGAAGCTGCACGTTAGCGCCATCTACTGGGTAACTCGTTGTTGTGGCACACGTCACGCGTCCACGTGTCGTGCGCCACAAACAGCTACTCACCTTGGCCGCGTAGGGGATGTAGATCTGTGACACCTGCGTGCTGTTGCGGCAGACCGTGCAGTGGAACTCCTGCTTCTTCAAGTTGGCAATTGCCATCAATCCGCACTGGTCGCACACGTGCAGTCGGAACGCGTCGGACGACTCGTACATTCGCTCCTTGAGGAATCCAGCAATGCCGTGCGATATCATGCAGTCCCTTTCCATCTCGCCAAATCGGAGACCACCGTCACGCGAGCGACCCTCAACGGGCTGACGCGTGAGGATCTGCAGTGGCCCACGAGCACGCGCGTGAATTTTGTCGTCCACCATGTGCTTAAGACGCTGGTAATAAGTCGGACCAAAGTATACCTGCGCGCGCAACTTGCGCCCAGTGTGACCGTGGTACATGACCTCTAGACCGCGAGACTGGTAGCCACGTTGCCGCAAGAACTTGGACACGGATTCGACCGTGAGTTCCGTGAACGGCGTAGCGTCACCTTCACGTCCAGTGAGCGTCGCAAGCTTGGACAACAAACACTCGACCAAGTGCCCGATAGTCATACGCGACGGAATGGCGTGTGGGTTGATAATGAGGTCGGGCACAATGCCCTCAGCAGTAAACGGCATGTCCTCCTGGCGATAGGTGATACCAATAGTACCCTTCTGACCGTGACGCGACGCAAACTTGTCACCAATCTGCGGCACACGCGTGGAGCGGATACGAATCTTGACAAACTTGAGGCCCTCGCCGTTTGTCGTAATCATCACCTGGTCGACCACACCCTGCTCCGTTGACTTCATCGGCGTCGAAACGTCACGCTTCGTGTGCGTCGCCGAACGCTGACCCAGCTCCTCAGAGTCTGGTGGAATTGGCGCCGTCTTGCCGATAATAATATCGTCGCCGTTTACGTTGGTCGCAGGCGTGATCAAACCGTCGGCGTCAAGCTTCGCGTAGCGGTCGCTAGGCCCGGACTTCATGCGCAATGTCTCGTTGCGATCCGGTTTCTCAAACGCCTCCACCTTCTGCATGCCGACCATCTTTTCCGTGTCGGTGTACGCACGGTAGTAGAGCGAGCGGAAAAGACCGCGGTCAATCGACGACTGGTTCATAATGACCGAGTCTTCCTGGTTGTAGCCCGAGTAGCAAAGAATGGCGACAATGGCATTCTGGCCGGCCGGTAGTTCGGAGAAGCGGAGATACTTCATCGATTGCGTCGTAGCAAGTGGCGACTGCGGGTAGTACAGGATGTTGGCCATCGTGTCCATGCGCAACTGGTAATTGGTGAGGTAGATGCCCATTGCCTGCTTGCCCATGGCCGACTGATACGTGTTACGCGGCGACTATTGGTTAGTGACTGGATGTATCTGGATGCTCACTTGGTTGTGGTCGGGGAATGGAATGATCGACGCACAAACACCGAGAATCATACTTGGGTGAATCTCCATGTGTGTGTAGTTCTGCGACCAGTTGCTCGACTTAATACGTGCTGACGGGTCAAACGCCTCGAGGTTGTGCGCCGCCTGCGCCTTGGCAACCTCCTCACGGCTTTCGAACTGCTGCGCATTGTCGAGATCCTCGTGCGTCATGGCAATGAGAATAGTCTCCTCCTCCTCAGCGTCGACATACTCGACAATGCCCTCCGACAGCAGCTCATCCCACGCCGATTGTCCCTGCTGCAGCTCCACAGCACCATCGGCAATCGCGTCCAGGCGGTCAATATGCTCGCGCTTCAGCCGCAATGTCTGCGTATCCTCGTTGACGATAAAGAGCGGACGGCACACACGGCCTGCGTCCGAGTAAAGGCGCAGCTCGCGCTCACGGATGTCACGCACGATCGAGACCTCGTGCTTCAGCTGGCCGCCGCGGCGCATCTGCAGGAGGTTTTGGTGGAGGGTATAGGCGTCTCTGTGGATGCCCATCCACACACCGTTGACAAACACCTTGGTCGCTGATGGCGCGTTGCCGTACTCGCCCTGGTCCTCGAGACCCCATTCCTCGAGGAACTCCATAACCGGCGCCGAGTAGGAGCCAACGGAGATGTAGGACATCAGGGCGAGGTTCTTGACAAGGCCACAAGCCTGTCCTTCTGGTGTCTCAGCAGGGCAAACCATTCCCCAATGCGTGTTGTGCAGCTGGCGTGGCTTGGCAATCTTGCCGTCACGTCCGATAGGAGTGTTGGTGCGGCGCAAGTGGGAGAGCGTCGACGCGAAGGTGTAGCGGTTCAGCACTTGCGACACACCAGCACGTGCCTGCATGGCCTTGGCCTGGTCACCCCAGTTGCCCGTGGCGAGCGAATACTTGAGACCGTTGGTGATGATGCCAGGCTTGATTGCCTGGATGAGGGTGAACTCCTTGTGCGTTTCGACACACTTCTGGAGGTGGCGGTAGACATCGCGCGTGAGCTTCTTAAACAGAATGCGGAAGAGATTGGCGAGCAGAGGCCCGGCCAAGTCCAGACGCTTCTTGCCGAAGTGGTCACGGTCGTCGAGCTCCCTGCGCCCCAGGGCCGCTGAGCACAGGCGGTGAATCATGTACCCAAGGAAGTACGCCTTCTTTGACTCGAACCCCTCGGAGACAGACACGTGCGGCAACATCTCTTTCTGGAGAATGTCGAACGCCGCGCGTTGACGCTGTGCTCGCGTGCCCTTCTCCTGCTGGCCACGACGACCGATGAAGTCGAGCGCAGTGTCGCGGTCCTGCACGGCGAACGCCTCCTCGATACATGGCCGCAGCATTTCGAGCAGAGGTGTGTCATTCCCATCAAAGCAGATGTGGGAGAGAACGTCACGGTCCGGCACAATGCCGAGAGCGCGAAAGATGATGACGATGGGAATGTCAACCTTGGTATACGGCAAGGACGCGCGGATGACCGAACCCGTGGTCGTGCGCTCCGCCGCACGCGCGTACATCCGTACAACGGTCTTGGACGGCATCTTGCCGCCCTTCTCCATCTGACTCGTCACCTCGGAGAAAAAGGTGATGGCGGAAGGGTCACCCTTCTTGAAGACGTAGACATGGTTGGCCGCCATGCGCTCCTGGGCAATAAGGACCTTCTCGGAACCATTGATGATGAAGTAGCCACCCTGGTCGTATGGGCACTCGCCAAGCTGGTAGTAGTTGTCCTCGGGCAGGCCGTGGAGAAGACAGAAGTTGGACCGGACCATGACGGGGACCTTGCCAATCCAGATCTTGTCTTCCTCCGTCTCCTGCATCACGCCGTTGATGTCCGTTGCTGGACGCCAGTCGGCCTCGATTGGGTCGTCGACGTTGCCCGCGGTGAGGGTCGACTTCTTCATGTCGACGTACAAAGGGGCTGCGTATGTGAGGTTACGCGAGCGCGCCTCCTGGGGGAACATGCCGACTGTCTGACCGTCGATTTCAGTGATCGCCACCTTGGCTAGATAGATCTGCCCGAACTGGATCTCATAACGCCGCTGAGCTGGTCAGCGCTTGCTCAATACTCAGACGCCGTCCGCGCGGTTGCCGAGCTGTCAGCCATGACTCACTGTCTCGTCGCCAGCAACACCAGTGTGCTGAGTATGTTGGTCGAGAGTCAACTTCGAACTCTCGTCGACGAGCTCCTGCATGGTGTTCTCAACGAACTCATTGAACGATTCAAGCTGTTGGCGCACCAGACCCTTCTCGTCGAAGAACGAGTTGATCACCTTCCAGTAGTCCTCCTGCGCGATGGAGTCGGACTCCTCCGCGTACTCTGCCCCCTCCTCATACTGGTACTCGGGGTTGTACTCGTAGCCGTCGGCAGCAGTTCCTGTTGTTGTAGTCACGCTCTCTCAGTATTAGTAAGGGTATTCACCTGCATCCATGCTGGGCCGTCAAGTGTCGGGTCACGCGCGCACGTGCAACCTAGGAGCAATGAAGGAGAAAGCGAGAGTGGATGTGGGTGGAAGGAAGGAAGACGTGATGGAGCGGCAAGAAGGAGAACACGCGGGTGATTGCAAGCCGGCCTACGCGCGCCTTGTCGCAGCGCTTTTGGATCGACGGGCGGTCGAGCGGAGACCAGATGCACGTCGGAGCGTTCTGGGAGCTGCGGTTGCCGAAGATGTGAAGCGAGGGGTCGGCTCGCTGGGTGTCACGATGAGGGAGATGTGTACAAACAATGACAATCGAGTGCGAGGAGTGAGTAAGCGCTCAGCGGCAAACGTCTGGACGTGCACCCACATACCCCACGTGGCAACTTTAATTCCGGGTGTGGCACTCACCCAGGTGGCAAGCTTTGATCCCGTCTGACCTCCACCGGCGGTGACCTGGGATACAGAATTTCTGAACTCCGCCCGGTGAACATCACAACACAACATCTGATCCCAATGGTCACCACCAAGAAGACCACGCGCGCAGTAAAGGGCAAGGGAAAGGCGAAGGAGGTCCCAAAGGCTGTTGAGCCAACACCCTCGCCTTCGCCGGAGCCCGAGGACGACGAGGAGGTTGAGGACGAGGCCGGCCCGGACGACGAGGACTCTGAGGACGACGGCATCGACGAGGAGGGCATGCAGCGCCTCATGGAGCTGGTCGGCCCGGAGGATCTGGACGACTTCGAGAAGTCCCAACTGGGGATGGATGAGGACGAGGAGGAGGGTGATGAGGATGAGGATGAGGATGAGGACGAGGAGGGGGCCGAGGAGGGGGAAGATGACGAGGATGCCGAGGAGGTGAGCTAGCTGCACTGGCCTTGATGCTGATTCCAGGATGACGAGGTTCTTATTGAAGATGCGGGCGCGGATGCTCTGGCAGTCGACGAGCTGGGTTCGGACGTGTCGTTGGACGAGGATGCTGTGCCGGACCGTAAGGTCACGACACACAACAAGCCAGCCATGCGCATTCTGACTGAGGGGATCCGTATGACGAACACCGAGTGGCCCGAACACCTGATCGTGCAGTCCAAGACGGTGCTGGACGTGGACCCTGACGATGGTGAGCTCCGGCGTTGCCTCAAGTGGGCTACACGGCTGACAATAGACCTCAAGCGCGAGATGGCGTTCTACAAGCTGGCGCTTGACGCGGTGCCCGAGGCGCGCAAGCTGTGCGCGAAGTACGACATCCCCTTCTCGCGGCCAAATGACTACTACGCCGAGATGGTCAAGAGCGACGAGCACATGGAGCGCGTGCGGACCAAGCTCGTGGAGGAGGCGCAGGGCATCAAGAAGAGCGAGGAGGCCAAGAAGCAGCGCGACCTCAAGAAGTACGGCAAGCAGATCCAGGTCGAGAAGCTCAAGCAGCGCGAGGCAGACAAGCGCAACTTCAACGACAAGGTTGCCGGGCTCAAGCGCAAGCGCAAGGACGGCGCCGAGATCGGCGGCGAGGAGGACGAGTTCGGCATCGAGATTGACAACGACGACGAGCCCCGCCGCCAAGGCAAGGGCGGCAAGGCGGGCGGCAAGTCCAAGATGCCTCGCCAGGCCCGCGATGCCAAGTACTCGCTCGGCGGCGGCGGCCGGCGCTCGAAGCAGAACACCCGTGAGAGTGCCAACGACATCCCTGGATGGGGCGGCGGCGAGAAGGGCAAGGGCGGCAAGGGAGGGCCCAAGGGCGGCAAGGCGCAGCGGCCTGGCAAGGCGCGCCGCCACTCGCGGAGGAAGTAGACGTAGACATGCATGCATATTGTATTATAGCAGGTTGGGGTGGACTGGACATCTTCATGCAATATTGTGATGGAGTGGGCGGAGTGTGGACGTCTCTCCGTGTACCTCCACGTGGATCGCCGCGTTCTCGAACTCATCTTCGCGCCTCGTTCACTCTCATCTCAACAACAACCATGGACGCCGACCCGCTTTACCACATCAAGCAGCTCTTCCACCGGGGGTCGTACAAGGGTGCGTCGCCTAGCTTCGGCGCTGACATCAGCGGCGATCGACGAGGCCTCGGACCAGCCGCTCACGCCCGGCGGTGACGCCGCCCTCCAGCGCGCGGTGTACGTCGCGCGCGCGCACCTCGCCCTCACCCCGCCTGCCATTTCCGCAGCACAGGCCGTGCTTGCGCCGTTCCTTGCGCTTGACCCCGCACCGCCCGCAGCCAGCGCCGCTGCCGCCCTCGCTGCGTACCTGAACGGCGGGGAAGAGGCAGTGGACAGCGCGCGCGACCTGGTGATCGAGGTCGAGGGGGGCGAGGTGGGCGAGGAGTGGGAGGAGGGGACGGTGCGCGCGCTTGCTAGCACGATCTTCATTCTGGAGAAGGAGAACGAGGAGGCCGTCGCGACGCTCAACGAGGGCAAGGGGCGGGAGGACCTGGAGTGGTGAGTCATTCTCGAAGAGGCAAGAACTCCTTCCCCGCCCATCTGGTTGCCTGCCCACGCTTACGCAAGCCTCGCGATTCTTGCGCAGCTTCTCCTCGCGCTGGACCGTCGTGACCTCGCAAACTCGACGTACCAGACCGCCAAGCGCCTCGGGAACGACAGCACCCTCGTGCAAGCCATCGAAGCGTGGATCGGGCTCAAGACGGGCGCCCGGCCCCTGCACCAGGCCTACTACTTCTACGAGGAGCTGTACCAGCTGCCTGCGGGGCGGACGCCGGGCGTTCTTGCCTCTCACGCGGCCGCCCACCTTCTGCTAGGACATGGCGAGGAGGCCAAGGCAGACATTGCGGACGCGGTTGCGTCGGGTGGTGGCAGCGACGCAAACGTCCTCGCTGTGGCGACCAGCCTCGGGGACGTCGAGGCGCAGGCCAAGCTTGCCACCACGACGCACCCGTATGCGGCGGAGCTTAAAGCGAAGGAGGCGGCGTTTGACGAGGCGGCGGCCAAGTTTGCCATCGCCGCGTAAGGGAGTTGGGAGACATAGAAGATGCATCGTTAGCTGTACGAGAGGTAGGGGGGGGGGCCGAAGGAAACTGGAGCACTTGTCGCATACGGCCAGATCCCGGGAGTCCTAAGCCCAACAAAATGCATGTTTAATATGTGCTCCACGGCAGCTGTGCTAAGGAACTACAGCTTCGCCCGGTCGTCATCCTTGTCCCATACACCAGCATCGATCGTTGTGAAGAAGCGCCACATGCTCTCAGCCAGCTTGTGCGGCTTCTCTTGCGTGATCTGAAGTTAGCTCCTGACCTAACCGCTCGCTGCGACTCACCAGATGCCCCGCGTCAGGAAAGCGCTCGTTGCGCGCGCGCGGCGGACGCCAGACCATGTCGCGCGTCCGCTCCTCGCCGTACGTCGCGACCGGGACATTAGCCATGACGAAGCCGACGGGACACGTGAGCTTCGACAGAGCCATCCAGCCGTGCGCGACGCCCTCGGGCTCGGTGAACACGGCAGCCTCGCACCAGCTGGGCGTGGCGAGCGTGACCTCGCCCTCAGGCTTGCTGTAGTCGACAGGCACGAGGCCGTGTGCGACGTAAAGATCGAACACTTCCTTGTCCCATGCCGCAAAGAAGGGCTGGGCGCGCATGGCCTTGGCCGCGTCGGCGCGGCTCGGCCAGTGCGTGCGCCGCCGGATCGCGCCCGCGCTCAGCGCGTACACCGCCAGCCGCTCTTTGAGCCACCGGTCGTACGGGACGTAATGCGGCGGCACCATGGGGTCGACGAGGAAGAGGGACTCAAAGAGATCGGGGCGCGCCGCGGCGGCCTGCACGAGCGCGTTGCCGCCGAAGCTGTGTCCGATGCCCACGACCTTGGGCATCGGGGCTGGGTTGGCCGACCATCCGAGCTGCCATCCCGGCCGTCCCTCGCCAGCATACACGTTCGGCAGGACGTGCGTGACGAAGTTGAGCACGTCGCGCGAGTCGTCGCGCCACGCCTGTACGGCGCCGAGCCGGCCGGCGTTCAGGTCCACGCTCGCGGCATGGTTGGCGTCGTCGAGCAGCCAGATGTCATCGATCTCCACGCTAGTTGGCGGCAGCTCCGCGGCGGTGCCGAAGACAGCGCCTGGCGTCGTAGGATCGCGAGCGAGAAGTGCGCGCAGCGCGACGTGCCAGTGCTACTGTTAGCTCGCTCGCTTGCCCACGCGCCTCACCTCCTTCTGCAGCCCATTAGCGTGCGTACACACGAGCACCTTGCCGCGGCCAGTGGGCTTGTCGCGCCGCCAGCGCTCAGCAGCGAGCCAGTGGCCGCGCGGCAGCGCGGCCTGCACCTCGGCATACGTCCAGTTATGCACGGCGTAGCGCATCTCAACGCTATTTATCGCGTCGGCGGTGAACCGCGCCGCCTTCTCCTCCTTGGTCTCGCCGGCCTTGGCCTCGGCGGTCTTGTACGGCGTGCTGTCGCGCGACAGCGTGCCGTGCGCCTCGGCAAGCTCCTTGGGATACGCGGCCGGCGCAGCGTGGTAGCTCCGCGTCCATCCCGCGGGGGGCGGGGCGAGCTCCGGGCGCGGCGGCGCTGGCGGGGCCGTCTCTTCGGGGTGCGGGAGGAGGGGGAAGAGGGGGCGGTTGGGCGCGAGCGGGTCGGGGATCTTGGACGGCGCAGTCATGCGCGGGTAGGTCGTGAAGCCTGCCTTGGTGGACATGTTGCGCGCGTGGATGAGAGTGCGATGGAGCAAACGCATGAGCTTGGTCGTGAGCGCAATGGGGTCCGCGGCCGGGCATCGCGGCGCCGGCAAAGAGTGCGGAGCGGGCATGGCCGGGTCCATAATTATTTGCCGACGCAAGGGGTGAATACCGCCGGGTATAATATCCAGCCGGTGCGGGTTATTACTTTCCACGAACAGTCGCATCACTCGCGGTGTTCAGCGTCGCGGGTGTAGTAGCGATGAGATATGGATCATAGCATGTCACAATGTACGCTGGTTCTACTTGCACTCCTCGCCGTGGCTGACTCGTTTACGCCTGACTACGCCGACCCGTCACCAATGTACCGCGCCTTGACCTCACGCCCATTCAACCCCTTGGCAGTGACGACCTGCGGGTCGCCCGGCATGAGGTCGAGCGCCTGGTCGCTCCAGTCGCACTCGTCACCGTCGACGTCGAGCACAAGACCCTTGACGGGCTTCTCGACCGTCACTGTAACCTCATCCCCCTTGACGGCGATCTTGAGCCCTGGATCCGGGAACGTGAGGTACTTCCACGGTTCAGGCCAGTTGGCATAGCGCGCAAGCACCTCTCCATCGGCGAGGAGGCGCGCGCCGACGACGATCGGCCGCGGCACCTGCGATAGCGACGTGCGCGTCTCCTGTCCCGGCACGGTGCCCTTCCATACCTCCGTGCTGGCATTCGGCGCGAGCTCGACGTCGAACGAGCTGCGCGCGACCTCGCCCGCGTCGAGATCAAAGCTGACGAGCTCGATCGTCGCCTTCTTGCTCTCCAGCGTCGAGTTGCATGCCCACAGCTCGAGCTCGTGCTCGATCGTATAGTGCGCGAGGCTCATCTCGCTCGCGTTCGTGCGCACCTCCTTGCGCGCCATACCGACCGTGAAGGGTCGCAACTCGCGTGCGATAGCATAAAAGCTTGGCTTTGGCCGCAGGTAGTAATCGCAGATGGCCCACGACACGCACGGCCAGCAGTCGTTGATCTGCCACACCAGCGCGCCGGACGTGTACTCGCGCCCGCGACCCTTCCAATTGCGCCGCCAGAGGCGGTAGGCGGCGCCGAGCGTCTCGGCCTGCATCGCCTGCGTGTAGTAGACGTAACTGGGCATGTCGAAGGCGTGGCGGAAGTTCTCCATGAGGTAGAGTTCGAGGCGGCGCTCGAACCCATCCGCCTTGTTGTGGTTGACGCTGATGCGGCTCTGAGGGAACATCTGGTCCTCCTGCCCCTTCTCGAACCACTCCTTCACCGTCCGCAGGTTCGGGTAGCCCTGCATCCCGAACTCGGAGACGAAGCGGCCCGCCAGCTTGTCCCAGTTGGCCCACGGCTCCTGTGTCCCGTGCCACACGTTCCACTGGTGCACGTCGCCGACGGTGAGGTCGCCCGACGTCTTGCCGCCATACGGCGACGAGGGCCAGTAAAAGATGTCCGAGCAGCGCTTGACGACCTCGGGGAGCAGGATCTCGTAGATGTGCCGAGCGGGGAACTTGGTGTGCATGTAGTCGCCGCTGTTGTCGTCGTAGTCGACGACCTTCTTCTCCTCCGCGACCTGGTAGTCCTCGTTGTTGCCGGCGAAGATGATGACAGAGGGGTGCGTGCGCAGCCGCTGCACGGCTTGCTCCGCCTCGGCCTTGATGCTCGCGTTAATCTTCTCGTACGAAGGGTACAATCCGCAGCCGAACATGAAGTCCTGCCACACAAGCACGCCCTTCTCGTCGCATGCGTCGTACAGCGCCTCGGCCTCGTAGATGCCGCCCGCCCACACGCGGAGCATGTTCTGGTTGCCCTTGATGAGCAGGTCGATCCAGGCGCGGTACCGGCTCTCCGGCATCTCCGTGAGGAAGTTGTCGCCGGGGATCCAGTTTGAGCCGCCGCAGAACACACGCACGCCGTTGACTTCGAAGAGGAACGACGAGCCCGGCGCATCCGGCAGCGGCTCCTGCACAACCTTGACGTGGCGGAACGCGGTGCGCTGTGTCGTTCTGGCGATGACCGCGCCGTCGCGGTCCAGCAGCGCAACTTCAAGCGAGTACAGCGGCTGTCCGCCATAGTGGATGGGGTACCACGCCTCGACCTTGCCACTAAGATCCCAACGAGGTCTGTCCGTCACCTCGGACTTGACGACGCTCCCAGCGCCGTCCGTGAGCGTGTACGCGAGCTTAGCGCCGGCGGGCATGGCGGGGATCACGTCGAGCTCGGACACAGTGAGCGCCGCTGCATCCCACTTCCCATCGCACTCAGCCAGCGTGCTGTCAATGCGCAAGTTGGCCAGCCGCACCCCGTACGTCTCGAGGAACACCGGCCGCCAGGGCCCGATCGTCATGATCACAGGTCCCCAATCCCACCCCCACCCGTACTGCGCCTTGCGCGAGTAGAGGCGGGATGAGTCGCCGTTCCACAGCGCCATAGGCCCGCCGTTGGCCGCCTCCTCCTTCTTAGCCTCAAGGAGGGGCGCGGCGAAGCGCAGCTCGAGCGAGTTCTTCTCCTTCAGCTGCCGCGTGACGCTGATCCGGTGCGAGAGGAACATGTTGTCCGTCTTGGCGATCTCCTTGCCATTCAAGAGCACGGTGCAGTAGGTGTCGAGGCCGTCGAGGATGAGGTCGGCGTGCGGCGCGGCGAGCTGCGCCGCCGTGGCGTGGAATGTCGTGCGGAACGTCCATGCGGACTCGTGGATCCCTGGGGTGAGCGGCGGGAACAGAGGAGATTAACCAACTCACACTGGCAGTCCCACTCGTTGAGTCCCTTGTACGGATCACGGATCTTGCCGGCCTTGATGAGCTCGACCTGCACGCTGGTCGGGACGGCGCAGCCCGCCCATTCCTCCTGGACATCGGGCTCGGTCTCGGAGGCAACGCGCGAGAACTCCCACCCCCCAATCGTGGCGCGGTGCGCGTCGAGTACGCCGCCGTACTTTGCAGAGTCGGCCATGGTGTCTTGTGATGGGGGGCGAGGATGGGAGGCGCGAGGTTATAGCTGCCCCGAGAGCGGATTACCAGTGACAACAATCCGGGCCGAGCCGGGCCATTTCCCGGGCCGTGATAAGACCCGCAGACGTCAGCCTCATGCATCTCGGCACATGTCCGGAATCATGGCGCATGCAGGAATACATCGTTGCTGGAGTCATAAACCAATGCTAATATATCTATGTATCAAAGTACCGTCCCGACCTGCCCGGGAGAATCGTAATAGGTTGCCGGGCCTCGGCTCCGGCGTGGACTGTTGGCCTCACTCTGCACCCCTCGTCCGGCCAATGGCACAGACCCGTGCACTCCTACAGCTTGAGACTCGCATCGGTATGCGTGAGCGTCGAGTGGCGCGGAAGCACGCCGGTGTTGCGCAGTGTCTCCTCGTCTCTGACGAAGGCCCGCGCAAACCGCTCCTTCTCGCAGTTGAGCGCCCACACCCACCGGTCGCGCTCGAGCTTGCTGCGCGCGCGGCACACGAGCAGGCGCTGCGGCTCCTTCTTCAGCGGAGGCGGCACGAAGTCCGCCTGCGCCCCTGTCTCCTTCCTGTTCTTCTCGAGGTCCCACGGCTGCGGCGGCGCGAAGCGGCCGTGCGGCCACAACAGGCGCACGCAGAATGTCGTGTCCTCTGCCCCGTCGTTGCTCTGCAGCCCGTCTTGGTAGACCCTGTTCTGCGGGTCCCAAGCACTTTCGTTCGGATTCGCGTCCAGCTCGTCCTGCGCGAGCATGCCCGAATAGACCTGGTGTTAAAGCCGATTCCGATGAGGCTTACAAAGGAGCCGAAGAGCGGCCACACCGCGCGCCGCGGCTGCATGCCGGCCCTCCCGTCGGAGGAGAAGGCCACCAGACTGCCTTGCATGAGGACGAGGTAGAACGACCTGGTGTGAGCGCAGATGATGGTCGCACGACGCACCTGAACTTGCCCCACTTGCTGCGCCGCACGTACACCCGCCCGGAGTGCGTAACGGGGCGGCAGCCGTCGATGACACACCAATTCCACAGCTGATTGACGAGCGTCTCGGTGTGGAGGTCCAGTGCTTGGCCGACAAACGCCTCTCTGCCCATGTGGAGCTGCACGACGTCCATGGCCGAGCGCGCATCAACGCGCCGCCGGGTGGTCCAGTACCGCACGAGCTCAGTGAGGCGCCTGACCCACTCAGCCGCGATCTCGGGCGTGTGCGCTTCAAAGACGACAGTGACACCGTCGCGAAACGTGACTTCGAACTCGCGCTGGCCCTTCTTGCCTTCCTTCGGAAGCGGCGTCAGCGCGGTGGTGCGGCGGCTCGGGACAGCCACCTCGGTCGTGTCGGCGCCCTGAAGCTGCGAGGTCGTGTCTGCGCGCGGGAGTTGCGGGGCTTTGAGCGGCGAGAGCTCAGACTGCTGCGGTGCCGCTACAGATTTCGCGCGCGGGGGTGGGTCTGCTTTCGGCGGCCCTTCAGCCGTGTAGTTCGGTTCGTTTGGGTCCACTGGCGGCGCGTCTAGCCCGCCAGTAAGCTCTGTGGGCTTGACGAGCCTGGTGCTTGTAATTCGCGAGAGATCGATGCACCCCGTACACTTCTCGACGAATGTGCCGAGACGCCGGCGCTCGCTGTCGAGGAACTTCTTGTGGAGCTCGGGGAAGAGCTCAGCGGGCGACGAGCCGCGTCTCTGCGGAATCAGGGGCGGAGTCCCTGTTTGCGCAGGGGAAAAGAAAGCATGTCCGTCTACGATGGAGAGGTAGATCTCCTCCTTAGGCGCCGCTACGGTCTTGTGGCGCACGAGATATCCCTCGATACCCTCGGGTTCGGCGAGCAATGTGCCGTCCTCGAGACGGACACGGATACCGTAGTGCGTCGCGTCACGGACCTGCAGCGAGCCCCTTGGTCTCGATAGGCCATGTGCAAAGCTCGCGAGGAGCGCCCACTCACGCGGTCGGTCGGTCACCGTCGTGTCCCAGCACACCCACTCGACCGTGGGCTCGACCTCCTTCCACGCGAGTCTGAGTGTGGGGATCGCGCCGAGCTCACGCAGGAGCCGCGTCTGCTCATTGTTAGACAGCACGGCTTTCCACACTGAGCGTAAAATTGTAGCCGAGTTGAACGTCGTGCTCGACGGCTCCTCGGGGACCGCAATGCGGAGTGTCATCTCGAGCACAGGCACTCGGATGTCGATCTGGCGTGGCAGTTTGACGCCGAGTTGACCAGATATGTACCAGAACCAGTCAAGGGCGCGTGACCGCTCCCCGAAAGTAATGAGGAACACAGCACTTCCCTGTCGGCTCATATGGAGCGTATCGGAGATGCGGCCGTGCCGCGTGCGATCCCACCGAGAGGTCTGGCTGCGGAGGGTTTTGTCCAAGTGTCGCGCAGTATTGCGCACAATCACAGACCACGGGCAAGTGAGGGCGAGCGTCATGTCCGTCTTGTTGAACACCGACAATGTCGTCGGCGCCGACAGCGGGACGCAGTACGCGAGTCGTTTGTGGCCTTTGATCTTCTCCTCCAACGGCCAGAACTTGTGTCAGCTCCTCCAAGCCTCCGTCTCACCCAGTCGAGGTAAAAGTCAATCGACGTCACCGTCATACCGAGGACATACTCCTCCATCGGGTCGATGCGATAGCATGGACTGCGGCGCTGGGTGAGCTCGTCGAAGTGGCCCATGTTCTCTTCGCGATGCCGCCCGACTTTGACGCACGCGCGGTCCCGCATAACGATGCCGCCGGGGAGCACGTCGTCGTCGATGGGCAGCGCGTCGCCGACCGCGTCCGCGCTCGTGCCTTCCACGCTGGAGCCGGAGCGCGCGAGCACGGCGTACGGGTGTGCGGGCGCCTGCGCCCCGCTGGGCGCGACGTCGTCGTGCGGTCTGAACTGCACCGTCTTGGATCTCGGCCGCTCGTCGCTGTGCGCCGCGTCGCCGCGCAGCGCCGACTTGAGGCGCGCGTTGATGGCCTGCTTTGCGTCGCGGCCGAGGCTCGCGATAGAGCCGGACGTGCGCGCGCGCAGCCGCGACTCGGACTGGCGCGGCGACAGGCTCGAGGGCCCGAGGTCGGCTTCCTCGTCCGACGAGTGGATCAAGCGTGCGCGCGAGTCGCCTTGCGAGCTCGCGGCGGCTCGCGGCGACGAGTTCTGGCTCTGGAGCCCGTCGCTGGGGAGCGGCTGCGGATCGGGCACGATGGCGTGGAACGTCGACTCGTCCGAGCCGTCGTCGTGGGCGTGGTCGAGGGCCGTTACGAACGTCTCGCCGCCGGTCGAGGAGGTCGATCCTGCTCTACTCGAATGCCCACGCTTGATTCCCGGGCGTCGTGGCGTCGACATTCCGGAGCCGGGGGTTGATAGTCCGGATGCTGGTTTGGAGCCCGGCAATGATGAAGCTGTAGGCAGGGGCAATGTCGATGGCCCAGCCTCCGGCACGATGTTCTCCCCGTCATGATGCAATTGGCGATGCACAACCTCAGGCGACTCCTGCATGTCCTGGCCCAACATCGAGGCCGGGGTGTTCTCTCTTCCGTCTGGGGGCGACTCGAACTCGGCGCCAATGTCGAACGAGTTGCCGACCCAGACATCCCCCGCCCCCTTTTTCTTCTTCTTCTTCTTCTTGCCCTTCTTCCCGACTTTCTTGTCTTTGGGCTCCTTCGTCTTATCCTTCCCCTTGCCCTTGGCCTTGGCCTTGATCGTCTTCACCGCGAACTCCTCCTCGCTCGAGCTCGAACTCCCGTCGTCGATGGCATACTCGCGCTCCGTCTCGTCGCCCAACGACGTCCGCCGCCGCACCCGGAACAGGTGCACGTGGCGCGGCGCAGCCTCGTCCTCGTCCTCCTCATCATCTCCGCGGGCAAGGAGCCGCCGCAACCCTTTGCGCCGCAGCTCGCGCCGTTCGGCTCTCGCGGCTTCCGCTTTCTTCGACGTCGCGGCACGGTAGGGCATAGGCCCGAGAAAGCGGCGCGAGAAGACATGCGCAGCGGTATGCGACGTCGCGTCCACTACGGACGGGGCGGGTTGGACCGCGGGCGCCCGCGCCGAGGACTCGGCGTCGGGCGGGGGCGCGGGCGGGAGGCCGTGCTCCGACGGCGCGGACTTGGTGTGCGGGACGGCGGGCATGGCCGCGGCCTTGGGTGAGGGAAGTGGCGAGGAGATGGAGGAGGAGAGATGGTTAGCGGTGGATGTCGATACTTCGCATGATGGCCAGGGGCACATGTACGTCATGCTGCTCGGCAGAATGATCACCGCAGCGGGGGAAGGAGTGGGGCCGAGTGGCGGAACCAAATACCACATGCAGCCCAGTCCTGCCCCACTCTCTGCTAAATGTCAACTCTCGCCAGTCTCCTCATCGTACTCATGCGCAAATTCCCAACAAATACAACAAATCGCGCAACGCAAGTCCCTGTTCCCGATACAATTACATCACAGTATAGATACAATCACTTATCGCTCAAGTCCATGGCCCGTAACCGCTCGCTCAATTCGCGCTCCTCGCGGCTAAGCCGGCGTCTTGACGACGACGCGACGCTCGGGGTCCGGCTGGGGCCTGGCGGCCTCTGCTTCTCGGTAGGCACGCGGCCCTCCTCCCCCTTTTCCTGTCTAGATTGGCTCGCGCGCTCCTCTGCATCTGGGGCGAGCGCGGACAACAAGCTACGCGCGCTCGGCGCCACGGGGTTGGGCGAGACCGGGCGCGACGTGGGCGGCTCAAAGCCTCTCGAGACAAACGCTGTGGCGCGCGCGCGCCACTGCGCACGCACCGCCGCCCACTCCGAGCTCGCTTCGATGCTGCTCCGCCTCTGCCGCGGCGAGTCGGTGGGCGACGGCGCAGGCAGGGAAGAGATGGAGCGCCGCAAAGCGCTGCCGCGCATGCTGAGCTTGAGGCTCACCGGCGAAGACGGAGGCACGACCTCGTCGGCACGCTCGGTGCGCTGCGTACTGTCCGTTTCTTGCGCCGTGCTGAAGACTAGCTTGAGGGTGCGGGCGAGGTAGAAGGAGCCGTCGACGCGCGCGAATTGCAGTTGCACGGCGTAGCGCAGAGACTCTCCGTTGCCTGTGGAGACGTATGTGCGCTCGCGTGCGAGGAGGCGGGCGCCGGGCGCAAGCTGCGATAGGTCATAGGGCACAACGAACGCGTGCACTGCCGCGCTGGACGTCTTTATAAGCAGTTGTAGCTGCCCGATAGCCGGGACGCGGTAGCCCGGATATGCCGGGGGTTCAGATTGTGGCTCCGCAAAGGCTGTGAAGTAATGTGCCTCGAGGTCTACGTCCGCGACCCACGGAGAGTGGCACGGCGCGGTAGCGGCGGGCGGCTCGTTCTCTGACACAAGATCATAGTATGTCGCGGAGAAGGGCAGGATCAGGGCCTCCGGTGCGCGCGGTGTTAAGCCCGGGCGCGTAGCGATAGCGCGCACGCGAAGCGCGAATTGGCTGGCGCAATGCGGCTTGTGGGTTGCCATGCGCGCATGGAGGAGGCTGAGGGGGTATGAGCCGAGTAAGGGGTGTGACCGTGAGAGGGGCGAAGAAGAGGGAGAGGGCGGGGTTGGTTGGGCGGCTTGCGGGGCATGAGGCGGGGAGTGGCGGTGGTGTGAGTGATTGGGTGAGTGGTGCACGAGCGACGACGAAGGCGAGTGCGCGTGGTGGCTTGCCTTCCGTGGGATCGCGATCTTGCGTGCCCGGCGCCCATCGCCTTGAATAGGCGGGTTCGAGAGCGGCGACGAGCGGAGTGGGGAGGCTGAGGTCAGCTGTGTCGTGCGACAAGGGAGTGTCTGCGAGTGGGGGACCCGACCGGGCGACAATAGATTGCATGTACGTGACGCAGGAGTGTCCCCTAGCGTGCCGGCCATGACGCACGGTCAACACACGCCCGTCCTGCGATCCTGCCATCTCTGCGGAGTACAAGATGGAGTTGCTGGCAAGCGGAACGCTTGCCTCCACGGCCTCCTTGGCCCCATCGGACCGTCTCCGCCCGCTATCGGCCTCGCGGGCGAGCGGAATAACCTCGGATCGCACAACGATGAGACTCACTAGAATACCCCCCCGGAGGAGATATGGCGATAGTCATCGCAGCGCCCTCACGGAGGTCTCGCGGGGCGTCTCGGTGTCACCTCTCTAGGAGGCGGCTGGCGTCGGACAGCCGAGCCGGTGTAGTTCCGATCAGGAACCGGGTGGCGGCGGGGTTATGTGTGGAAGCGGTGAGGAGGTGGAGATGGTCGAGAATGGGGGATCATGTGTACGGCGTGCGAGAGCGAGCAGCAGGCTGCGGCAGGGGATGAGATGGAGAGAGATGAGAAGAAGAGAGTGCGAGATAAAAGAAAGGATATGTCGGGTGACGATAGGCGAAGTGGAGATGTTTCGAGTCGACTTGTTGATCCCGCACCCGGCCGATCGATCACCCGAGCTCCCTCCGCCACTCCACTCTCTCTCGTCATGAGGTCACCAACCAAAACGTCACTTGCATCCGTTAGTTCTGGACTCACAAAGTCTGCAAAGTTTCAAAGTTTCATACTAGGAGTAGGCGTTAGGCGCTACAAGGCTCCGAGTCGAGACTTTTGGAGTGGTTGTGGAGCGTCTGTCTTTCAGTCTCGTTAACGAGGTGAGGGACCAGCTCTTCTTGTACCGTCGTGAGACATTCCGTCGCAAGATTGAAATACCTCACAACAGCCTCACTGGCACAACTCATGCATATATGTACAGCACGCAGATTCTATACTACTGACTGATCCTCTTCTCTCTGACTGCTGAGTTACTGATAACGCGATATGACACTCCCGTCGCTCTCTGACCTCCGCGCGCTCCGCACGCTCTCGGGGGTATCGCGGAGATTGATGTTGCTTACAATAGTCGAGACATATCCCTCCTGCCCTGGGCGGAGAGACGCCTTGCTCGGGAAGCTTGCCAGGCTTCCCTGCCGCACAGGCTGGCGGACTGGCGTAGTCGGCGCTGTGTGAGCGGGTCGGGGCGGGGGCAGTGTCGCGGCCCGGGACGGTGTGAGCGGCTGTTTGCCTCCTCCAGATCTGGTAGATACGGACAGGACCGGCGCTGGAGACGGCAGTGGTGACGGTGCAACCTGCGCTTTTCCTGCTCCCGCGGCGGAGCCTGTGCTAGCTCCCGTGCAGACGGGCGAGAGCGGAGGAAAGGCACGTTTGAATCGCTCGAGACTGGCATTACTTGTGCCGCTCGCGCCGGTGGTGGAGGGCGAAAGACAGTCGAGGACGCGGTCGAGAGCCGCCAGGCTCGGGACATCGGACTCCGAGGGGCTAACGACGCGCGTGCTCCCAAATACTGCGGTCGTCTCGTTGGAGCTTCCTGATATGGCCTCACTTGAGCTGCCCGGTGTGGCCTCGCTTGAGCTTCCGGGTACGGCGCTTACCCCACTGGAGCTGCGGCTCGCCATGTCGCTGTGGTACCCTGGAGTGGGACGGGACCGGCTCCGCACGCGCAGCGGGGCGGTGACTGCAGGGGGCGAGTCAGTGCGCGGTGGCGACGTTGAAATGCGGGGTGGGACTTGTGAGCTGGAGACAGGTGGGAGCGACTCGGGCCATGGGGGCAGCTCCTTTTCAGAGTTCACTTGGCGCGGCGAACTAAACAAAAGCGCGGGGGGCGGAAGAGTGTCAAGGAGCGGCTCGTCCTCGACAGGACCTGTGAGCTGCGAGACTTGGAAATGAGGAGTGGGCGGCAGGGCGCGCGAGCTCGGCGACGGCGAGGCTGGTGGAGATGGGCGTCGAGACTCCACGACCGGGGGGGTGAAGTCAAAGGAGAGGTCTAGATCGGCTGAGCTCAGCGCGGCGAATACACTCGAGTGTGATGCAGCGCTGCGCATGCTGCCCACCGCGCTGCAGCGATGTGCCTCGAGCTCAGCGCCGAGCTGGACAGCAGCGAATTGTGGTGGCTTGGGGGGAGGCGGAAGTCGAGGCGAAAGCGGAGCTGGCGGCAGCTTAGGGCGTGCGATTACTCTCTCGGCGTCCTGGGACGAGTCTCTGGCACTCGGCACCGTCTTGACAGACACGGGCTGAGGCCTGATGTAGTTGATCGGGGGCAGGGGTAGTGGCTTCGGAGACACGGTCGACTGTGGAGGGACCGGAAGTGCCCTCGGCGATCGGACCGGAGACGGCTTGGGCGGGGACAAGAGCGGGGCATCATCCTCGCTGTCCGCAAATGGGTCAGAGTAAGTGCGAGCATGAATGGCAGAGTCAAGGCGCGTGCCCTGCGGGTCGTAAACAGTTGTGCCCATCTTTGGGGGCGGAATGGGGAAGTGGTATGCGCTAGACTCAGTGTCGCTACGAGGGTCCCACGCCTCCCATGGCGCCGTGTCCTTGCGTGCTGAAAAGCGCTTCGACGTTGAGCGAGCGGGGCCGGAGCTGACACCAAGACCAACCAACTGCGCGACGGCTGGGACGCCCCTCGCCGCCTCCGATGTGGAGGCGAGGGCAACTGCACTCCGCGCAGACGAGAGCGAGCTGTGGGCGCTCAGCGGAGGGTAGACAGCTGGCGGGGCGAGGGTGGCTGTGATAGTGCTGGGCACAGGTCGATCACCGAGCATCCGGTGTCCCGCCGAGCTCTCGTCGGCATCGTAAGCGTCTGAGAAGTGGGCGTCTGACTCATACAAATCCCCAAAGCTCTCCTTGGACCGTTCTTTTGGCAACACAGGAGGCGTGGTGTAGGGGAACGGCGTGATATTGCTCAGTTCGGCCGTCTGCTGGCGTCTGTTGCTAGGTCGCGATGCGAGGCTGGTCACGGCACCAGCGACGACGGCGGCACTGCCTCTGGGCCCCCGAGTGAAGCAGCTAGGGACGCCTTCGCGCACGCCCAGGTCTCCCTCGGAACCGAAGACGATATCATCAGGGTGGTAGGGCTTAGGTGGGTGCGGAAGGGGGTTTGTTGAGAACGGGAGCGGCGTGTCGGGTTGGAAGTGGTCGCGGGTCATGGCCGGGATGATGGTCGCCTCGCGGCGGCGGCCCACGCGAGTGTACTCCTGCCCCCGCCACATCTTGGAGCCGAAACGCTGAAGGATCGACTTCTGGCGTTGTGGTGGAGGAGCGTCGCGCGTGTTGAACATGGCCTCCTTCTCCCAGGCGCCCTTCTCCATGTCGTCTTGGATAAGGCTGAGCTGCTCCTCCTCCTTCTCTCGGCGGCGGCGGAGACACCACCACAGCAGGGCCCCTAGGCCGATGAATAGCATGCCACCGAGCAGGCCCACAGTTAATCCGAGCGTGAGTGGTTTAACACTAGGTGCTGCGCCTATGGGTTGAGAGATTTCTGTTGTTGTTGGCGTCGGCGCCACCACCCCTGTGCCTGCCGTTAATGTCGATGGATGGTTTCCGTCGGCTGAGTTGGGATACCCACCCGGAGCATCGTTTGCAGGGTTGTTCGTGATGGGAGCGGGGGAGTACTCGGGAAGGGTATTGCTGGCCGGCGTGTCAGAACCGGGGCTGGGATCGGTGGCAGTTGAGGTCGGCGTGGAGCTGGGAGGTGTTTCTTGGTCAGAAGAGCCGTTGATGACACTAGTGGGAGGCGTGTTGCTGCCATCTTCGTGGTCACTTCCGGCGGCAGTGTCACTTTCCACTCCCGCGTCATCGCCTCCTGTGCCAGCTGACGTGTCGGAGTTGGACCCAGCAGCGCTGTTCCCCACTGGTGTCGTGTCTGTCCCAGAGCCCGAGCCCTGCGTCCCGACAGCAGCAGCCTTCGAGTTGATGATGAGAGTGTCGGGGCGGACTGGCGCACTTGCGCCATACCCTGCTGTCAGATACACCCCACCACACTCTCACCGCCGACAACGATCACCTGGCCGCCACCGGCAGTCGCGCCCATCTGAGCCTGTCTACCTGGGACAACTGGGATCAGTTTAGGCTTCACCAAAAACTCACCGCTCCCACCATTGAACGTCTGCGTCCAGCTAAGATGCTCTGGGTCGAGTATCCAGCCGTCATTGAGGGGCTTGCCCTCGACATCTGCGCCGCCGAAGATGAACACCGAGCCGTCATTGTTGAGAATAGCCGAGGCTCCATGACGCGCCTTGGGAGGGTTTGGGACCCTCACGCTCGTCCAGGCGGGGGCTCTGGTGGTCGTGTCGAGGGCGTATACGATGTCGAGAGGCTGCAAAGCGGTGGCACCGGCGCGAGACGTCATGCCGCCGATGACCAACAGAGTCCCATTGGCCAGAAGGACGGACGAGTGGCCGTACATGGCCACTGGAAGCGGGGCGAGACCTGTAAATCTCATGCTCGCAGGGTCGAAGACAAAAGTGTGCGCAAACGTCTCTCTGAAGTCGGGCTCCTGTCCACCTGTGATGAATACCTTGCCACCAGTGACTGGAGCGGCGCAGGCGTGCCTCACACGGCGGGTGGGCTGTCCGCCCCATCCCTCCTCGGGCTGAGTGTAGTTCGCTGTGCCAGTGGAGGGATTCGGAGTAAGGAGCCAGGCGGAGCGGGCGTCGTTGGCGGGCGAAGACCATCCGCCGTGGCCACCAAAGGAGAGGAGCGTCCATGCCCCGTCCTTGCTAAAGAGAGGGGCGAGGCAGTGCCATGCGTAAGTGGGACCGGGAGTGAGGAGTTGGTATGGGGGAGAAGAGGCGGGGAAGGTCTTCGAAAGGGGGAGGATGATGGTGTCGCCGCTGTTGGGGGCTGAAGAGTACGAATGTTCGCCAGAGGCGTCGGTCTTGCCGCCTTGGATGACGACGGTCGGGGGGTGGGGGAGTACCGCGACAGCCGCACCCCAGCTGTTTGTTAGCAAGCTCTGAAGCGAGAACCCAGCGTACCGAGGAACCATAGAGTATGCAAGCACGAGCGTGGCGTGCGACGCGGCCAGCGCCAGCGCCAGCAGGAGGAAGCGCATGCTGAGCTAGCCGTAGCTGGAGAGAGTTGCTGTAGGATAGGATACCAAGAGACAGAGAGAGGAGGTGGATTTGCGGAAGGTGTTGTTGTTGATGTTTATCAGGAGGGTGCGACGGAGGTGGGAGAAAGAAGTCAGTCTCGTGGGAGGATGTAGGGTGGGTGACTGGCTGTGAGTACAGACATGAGCAACGGCCCAAGCGTACATGCACAATGTCCACTGTCCAATGCTGTTGCACGCTGTCGACTCCCACCGCACAACCCGCCATCTGCTCGCCCTTTGCTCCTTCGCACGCTCGGGCCCATTCTCAGTCGTGTCTCACGTCGTGCATGCTAACGTGCGGAGTGGCGTCGCCGCCAGTTCGCCCGCCCAGGTCGGCCGGTGGACACGGACCACATACCGCAGCGCCAAAATCGCAACTTTTGTGTTCACCACGTGGCATATCCCCGAGCCTCAAATTTTAACGCCGACCACGGGTTCCGCCCTGGCTGCCTGCTCCCCCTCCGCCGGCGATGCATGCGACCTCGCCATCGTCCTCCTCGTCCCACCAAGAACCACCACCAAAAAAAGGTGAGCACGCTCAGCGTGCCCCTGCGAAGCCGTGGCCGCGGCGTCCGGAACGGTCGAATCGTCGGAGCGCCTTCGTGGCCGAGGGCGCAGCCCTCGACTTGCGTCCCTGTGTGAGGCGGGCCGTGAGCGCGAGCGCAAGCGTCTGCGCTGGCGGAGGGACGCAGGCCCGACCGTGTCATGAGCCGTTGGGCAACCTCGGCGGACACAGTTCACTCTGCGCGATCACGCGGGCTCGTAGAGTCGCGGGCTGCTTGCGAGAGCAAGCAGGTCCGCCAGAGGGACGGCGCGGCCAAGAGAAGCGGTGGAACAGAGTCGTCTCAGACGGCGAGGGCGGCTTGCCGTTCGCAATCCCCGCATGCTGACGACAGCCGAAATGGGTATCGACATCCGCCGCCACCACGTCAAGAAGGGCGCCCGCCAGGCCCCCAAGTCCGAGGACCCGTACCTCCTCCTTCTTGTCAAGCTTTACCGCTTCCTTGCGCGCCGCACCGAGTCGCGCTTCAACAAGGTCGTGCTTAAGCGTCTCTTTATGAGCAAGGTGTGTTTCAGCGCTTGTTGTAGCTGACGCCAGATCAACCGTCCCCCCATCTCGCTCTCGCGCATTGTCAAGGAGACCCGCGGCTCGAACCCCGACAACTCGAAGACTGTCGTCATCGTCGGCCGTGTCCTCGACGACGAGCGCATGCCCACCGTGCCCAAGCTCTCGGTCGCCGCCCTCGGCTTCTCGGCCTCGGCCAAGGCCCGCATCGTCGCCGCCGGCGGTGAGGCCCTTACCCTTGACCAGCTCGCGCTCCGTGCCCCCACCGGCTCGAACACCGTCCTCCTCCGCGGCTCGCGCTTCCGCGCCGCCGTCGCCCACTTCGGTGGCCCCCTCAAGGGCGGCCGTCCCTACATCCAGTCCAAGGGCCGCAAGTTCGAGAAGGCCCGTGGTCGCCGTGCCTCGCGTGGCTTCAAGATCAAGTCGAGCCACAAGTAATTGGCTTGAGCTTGGTGGTTCTGTACGGGATGTACGATTCTCTGCACATGGAGAGTGTAATATTAGTGGCAAGTGCGCAATGGGGACGGGCGCGAGGACAGGAGACGGAGAGATGGCGGAGGATTGCGGGAGGCGACTCTGGATCCGACTGGCCCGCGGAATGTCTGCTGTCAGATCGAGGACGGGCGGGAACCGAGGAGCTGGCGCATTGCTTTCCGCATGTTCCACGCCCGGTCCCATTTCTCGGCTCCCCATCTGATGTACAAATAGCCTGCTGCAGTCTCGCTCTTCCCCACCCACGATGATTCTCACCATCCTCGCCGCTACGCCAGCGCATACCCGTGCGCCCGTGAGCGTCGCGCCGCTCGAGTTCGCCATCGTCGCGGCCGCCGTGCTGGGGTGTACTTGGGTGCTTGTGAGTGCGCGGATGCTCAGGCTGACGCAGACGAGGGCGCGCGAGGCACAGCCCGACGTCGAGGCGGCGTATCCCAAGACATAGCGCTTCACTGTACGCTGTCGCACCGCTGCAAAGGACTCTCGCCAGAACACTAGGACTCATCGCTTCGCTTGTGGCCACCTCATCGCACTATATCTCACAACATGCATGTCTACACCCCTTGCATCCCCCGCAGCCACGCACGCTGCTGCCATCCTAGTAGGATGGGGAGGAGGTCCGTGAGCCCGAAATCTGGCCAGTACGTCTTGACAAAGTGCACCTGCGTGCCGCGGTCCGCCTGCCAGAGCATAAAGTCGGAGAGGCGCTTGGTGTCGCTGGTGCGGACGAGGATGTCGAGCGCGCCCGCGCCCGCCGCAATATCCTCGGCCGCCGCGACCGACTGCAGACGCGCGAAGAGGGTGGCGGGCGTGACGGCTTTGGGATTATCAGAGGACAGCGTGTCGCGCACGGCCGTCGTGATCTCGTCGCGCGAAGCGTAGGGACCGCACACGTTCAGCACGCCACTGTTGTTAGACCTCGGTCGCGTGAGATGCTTACTTTCTGTTGCTGGCCGTCGCGGCTTCCATTGCCTGCAGCGCCTTCTGCATGTCGGGTTTGAGCAGTTCCATGCGCCCGATGCAGCGCAGGCGGATGCCGTGTTGTTGCAAGAAGCCACTGTCGTCAGCCCTCCCCCACCGCGCTGCGTACTCCTCGCGGCAGATCTCGGCCAGCGACTCGGTCGCCAGGCGCATCAGCGCGTCCACTTCTTCTGGGGAGCGGCGGAAGTTGTCGATAGCAAACGCATACACTGACACGACGGGGATGCGGAGCCGCAAGCATATTCGGAGAGTCTGGCGTCAGTTGTTGCCGGGAGTGAGTCCGGGCTGGACGGCGATGATACCCGCGTGCAGAGATCGAGACTGCGGAAGGTGCCAAGCACACCTCCACGTCAAGCACGTCGACGCCGTCAGCTCAGTCAACAACGCCGAGCGTCCAAAACTTGACACGCAGCTTGCCCGTGACACACGCCCGCCCGCGTCGAAGCATGCTGCGTTGCGCCACACCTCCTGCCTCGCACCCTTACCCTCCCACAACACTCACCCGCTTGAGCGACTCGCTGCCCTTCTCGTGCCCACGCGCAATCCGCTGCCCATGGCTCCGCGCATATCGCCGATTTCCGTCCATCACAAACCCGATGTGGGTGGGCATCGGGCCGAGCGCGATGACGGAGAGGAGGAGGGTGGTGAGGAGGGCGTGGAGGGAGTGGAGGACGGCCGAGATGGGCCAGAGGAGCGCCCGCGTAGCATCGCGCACCTCGCCACTGTCGGGCGCAGGCGCGACCAGCTCGGTCTTGATAGGTGGTGGCTTTGACTTCTTGCCCATCGGTGTGTGTGGAGTAGAGGACAAGACGGGGAGACGAACGCCAAGTGCTGGAAGCTGGAGGGGATGAATCTTCCAACATTACCGGGACGTGTGCCGTGCCTCGGGACGCGGAGTGGAGGTAGAGTGGGGCCAGCGATCAACACGTGGCGTCACGTGACACTCCAGTGGAAAGCCCGAGTTTGCGATGGGGTGGCTGGCCGAGTTCTCATCCGATGCGCTCCAAACGTCATCCGCAAACTCTCTCAATTCATCTCGGTCCTCGTGATCCACCACTCTCACTCACAAAACACGACCAGCACGCTGGTCCTCTCCTCGCCACCATTCTCTCTCTCCGCCGCACCATGCTCCGCCGCCGACTCTCGGCCGGCGCCCTGCGCGCGCAAGCGCAGCTCCACACCCAAACTCCGCCCCCGGCGCCGCGCAACACTGCGGGCGTGACGGCCTCCGCCGCCGCCGCCAAAGCCACGATCTCGCCGCGCGAGCAGAGCAAGTCCCTCGGCTCGGTCGTCCTCCTCAACACCCAGCGGCACTGGAAGGGCGAGACGGTCGTGACCCTCAAAGCTGAGCTGAAGAAGCGCGGCCTCAGCCAAACGGGCAACAAGTGGGTGTTGTGGCGCCGCACGCTGACGCCAGGGCGACGCTGATTTCGCGCCTCGAAAGCGCCGACACGACGGGCCTCGCGCCCCCCGTGCCGCCCGTGTCGCGGGTGCTGCGCGCCGAGGCGAAGGCGCGCGCGCAGCGCTCGCGCGCATACGCTACGCCGAGCGCGCCGGCGCGCGTCGCCGTGCCCGTCGCGCGCGACGACGTCGTCAAGCCCGTCATCACGACGTCGGATCTCCCCGTCAACGCGCCCGCCGCCGAAGTGCCCGTGAGCGAGCCGACGGCGGCGGAGAAGACGTCGGCGCCCGGCCTGCCCGTGCGCAAGCCGATGGCGTCGGACGCGTTCACGATCTACTTCCCCGACCCGAAGCCGGAGCGGGAGCCGCCGCAGGTGATTGTGAGTTGTGCAGTGGGAGTGGGTGGAGCTTGGGATCGTTCGAGGCGATTCGTGCCTGAGCTGGGGCGTTCCGATTCCGTCCGGCTGACCACAGCCCACGCTGCCGCACACGATCACGTCGACGGCGACGAGACCGCTCCCCGACGACGTGGACGAGGACTTTGGCCTGCCCAAGGTCGTGACGGTTGCGTCGGCCGCGACGCACCCCGACGGCGGGCCCGTGCATGGCACGACCAAGGTGTCTGACGACGGGAGTGCGGTCGCGTCGGACGGCATGGTCGGCGACGACATTACCGCGCAGGTGATCAGCAAGGCGCAGGAGCAGATCCAGGCGGCCAAGGAGGCGACGAGCGAGATCCTCGAGCTGAGCGGCATTCCTGTCGAGAACCCCATCAAGCTGCCCGAAGAGGAGGGCGCGACGTACAAGGCCAACAGCAAGCCGCTGAGCGCGGAGGAGCGGAGCGGCGCGTGGATCCTTGCGGGGCTTGTTGGCGGTGTTGTTTTGTTGGGCTCGCTGGGGGGAAAGGCCAAAGCCAAGGCCAAGGAGACCAAGGCGGACAAGTAGTGCGAAACCATGTAGATTAGTTGTGAATATGCCATGATAGAGCGTGTTGTGCGAGGGATGGATGACCCGTCTGCGAGAAGAGATGCATACCGTCTGATCGTCTAGTCGCACCGCCCGTCCGCCGGCCCGTCCTTCCACCGCGCATCCATCGTCTTCCAATCACACGCCCACTCGCGCTTGCCCAGCTTGCGGTTCACCTCATTATGCCGCTCGCACAACCACCGGCTGAGTCCCTCGCGCCCGCTCACGTCGGGCGGGTGCGCATCGACGTCGGCGCCAAAGTCGGCCGCGCACGGCGCGCACGGATACAGCGCCGGCAGGGCCGCGAGGAGGCCGCGCATGCGGTCCTGCTGCGCGGCACTGGCCGTGAGGGGGTAGTACGCGGCGGTGGTGTGCAAGAAGGTCCAGGTTGCGCGGCCGAGGTCTGCCGTGTCGGGGGGACAGGCGGAGCGGTCGCGGTCGGCGCGCTTGGAGGCGGCGCCGGCCATGGCGGCCATCATCGCCATGGGATCGGAGGAGGAGGAGGAAGAAGAAGAAGAAGAAGACTTTTTGACGACTTTCATCTTCGCCCAGTCTTGCCAGCTATTGCAGACTTTGCAGGGCTTGCCGTCCGGCCCGAGGATGAGGCCGGGGGGCAGGTTGGGGTGTGTATCTTTCGTTGTGCGCTGGGGTTGGGGGGTCGAGGAGGGGGCCGAGGAGGGGGAGGGGTCGGTCGTCATTGTGATAGAAGAGAGTAGGCACCGGCGGAGTCGGTTGTGGGGAGCGTCAGTTGTCGAGTTGTGGTGAACTGCAAAGATGTTGATGGCTGAGCGAAATTCGGGGTGATGTCACCTTGGCGCTTGGTCAGCCAGTGCCGCCGGCCGGCAAGAATGTTGTCGAATGCTGGATTCCCTCTGTCTTGCTGACTTATTACTCAATGCAACGTCTAGCAATCCCTCTGCAGCCTCCGATCGCTGGGCTCGTACTGTACACCCATTCATCTTCTATGGATACACTACATCACACGTTGCATCTTCTCCATGCCCCCCGCCGCATCTTCCGCTGGCCGCTTTCCCGAGTTGACACGCATCCCGCCGCGAGCAAAGCCCCGCCCTCGCATCCCGCCGCGGAAGCCGCCTCGCCCCCGCCCGCCCATGCCCATGTTGCCGTGCATGCCGCCGTGCATGCCCTGGTTGTTCATGTTGCCGGCGTGGCCCATGTTGCCAGCGTGCATGTTGCCCATGTTGCCCTGCATGCCGCCCATGCCACCCATGTTCCCACCCATGCCACCCATCCCCATCATCCCGCCCATCGGGTTCATGGGGTTCGCCATCGCGTTGCCCATCATCATGCCCATGCCCATGCCCATCGGCCCCATGCCCATAGCACCCAGCATGCCCTGCGCAGCGAGCATCTGCATCTGCAGCAGGTTGTGATTGGTCACCTTGACATGCTGGCGCACCTGGGTCTTGACGGCAGGGGGAACGAGCGGGTTGCGCAGTGTCGCGAGCATCTGTGCCGTCAGCTTTGAACACACACCAACTCACCGCTTGGAGATACTCTGCCATGGCGTTCATGTCAGGCAGCGGGCCGCTGAAAGGGTTCTTGCCGCTCACGTCCTGCTCGCCGGCGGGCGACTCGTCGTTCTTCCGTCAGCTCGTTCAAATCTAAACCCACCTTCTCCCCCTCCTCGCTCTTGACCTTCTCCTTCTCGCCCTCGCGCACAGTCTTTGCGCGCTCGCGCAGATCGTCGTCCGGCTCCAACTTGTCCAAACTCGCAATCTTGCTCTCGCAGCTCGGACACACAAAGTCGTTCTCGAGCAAGTGCGAGTTGATGCAGTCTTCGCAGTATGCCGTGTGGCAACAGGGAACGCGCATGGCCTCGTTCAGCAGCTTCTTGCAGAGCGGGCACACGAGCTCGGGGTCAAGCGCGTCCTTGTCCTCCGAGTCGTCGTTCGCGCGCGTCTTGACTGCCGCCTGCTTCTCCCACGCCCGCGCGTCCGGCACGGCGCGCACAAAGCCGCCGTCCGCGGTCAACATCGCGCCGCCGGAGGAGCCCTCGCCCGTCGTCGGTGTCTCGACGGTTTTGAGGAACGAGCGCGGAATACCCGTCACGCGCACGAAGCGCTTGCGGTCCTGCGCAGTAGGGTCGTCGTTCGACGGACAGTTTTGAATCCAGTGACCCTTCTGACCACAGCGGTAGCAGATGTATCCCAGGGGGGGCTCCTTATCCGGCGCAACGCTGTAGTCGAACTTGCCTTGCGCACCGCCAGGACCGCCGCCGCCGCCGCCGCCGCCGCCCGGCCGCCCCAATGGTCGCCGATTAGCGCCCGTGTTGAAGCGCGGCAGCCTGCTGTCAGCCCCCTCCATTTTAGCTACTCACGAGCTCAAGTCCTCCTGCATCTCCTCCCACGTATCCGTCTGCTGCTGCAGCATGGCCTGGATACGCGCGTCTTCGTCCGCATTGCCCGTCGTGACCTTGACGCCCTCCTCCTTCTCGTCCTTGCCGTCGAACCGCTTGCTCAACGACCCATACGTGCCGCCCGACCCCATCGCGCCGCGGTTCATCCGGTCCTTCATCGCCTGCCGCGCATGCGCTTCGATGCGGTGTTCGCCGGTGAGCGACACAGACGCATCCGTGCCGACGATGTAGTTTTGCGCCGTCCCGCGGCCCTTCATGATCGCGGGGCGGCGGCGCACCACCAGCGTCGACGAGCGCGCAATCTGCTTATCGTCGTCCTTCAATTCTGGCGTCAGATGTGCCGCGAGAGCAGGAAGAACGCACCTTCCCCATTCTCAAATACCGTCAGGTCAAAGTCCTTGCCGTTGCCCAGGTTGTTGTCCAGCATGATCTGGCGCTTGAAGTCGAAGACGCTGATGTGCGTGCCGTCAAACTTGACGCGGGACTCATCGCGGCCGGCGCCCCACCGATAGAAGACGGTCGACATGTTGGGTGTCTAGAGGGTGGGAGAGTGTGGAGGAGGAAGGGGTGTGCTGAGGTGTGGATGAAGACCGGGCACGCGGCGTCACTGGCTCCCGGCGCGCACTGCTGGAAACCAAGGAATCAGATGCAGGTACGTCTATCAAGGTCAAGTCGTAAGGTGCGACGTGGAGCGATGAGGAGGAAAGAATGACAAGGTGTGAGGTAGTGTTAATGGAGCAGGTGATGTGTGATCATCCAGTCCATCCATTCTTGTGCGCTGAGTGGCAAGATCACGACGGAAGCAATGTGAGGCCCACGTGCCTATCGCGTGGATGGATAGGAGGTTGTTGTCTTGTAACACGTGACCTCACGGGTAATCAGGTGATCATCACCGTGGGTGGCCACATCACCATATTCTGCGCAACCCAACTGGCCAACTGACCAACTGGCCAACTGGGGAGCTACACGTATCGCCGGAAATAGGCGTGTTCCATCTTGGAATGAGAATCCACAGGTTCTGCGGAGTGGTACTAAGAATCTATAGGGAGGGTTGCATGGCCGCCTAACGTCGACTGAGTGAGTGGTGACATGGTGATTCTGCTCATGGTGGGCACAAACCCACACGGAGAATTGTGATCTGTCCTGCTGAAGGCCAAATATTATTACATCGAAGCTTTCCAATGTTCCCGTGTCTGTTGTGCCTGATGCTGACGTGTGCTCGGATTTTTGCGGCTGCTGGGTTTCATCCGCTGAGATATTGCCTCGTCCAAGGACGCAGAGTGACCGATATCCCAACGAGCGAGGTAACGAGCGCACGACTAGATTCCAAACGAAAGATTGTGGAATGAGACGTTTCTCGATCTCGATCTCGTGGCATACTCATCTCTTTTCTGTCAAATGCCACGGCGGCGGCCGCCATCCAACGCTGCAACATGCCACGCATCCCCCACTGTGATTGACGGCGTCGCTACGTCGATTGGACGACGGCGCGTCCAAGCGCCGCACTCCTGACGGCGTGGCTGACGCGCGCTGACGCGCAGGCGGAGCGATGCCGCCTCGCCGGCAATGGCCGTTTCATCGTGCGCGAATAGCAGTAAAGAGATGCACGACACGTGAGGCCCTAATCCATCCCCTGCCATGGCCTGCCACTTTGGGTTCTGGGTTGCTCTGGGTTCCTTCAGGCTGGTTGCGGTGAGTTCGAAATTCCGCCCTGCGCTTCGCGACTGCTCCTGAGTGAGTTGCGACGCTCGGTGGTGGACGCGCAGTGCAACACGAGGCTCTGGGAAGTTGGGAAGACAGCGTTGACTGAGCGAGGTTGCGACTTTTGGCCATGGACTTGACAGATTCGGAGAGTGCCGACGTTGGCCGCGGTGGCCGTGGTTGGGCTTCGGCACCCCTCTAATTCCTTGAATGAGGGAGCGATTACCCCCTCGGCCTCGGCCTCGGCCTGGGATAGACAAGAGGATTTGCCTCCGCCCCAGTCTGGGAAGGGAGAATCTACAGTACCACCCCAACCCTTGTGAGCCCTGGAGAAGAGCGGAAATCCCTGTATATCCCTCCACTGGACGAGTTAATCCAGCTGTATCTGGCTATCCATTCCCTGAGGCTTGCCCTTGTCGACTCCTCACCCCATTCTCAACATGACCGACTCACTCCTCCTATTCATCTCCCTCATCGCTCTCATCGCTCTCATCTCAACTCATCGCCACTGTCCACTCTCTGATCACTCGCAGCAAACTCCCCCCCACTTGGAACCCAATCATCTCGCTAACACATGTAAGCCACCACATACCATGAGAGAGAGAGAGGGAGAGAGATGTATTCTCGCCCCACTGGCCATCACAGTGGCTCGGTGGCGCTCAGAGACCCTCAGTGAGGCCTTGGATTCATTTGCGAATTGGAGGGAAATACACATTCCCCCTCATTCCCCTCATCTCGCTCCCAAACTCCTCCCACACAACACGCTCACACTCAACAGTTGTTGTCATCTCCACCATCCACTCTTCACTCTTGACTCTCATCACCACTCTCCTCAATCTCCTCCTCCCATTCAACACACTCACCACCATGTACCACTCCTCCCCCCTCTGCTCCTCATCCTCCCCCCAAGAGTCCACCACCCTCTTCCACCCAAAGCCTGTCCGCCCCGCCTTCACATCCTCCTACTCAACCCCACTCCTCCCTTCATCCACTGGCACCTCCCCAACTTTCCCCTCCACCGCTAGCTCTTCCAGCGCCGGAAACTCGCCATCCCCACCCCACCCCCCATGCCTCAAGCCCTCCCTCTCCTTCTCCTCCAAGCCTCGCTCAAAGTCCAAGAAGATGAGCAGCACCACCGGCAAGCACAAGAACGTCCAGGTCTCCCTCGAAGTCAAGGTCGAGCGGTCCCGTGGTTTCCACGCCTTCTTCGTTCCTCTTGCGCGCAACATGCCCCCTGCACCACCATCCAGCCCCGTGTTTGGCCAGAGCGCCAACGAGCAGCAGGGCGCCTACGAACCTCCAAAGGTTGGCGAGGAGCGCTGGGTCGAAGACGTTCAGCGGATGGACCTTGATTAATCCGTGGGCCGCATCACTATTAGGGCGAACGCTCGCCCCGGTCTATCCTCCCTCGACTTTTGCACACACACACACACACACCCACCACACAAGAGCACGTCCACAGTTCCACCTTCCCACCCCCTGCCCTCTCGGCGCACGGCCCACACGGCCCAAATGCCGCCCGCCACACTCGCACACTCACACACTGCACATCCCCGTATGGCCATATGCCCCCGCTCTCTGTCCGCGACCACCGCTGGAGCGACTATCACCTAAACTACTATCCCACCACCCACCACCCACCACCCAAAAACTAGCATAGCCCACCGCGGCGCCGCGGGTCGATCTCGCGTCATTGTTTTATTAGCACACTGTTACCACGTAGGAGCTCGTGACTCGGAGCCTTTTGTACCAAAGTATGTCACCGACTGGCTATCGGGATCTGGGAGAGGGGGTGATGGGTGGGTGAGTGGCGGGTGGCTGATGTGGACATGTGGATGCTCAGTAGCGCAGGATACATATGTGTATGATTGTCTCAGCTGGTGTACATCTGGAGGAACGTATTGCCATTTCCACCAGGCCATTGGCCGTCGGGCAGCATGAGTATCAGTACTGAGTCTTACTTGAGAAAGAGCAGGTGTAGGAGGAGAGGATGGACGAAACACGTTCCTACCGCAGCACGGATTGAGTGAGACCACCAGTCAAGGCCGTCGGCGATGCTATTTGTGCAGTAGTGCTCCGACAAGTGGGCAGTCGCATTGTTCCTCGCAATTACTCGGCCAGATTGCACGACGGTGTACTTTGTCGCCATGGCAGTGTTAAAGTCTATATAGCGCGCAGCGCACTGCATCTCTCCATATCCCCCAGTCCCTCCGCTATCCCATGTCATTCCACATCGCAATCTTCGGCGCGTCAAAAGGCATCGCCAACCATGTCCTACATGACCTCCTCCCCACAGCGAGGATCACGCTGCTTCTCCGCAACCCTAATGTATTCGACGCCGACGCCGCCGTCATGGACGCTGTCAAGGATGGTCGCGTTAAACTCGTCCAGGGAGACGCGACAGTCGAGGCAGACGTCGAGCGCGCGATCGAGAGCGCAGAGGTGGTGCTGACTTCTATCGGTGAGTCAGTCTCCCTTCTCCTTCCCACTTCCTCTTCCCCCGCCTCCCGCCTACTCCCCACACCCCCGCTAACACCAGGCGGCACTCCATCCTTCACGCTCCGCGGCTTCAAACTCGACAACCCAACAGTCTGCACCGACGCCGCGCGCGCGCTCCTCCGCGTGCTCTCTCGCATCCCCCTCTCGGCTCGCCCCCGCGTAATCGCAATTTCAAGCATGGGCATCGGCACAAACCACAGCACCATGCCGCTCCCGCTGCGCATCCTCTACCCGTGGCTCCTGTCCGGCCCGCACGCGGACAAAGAGGGGCTCGAGTATCTCCTCTTACGGGCGGCGAGTGCCTTTGACGCGCCTTCGTTACCCGCCATCTTGGCCATCTCCGGTTCCGCCGACACCTCCGCCGACCCCGCCCTCGAAAACATCCTCCCACACCTCATACTCGTCCGCCCCGCCCTCCTTACGGACGGCGCCCCGGCCGCCGTGCGCGCCGCGGAAGACCTTAGTGCCTACTCGGTCTCCAGAGCCAGCGTGGGGCGCTGGATCGCGCAGCACTGCATGCCGGACCAGGACCAGTGGGTGAATCGCGCGCCGGTGTTGGGGTATTAGCGAGGCATAGTAGCGAGGAGAATGGCTGCGGTTAATAATAGCGAAGAATATAGACTTGAATAGGTTTGATGAGAGCATTCAGTTCCGCACGAAGTGGCTGTGGCGCTGGCCAACCTCCACCGGCGTGACCCTAGCTAGCATGCTTATGCCTCACGACGGCAGCCACGTCGCTTCATCACCGTTCAACATTTTGCAACGCTGTAGAGCATACACACAAATGCGCGAGGTATTCAGCAGCAATCATATCAGACGCCTGGATGCACACTGAAAATCACTCGCGTCAGCAAGGACGCGCGCCCGAAGCGCCGAGGCGTGTGCGTCCCAGCAACTCCGCCACGCCACACAGCACTGAGGGTTACACCTCCACCTGATATCCAGGCACGACATCGTCTCCGGCGCGTATCTTCCTCTCGACCTCATCAATACCATCTTCCTCCTCACCATCGCTCCGCACCTCCTCGCTGTTCGTGACAGCCCCCGCCTCTCCCCTCCGCTTGCCGCTGCCGCTGCTTCCTCCCTCCCCATCCATGCACCAATAACGCACCCCGCTCCACACCCCAGCTGCAAACAGATCCATCAATGCCGCCGCGGCCGTCCTCGCCTTCTTCGAGGGCGAGGGCTGGGGCCGCGGCGCCCTCCCCCTCTCCTTCCCTCGCACACCCCCGCCCCACTCGCGATGACTTTGCCGATGTCATCGACACTCTTCCCGCGCCCCCTCCGCGCGCTGCCCAAGCCCGAACCGGCCCCATCCGCTCACCAGCACCCTCTCCAGACTCGGTGGACCTCGGCGAGATCCACCCCCTCCACCCCGCCTATCGTCCAACAGAAGATCTCCGCCGCCCACCCCTCCCCTGGGCCGACTCGCGCGAGACGCTTTCCCGCGCAAGCAGCGACACCGGCAGCCTCCGCAGCGTGCACAGCGACGAGCACGACACTGCGCACCTCACCAACACCCACGCCCACTCGCATCCAGGGCCTGGAATGGGGATGGCGGGGATCGGCGGAAGCACAGGCGTCGGAGGAGGAAGCGCACGACCTTCCCGCCCGTACGACAGCGAGGGAAGAGTGCGCGCCGGACCCCTGGGCATCATCACTCGCAGTCCCACAATACGACGTGTGTCCACAACCCTCCGCAACGCCAGTATCCGTGTTCAACACATCATGGGCACCGAGAAGGAGGGGTACGAGGGCCTCACCCGCCTCTCGACAAACGACGAGCGCGCAGAGTTCCCCGCACTCGAAATGAGCAGCGCGCCGTCCACTCCTCCAGATCCACCGCCACTCCCGCCACCACCACCACCACCACCACCACCGCCGCCGGGGAGGCTGCGCGGGCGCACCCTCGGCATCTTCTCCGCCTCCAATCCCATCCGCCGCGCCATGAACCGCGTCGTCCTCTTCCCGTGAGCCGCCGACGCAGGTGCCGCTGACCCAAGCCTGACCGAGCCCATCATCGTCGTGCTCATCATAGCCAACTTTATCATTCTCATCCTCCAGTCCGCCCCGCCCATGTTCGAACCCCGCAGCAAGCAAGGTGGCTACTTCCGCAGCTGGGAGGACTATGCGCTGTTCGTTCTTTTCGTCATCTTTACGTGAGTGCTGGTCACCCCTACCTACTACTACGCTCACACACCAGCCTCGAAATGTTTGCCCGGATTATCGTGACTGGCCTGATCGCCGACCCCGAAACGTCGCTTCCAGCCTTCTCGCACAGGGTGCGCGACTTCCTCGTCTTCAAGGCAAAAGCCGACGTCGATCCAGCGGCTAGGCCATCTACCAAGGAGACTTGGCACAGGACACGACAGTCGTCCACGCCCGTCGTCAGCCGCAACAACACAAGCCAGCTCCTGCCCTTCGACGAGGCCGTCACACACCAGCGCAGCCTCGTCAAAGACAACCGGCCATACCTCCGCCACTCATGGCACCGCATCGACATGCTCGCCATCGTCTCGTTCTGGATCTCTTTCATCCTTGCCGTCACGGGAAAGGAAGTGACTGAAAGTCGTCACCTCTATTTGTTCCGCGCGCTCAGCACCCTGCGCACTTCACGCTTGCTCGTCGTCACATCAGGTACTGCAACTATTCTGCACTCTCTCAAGCGAGCTGGACCGCTCATCCTCAATGTGTCGTTCCTGATCGTGTTCGCGGCCGCCCTCTTCTCCATCATCGGTGTGCAGAGCTTTCGCGGATCACTGCGGCGCACCTGCATCCTCACCGATCCCAACAACCCAGAGCAGAACATCACGCTTGGTAGTTGCGGAGGGTTTCTGGATCCAAATACACTTCGTCCAACCTCCTTCATCCGGCAGGATGGCACACCCTCGTCACAATCGCCTAAAGGCTTCATCTGTCCTCTTGACCAGATATGCAAGGTAGGTTCGACTGGGAATGGGCGTTGACGATCAGACCAGCGATGTCAGCCTGGAAGACGGCACCAAGAGCTTTGACAACATCTTCAAGTCGCTAGTGCAGGTCCTCATCATTGCAGGAGGTAAGTAGCCCACCTTCCTCGCTTCCTCGTCTGATGCCAGTCAACACATGGACGAACACGATGTACGAGACTATGGACACGGACTATCAAGCGTCGGCCCTCTTCTTCATCGTGGCTGTCATGGTACTCAACCTCTGGCTGATGAATCTGCTGGTCGCTGTGGTTGTCAACACGTTCCAGGACATCCGCGCGGAGACAAAGAAGTCGGCCTTTGGTGGTGAAGCGTACGTCGTTGATTCGAGGCTCTGCTCACTCCAGCTCTGCTTTGGCCGCCCCACAGTGGGCTCAGGACACGACGAGGAAGCCCAAAAAGCCCTCTCGCTTGTTCACGGTATACAAGAAGACGGAGCCGTTCTGGGTCCTGCTCATCCTCGTCGATGTCATCTCTCAGGGCACGAAGACCGCGAACACGTCCCCGCGGCACTTGGCCATCCTGCGTGAGTGTACCCAGAGCGTATGAACCAGCTGATCGCAGGCCACATGGGTCTCGCTTTCGGCATCATCTGGCCTATCGAGATAGCGCTGCGCTTCTTGACGTTTGTTCCAGACTGGCGTGCCTTCTTCAAAATCAAGCGGAACGATTTCGACCTGCTCCTCGCCGTTGGCAGCGCCGTCGCAGAGCTGATCCCGGCCGTCCGAGGCTCCCCGTATCACTCGTGGTTGACAGCTTTCCATCTGATGCGATGGTACCGTGTCATCCTCATGGTTCCGCGGATGAAGCCTCTCCTGGTGGGTTCCTTGCACAACCGCGCTGACGACAGATCAACGTTTTCGGTAGTTTTACCGGTTTGTTCAACATGGTCATTTTCCTATTCCTCATGACCATGCTTGCCGCGTTGATGGTGCGTTAGCAGCTGACTTGCGTCTGACCCCAGGCTGTCCAGTTCCTCCGCGGCGACATTCCAGAAGGCGATAATATGGTCAACTTCTCCCAGATCTTCAACTCATTCGTTGGCATGTACCAGATCTTCTCGACAGAAAATTGGACGCAAGTACTCTACACCGCTGTAAGTCGAAGTAACGCGAGGTGTGCCACGCTGACATAGCTAGGTCGCAGCTGAATGGGGCTTGGGCCAGGGCTGGTTCGTGTGCATCTTCCTCTTCCTCTGGTTCATGTTCGCCAACTGTAAGGCCTTTGCAATGATTGCTCGCTCATCCCAGTCATCATGATGCAGATGTTCATCGCGGTTATCAACGAAAACTTCTCCGTCGCCGAGGAACAGAAACGCAAGCAGCAGGTTGACGCCTTCATTCGCCGGTCCGAGCCTGAGTCTGGACACACCAGCTTCTTCGAGAGGTGGAACCCGTACAATAGAATCAAAGGTAGACACAAGGCGATCCGCCTCGCCGAAGTGCCGCAGAACCTCATTTTGCCATTGAAACAAACGATCGGGCAGGACGTCGGGTCGGCAGACGTAAGATGCGGCTTCGCTTAACGCTGACTCGCAGGTTGATCCCGAGGAGACGTCGGGCAAGGCGGCCATCAAGCGACTCATGGGCTTTACGGAGGAAGGAAAGGTGAACCCGCTCCGCCGATTCAAGAAGAAGGAGACGCACGACATGCGCCGGCGCTCCGCGCGTCTCGACCACGCCGATGACAGTGACGACGATCGCGGTTTGACGGACCTCCTTCCGCCACTCAATCCCGGTATCTCGGTTGATGAGCACAAGGATGCCTTACGCGAAAAGCGCAACCAGGAAGCGGACTTCATCTCGGCTCACCCAACCTATGACAAGCCGCTGTACATCTTCTCGCAGACAAACCCTGTGCGCAAGTTCTGTCAGCGCCTCGTGCCATCATCCCATGGGCATCGTATCTTTGGTCAGCCGCATAGCCCGATGTGGCACTTCCTCTTCACCACCGTGATCTTCCTCAGTGTCGTTGCGAGTATCGTCATTGCAGCCATCGCCACTCCAGTCTACCGCAGGAATTTCTACATGGAGCACGGGACATCCCTCGCTTGGTTCGACTTCAGCGAGGCTGGCGTGGCCCTCGTGTTCATCGTGGAGGCCGTGATAAAGATCATTGCCGATGGCTTTATCTTCACGCCCAACGCATACCTTCACTCGCTGTGGAACGTTGTCGACTTCATTATCCTCCTGGCGTTGCTGGCGAACACTGTCACGTCCTTGGTCATCATCGGCGGTGTGAATCGCTTCACGCGCTCGCTCAAGGCGTTCCGCGCGCTGCGGCTCATTACGCTGTTCAGCCGTCTGCGTGATACCTTCTACGTGGTGTTCTTTGCCGGATTCGTGCGTATCCTGGACGCCGCTTGTCTCATGATCTTCTACATTATCCCGTTCGCCGTGTGGGGGTAAGTCGGGTGTGGTGTCCCAGCTAACTCCGTCAGCCTCAACATCTTCCGTAATCGTATGGCCGGCTGCAACGACGGCGGCGAGAACATTGGAGGACGCAGTGACTGCATCGGCGAGTTTCTCCACGCGCCTGTCGATGGAAGTTTGGCGTTCCTTGCGCCGAGGGCGTGGGGTAACCCCACCTTTGACGGCAGCAAGTGGTCCTTTGACGATTTCCGGAGGTCGATCTTGATCCTATTCGAGATTGTGTCCCTGGAAGGTTGGACGGATGTCATGGGGTCGGCCATGAACATCGTTGGCAAAGATATGCAGCCGCAGACGAACGCGCAGCAGTGGAACTCGATCTTCTTCATCATTTTCAACCTGTTTGGTGGCATCATCATCTTGACTGTCTTCTTGACGTAAGCTTTGGTTGATTGCGCGGGCTGACGGCAGGATCATCATCGAGAACTTCAGTATCACCTCGGGCACAGCCCTGTTGACTACTGAACAGCGTCAATGGGTTGACCTCAAGAAGTATATACGTGCGCAGACGCCGAGCCAGCTCCCGAAGAAGAAGCCAAGCACGCCACTCCGGCTGTGGTGCTACAACCGTGCGACAACCAAGCGCGGCTACTGGCAGCGCTTCTTCACCTTTGTCTACTGCGTCCACATTCTCCTCCTGATGTGAATATCGAGACGGTACCTCGCTGACAGCAGGTGCGAAGACTACTCGGAGAACATCATGTCCGAGACGCAGCTGGACACCACCTTCCTCATTCTGACAGTGCTGTACGCCGTTGACATCGTCGTGCGCTTCATCGGCTTGGGATTCAAAGCTTTCCGCTCAAACGGGTGGAATCTGTTCGACGTCTTTGTCGTGACAGGTAGCTTCGCTACTACCATCCCTGCTCTACAAGCCAGTGCGAGCGGCATCGAGGGCAACCAGGCGAGCAAGCAGGTGCAGAAGCTGTTCCTGGTCGCATTCGCGCTCAAGCTCGTGCAGCGTCTCGATGCACTCAACCAGCTGTTCAAGACCTCGGTGTAAGCTTCTGTGGGCCGACTGCTACTGACACCCAGTGCGAGTCTTCCCGCTATCGGCAACCTGTTCCTACTGTGGGCGGTGCTGTTCATTTTCGCCGCGATCGTCTACATCGAGGTCTTTGGCATGACCAGGCAAGGCCCAAATGCGGGATCACGATTTCAAAACTACAACACGTTCACGAATGCGCTGGTCATGCTGGCCTTCATGTCGACAGGGTAAGTGAACGCGGCAGATGGAGCTAACGCTGCAGCGAGGGATGGAACGGCTACATGCACGACTAGTGAGCTTCACGTGCCGATCTTTCGCTGACAACAGCACCGTCCAGTCTCCACGCTGTATCGAGGGCTGGACCTACCTGGAGTCAGATTGCGGCAGCGAAGGGTGGGCCTACACGCTGTTCATCGCGTGGAACATTCTGAGCATGTGAGCAGTGGGCGGAAGATTTATCTGACAACAGGTACATCTTCCTGAACATGTTTACAGGTGTGGTGGTGCAGTCGTTCTCCTACGTCTACCAGATGCCAGGGAGCGCCACGCTCGATCGCGAGCAGATGCGTGAGTCTCCCTGCGGAGCGCACTGACTTCAGGCTCGTTCAAGCGGGCATGGGCTCTGATCGATGTCGAGCGCACGGGCTACATCAAGCGCAAGGACTGCGCGCGCTTCCTTTCGATGCTCAACGGCGTCTTCGAGGTCCGCCTGTACCCAACAGAGTACAGCGTCCCCCATCTGCTCCAAACTTGTGCGCCGGCACCGGGCGCGACAAAGGACGTGCAGGGCAGCGCTGGGCATATGGTGGATGTTCGCTTGCTTCGCGCAACAATCGCACAGATCGACTTCGACCAGGTGCGCAAGCGCCGACGCCAATTCGTGCGGCTGTTCTACGAAGCGAAGATCACCGAGGAGCCCGGCCGCGGGATCAGCTTCACCAACATGCTGCTCATGCTCGCGCAGGCTACCCTCATCAATGACGAGGACGCTCTACAGATCGACGAGCTTCTTGTGCGCCGCGCCAAGATGGAGCGCGTGGACGACCTCGTCAACCTCGATCGTGTCCGTGGCCTTCTGCGTACTATCTACTGGCGGCGTAAATTCCTGACTTACTGCGAGGAGAAGGTGCGCGCGGCGGCAGCCGAGTCGGGCCGCGCCGTTCCCGCCATTGTGCTGCCCGACACTACGTCTCCCAATGCGCCTCGCGCCCCATCGCTGGCCGATGAACCGCTGCAGCCGACACGCAGCCCATGGGGGACGCCGACACACACGCCGCCCGCGAGCCGCCCCACGTCCCCAATAAGCCCCATTCGCTCTGCCCCTTCGACGCCGAGCAGATCGCAGGCACGGCAGGGCTCGGGGCCAAGCCCGTCACGGCCCGTCAGACAGGGATCTGGGCCGAGCAGGAAGGGCACCAGCTCGTCCGGGCCGAGCCGGTCGGGCACACTCGACGCCGACCCCTTCGACGGCCTCAGTGTCGACAGCCACTTCACGCTCGGCAGCTCAAGCAACCACGGGACGGTGCTCGGCGCGCTAAGCATGGCGCCTCTGACTGGCGCTCCGTCTGTGCACGGATCCCAGCTGTCGCACAACACGCTCAACCCGTCGCGCCGCGGGTCGGCAGATAGCACCGCGCTGAGCGGGTCGCAGCGGCTGTCCAACTACAGCTCGTACACGCACTCGCGCGAGCCGAGCTTTGACGAGCCGCCGAGCGAGGACGTGCTCGCGACGATGGCGGGCAGCGAGTGGGCCGAGATGATGCGTGAGGCAGTGGAGGAGGAGGACGACCGGTGAGACGTGACGCGAGACGATAGAGTGACGCGAAGAGAGTACGAGTCGTGTAGGCATGACATTGGTTTCTCATAGACACACAGTTGTACAACTATAGCAATGATGTCGGATGCGCCCTCGGGCCTCTATTTGCTTCTATTCTGCCTCCCCTTCTACAAGACCACAATTCCTCTTACATGTTCAACAGCGTCGCGCTCTCCTCATCCAGCGGTTCGTCGGCAATGACGTGGCTCCACCGGTCCGGCACGGAAGGGAAGTAGAATCTCTCCATGGCGGTGCGGAAGCGCTTGCGGTACTGCAGCGGCGTGACGATGGTGGGCTCGCCGCGCCCGCCGCCACCAAAGTCCTTGACCCACGACTCGACCTTCTTGTCCCTGCGCGTCAGCTTGTCCAACTGTCGAGAGACAAGAATGCTCACCAAGTGAATGTGCGGATGTAGTCGACGACGCCGACGACGAGCTCCTTGTTCTCCGCGTCGACGCCGACAACAAGCGAATAGTCCATGACATTGAGGTTGGAGAGGAAGAGCGTGTCGTTCCACAGCGCCGTGCGGAGGATGAGCTTGGCGTGGTCCCGGAGATACAAGGGCGCCGTGTACGAGATCTCCATGAGGTTCTCGTCGAGGAGCACCTCGTTGGCGCGGCCCGTCGGCTTGATCAGCCGGTTGCGTGTGCTGCCCTTCAGATCGTAGATCTTGCTGAAGTGGCGCCCGTAGAACAGGTTCTCCTGCACCAGCACGTTCATGTGCATGCTCCGCCCCGTCACGCCATTGCGGTACCCGATCTTGAAAATGCCGTACGTCTTCGCGAGCGCCGTCGGGCGCTGCCGCTCGAACGCGGTGCTCGTGTACTCAAAGTACGCGGGCGCGAATTTGGTCAGCGCATCCATCTCGTACCGCGAGATTTCCTTGACGATGAACCGGTCGTCCTTCGTCTTGAGGAACGCGCTGCCCGACTTGCCGCCGCTGGCGTCGAACTTGGCGCATCGCGCCAGGCTCTCGATGAATCCGTCCTCACACTGCACGGCCTGGCGCAGAGCCGCAAACTGCTCGGCGAAGAAGATTCGGCACGAGATCGTCGAGGATCCAGCCTCAAACTCGTACTTCAGGTGTGTGCCCGCGCCAGATAGGGAAGGCTCGTCGAGTTCGTCGACGCTTATTATATCCCATGGTCGCTCGTTGCCAACCTCCTCCAGCATACTCGGTTCAGAGGGGAGGGTCGAGTGCTGAGCGCGCTCAGCACGCGCCGCACGCGCTTTGGATGCTGCTGCCACAGAGCGGATCTGCTCTCTGTACTGCTTCGAGCAGAGAGTAAACGCGATGATAGACGTCGGTTCATGCTCGCGCACAATCACGCGCGAGTCGACGAAGATGTGTTCCGCCGCGCTGAGCGGGTAGTCGAGCGGCGTGAAGTCGCCAGCACGGATGGCCCAGAGACCTGTCAAAGTCTTGAGAATGCTCGAGCGTTCGCCTCCGCCAGACGACATCTCGCTCTCACTGATCTGAGACATCTGGCTCAAACCCTTCTTACCCGCCTCGTCTTCGGTTATCAGGCCAGCGGGCGTAGCAGGGATGCTGGGCAGTGGAGCCGCCGTATCAAACGGTGCAAGCTCGATGTGTAGGCGGTCGCTGGCAATCTTGCTTGCCCCAGCGTCGTCGGTCTCAGGGTAGACCTCGGACTCGAAAGTCGATGGGCCGGCCTCTGGCACGTGAGGCTTAGGAGTGGACGTCTCAGCCTCAGCTTCGGTCTCCTCATCGTCCAGACGCTTCTTCGGCGGGGGCGTCGGCGCGACTTGGGCATGCGGTGGCAGTAGCGCTGGACGCGGCTTGGCGGGCGAACTCTGCTTACGGCGTGGCTTGGCGCGACCGGTCGAGTCGACGCTTACATCGCTCAGGTCGGCTTCCTCCTCATTGTCGGCGGCAGACGAGTCCGAGTCAAACTCATCCTTGAACGCGTCGCGGACATTGTTGAACACTTGTACACGGGCCTTAGTGACACCGACGCGGCCAGCACGCTTTCCACGCGCCAAGCTGATGCGCTTGGCTCTATCCCGTTCAGCGTCGCGACTGATTTTGTCGAAGTGTCTCGCAATGGACGTGACGCGAGTCCCTGCTCCCATCACGCGGCGCGGGATGCCTCGCATGAGGTTTCCTCCCGGCGACGCTTGCGGCGCAATCGGTAGCGACGGCTTGCGCGGCATCTTGCCCTTGCCCACAAGCCGAGGCTTCCCGTCCATGCTTACGCTTTTAGATATAGGGACGGACGGGGCGGCGAGACGCCCATCCTTGCGCGCGGACGGAGACGGAGCTCGAGAGCGGCTGCGATTCGGCGAGGGAGCACGTGACGATCTGCCCCGCCCTCCAGACGACGCGGGATCCGTGTTGTGCCGCTTCGACAACACGCGGCTCGCGTTGACGGCGTAGCTGCGGTCACCATCGGAGAACAGGTTGGACCGCGAGGATGTGCGCTGCATGACCGTCTGCTCGCTCGTTCTGTTGCGCCGCAGGTAAGGTCTGAGCGGCTGTCCTACATCGCTGTCCGAGACGTCAGTGGGCTCATGCCGCATCCGACGGTGAACGCCAGCAGCCGAACGGGGCCTCTCTAGTGTCGGTGTAGACGCCCCGCTGCGCCCGGGTGCGGTGTCCTGGAAGCGCTTGACGAGATCTGCTACGCTCGGCGAGGGACGATTTCGTCGCACTGGCAGGCGCGAGATGAACGCGTGAGTGTCGCTGTCAACTCCACTCGACGCCAGGTCAGCAGACGGCGTAAACGGCTGAGCAGGCATGGAGATTGGGCGCGGCGCGGCGGATATGGTTGAGTCGCTCTCGTAGTCGCGCGGCGTCTCTGGGAGTTCGAGCTCGGGAGTCTCAGGAGGGGCGAGCATCGGTGGGCCAGTAGCGCGCGACACCGTTGGCGTCGGCGTCACGGTGTCGCTCGAGGTGGCAGCACTGCCACTGACCTTCTCCTCAGATGGCTCCGACAAGTCCACCGTGCTGCCGTCGGCGCTTTCCAGCTCGCTGACCTTGTCAGGGCTGGGCCCAGCTTCCGACTCGAGAATAGACGGGGTCGCAGTGCCGCTCTCGGGCTCGAGCGTTGGCGCAATCGAGGGCGGCTTCGACGAGTCAGGATCTGTCACCTTCTCGTGCTCGTCTACTTCCGGCACAGCCATGCTGGCGACATTCTTGTCAAGTGAGCTGAAGACATCGTGAGTCGCAAAGAGGCGCTTCAAGTGGGTCGCGGTCACTGTATGTTAGTGGTGCTCCTCCAAAGGTTACTCACTTCTCCGCAGATCCTTCTCGGAGGGCATGTACAGCTTCTCGACGTCCAGGAAGTCGAGACTGGTGTAAGCAGAGGCCACGGCGTGAGATGAAATAAACTCACTCCCACTGGATGACCTTGTCCTGGAGGGCCTGCAGAACGACGTTGATCGCAAGCACATCAGTCGGTGGCGTCTGCTTGTATGTAAGCTTGAGAGAGTTGACCATCTCGTCACGATCTGCGACCGCACGCGTGAGGAGCGCATCGCGGTCAGCACGCATGCGCGCCTGCTTATCCGGCTCGACAAGATCGTCCGTGAAGCTTCGCAGGCGGTGCATCACCGAGTCGAAGAACGCCGCAGTCTTGGCCAGCGCACTCTCGTACTCGGCGTTCTTGAGAGCCACCTTGTCCTCAACATTCCAAATGATCTTGATCGGAGGTCTGACGGGCTCATACAGTTCGATCTCGTCATTGTGGATCCGCACAACCGTGTTGTGATGCGCAAAGTAGCGGATATGCTCGCGGTAGGCGTCGTGCGCGCAGCCGAACCCAGTGCGCGTTTCGGGCGGGTAGAAGCAGTGCTCAAGGTAAGCACCCCAGCTCATGCGCCACGTCTCCTCGCGGATGACGGTAGGCTCCCATGATCGGTTACACTGCCGACAGTAGCTCCAAGTCAGGATCTGCTCCTCGTGCCCAGGTAATGGACAGGAGAAGTGCTCCATGGCGATCTGCAGACGTCGCTCCGCGTGGACTAGTACGTCGTAGTGGAAGAGCATGAGCAGATCACACGTGGGGTTGGGACAGCGATGGACTGCGTTTGCGACCATCGAGCCAAGGAATTGGCCAAGCGTCTGGTCATCCTCCTGGTAGAAATTGATTTCCTGGCGCGCAGGCTCGACGCATGGCTTGTCTTGGCCCTGGCGATACAGAGCTTGCAGGTAAATGATACCCTGGAAGTTCTTGGGGTGGAGTGGGCCGGGATTGCGTCTCACGTAGTGCTTCCAAAGCTTGTACTGCTCGTCGTGGTCGTACTCGACGAAAGCGAGGGTGCTGGCGTCGACGAAGTCCTCAGGGTTGAGCAGGATGCGGTATGGATCGCCACCCTTACTGCCTGCCACAGCTGGTGGTGCGGGCGTCAACGCAGGAGCTTGTGCAGGTGCATTTGGGGCTGGAGTGGGCGCCGGTGTGGGCGGCACCAGGACTGGGAGAGAGGCAGAAGAAGGTAATGTTGCAGTTGGTGCGGCAACGGGTGAAGTAAAGCCCGAGTTGGCGGCGGAAGACGCAGATGATTCGCCGTCCGTCTTCGGGAGAGGTGCAGACTTGATGGACATGGCGTCGTCTACGATGTCCGTCTCAGACTTGCCGGCTAGCGTTGGCTCAACCTTGACCTCAGCATTGCCGTCCTCCCTCGACGACGGCTGCACCTCCGCCGTGGGTTTCTCGGCGTCTTTCTCAGCACTGGCGCCCTTGTCCTGCTCAGCGCTCTTGACATCTGGCGCCTTGTCCACTTCCTGCTTCTCGACGTCCTTGGCTTTTTCCACCTCCTTCTTCGCGGCATCCTTCCTCGCGACATCCTCCTCAGACTCGACGACTATCTTGATCGGCTCGTACTTGGGAGGCTCCGCCCGCTTCTCCTCTTCCAGGATCTTGGCAGCTTCACGCTCGTCCTTCTTCAGGCGCAGGTAGTTCAGCTTGCGATCCAAGGCAGCCATCTTGGCAAGGACATGCGGAGGGGGGAAACGCACGGCCACCGAGGCGCTGAGCACAGTCGTGAGGTAAGGCTCCAGGCTCTCGGCGATCTCGCGCGTTACCTGCAGTGCGTTCTCCTTTTCGATCTGCTTTGGGTCAGAGGGGTCGCGCGCGGCCGCTCGAGGCGTGAGCTCTGAGTCGGGAGACACGGGTGAGCGCGCCAGTGGTGAGCTCGCGCCACGCCCATACACCGATTTCGGGGTTGATCGCTTATTGGCCAGTAACCGCAGCAGGTCACGGTATTCTTCCGGCATGGGAGGATGTGGCGGAAGCATCTGGAACTCGTCGCCGTACAGAAATGTCTCGTTCTTGAGGTGATATGCGACCAGCGCGAGGAAGTCAGCGATAAGCTTGACTCGACGGAGGGTGGAAAGAGTGCCGCCACGTAGAATAATGGTGCCGCCAAAGCCGTTGTGCGTGCCCTCGAAGCGCATGTACGTCTTGCGCCTGCCAGGAATAAGGTCGTGCTCGAAGGTCTGGACTTTGAAATCGGCGCAGCGGCCCAAACGAGGCTCCAATGCAAGCTTGTCCATCGAGCCAATGATGTCCGCATGCGTGCACCGTGCAACCTGGTGAATGGCGCTGAACTTTACGCCACGCGCCACGACAATGTTGGCTTTGTAAAGGAAGTCGAGGGCGATGCGCGAGACGAATCGCTCGACGAGGACAATGTGCGGACGAAGGTCAATAATGCGATTTGTCAGCAGCCGCAGATAGTCGTTCTCCTGCTTGAGGATGGGGTCGAGGGACATAAATTGCGTCTCGACGCGATGATAGTCAAGCGGAAAGGTGATGACCATGATGCGCGGGTTGACAAGTCGACGCGACATGCCTTTGTGCGCAACGTTTTTGGTTATTACGATGCCGTCAACATACTCCGAGTCAGTGATCTTGCCGCCAGGCACCTTCTTGATCTTGACGTAAGTGCGGATGTCGATGGAGTCGCCGGCTCGAACGACCGGCCGAAGGTTGGTCGACACGCGAAGCAAGAGTTTGCTGAGCACGCGGTGCCACGTCTCCGGATTTGGCAGCTCATGCCGCTCAATGGACTGCTGCAGCATCGTGTTGAAATGCGCAAGCGATGGACCAGTGAGAAACTCTGGTGGCGTGACGAATGAGTACGAGCGCGCTCTCCAAAGCCCGTCTTTGCGGTCAGTATCCAACAGCGCGCTCAATCCGTTGTTGGCTCCACCCCGCAAGCTGGCCGCCGAGCTCAAGCGCGTTCTCAGCCCGGGGAAGTTGAGCGGCACATTGATGATGGGCATGCCCTCTTCGGACTCGATAGTGTCGGTGCGAGGGAAGCCTACGCGCGGACGAGTGTCGAGCGGGTAGTCGATCATCGGCCTCACGTGGTTGGCGCCAGCGCTCCCCGGCCGGGGTGAAGGAGCCTCGGAAGCAAGTTCACTGTGTGTATTGCTCTCGTGTCCTTGGTCGTCCGAGTTGTCGTCGCCATGCCGACGGAAGGGCGCCGCAATGGAGGGCCACAAACCCCACCGGCTACCCGTGGTTTCCTCCTGGTCCGACATATCCGAGTCCTCATCGTACGGCTGATGAACAGCCTCCTCGATCGCGGATAATGAGTCGTTGGTGCTGCGGAACAGCTGGCTCGCGGCAAATGGTGACTGAGAGTACGCTATCTCCGAGGAGATAACGCGATCTGGGAGCCCGGCGAGCCCCGACATTGTCGAGTTGATGCTACGCCGGTCATCGTCGTCATCGTAGTCCTCCATGATCTTGAGACATAAGTTGCACACGCGCACCATGCCGTCCTGACCGAAGCGCCGCGCACCAATGATGTTGGATGCGCACCGGCCGCAGAAGATCTGACCGCAGATACGGCAGTGGTGCTTTCGGCGCCAAGTGGTAAATACCTAATGTCAGCAGCCCTCTTACGACCTTCCCTCACCGACTTGCAGTCGTAGCATTCCTTGCAGTTCTCGTCTGCCATCCAGTAGTGCTTGCTCAAGCCTTCGCCACGCATGCGACGAATGATCTTGGAGACGGAGTGCGGCCGCTTAGCCAGAGCCAACGAGCGAATACTGCGCGTGTCCTCGGCGGGAAGCTGGAAGCCTGGCACGAAAGAATAGTTGTTGTTCTGACTGAGCTCGGCGTTGCCTGAGATCATCGCTGACAATGACACGCTGCTCGGCGAGTCTGGAATGGTGCCGATTGAGCCACGGCGTAACCTTCCTCCACCGAGCGCGGCGCTGCCGGATATTGGTTTGCCTTTGGCGTTGGTGACCTCCACCGTTGGCGTCACATTCATGAGGCGAGGCGGCGGCGGCATGCTGTCCTCGCTGATACGCGGTGCAGTGGTAGTGACGCTGGTCACCGGTGAGACGGTGACCTGCGCGCTCGCGGCCGCGGGACGCCAGTTTCTCTCACCGGGAACAAGGTGACGACGCTGCTGAGGCTGGGAATTGGAGCTGGCTACGCTGGCAGCCGCGCTAGATAGCTGCGAGGCAGACGCGGCCGAGCTCTGGTGGCTGTGCTGAGCACGAGGAGGGAGAGGGAGGGACGTGACATTGAGCGAAGGCGCAGTGGGCGAGAGAACTGATGACGGAGAGGTGTCGCCAGATGGTCCGATTGAAAGCTGGCCAGTCCCCCGCCGCGACGACACGTTGGGCACGGAGACAGCAGACGCGTGCGACGTCGGGGTCACCGCAGGCGCGGCGGCCTGAGAGCCTTGAACCTGCGCTACAGCTGCTGCCTGGGCCTGGGCCTGGGCGGCATGTTGTTTCCGCGTTGCCTCGGCGATGAGCTGAGCTGCACTCTGAGCCGGCTGGGCCGGTGTCGCAGCGTCCTTGGTGTCCCGTGGTGGCGCGGACGAGAAAGTGCTCTTGACCTTGGAGAGGAGGGAGGGGAGCAGACCGGTCTCGGGCTCGTCTTGGAAGGGGTTAGGAAAGGTGGTAAGGTTGGACAATGTGTTGGGGAGCCCATGGTTTGAGAAGTGTGAGATTGGGGAAGGCCCACTGGACGCCGACACGCCCGTGTCGAGGCGCAGGTGCGGGTCGGACATTGGGCGTGGGAATGGATGTTATCGGGAGGGAGTGGGGGACATGTCCAGTCGAGTGGTCGATGTGGTCGAGGAGAAGAGTAACAGAGGGAATAGAATGGGCGGAGAGAGATGTGAGTGATGGAAATGGAGTGAAGAGAAAGGATGAGAGTGGCGATGGTGCTGAGAGATCGCTGATCGAGGGCCAAACACACTCATCTCACAGACATTCCCCCCTCCCCACACAGGTGGCGCTCCATCAAGCATCAAGGGGGAGACGGGGCCAATTATTAAAGCCACGTGCTGGGGCTAATGCCCCCATTACACGGCTATACGGCTACCTATTGACGCTGCCCCTGATCCGCACCAACCCGCATCTTTTGTTGTTCCCAACACTACTGGTCTCATGTCTCACACCTCGGCGTAGGCACAGCAGAATCCGCGAGCCGTAGCAAATAGCGACGCTATAGGGTGCTCAGAGCCCGCTCGTTAGCACTAGCTACTGCGCGTCCTGTAAGACATATATCGATTCACATCGTATATCACGAACGCTATTTAGCAGCGATGTACTCCTCACGGCTCTCCCACGTTTACTCTTGATCACGCGCCACGACACTAAACTCGCCGCTACCGCTATCTCGAATATCGGAGTACAATTAGCCCACCTCATATCAGGCGTATTCAATCCCTCTGGCGTTCTCTCTCAGACTCAGGCACCCAACACATGATTGAGCGTCAGCGAGCTCCCATGCCTCTTCGAAAGCCGGTGAGTGTCTGCAGCACACTGTTGTCAGCACAGAGGCCGTTAACTATCTTACCTTGAAGAAGCGCACGTGCTGCTTGTCTATGAAGAGCGTCTTCGCGCAATTCTACCAGTCAGCGGCAAGTCGAGATTGTACCCACTTTCTGCCACAGGAAGGGATCCTGTACAATAAGCTGCTGATCGTCCCACTCTGTCGGCTGGTGGACGTCACATTTGCCTACCCAGAGATCTCCGGGATGGTCGGAGCCGTACTGGGACCGCCAGTACCCCCTTCCTGTGCTGTCAGCGCGCTCTCGCCACGGGGAGTGTTATCCCGCTCACTTGGGGCCACGGGGTTACGTCGTGAGCTAATACCGCCATTGAGGATAGAGACAATCTGGGAGTTGGGGTTGAAATAGGATTGATCATGCCCGAGGAGGCTGAAGTATTGAAAGAAGCCGCGTACGGCCTCGGCAGCTGTAAGGCTGGGCCTCCTGGGCTGCCATCCAGGCGGAGGTCGGCGCTTGAACCAAACGTGAGCGATATCGCCTTGCTCCTTCCCCCACGAAAGCCAGATCGAGTCCTTCGAGGCGATTCTGGGATCGGCGGATGTCGGTACCACGACGCCTGCCTGAAGATTGGGCAGGGCACCGATGTGTTGCAAGTACGCGATCGACATAAGAGTGAGGCAATACGAGGACATGGACCGCAGACCCGTTTGGCCAGAGGGGTCGTTCAGGTTGTGCACTTGGAGCCAAAGCTTGAGGGTGTGGATCATGGGGCGCAAAACGAAGGGCGAAATCTCGCAGTACGCTAGAATGAGAGCCGAATTGTACCTGTAGTCAGCGCGAACCCAGGCGTGAAGAATGCCCTCACCAGCCGCCGAGATCGTTGGTGCAAATGTCACACTGGAAGCCCATGTGGGGAACTTTGAACTTGACGATGGGGGTGAAGGCTGGGACAGCTCTGGCTTCCTTGACAATGGTTAGGTTTTCCAGATAAGACCTGAGAACATGAACGTTGTAGATCTTGGGGACGTGCGGATTCTTCAACTTGCGCGACTTGCTGATGTTTGCAACGACGCGTACATCAGACGGTGTCTTCCATAAACTGGGCGCGTCTGCTGTTAGCCCGCTGCGGCATGCAAGCAATCTGCAGCCTCACAGCCCCAGGGATATTCCGTGTCCTACGGATGAGCAACTGGTAGCGGGACGGCGCTCACAATGATCACCAGGTCAACATCGCCGCTCTTGCCAGTGCCACCTCCCCATGCCGCGCTCCCAAAGACGTCAACGATGTACCGATTGCCGTCTGGGTTGTCCAGTGGGGACAGTTTATTGAGCAAGTCCGTCAGGACGAGGAGGAGCTCGGCGAGATGTTCCTTTTGACGTTCGGATGGCTCGGCCCTTTGCCAAGAAGCCATGATCTCCATTTGCAGGATGCCGCCACTCAAGGCCACGGTTCTTACATTGGCACTGTAACGAGAGGGCAGCCTGGACTTGTACCGAGCATAAGGTGAGCCCCATCCTCCGTACTTGATGCCCGAGATATTCCAAGCATCTCTCTCCATGCCCTCGATGGTGTCCAGGTCATCGATGGTATCCATGACACCGATGCTATCCATGACAACGATGTTATCCATGGCAACGATGTTATCCATGGCAACGATGTTATTCATGGCAACGATGGTCTCCGCGGCGTGAGGGATTGTCGAGACTGCAAGTCTAGAGTGTCAAGAGACTGCTTGTCAGAGGTCGTCTCCGTCGTTGTGTCACCTCGAATAGGAAGCGTGGGTTCCGGAATGTGGAGGTAGACTGAGTCTGGGGAGAGCTGGATGGTCTGGCGAACTGAGGATAGGAAGAATGGGACAAGCAGAGGAGGTAGAATAGGTAACGCGGTTAGAGCAGAGCAGAGACAAGCAGTGGAGAGAAGAGAAGAGGATGGAAGAGGAGAGGAGAGTGGAATGAAAGTTGAGTGAAGTGGGAAGAAGAAACATCCGTGTCGCTCTCTCTTCTAGATCTGGCCTGCGGCCTGTGCGTTCTTTCCTGCGTACCCGACGCCCTCCACGATTGGTGACAACAGCTAGCTGAGCATTGCACGTGCTCCCTCACCAGTCTTGCACCCACTCTCTGCATCGTTTATTCCAAGAGGAGTCGAGCTAACTCGTCCAAAAGCAGGCCAGACGCAGGCCGGAGGGCGGGTGATTGCAACACCTCCAGCCGTGCCAGGCCTCAGCGACAGCGCCACCGCAGGCGGGCCGCATTGACCTACTGGTGTTCTGGTGACGCGACGCACAGGTTTGGACTCAACGTGTCCCCGAGCAACGCACGTCTCTGACGCGGTGTCACTCCGGTATACGCCCTCAGATATGACTCGAGTGGGCCGAGGATCATGCCGGCTTCGACCTGTACCAGAAGGTGGTGAGGTCAACTACGAGGATAGAGCCGCTGCAAAACTCATGTTGAAGCTATGAGAATATGTACGGCAGGATTAAGCAGCTCTTATGCCTGCCCCCGGCACGCACCGACGGTGTCGGCCCATAATGATGTACATCTGGATCCCTTTGAGGGCCCGACGCCCTCAGGCGCAGGCCGTCTTCCGGCGCGTCTGTATGCATCACGCAGCTGGCAGATCTAGACTCTGGAGATGGCGAGGGATACACACAGGTGGGGCTCACAGCTCACAGGGGGCGCGACATGAGGAGCAGTGGCATGGCGGCTTGTGCGACTTCGACCAGCTTCTCCAGGCGGGCTCTCGACTGGGGCGTGCACGATGCATGTGTCGCGCAAGCGCCCGACCTGTTTTCGTGGCACTTCTTCTCTGTGCTTTCAACATCTGTTGACGCCATAAGCGCACTGCTTGTCGCCTGGTACCTGGTCCCGGATAACAGTCGCGGGCGATGTCTCACGCCTTATGCTTACTAACCACTCAATCCTCTCAATGCGAGCGGTCAGGTAGTGGAGTGGCTTGTCGAATTGTCGGGGACTGTCCGGGGGGGATTGCCAAAGACATGAGTAGCCAAGAATGAAGTGCCGGGGAGGTTTGAAACCCATTCAACGATATTCGACTGAAGCTCGTCTGGGTATTTGATGCGGTTTGCAGGACGTGACAGGCGCCAGGTACTCTCCTCTACTGCACAGCGAGCAAGCTGCGGCATCTTGCGTATGGGTAACTCATCTTATGCTATTTAGAACACTACAACATACTCTATACAGTCTAAGCTTATGTATCCGTCGCCATGCTAGTTCACAACGCAATCGCCACACACAACACCTCAGTGAGAGATGTACTGGAATACGTACGACACTTCCGGCAGGCCGAGCTCGGCGCGAAGCAGGTCGTCGTGCATCTGCCCGAGATCCGCGTTTTGGAAGTGGTTCCATGTGCTCGCGTCCCCATACAACAGCGCCGGCGCCTTGACGAACTGCTTGCCGCCGCGACACCGCTTGCACTTATATGTCTCGTGTGTCTGGCATGGTGTCTCGGTCGTGAACTTGAACAGCTCGCGCAGGTCGTCCTGCGTGAAGTGGCGGGCAGTGTCCTCTGCCTCGTCGACAACGCACGCGGACAGGTTCTGCTTCTGGCACTGGCGCTGGAAGATCTTCTCTTCGATCGACCCGGTTGTCATGAAGCGGTACACGAAGCCTGGATGTCAGACGAGCTCAGCGAATAAACAACTCACATTCCTTCTTCTGCCCATCACGCCACACACGTGCGAGAGCCTGCTGATCACTCGCCGGGTTCCAGTCCTAGGAGTCAGCTTCGCCGAAAGTTGTGGCTTACGGGGTCAAAGAGGATGAGGCGGTTCGCCCCAATGAGGTTGATACCACACCCGCCGGCCTTGGAGCTTAGGAGGAACACAAACTCCTTGCCTTCGGGGTCGTTGAAGCGTTGGACGATCGTGTTGCGCTTCTTGACGCTCATTGTGCCGTCGAGGCGCACATGGCCGTACTTCTTGGCGCGGCACAGGCGCTCCATGAGGTCTAGAGTTTGAGTCGCATTACTGATGAGCACGATCTTGTCATTGGTGTGGTTGCGGATGTGGTCAAGCATGCTGACGGTCAGTTCTGAGCAACCACGGTTAGCTTACCGTTCCAGGACCACAAATTTGCCAGAGTACGTGCAGTTGAGACCGCGCTCGCGACCAGTCTGCGCGACAGCGTAGTCGGGAGGGAGCAGGTCCTCGCTCCCCGACAGATCATCAGGGAGGTTGAGAAGCTGCGGGTGATTGCAGAGCTTGCGGAGGAGGCCGATAGCCTTAAGAGGCTGAGATTCCTTGCCGCGAAGCAGGCGCTGGACCTCCTTTGAATTGACGAAGTGGTTGTACAGCGCAGTTTGCAGCGGGCTAGGTCGACAGAAGACGACGTGCTCGTACTTCACGGGAACTGCGGTCAGCGGCGTCTGGCAATGGCAACTCACGGTATTTGGAGAGTAAGTCGTTTGTGCGGCGGATAATGAACCGGTTCACAAGACCGCTTAGCTCCTTGAGCTTGGCGTCACTCTCCTCCTTCTCCTTGTCCGTCGCATCAGCGTCACGCCCACGCAGAATCTTGGTCTCAAAGTTGCGCTTGAAGTCGAGCTTGGAGCCGAGATATTCGGGGTTGGCGAAGTTAAGGAGTGCGAAGTACTCCGAAAGATCGTTCTGGATGGGCGTGCCGGTGAGAATGACGCGGCGCTTGACGTTGAGGGCAGTGAGTGCTTGGAACGTAAGAGTTTCTGGAGTCAGTGTAATCCCGACGAAAAGCATACCAGCATTCTTGAGGCGATGGCCCTCGTCAGCGAGAAGGAGGCCGATCGGGCAGTCGGCCAGCTCCTCTTGAAGCGTTCGCAGCGTCTCATACGAGACGATCATCACTGCCGTCAGCGCCCGCAGGCGAGGAAGGCTTACCTGGCAGTGTTATATTGCGGCCGTGGGCGGCAACCCAGCGGCGGACCGCGGGGATAAGCTCAGCCTTGCCACCCTTGCCGTCCACAACAAGGGGATTGATGGCTCCGGGACCGAGCCACTTGACTGGTGTCAGCATAAGGCACGTCTGTGCACCCACCAAGCTCGTTTGCCCAGTTCCCTACGAGCGATGTCGGGCACGCAATGATGACCTTCTCGCACGTCGCCTTGCCAGCAATTGGAGACTGCTTGAGGAGTGTCCACATCAGTGCGATGCACTGGAGCGTCTTTCCGAGACCCATCTCGTCGGCCATGATACAACCCCATGCGCTATCGGCGAGCATACCGGTTGTGCAGCGGTAGAGGAACTGCCATCAGCATTGTTACAGTTCCACGACTCACTTTGACACCCTCAATCTGGTGCGGACGGAGGACCTTGCTGAGACGCGGGTCAATGACGACAGGAACCTTGACCTCGACCTTGACTGTGCGGTCCTGGATACCGAGAATGGTCTTGAGGCTCTTGTGTGGCCCCCGGTCCTCCTTGACCGCCACGACACCTTCCTCATTCTCTTTGGGTGCAGGCTTGTCATCGATCGTCGGGTCGTAGAGCACGATGGCGTGGTCAGCCATTGGATCGTGCAGGGGACGCGGGGCTAGGGTCGGATGCGGCCGCGCGCCGAGCGACGCGTGTGAGAGCGGGTGCACGATCTTCTCCGACGTCTTGGCGTTTGTCATGACTGGAATCGCGAAGCTAGCGTAAGTGAAACCTCTCAAGCCCACTCACGTCTTTGCGAACACGGTTGTGCGGTCCTTGGGCTCGAAGACGGGGAACTTGCGTGTGCACCACTTGGCCATGTCGCCAAGCACGCCGTTCTCGTACACCTTGTTGCCCATCTCAAAGCGCATCTTCTTGGGCGGCGAGCCGTCGATAACCGCCTCGCCGTCGTCTGTGCCCTCGCCCATCTCCTTGTAATTGACGGCCTTACGCTTACGCGCCGGCATCGCGGTGGTGCGGCGCGCCGCGAGTGGCGTGGGCGGGCGGAAGGGCTTGGCGACAATACCGAATCCACCAGACGTCGCCGAGGTAATGGGGGAGTCGCCGCCCTTGTTGGGTGGAAGGCGCCTGAGCATGGTGGATCAAGATGCAAGATGCAAGAATGGGAGGACGGCTCGGGAATGAGATTGCTGTTTTGAAGGCAGCAAGGTGGCCAAAGCAAGTCGCGTCAACCGTTGACGACCGCGGAACCAGATTCGCCACCCAACCCACGTGGGCATTTATGTGCGCTGCCCGCTAACAAAAGTTCATGATGCGGGGTCGTTGGTCGTCACCAACAACACCTTGTCGTCAGTATTCATCCACTACCATGGCCCAGCGATCTCTCGACGACCCCAGGCGCCACGTCCAGGTGCTCCCCGAGCGCGTTGGCGCGGTGACTGCCAACGAGTTTCCGCACCACTACCCCGGAGAGGACCACTCGTGGAACCTCGCGACGTTCAAGAAGAACCTCATCGTGTCGGTGCAGCGGCTGACGCCGTCGGCGATCGAGTTCGACCTCGTGGGCGTCGACGCGCCCATTGCGAATGCGCTGCGCCGTATTATGATCGCCGAGGTGCCTACCGTCGCCATCGAGGACGTGTACGTGTGGAACAACACGAGCATCATGCAGGACGAGGTGTTGGCGCACCGCATCGGCCTTGTGCCGCTCAAGATCGACCCGCACACCATGGATTTTAAGCGTGAGATATCCGCGGCGGCGGGACTGACAGCAGCGGGAAACTACTCGGCACCGATGGAGAATGACACGCACGTCTTCGATATCCGCGTCAAGTGCGACCGCCGGCGCGACGCCGCGCCCGGCGAGACGGACCCTAAGAAGCTTTACTACGACTCGAACGTGTACACGGGCATGATGAAGTGGGTGCCCAGCGGCGGGCAGAGCAACCGGTACAGGAACGACCCCCCGCGGCCGGTGCACGAGGACATCCTCCTCGTCAAGCTGCGTCCCGGGCAGATGGTCGACCTGCACTGCTTCGCGCGCAAGGGACGCGGCGCCGACCACGCGAAGTTCTCCCCGGTCGGTGAGTCCCGGAGTTGAGAGTCTTGGTGATGAGCTAATTCCAGCAACCGCGTCGTACCGCCTCCTCCCCCACATCATGCTCCGCGGCCCCATTCCCCGGGAACACCAGGAGAAGTTCAAGAACTGCTTCCCGGAGGGTGTGATTGAGATCGAGAAGGACGCGGCAGGCGAGCCGCAGGTGGTCGTCAAGAACCCGCGCAAGGACACGGTGTCGCGCGAGGTGCTGCGCCACAGCGAATTCGAGGGGTTGGTGGAGCTGGCCCGTATCCGTGACCACTTCCTGTGTAAGTCGACTGCCTTTTGACCAGCATAGCGCTGACTCCAGTCAACGTTGAGAGCGCAGGACAGTACCCGCCAGAGCAGCTGGTGCCGGAGGCGATCAAGATCATGCTTGACAAGATTACGGCGGTCGAGAAGGGGCTCGACAAGCTCTTCAGCGAGGGGGCAGACGCATAGAGTGTTAGCATAGCCATGTATACGTACTATTTCCGCTTGGTGGCCTGAGAAGGAAAAGGCAATATAATCGCATCAAGATGAACTATTCGCTACGACTGCATCCGTGCGGCCTTGAACCGCGAGACCTTCTTCGGCGGAGTCGGCGCGCTCGGCGCTTCAGCAGCTGAGCGCTCGACGACATCGCGCGTCGGCGGTGGCTGCTTCGGCGCGGTGGGGGCGGGGGTTGAAGCTGCTGGGGTTGAAGCTGCTGGGGTTGAAGCTGTTGGGGTTGAAGCTGCTGGGGCAGCGGCAGGCTCATTGATCTCCTCGATCTGAGGCTCGGGTGTCTTGCCCACACTCGGCGGGAGGGACTCGCGATACTGCTCTGCACGCAGGCCAGGGTCGGCCGCCGCGGTCGGCAGCTCCTCGTACTCTCCGCGCAGCAGGCGCGCCATAACGTCCTTGCGCCGCGCGCGCCGCTGCCGCCTATCGACCGCGGCCGGCGAGTCGTCCTCGCCATCGCTCTCCGAGTCGCTGTGCACGAGCGGGGGCTCGAACACGAGCTCGCCGTCGTCGGCGCGCCCGACGCGCAAGAACTGGCTCAAGTCGTCTGCTGTTGGGTTTACAATACGCAGATCCTCGCCCTGCCCCGAGATCGTGCTGACGCGGGGGATGCCGAGCACGGCCTCGGCGCCCTCGGCCTCAGGGTCGATCTCGTCCTCGTCGATCGGGCGCTGCCACGCCTGTCGCCGGTGATACTCCAACGCAACTTCGCGCGCGAGGAGCGCCTCGTCGAGCGCGTACTCGTCTTCCTCGTCCTCGGAGAAGTCGCCGAGGTCGCCGTAGTCTTCATCGTCGTCGTCGTCGTCGTCGTCGTCCACTATCACCATTGGGGTTTCGGAGGAGCCGACGGTTGGCGGCACGCCTGTTTGTTTCGGAGCCGGCGGCGCCTCGACGACCGCGCCCTTCATCGTCACCATTGGAGGCGTCTCGCTCTGCTTTGGGAAGTTAGGGGCGCGGCGCTGCGCAAACAGACTCTTCTTCTTCGGCGCTTCCTCGGTCTTTGGGGCCGCATCCGTCTTCTGTGCTTTTGTTGCCTTCGGAATCTCGACCGTCTTCTGGATCTCGGATTGAGGCTCGTCCACGTCCATCGCCTTCTCCTTCACATCCTCATCCTCCTCGGTTGGCTTCTCTTCCACTTTCATCGCGGCTGCCGTCTTCTCGACCGGCTTCTCCTCGACCTTGAGCTTCGCCGGCGCCTTCTCCTCCGCTTTGCGCGCAAGTTCGAGCGGCGATGGCTGCCGCGGCTCCGGCTGCGTCATAGCCGTACGGCTGCTCTCAACCTGCGGTGCGAGACTCAAGATCGGCGCGGAGCTCAAGAACCCCGTCCGCAGCCCGCCAAACGTCTCGGGCTGCGACCGCCGCCCGGGGAACGGTGCCTTGAGGATCGGCACCTGCTTCGCCGGGAGGCCGTGCGCGTCAACAGGACGCGTACTCGCGATCATCTGGTCTAGCGGGAAGCCCTGGCGGCGCGGCGGCGGCGTATCAGGCGGAATGGGCACGCTCTGATCGAATGAGACGCTTTTCTTGCGCACAGGTTGCTTCAAAATGCCCTTGGGCGGGCCGCGGGCGGGCGAGGCGGGGAAGGAGGCGAGAGAGGGCTGTGTCGGCGTCGTGGGCGAGATGAGATCGTTGAGCTGGACGGCGTCGATGGTGGATTGGAACGACGGCTGGGGCGACGGCTGAGGAGGGGCCTGCGGAGCCGGGGTGGGGAACGCAGCGGGCATTTGCGACGCCTTGGGCGTCTCGGCGTCATCGACGTCCATCTCGTCCTTCTGGTCCGTGTCCACATCCATATCTTCGTCGTCATCGTCGCTGCCCTCATGAAAGATGCGGCGGCGCAGCGCGGCGCGGCGCTCAACTGCCTCCGGAGAGAAATACTCTGCGCGCTCGTCTTCGGGCATCTCGATGGTGCCCTCGCCAGAAGCGTCAGGTAAGGGAGCAAGGGAGCGCCCATCTACGTCCTCGCGGATCTCGTAGATCGGCTCGCCCGACTCATTCACCGTCTGTCGTCAGCACAGCTTTCATGGCACATACCGAGTCGCCATTCGGAATGCTGAGCTTGTCCTGGAGATGTTCGCCGACCAGGTCGACGAGACTCTGCAGTGACTGTGGTACGTCTACCTCTTTCCCGTTGTGGACGAGCGCCGAGGTGTGTGTTGCATTTGACGGAGCCTTGGCCCTCGTACTTGTTGTCTGCTGCTGCTGCGCCTGTGGTGTTTGCTGCGGTTGTGCGAGATGCGGAGGATTCCCCAGCAACGGATCGAAGGTGATGTCCTTCGTGCGCAGAACGCGCTGTCCCGGCCCAGCGGTTGGCTCCTCCTCCGACTTCGGCTGCACAGTCTGCCCCTCAGTCGCGCGAGCATGTTCTTCGAGCAGAGCTGTCTGAGCGCAGTCGCAGTGTTGACTCACTGCCTCTCCGGCGCCGCACCCAGTCGGCCGCCTCGTGCGCCGTCATCTCGATCCACAAGTCTCCCCCGACATTGATCTTGACCTCATTGGTGTGCACAATGTCGCCTTCAAAGCTCGCTTTCAAATTGAGCGGCACGCGCGCCGCCCAGCGCGAACGCGTTGCCAGCGCATCCAACCGCGCAGCCAGGAGGTCGAGCGCCGCAATATGTGCCGCGAGCGTATTTCCGCTCGGGCGAAGGGGGAGCTGCAGACGTTCGATGTCGGGCATGGAGCAATGTCGAGTGGAGAATTTCGAAGACGTCAGTTGGGTGGCAATATGAGCAAGCGGTCTGGTCACGTGATGAGATTACTACGTTGTGCGTGGATCTCTGCGGAATGCGTGGTGTATATATAAACCCTCCATGGCTGCATGCTATCACTGGCTACAGTGTGGCTACAACCCGCTGCATCGTCCACTCAACCGTGGCGCAGTTGAACAGCGGTATCTGGCCCGCTGGAGTGTTGTGGACATCGGTGGGGATGCGGATGAGTTTGATTCCCCGTGCCTGGACGTCAGTGGAAGCTCGCTTGCCCACTCACCTGGATGGCTTGCTCGTCGACTTCCACTGCACCTCCATCAAGATATGCGATATGCGTGATGAAGCTGCTTGTCTCCCAGGGGATTATGTCGTTGGGGTTCTGAAGGGGAGCAGGTACGTCGTAGTGGCGCAGCATGTTGGCTATAGTGTCGATATAATCCATGGCCGTGTAATCGGGGGTCTCGCGGTCGTTGACAGAGTTCACTTCTTGTCAGCGGTGTCACGACAGAAACCCACAAAGCATAACTTTGGCTTTGAGTGACTTGGACTGTGCGATAGTCGACGCCAGGCTTCGCAGCGCTAAACATGGAATGATACTCGTCCACAGAGACCCGCACGAGTACACGAGCACGTCGCGCTTGTCCAGCGCGTCAAAGAAGTCACCATTTGGCTCAGGGAAGATTTCCTGGCCGTACAGGTTGATGTAGAACAGTCTCTCAATGCGTGACTCTAACGGCACCTCAACCATGCCCTTCGTGTAAGCGATGTTACCTCGGCCAAAAGCTTCGTCGTCATCAAGGTCAATGGTGGGCAATGGTGTGGCTCCACGACTGGGTGAAGGCCTTGCGCTATCCACAGTGTCAAAGGTGCGCGAGTCGCGTCTGTGTGGTGGACGCAGGTGGTTGTTGGAAAGTGGCCGGGACCCGACAGAGGCCCCGCGCGAATTCAGGCGGGTCAGCGGCAGTATGGGAGGCGGAGGGGCGGGATGTGAGATGTTGCATTGACCGATGATCTTGTCTCCATTCTCCAGGTTGGCCGCTATTGTTATAGTTTCTGCGTCAGCCGTACCCAAACGCTTCGTCAACTCTAGATCTTCTACGCACGATTCGTATTGATAACGGGGATGACTTGAGCTCCTGCCTATACGTCAGAAGAGGGTATCGCTACGCACGCACATTGACTCCTGCAACGGCCTTGAACATGAAGATGGCGCTGGGCAGATTGCTGAACAATTCTCGGGCGCCCGTAAGGAAGCCGTTGCCTAGTGAAAAGTTGCGGAACGAGAAGCGCTTGTGGGCGCGGCGCAAGCACAGCGTCTGAAAGTGCACGAGGAAGGCTATCGTAAGCCAACGAGCATCTCCGAGTCCACTCACCACGGATACATTCCCGCTTGTCCTCGCCGATGTCATTCCAAAGCGGGCTGCGGCCTTCAACAATCTCCTCCCACCCTTCGCGGGCAATCTTCTCTGCTACAGTTGCGGGGAATCTGTGAGCCATAAGGTTGTAAATGGCTTGGCGTTCTCGATCTTCCCGAGAGGTCGGGTTGGCTGGTTGAGGGATAAGGCGGATTAAACGCGAGCCTGGGTCAGACAAAGATGCGAGATGGACGCACGAATGTCACCGATAGACGGACCGCCGAAGCACCGCAATATTTCGGCGGAGCTGCCGCCATCGTCAGAGACAGGCAACACATAGGCCGGAGAAGGTCCGAAGGCGCTCGCGAAGGAGTTGGCGCCTGTGCCTCCTGAAATGACAATGTAGGAGAGATGTGTAGGCGCTGGAGGGTTTGGAGATGTCAAGGTGGACATGGTGGCTGCGTGTCGTGTGACAGCTGTGGCCGACTGAATGGGATATGAGGAGATTAGGAGATGCGGGATGCCGAGATGGAATCATGAATTGTCAAGTTGGGCGCGGTGGTCTGTGCGGAGAGTATCAGTGTGGGGTAGTTACGTAATTGCCCTGGTCATATTTCCCGGCCTCAGGTCCCGGGCCGAGACCCGGTCTCCGATAGCGCGTTGTCGCGTGGCGCGTGGGGAAGAGAAGGAAGGTGGGAGATCGTGGAGACGCGCAATGTGGCTGGCTTGTGATCTCTCCATCCCACGAACAAGTGATACCTCTGGCAGCCATCACTTGACCTCGACTCATCGCTCTCTCTCTCGACAACTCTCACTCGCTCGACATCGACATTGACATTGTATCAACTCCTTCTGCCCTCATTCTTCTTCTTCTTCTTCATCCACACGACAATGCAACGCAAGGCTCTCAAGCAGGTACGTTTTGGGCTCTCCCCCACTCGCCCTTCCTCGGGCATCTCCAACCCTCTCCCACGACAATAACTCACGCACAGCTCAACAAGGTCACACAATGGACCAACGAGAAGGTACGCCGCCGCCATGCTCCAACGGCCGCTCTGCTCTGTGGCCTGCTGACCCAAGGTCTTCTCAGGCGAGAAGACAGAGTTCTCCGAAGACTTTGCCGAATTCGAGGCCGAGATCGAGCCTCTCAAGATTGGCGTTGAGCGGTGAGTCTTGTCGCGTTCTCATCAATCTGCGTGCCGCCAAATGTGAGGTGACCTTGAGCTGATCACTAGCCTGCATGCCACGTCCCAGGCATTCTATGACTACATGTCCAAGCTCAAGCCGAGTGCGGACCCCCACCCGCCCGCTGGCTCTGGAAAGGACAAGATGCGGGTGTCCGAGGCGCTCGGCCTTGTCATGATTGACTATGGGAATGACGCGGGCGGCACCTATGGTACGTGGATCTCATATCGTACGACTGTGCGTCTGTGCTGACATTTTCAGGTGACGCACTAGTGCAGTATGGACGTGCGCGAGTCAAGATTGCAGGCGTGCGTTGTGCCATGACGCAAGTAGCGCGCTGACGCCCAGGTGCAGGACGAGTTCAGCCAACGGCTGCAGGAGGGCTTTATCGCGAACACTGGTACGTGGCTTGGCGCATCAGCTTGGCGTGGCGCCCAGAGCTAACTTTACCAGAGGCGTCCCTGGAAGGCGTAAATGAGTACAAGGCATATCGCAGGAAGATGGATTCACGGCGGTACGTGACGCTCCCGGACCGCCAACTGGTTGGCTGACGATACAGATTGACTCTGGATTCAGCCTTGGCTAGGATGCGTGCGAGCAAGAAAGAGAACCCGGCGCTGGAGCAGGAGGTCGAGGCAGCTCAGCAGCGACTGTGAGTGGCAAGAAGAAGGAAAGGACATGCGAGGGCGCGGAAGCGTAGGCGGACTGACCGACAGGGAAGAGGCGGAGGAGGACACTGCTCTGCAGATGCAGAATATCAAGAACCAGGAGGCGGAGCAGTTTGCTGCACTCGCCGATTGGCTCGACGCCGAGTTGGAGTACTTTGCTTCTTGCAAGGACATTCTGGACGACCTTCGAGCGTCGTTCCCATCCAGCTATGCGCCGTCCGGGTCGCGGCCGAGAGCCAAGTCGAATGCGTCTGCGCGTTCCGCAGGCAAGACACCCACCCGCGCAACCTACGCGAAGCGAACCGATTCAGACGAGGACCTGGAGGTGTACTCGCCCTCGAAGAAGAGAGACACCAAGGTGCCGGAGGGACGGGCACGCAGCAAGTCTCAATCGCAAGTTGAAGGGCGGGCGCGGTCAGACTCCAAGTCACAGCCCCCAGCGGAAGGAAGAGAAAGGAGCGACAGTACGGCATCGGCGGGTGCGGGCAAGCCTAAGAAAAGCATCATGGCAACCATCGGGTCGTTTGGGATGAAGAGCGCGAGCTCGGCGGGCAAGAGTGCCTCGAAGGCTGCCAACAAGAGCAAGAGCGCGTTTGGTAGAGTCAAGTATGGCAACTTGAGCGACGAGGAGCGCGAGCGTGTCGCCCTCGACAGCGACGACGACCCTTACAAGCGCGACAGCCCGTCTCCGCAGCTGAACCGCGCGCGGTCACAGAGCGTCTCGAGTGTGGTATCTGGCCTTGGAGCGCTAGCTCCACCCGACACGCGGCGGCGCGCTCTCACCTCCCCTCCCTCGCCAGCGGGTCGCTGGGTGCGCGTCCTCTTTGACTACGAGGGCCGCGAGGCGGATGAACTGCCTCTCCGCCGCGGCCAACTTGTGGAAGTCACCGCCGAGGTGCCTGGGAGCACAGACTGGCTGATCGGCGAAGTGTCTGGCCGATCTGGCATGTTCCCGAAGGCCTACACGGAGGAGGTGGACAAGCCGGTTGTTCCTCAGCGTCCTGCGCTGCCGAAAGCGCGCTCCATGCCACCGCGCGAGTTTAGACGCTCGGTGCAGCCCGTGGCAAACAGCCCGCGGAGCACGCTAAACAGCACGCTCGACTCGGGCAGCGAACACGGCGAGGTGGACGACGGCGCGGCGCTCGTCTCAGCCTCTCCCGCCCCAGCCGGGCGGTCGCGCGCAGGCAGCACGGCACGCAAGCCGCCGCCGCCGCCACCAAGCCGGCGCATGACGAGCACTGGCGGGCGGTCGCGCTCGTCGACGCTGAGCAAGACGCCGCTTGCGAGCGACGAGGACCGGAGCTCAGGGCGGTCGGGGCAGATGTCGCCGGCGCGGCGGGCCGTGCCGGTGCGCAGCCCGTTCGAGCACAGCGACGACGACGACGCGGCGCCGCTGTCGCACGGGTTGGGCGCGATGCACCTCCGTGCAGGCGCGAGCGCGAACGGGCGTGCAACGCGCGACTGCGGTGTATGTGGGTGTGCGGACTTTACGCAGAACGTGTTCAAGACCAATGGGGTGTGTGCGACGTGTTTCCACACGCACTAGGTGGGGCTTGGGGGATCAGCTGGCGAGAACCAGTATAGCCATAGCATAGCTAGCATAGACATGTACGGATTCTGACGAAGGTGGAGGGAGGATAGCTGACTTACGCCCCGAGCAATCTTGGAGTCACCAAGTTTACGCACCACGAAACAGCCAACACATGCATTATGGTATAAAGTATCCTGTATCCTATATCCCGACTCCATATCAGAAAACACACCCCACCGTACTAACGCTTCTCGCGCAGGAAGTAGATGACGGTGAGCACGAGCATGCTGAGGAACCCGGCGATCCACGCAAACAGTACGAGCACGTTACGGTAGTAGTTGCCCTCGCCGAAGCCGAAGAGGGAGTGCATGATGGGCACGGCGGAGATTTCGATCGGCACGCCCTGGAGGACGTCGACGATCATGAGGCCAGACCCGACCTCGTTGACGGTGAGTGCTTCGAGCATGTATCCGAGGGGCGCGAGATACCTGAGCCAGCGGAGGGCGGCGGGGATGTTTGAGATGTTGATGAAGAAGCCGGCGAAGACCATGTTGAAGAGCACCCACGCGCTGGAGAGGAGCATGGCGATGGAGGGGTGCGCGAACACGCTGGGGAGGAGGAAGTTGTAGAGCGCCATGGCGATGGCGAACTCGACCGCGATGAGGAGGAACTTGAAGAAGTTGGCGGCGGTCGCCGCGAGCCCGACCATGAAGTAGAGGATGACGGAGACGATGATGGTGGGGAGGATGCGGAGGGGGAGGACATCGAAGAGGAGGCGCGAGAGGAGCCACGCTTGCGGCGAGTAGAAGTCGCCAGAGCGTTCGCGGAGGAAGAGCGGGCGCATCTCGGCCATGTTGTTCAGCGCGCTGAATGACGTGAAGCTGATGAGGGAGCCGAGGAAGAAGAGCGAGCCGACGCGGTTCTGGAAGCCTGCGATCGTGATCTTCACGTTGTAGTACAGGCCGCCGGCGAAGACGCCGATGACGGCCGACACGACGACGTGCGCGACGAGCAGCGTCTTGTCGCGCATAAGCGTGCGCCATTCGCGCTGCGCGAGCACGCCGAGCTGCGTGAGGAACGTCGTGGCCGGGTGCGACGACGGCCACCACTTGCGTTCCGTGTTCGCGGCTTGGATCTGCGCGAGGTCGATCTCGTTGCTCATCCGGTTCAAGACGGGCGCGTGGTGGTTGCTGTCCTTCTCGCCGGCCTCGGCTTCGCCCGACGCCGAGTTGTCCGAGGCGCGCGAGCCGCTCGCGGCGCGCGTCGAGAGCGCGGCCGCCGCGCCCGTCGGCAGGCCTTGCGGGTTCTCGCTCGCAATCTCGAGCAGGTGGTCCGCGACGTTGTAACCGGGAGGACAGGGGTATCCGTGCTGAGCAAAGAAGTCAGCCGGCACAGACCCGCCGGGGCCAAAGTACAGCTGGCGGCCGTTGGCGAGGAGCAGCACCTGCGAGAAAGAGTGGTAGAGCGCCGAGCTGGGCTGGTGGATGGACGCGATGATGGTCGTGCCGTGCTCCTCGGCCAGGGCTTTGAGGAGGGAGACGATGCGGGCGGCACTGACGCTGTCGAGGCCAGACGTGGGCTCGTCCAGCACGAGCACGTCAGGGTCGGCGACGAGCTCTACGCCGATCGACACGCGGCGCATCTCGCCGCCCGAGATGCCACGGTGCTCGCCCGACCCGACACGTGTGTTTGCGATGTGCTCGAGGCCTAGCTCACGCAGGACTTGGTGCGCCCGCTCGTCCTTGGCGGCCCGCGGGATCGTCTCGGGAAGGCGGAGGTACGCGGCAAACTGGAGTGTCTCGAGGACGGTCGAGGTGGGAGAGAGGACATCCGACTGGTCGCAATACCCGATGCGAACCCGCCGCCCTCCGTCGTCGAGGTACGCGACCTTGCCCTCGACGCGGCCGGCCTTGCGCTTTCCAGCGAGGATGTCGATGAGCGTCGACTTGCCGGCGCCCGAGGGGCCGAGGACGCAGCAGAAGCCACCGGGGGGCAGGTCGCCGCGGGTGTCGCGGAGCACGACGCGGCCGCCGTTCGGGCCCACGCCCGTGCCATCCTCGTGGTCGGCTGCGCGCGGTGTCGGCGAGCCCCAACCACGCAGCCAGCTCACAGTTGTCGCGTACAGCCCTCGACCGTGCGACTGGACCTCGTATCCCACGCCGCTCCACGCGAGGCCGACACCGCCGCGGCGCTTCTCGAGCGCGCCATCGCCGACGGCCTTGCGTGCCTTGTTGCGCACGATCACGCCCCAAATCGTCACGAGGATGATGGCCAGGATAATCGCGCCAACGACGGCCAAGCCGGCGATCACGCCGCCGCTGAGCCCGCTGCTGCCCGCCGACCCGCCCACAATCCCCATCGCCTGGTCAATGACGTACTGCTCGACGCACTCGCCGAACGAGCACTGCGTGAGCGTGAGGCCGCCGGACCCGAAGAGGCCGTTCAAGAACTGCTGTTTGAACTGGCACGTGCCGCCCTCGCCACAATCGACCGACAGCGGGCCCTGCAGCCCATTAATCGGACCCGTGAGATTCGTCGTTGAGCCCCCGCAAAACGCCGTGCCGGGACGACACGTGCATGCCAGTCCCGCACACTCCCACAACGACGAGTTGACGGCGCCGCCCGCCGTGATCGTCTGGTTACACGCCGTCGCGTGGCAGTAAAACTGCTCGACGCCGTCGAGCCACAGCTGGGCCCACGCCTCCGCGTTGCCGCCGGCAATGCCGGCCTGCGCGAGCGCGCGCTCGCCGCCCGGCGTGCGCGAGCTGTTCAAAAACCGCGAGATAGTCAGCTGCGCGGCCCCCGGAAAGATGGCTTTGAGCGTCGGCTGGTCGACGCTGCACGCCATCTGCGAGGCGGCATACACGGTCGGCACCGACGAGCAGGTCATGGTCGTGTCGAGGGCGGCGGAGGCGATCGCGTTCGACGAGTTTGAAAATTTGGCGAGCGACGACACGCACGCCGGCGCATTCTGGCACACTGCGTGAGCGCGCACACGTCCGTACGTACCTGTGCAGCCTGGCCCGGTCCAGCCGCTCGCGCACGCGCAGCCGCTTGTGGCGCCGTTGGCGCCTGTCGCTCCCGCCGGCTCGTAGAGCGAGCCCCCGCAGTTCGGGAGGTCGCAGTTGTTGTTGGAGGGCGCGGAGAAGCCGGCGGGGCAGACGCACGAGCCGCCGTCCGCGACCCCGTAGTTGACACACTGCGCGGCGGCGCCCACCGCCGCCGCCGCGGCTACCACGGCGTGCCAGAGCATGGTAATGAGCGTGGGGGTGTGGTGTGTTGATGTGCTGGAGAGTGGTGGCGAGTGGGAGATGTCAACGACGCGACGGTTGAACGGCAGCGTGCTCGTTCGATGTTCGGGTCCCGGCTGGAGGCTGCGGAGGGAATGCTGGGTGGGTTCCAGGCACAGGCGCGTGGACGGGCTCGACCACCGTGCCATAGCTGCAGGAATCAAAACAAACCCCAGATCCAAGATCTCGCCCAAGTCAAGTCGGATGCTCACGGCTTGGTCAAAGCTGCAACTCGCTGAGGCGAGCAACTGCAGCGAGCACCATGTAGAGAGATACAGCACTGATCTCCTCTGAAGGACGGAGCATGCTCCGATCGTCGTTGAGCAGTACAGCAGCCGACGCCGCCCCATATCGGCCCCACATCACCCCACATGCATTACCCTACACCCTACATAATCACGCATCCCTCCTCGCCGCCGAGTGCTCCAAGGTCCTATTTGTCAGCTGTTGCAACGGTGTAGAGTTGCAGTCATTGCATTGCGGGCGCAACGGATCCGACGCCGGGCGGGGCGGCGGTGCAGCAGTGCGATACACCTTGGCAACCGGCCCTTCCTGGGAGCGACGGCACCCGCCTCAACCACGCATGCACTCACAAAACCCTCTGGCAGGTCGCCCATGATCTCGTTAGGCGGCCCACCGAGATCCTGCATCTCGCCCACGAGCTTGGCGACCTCCTTGCCGTCCCGCTCGTCTGTGTATCCGGGGCGCTGGAACACGTCAAGGATCCGCTTGACGAGGCCGTGCTGCTTGCGGTACTTGTCGAGATCGGAGGCTGAGACGCCTGAAGGAGGCTTCTCGAGGTATGCGGGGTACTGATGTCAGCGCGTGTTAGCCCAAGGGCCGAGGGGAAGGAACAGCACGAGGTGTCGGTGTCCACCAGGCGAACGAGGTGCCAAACAGGCGTCCAACGTGCCAAGGACACAGGACGCCTTTATTTCCGCCGCCACTCACTTTGGCCGCCAGCTCCGTCATAGGCTCCTCGAGTACCTCCTTGCTCATAAGCTGTGCCATCATGCCGTCCAACAGGCCGCCGAGCTCGTCGTCGTCGTCGCCGAACCCGTCGAGCGCGCTGGGATCCTCGCCAAGCTGCTTGAGCAGCGCGGCCAAATCGCCAGGAATCTCGTCGCGGCCGCCCGCAGCCCCCGCGCCACCAGTATTCACCGACTCCATGGCACGTTTGATCGTCTCCTCGAAATTGAGCGACTGCTTGGACGGCCCGCGCGCGCTCGGCCCCGCGGCCCCTTTGTCCAGCCCCATGGCTTCCAGCCCCTCGCCGGACATCATCATCTCCAGTGCGCGCTGGAACGCCTTCTCCTCCTCCTCCGATCCCAAGGAAGGTGTCGCGTCGCGCGCCTTCTCTGTGGAGGCGCCGGGCATTGGTCCGGGCGGGTTGTCGTTCGCGAGGGACCGCAGGAGCGACTCCATGCCCTCGATCAGCTCGGCTTCAAACTCGTCGCCGCCTGCAGGAGCGTGAGCGGAAGCGGGCGCCGCGGCGGCGGGTGCAGGCGCCGCGGGCTTGGGTGGTGCGTTGAACGAGTCGAGCACATCTGCTGTTAGCGGTGCCGGAGGAGTGCCCACCATCAAGATCGTCGAGGTCCTCGTCGTCGTCGTCGTCGACGTCGACGGTCGGGCTGCGGTGGTCCTTTGGAGGCGGGGCGGAGCCGCTTGGCGCGGCGGCGTCTTTGCTCGACGAGGCGGCGGGCATGGTGGTAAAGTCTATGCAGGAAGGATCGACGGCTGCATCGCGGACAGTATCCGGCTAGAAGAGCCGGTCCAGGTGGCAACGGCGTTTCGGCATTAAGGTACATCGCGTGGGAGGAGCGTGGGTGGGTCTCCCACGGTGGTGGCAAAGTACGGGCCTGCGTGTTGATCTCCGCTGCTCATGCCCAGACCATTACAACAGACCATGCTCGTCTCCCGATGTCGAATTGAGACATGAACTCACGGGGCGGCATTGGCATAGAAAGCCATCCCGCCATCGCCCAACCCCTAGCAGCCGCCTTACTCGGCTCGTCTCATCGCACTCTCGCCGTTCTGGCTGGAGCTGAAGAGCTTGCTTCCTTCCTCGGCCTCGGATGCTGAGATGCTCGGAGCGCGGCAATCTCATTCGCACGATGACTTCCGTCGGCGACTTAGAGGGTGACACATCACTGACGGGAACGTGAGAGCCGTCTGAGCTGGCCTTGAAGACTTGATAGGCGGCGTCGAACAGCATGAGCCAGTTGCCTGCTGACCGGTGCCCGCCCTGGTACTGTAGCTGGCCAGCTTGGAGGAGTGCCTCTGACGTCTGCAAGGTTGAAACAGAAACGCCACAGCCGACTGCGCTCCATCTTCCCTCAACCCCCCCTCAATTGCTCCCTCGAACGCCTCGAACGCGTCGACCCAACGCGCCGAAGCCCTTGGCATCTACAGCACAGTCCCTCCATCTCTCCATCTCGGCGTTGCTCTCGATCTTTGTGCAATGTGCAAACGTGCAAGACATGTCACGTCGAGAGCACTGCAGAGCCGCAGAGGAGGCAGAAACCACCCACCACCTGGCCGAGGAGTGGCCACGGGAGATGTTGTTGTGCTGGATGGATCATGTCAGATGGCAAAGGAGCCCTGCTGGCCCTGCCGTCATGGGGAGTGTCATTCCGCCCTGATCATTTTGAGGGAAGCCTTGGGTATTCCGCCCTTCTTGAAGGAATCCGCCACCCGTTGCTGCCCGTATTGCTGTCTCCTAGACCCTGAATAGCATGCCGGTGTCCGCCTGCCGCCTTGAGCCCGGCGCGGCCATCAGCCCATCGATCCCACCCAACGGCATTCAGGAAGCACCCAAAAGTCAGGAACATCCATAGGAAGCAGGAATGGAGGTCAATAGGGGATTCTGTTGAATACAACCGTTATGACAGAGTCTAATAGGATAGTCTAATTGGAGGCCAAGGGGGTGCCCGTTCACCCTGCACGCCCTCCTAGTTGCGGGTTTGTGGGTGGCCGGCTTGGTACACTGTACACATCCCTCCTTCCTCACCATCTCTTGTCTCGTCCTCACCATCATCCTTGCTCTTCTTCTCGTCTACCCCCTCCGTCTTTCCTCCCTCCCCCTCCCCCCTCTTCACCTCTTCGCCTTCGCCCATCGCTCCAGCATACGGCCATCACATTGCGCCCACGCCGCTGCTCGGTCGAAGCACATACCTCTTTTTCGCACGCACACACCTCTTCTGTGCGCAATCCACCCCCTCCCTCCCTCTCTCCCTCCCTCCGCTTCTT